GGAGACTTGCCTATCGCGTTCCCCGCACCGAGCTTGGCTTGACCTTATGGTGACTTGGTTCGTAACAGTAGTATCCGTTAGTAAGGTAGTATTCGTTAGTAAGGCAGTATTCGTTAGTAAGGTAGTGTAACTCGACTAGCGAGTCGCTACTATAGTTATACCTATTACGTAATGTATCCTTAGCAACTCTAAGGCTAATCTCGTAATATCTATTAATCTAGACATTAACAATAGGCAAGATAATTCTAGTCTATCGAGATCTTAGACCTTTATTATAAATTACGAATAAAAAGCTCTAAGTTTATATTCTCTCTAGTATACTACTAATTATTAATTAGTAATTACTCTATTTAACTTAGTATATCTACTAGACTAGAGACTAGTATAGTAATATACGTTATATAAATTAGTTTCGTCTCCCGTACTATAGTATAGGAGATTGATCTAAGAGACCTTGTATCATAAAGAGTCTTGGCGGGTAGAGAGACCCTTAGGCTAAAGCCTTGCGGACTACGAAAGTTTGATTCGTCGTACTACGACCCGATAAATGCTACCCTAACGCTAAATTCGCCTAACTCTACCTTACCACATTACTTTTAGAACTCCACTACCACAGCACCTACAGCTTTATAAATGGTCGTATTCGCATAGCCTTGACAAGCTTATTCGAACGATGTAATAATCATAAAGATTGCACCCCGCGAAGTCTCTACCTGAGAAAACAATCCTATACCACAATCCTATACCACTTTAGCCATCTTCAGTTAGTTCTCGTCTCGTGCTAACTCGCTGTAGTTTGGCACCACCAACAATGGTATACTATTGTTCGGGTCCTTTTGGCTAGGGCGTGTCATTCATGACAATATCCCCCCCTCTAGGCGACTTGTCCTCAACGTCGTTATTCCGGAGCTACTACCATACTAGCCCCCTTTCTAACGCCCCCTAACCGCCGCGGGGTGACAATCCCTGCCCCCGCCCACGTGACCTCCCTTAGGTCCTCACGCTGACGTGGCCACATCTATTCGCCATCTCAAATCGCCTCGAAAACCTTAGCGAATTTACACAGAGAGAGATTTGAACCCTCGCCAGTCGCGCACCCAGTAGATTCCGCGCACGGCAATCTCTAGTGAACCGCAGCCTAATCTCAGAGCCCCCCTGCGAATTCTAGGTGAATAATGTCAGGAATAAGCCTCGGTTCCCTGAGGCGCAATACCTCAAAAAGACGGAATATTCACCTAGAATTAGGTGAATTATTAGGCATTATAATAGATGTAAGAGTAGGGCGTGTCATTCATGACAGGAGGTCGCGACTAAATCAAAAGCTCCTAGAGCCTATATCTCTCGCCGTAGTATACGAGAGGATTTCTCCTCTAGAGTAGCTAGCGTCTCCTATAGATCTAAATCTAATTTCTTAGTATCTATAAGGGCCTTCTAGGCTACCACTAACACTTTTCGAAGACGAGCAATCTCCCGGCGTTTTAGCCGTAACTTAGAGATTATTTATTTCTTTTATTTACCTACTTTTCGAAACTCTTCGACGGAAAAGGTACTATTATACTTTCGTTGAAAATATAGGCACTTAGCGCAACTAACTAACTATTCGCGATTATAATAACACATTATATCGTAGTTAGTGCACTCGATATAGGCAACTATAGCTATATGATTTTCGTCGAAAGAAAGGGCGTCGACTATTTCGATACGGCGAATATACTAGTCGCGAATAGATTTCGAGGAACGAGTTTTCTTAACACCTAAGGGAGGTATATTTAGCTATAGGGGACTTACGCGTAGAGAGAGACGAGCTCATCTTATATACGTTAAGGCTAACGTATAGTGAAGGAGGGGAAAGTATTACGAGTTGGCACTTAACCTATATAACGACCCACCTAAATTGGTAGGTAGGTCGAGGAGGCTATAATGTAACTGGGATCGAAGATCTAGGGGAGCACAAGGCTCCAAGTTACGTACGCGTATACTAGTGCACTAGTGCACTAGTAGTAGAGTAGTAGAGTAGCAGAGTAGGAATATCACGAGTATATAGCTACGGTCATTACACCAAGATTTTATAGACTCCTCGTAGTCAATAATCATCTTACTACTGCACCTAAATCTGTTGAACCCTGAGCCCTCACACCTTTCACATCTGTCCGCAAGTACCTATACTTCTGTCCGCGAAACCCAACCACGTCTGAGTCCAAGAATCATTACGCCCTTGGCAGTTCGTAACACTGATATTGTCGGCCATTTCTTCCGTTATCTACAAGGACTGTTTAGTAACCGGAGGTGCAAGGCGAGGGGTGATAATGGGAGCAATTAGTACTACTTCCAGGAAAAATCTCCTGTCTATAGTTTATTGTCCTAAGTGTCTTTGTGAGCGTATGCTTGATGACTAGTTACGATAAGAGTCTTGAGAGTGGGCCTGATTGTGAACACGTGTGCGTACAATCGAGACACTCTGGCTTTTTGCGAGAACAGGAATTCATAGAAAGAAACCTCCTTTATTGCGCCACCATAGGTTCTACATCTAATTCTCGGCAATGTCGTGATACAGGCGGCTGCAATTATGCCTGCCATTAAGAAATGTGCATGCATAGCTCCGTATGTGCGTTCAGAACTATGAACCTTAAAGGCACTTTCAGTAGGCGTAGAACAAGGTAGTCTCAGTATTAGTTTGTCGAATTTTTCTGTTCTCGCGGACGAGCCAGACGCGCATAGCCCAAGCGCCCATCATCGTCACCAACGAAAATGCTGCGCTGCTACTCATTGCGATCGTATAACGCGGCTCATCGCTCTTGGGCCATAGGTATGGTGTCCAGATAAATGAGACGACGGCGCAGGTGTTGACAATAGCCAGGCTGGCGGCCTTCTTCTCCTTCGTCTGTCCGCAGGTCGAGCTCACCCAGCCGAGGATGATGGAATTGACTGCATAGGTGCCGATCGAGAATACAACCATCGAGAAATAGCGCGCGGCTGTGTTCAAAGTTGCGCAGCCAAGCACGAAACCGAAGATGGCGATGCACTTGGCTACAGTAATGTGCCAGGTGCGCTCATTGTAGCGGCCGGAGGACCAGGACCACGCAATCGAGATAGCGCCGGCCACGAGATACGGCGGGCAGGTTAGAACTAGGGTTATGGTGCGGTTGAAGCCGAGAGTCTGAACGGCAGTAGGAAACTATTACAAAAGCCATTAGCTTTTAGCGTTGTGAGACATTAAGACACACAGAAACACGTACGAAGTTCTTGAAACCGTTAGCAGCAAGATGCATGTGTTGCATGAAAGCAAAGAGCCAAAGTTTTTTGTCCTTAGCAGCATCGATCAAGCCCCGGGCTGATGTTTGCTTGCCACTCTCGCCGACAGTATCGCGCACGATGCGCTCATTAGCGAAAATGCGCTCTTCTGGAGTGAGCCAGCGGGTGGTAAGGGGATCATCCGGGAGGGTGAAAACGCTAAGTGCTGCAACGACGGCAGTCACAGCACCTTGAAGGATAAACATCTAGATTATATTAGCAGAATATTGTGTCTGCACTGGCGGACGCGTACCCATCGCCAGCCCGAAAGGCCAGCCATACCGTGCATCTCGAAGATTCCGAGCGCAATAAGTCCAGCAAAGGCGGTTGCCAGAATATTGCCTGTGTATAGAATCGAGATACGAGTCGCAATCTCTTTACGTGTGTAGAAGCAAGAAAGCATGTACAATGCACCTGGATAGTACGGTGCTTCTGTGATTCCGAGGAAAAAACGCGTCAGAAGGAGGCCTTTAAAGTCGTGCTTCAAGAGGTCAGTGTTGATTGGGAGGACGGGGATCGTGCGTGCCTACGGCTACCGCAGTCAGAGCGGAGACCACTGCCCAGAGGAACATAGCACTGGCCATCCAGTAGCTTGGGCGAACGCGAGTGAGAAGCATATTAGAGGGGATTTGGCCTAGGATACTAGAAAGGGGATCAGTTTAGATCAGAAAAATAGTCTCCATGGAACTCACTATCCAACAAAAAGGATAGACACGCAAGTCTGGTATTGGATGGAAGTCAGGCCTAGTTCTTCCTCAAGGTCATTTAGGCGAGCGAGCGTGATTGCGTTCCGGTCAAGATAGTTGAGCCAGTACATAATCCATAAGGTAGGCTGTGGTCAGGTAAGTAGCTGGCTGATAAACAGGTGGAAGAAGCAAACCATAATCCAGAGGTCAAGCTTCTTCACCAGTTTGATCTCCACAGGATCAGTCTTTTTATGTGCACCGGAGTAATCATAGCCTGCGGGCTGACGCTGCTCGAGCTCAGTCATCTCTTCGTTGTGGATAATACCATGCTTGATGCTTTGGACGATAGAGGCTTGGCGGGGGCCTACCGCCTGGAACTCAGTGGACTGGTTAGGAATAGCCATTTTGTGTCTGGTTGAAAGAGTAGTTTTGGTGGCTTGTTTTGAAGTGGTAAGGGGATTGGGAGAAGAAGTGCTTGTGCTCGGGAAAGGGGGAGGTTTTATAGACGAGTACTTGCATGTTGGTCTCCGTCCTCCAGCACTTGGCCTTTATCTTGGATTAGTACGGAGCCGGCTCATTTTTCGTCTTCTAGTCATTCTGAAGGGGCCGTATGCTTGGCGGGCTTGGAATGACTCCAGACGGGAGCAGGCAGGTTTGTAAATGATACTTCGTTGATGCCGACAATCTCTGGGGTAGCATTCGGAAGCCTGGACCTAACCTTGGCCTTCGCCTGTATACGGAACCTTATTTAACGCCTTTGTGAAGGGGCTGAATACTATCGTAACTAAAGATGGGTCGTTGGCTTGTATGTTTAGTCACTCGCTATATCAATCACTGGGGGCGCATCGTATTTGGTGCTAGTGACACTCTGAGCGACAGAGGTAGCACAACCCATCGTGCCCTGACAGGGCGTAATTCGAAGAGGTGTATAATGCACCCGTCCAGTTACTTCGTACATATAACCAAGGTTGCTCATTGGTGCTGGGTTCTCTCCACGGAGTTTATTGCCCCGCTTACAAGATGGTGTGGTCTAATCTACGCGGATGACGTAGTAGGCTTGATCAACTCGAGATAACGCGTTGAGCACTGCGCACCTTCTGGTCATGGCGTTGTCGCCCCTTCAAGTCTGTCATAAGGCTTTAGATATCATTGCTGACAGGATAATGCAGTACGCGTACTTGGCTGTTTCCCCCCCTTCCTCTTCTGTCTGCTCTATCAGAAAGTGGATGTCCTGCCCTCCACACCCCAAATCGAAGTTCTCAGAAGTTTTCTGGCGCCTTGGCGGTTTGAAGTTGGTCTCTGCGGAGAGGAAGCCCCCGGCCTGCTCCCTCCAATAGAATCAGCAGCTTTACTAAACCCGCTTTGATGAAAGTTAGCATACCCAAGACTTTGGTATGCATGATGTTCACTTCTATGTTAGCGATGGTAGCGACAATGATCCGCAACGATAGCAGGGTGACAATGGAAGAGGCCGTCACAACTACTGGCAGTCTTGCGAGAAGACTATCGTCACACGATCTGTGATTGCACATTCCAGAACCTCCCTACATTTAACTGCGTCGACGATAGTGGCCGGTATGTGCGATCAGAATCGAAGAGCTTACTTTCCATAGTGCCGCCATGTCTTCTGAGCCACACAATAGTTTGGAACCATCAAGAACTGGTTAGCATGTGATTTGCGTTCCGCGCAGTTGTGGCTCTACCAAGATTCAAGGGTTTCACTTTCGAGACGCGATTACAACAAGTCAGCATTCTGAACGCCAGCTTTCCTTATGTGGTGGTCTCTATGTAGCAGCCAAAACGCTCGTACAGCGAGTTCCATTTTCGCCATAACGAGGCACACCGATGGGTTCTAGGCGGCCACTCAGACATCTGCTATGTAGGTACAGTAAAGCTCGTTTCGAGATTTTAAGTTCATTGAAATTCCCTCGAAACTAACCTTGCGGAAGCAGATAACGATCTGCCGTATACTTCTGTCAGTAAGGGAGTTAGGAAGGTTGAGAAAATGGGCTTAAGACGATTCCACCAGCTTCTTTTTCATACCTAGATCTCTATTTCTCTAACTATTATCCAGCCAGTCGTCCTGGTGAAGAAATGATATTGTCCACTAAAGCACCAATATCAATTGTCCATGTGTTGACTTATTAGTCCTTAAACCAACGCCTTGGTGTTTCGAATCTGTAGCTGACCCAATCGAGAGCTAAATGTTGCTACAATTATGAAGCATACTAGGTAGGTGCATTCGGGCCATTCGTATGAGGTGTTGAGGGAGCATTCACTGAGGACTGCTTCGGACGAAGCTCCTCGAGAGGCGCATCGACACGATAGTTCATTGTCTTCCCCAAATCGCCTATGAACAGACATGCGACAGATGCCACAAGACCGAATGGCGCCGCAATGACATATACTACCCTGATGGAATCAGCGAATGCTTGTTTCAGGCCTGTGACACCCGCTGCTATAATTGAAGATGTCACTCCTGTTATATTTGGCAGTGCAGCGCTGTCATTATTCACCAGAGCTTCAATGAAGGTAGGCAAAGATGAAGGCGGAAGCCCCGCGGCCAGTGCGTTAGCGGTAATTTCTGCCGTAAGATTGATATCTAAACGAGCAGTAAATGCGGCCACGTAAATAGCAGTGAAGATTGTTGCGGCGACTGCTCTTGCGGAGGTTGTTACTGCTGTCGCTGTCGCAATCAAATGATGTGGTGTCGACAGCTGAACTCCAGTGATAATGAGAATCAGTGGGGCGCCGAAGCCAAATCCTGAGAGGCCTGAAAATGCTAAAGCATTGACCGACTGGTTTGGCTGAACCGTTGCGAACCCGACAATGCCTGCTGTGAAGATGATGAAACCACAAAGCAGCGGATCGCGAATGGTCCGAAATCGAGTGCTCCAATAGCCCCAAAACACAGTACTCACAGCACCACAAACCCAAAAAGGTTGCTGACGTCCTACTAATCGTAGAGGGTCTGTCTCAAAAAGAGAAGTAGTTCTGGAGAGTTAGCAGCTTGCCTCTAACGGTTGGGACAAGCTTACAGGGTCGGGTAGAATATGACGTAGGAGAAAAGGAGAACTCCCTCAATAAATATAAGAGAGACACAAATGGAAAATGTTCGACCCTGAGTCTTTCCACCTGCAAAAAGATCATGATGTAGAATTCCCGATGAGGTACCAAAGGACTCGTAGACTCCAAAAGCAACTAGTATCAGTGCCCCCAGGATTAAAGTAGTAAGAACACGAGCATTAGTCCAGGGGTAGAGGCTACCACCTAGGTTAAGACCAGTGAGGAATGAGGTTAAGCCGGTAGTCAAAAGTGCACTTCCCGGGAGATCAAGAGCAGTAATCTTTTGCCAGCGTGAAAGATGATCGAGGCGGGTATGTCGTTTTGCAGGCTTATAGCCAATTAATAAGCCCAAGGCTATAGCACCCCAGAGACCCATCTGGAACCACTGGTAAAGTCAGCTTTCAAATTGTAGCAGGACAAGGTCCGTACGTAAAACTTGCGCCAACCGCCCTGACGATCCTTTTCGGTAAAATCGCCGATCACCATTGGACCTATAATGGCACCGAGTGTAGCCGCAATGTTCATGGACGCTTGTACCACTGACACCTCTTAGTCTAGTATATACTCGTGTTAATAGAGTCAGGACTCACTGGGCCTCCATCTGCGAGGACATATTTCGCTCGGTACACAGTATGCAAGAGGAACGGAAGCGAACCCAACTCCAATGAGCGTTTGAGCAACTATCAGCCGATAAATACTCCTTGCGCCCGGGGCGATGGCTGCACCAACAAAGGAAATCATGCAAGACCCGATCAAGATAGACTTTCGAGCTTGAAAGGTGTCGGATGTAGAGGATATTATCGGTCCAAGTACTGCTTGAACAAGGGAGAGAGAATTTGGCACCCAAGTCTGGGCCGGGGTATTGTTGAGACTACTACCGATGTATGGTAGCTACTCCGTCAGCACGCGAAGTGAAGAACCAATATTCGACTCACAACAGCAGGAGGTCCCTGAAGCGCCACGACCTGGACTAAATTCAGGAGGAACATTGCGAATAGAGCAACGTAAGTCCTAACATGGAGTTTTGGTTCTTCATCAACCGCCTCGTACACGATGTTCTGCTCGTCGAATAATGCGGATTCACCCGTTGGTAAGACACCTTTTTGGTCTCCATCAGCCCTAAGTGAGTCAACCATATTTGTCTAGAAAAAAGGAGAGCTCTTCGACGGATTGTAGAGATTGGACAGAGGATGTCATTTAATATTTAAATCGCTACGGGTGCGACCCATATATCGTTAGTCTCGAAGGCTTGGCGGCAGCTTAAGGAGTGAATCGTTGCAGAGGGAGACGAATACAATCTTGGGTTAGAGAACACTAATGAACTTACAATAGCTAGAGTTCGTAAGCTGGTGTGTCCACCCTGGTAACACTCTTACTTCGTACTGGCTACCCACGCTTCCCACCATTACTTTACACTCTATCTCTCCATCTCCTTACTCTTCATGAGCCGTAAATTCCACCACTCGAATTCCACTCGGAGCGAGGATTACTACTAGGGTCTTAACTATGGAGGCACGCGAATTAGAGAAGGTATGTTGTAGTTCCTGGACTAGTCTTACGAAAAATTTCACTCTGGCTCCAGCACGAGAATTTCCTAACTTTGTGTTCGGATACGCCATACGTATGCCGCTAGGGTGGAGAAACTGACCTAGAACTACGAGTGGGCTCCCTGAACGGGCTAACACCTCCCCCCTATTGGTCCATTAAGACAGATAAGAGGAGGCTAATATAGTACAGGTCGAGCTTTAGGATAGCGAGCTCCTAAACTTACACGTCAAAGTTTAAGTCAAGAATCTTTTGTGCGACGTCTAGATGATTATTAGTTTGTTTACGAGGTATTACGGACAAATTTGCTGCCCTTTCGTCCTACAGAGGTCAGACATTACTGTCCCCGGACCAACAGTTGGAAGGAGGGGCTTAGAAGCTGGGACAATGTGAGTTCCGAAAGGATCCTAGTTAGAGAGCTCTCTGATTCTAATGGTGCAACATCCTATCAGAGGCTATGAGAAAACCCTAGCTGTTATCTTGGTCGTATACTCGTATCATGTCTCCATTTAAGGTCTGTTCGTATGAATAGTATGACTAAACCGAATGGGTGTGTTGGTCCGCTTGAAAGCGAAGGCAGAATCCGACACCCACTACACTTAGTAGGTAAGCCATCGCTTTGACACACTTGCCAATCACAGATATATTGGCCCTCTACCCATGAATAGTACATCATGCGATGTTAATGTTGGGTTTACTTCTGTTAGCCTTAATCATAACATAGCTCGAATGACAACTTCTACCCCGAGGACGGTATTGCAAGCAAACCGTCTTCATTTCAAGTCTATAGCGACACCTTCCCCAAAGAGCTATTGCGTATATATACGAGGTACACACACTTAAACTTACACTGGTATGACCAGAATTAGCTTTCCGGGGAGGAGGAAGAATACTGATAAGTAAGATTAAAAATATAGCATGCCCCGGATACCAGTCACCGTCACTTAGCAAAGGTGTGCACGTCACTGGAACAAGGTCGGACGAGGGACCGAACCCATAAAGCAGGTTCGCCTACTACGCCTATCGGCAACAACAATCTGCTTAGCTACGCTAGACATCCTTTACTTGGGAATGTGGAATTATCCTCAGCCCGGTGGATAAATGAATGCCCGTCGCTTTCTTTCTTTTTGATTCCCCAGCAAACTCAGACAGTGCAAAGATTCTCCCAATCAAATGAAATTTCAGATAGATTACACCCTACATCAAGGGGAGAACCTCCTGAAAAGACTAGTATACATGTAGCGCTGTACTCATTCGAGTGAGAGAATGTAATCAGAACTGGGTTAGGACATTCTCCAACGTCGAACGTCCCTTGTGATGGCTTCCACATTCATAACAAAGTGCCCGGGCAGACAGTCATCTAGTGTCAAGAAACTGTTCTTTGCCCCATCCAACCTCCTCCCACTTAAACTTTGCTTTTTCCGTTGATACCTGCAAAAACCTTGACCGTCACATTCCTCTCATCTGGTATGGGTCCAAACCTTGAAGTGCGCAGGGTCTATGAAGTCAGCTCAGGCAGTAACCAAGGGAACCCTAATGCAGGCTGCATGCCCCGTTTCCCCGAGCGCCATAAATCATTTTTGATATGGCTTACCTAAAACTAGTTATTGCTTGTCTCTCAAGCTTGGAAGCAGAGCTTTCCACACACTTTCACAACGAGAGATGATAAGTCGAAGAGTTGCACCATAAAACCATAAAGCTACTCTCAAACTGTCTTCAAACCGCAAGTATGGGAGATATTCCAAAACCTTCAGGTCCTGATGTGAGCAACGGTGCGTCAATCATCCAATTCTATTTGCAGCCGAAACATGGATACTGACTCTGCTCGACAGCAACACTGACTATCAGCGCAAGTTGGACTCTGACAGGCGTCGTGTTGCTGACGTTGTGCTTCCGTTACGCTGTTAAGTCATGTGTCTCGTTAACACCTATGCGAGTCCCCAAGCCTCCACGTCTCTGGGGGTGGGAGGATCTACTATTCGGGCTCGGATTTCTGTTCGACCTCACCGAGATGGCTCTAATTCAGATTGCGTGAGGGATACCCATTCCATAAGATCCCTTGCTCTGCTGCTGACCTGCCTGTTACTTTATGAGTAGCAAGAAATGGGGGTTTGGAAGACACTTCTACTACTTGACATCAGCTGAAAAAGTCCAAGCAATGAAGTTTGTCTTTATTTCTGAGCCGTTCGGGATTATAGCGGTCACGCTGTCTCGTACTGGTGTGATCGTATTCCTTTACGCCTGCTTCGCGCAGAACAAACGTGTCATTCGGTGGATTATCTGGGCCTGTGGCATCCTACAGGTCGCGATAAACCTAGTGGTAGTGTTACAAATTGTTTTACAGTGTGGACCGAATCCATATCGGATTGCTGAGCGGCTATCCTATTTTCATTATTTGTGGGAGCCTCATCCGGCTAATGGGTCAGTAAAATGTCAGAGGCCGGATGTCCAAGTTTTTATTGGTTTCGTCCAGGGAGGTGAGCTTCCCCAAGTCTTATCACCGAGCAATACTTTCTTACCAGCGCGATGTTGCAGGCATCAACACCTCTGTAGACCTTGTGCTAGTCTACTTAGCAGCTTACGAGCTGTGGCACATTATATCGCTCTCGTCTAGTCAACAATCGATCACATCTTGGTTGCAAGGATTTCAAAACCTGGATCCTGCCATGCGGAGCCGACGCATTTGGCAGACAATGTTGATCTGTGGTCCATTGCTCCTATCCGCCGTGGCCTGTGTTGTCAAAACCCGTCTTCTCCCAGCTCTAGGGGACAGAGGAGACTACACATGGAATATGGTCCCCGTGATACTGTGGGTTAAGTGAGATGAGTGAAAGCCGATTGATCTTTACTTGAGCTAATGTTGATCAGAATCGAGAACTACTGCATTCCCATTGCAGCTACAGCACCAATTATTCGACTTCTTCTAATATTTTGCCGCCAAGGAAACAAACCCAGTGGCCTCAATAACGACAGCGGGGCAGGTGGACTCGTGCGAACTAGCCGTCTGCCAGACAACCTCGAACTCATGAGTCGCTCACGTGTGATATCAGGGGTGTATGACAAGAATACATCATTCGTAGGACCCGTGTACACCAGTGGTGATAATGGACAAGGTCGAGCGCACAGCCGGCATGGCTCGTCGAACAGCCTGGTCAATAGTCGGGACATTGTGGTGACGCAGGAGTTCGAAGTCTGGATAGATGACAGCAGCAGAGTTCCCGCGGAATACTTCAATCATAGAACCTCAGGAGTAACTGGAGTTTTACACTCCTGAAACATTCAATCTCCTACCAGGAGCACATATTTGGCCCTTCGACAGAGTGCCAAATCATCACCAGTAAGTGTCTAAGTTGATTACAAAATTTCAACCTAAAAGCAGACTTCAAGACTATGGAGCATAGTGCAGAGAACCATACCTATCAGATAGCTAAGATAATTTTGCTTGTATTTCGACTACGATTGAGTTAAAATAGATGTACATCAGGACGAATTTCAGAAGGGCTTCAGATTCCGCTGTGACAGTGTTTCCCGAAGTACATGCAATTGCTTGAGTATACGCTATGCGGCCTACGGCGACCCTAGGATTTACATCATCACTGACAAAAGTGCAAGCCGTTTCTGACGAGCCTATGAGCTCGACTTTCTCACCCGGAAATCAGTGGCTAGGATTACTATAGGAGAAACCTAAGTCCGGCAAAACCAATAGTCCTCAAAGCCTTCTAAATTAAGCCTTGTTCTCAACCCTAAAAGGCAACAAAAGCAAGTTCTAGAGATGTAGCGTAGAAAGGAGGCTTATGCGTCTTCCTTTTGACTCGAAGCTAAAGAGCATGCGAACATGGCGGGCACCAGTTAGGCCTCCTGCGCGATATAGGATGACAGAAGACTACTAACTCGACTCAAAAACATTTGGATCTGGAACGTCCCCATATTGCCTCAACATTAAATTTGCGTAGTGTAGCTATTGCCCATTTTGCCGATCTCGTAGAGATCCAGCGTACCATCGGTTTATAGGGGTATTAACGTGAACCGCCCCGCACGTGGTGTCGTGTCGCCCTTTCTTATGGTACGCGGCATTCGCTTAGCGAATTGACTTTTCGTGTCGCTGCTTCCTAAGCTGCCACACGTGCGGCCTTCACAACATCCCGATTCCATTGTCGCAAAGCTAGATAGAGGTGCAAGATATATTTAGTCCCTCTTAGTTTGGACCTCGCCTTAGCAGCATGGGTAATCTAGTCAGACCACAAGTCGAAGCATGCAGCAATACTGACGAGGGGTCATACAAGTATCAACAACAACCACAAGATCCTGCTAAGACCGGCCTGATATCGAAGTACAGGTTTTGCGAACGAGATTTGACGACAAGCAGGGGTTGAAGGCATGATGCAGCCAATTGGAAGGGTAGGTGCCGTAATTAGACTAATAAACACAGGGATCGAGGGGCTGGGTCTAACTCTGGTACATATGTGATGGTAGTATTCCGTACGGTATTAGGGTCTCTAAAGATAGCAAGAACCACACCCCTTACAACAGGAATGTTTGGTAGCTGGCCACTCGGAGACGCGCGTCAGAGGTGGCTATGCTACATAGAATCTTATTGATAGGGATACGAGCTGATGAATAAGGTGACAGATTGTAGTTCTCCACCAGCACAAGTCCAGAACTGGCCAGTGGCCCAAACATAAGCGCATTCAACTCCGGGCCCAGCGTTTCTCAAATTTGTTAGTCTTGGCATCAATGTCTATATTCACGCCTGTGGCGTTTGGAGGATGTGTTCATACATGATGAGGCGAGACACTAATAGCGGTCTCCCAAGAAGCTGGACTGGAGTCACTGAGAAAGGCTGCATTTGCACGTCGATGTCCCAAATATGACGCTCGTATTCTTATCTGTTTCGCCAAGAGAATACTTGACTGCGATTTCAGCAGCCATACTGCTTTTCCTTGTGCCACTTGTTGGTCATAAAGCTTAGACCCCATATTTCGACAGCTGAATCTCATATCTTGGCACGAGCACAAATTCAGAAACTTTGAGGGACAAAAGCGAAACTCCTCCGTGACTTCTAAACTACCGGCGGTAAATTAATCTTAATTACACGGGGCGAACTTTATCCAGGGATTATCTACACCACCAACGTGACAGATCGCGGAAGAAGCTACCGGTTTCTGGCTCGCCTCGTATGTGCGTAGTCCTCTTGTTGGCCGTGGGGCTGTCATCTGGCTAAGAACGCTGCCTCAGCCTTGAGGGGCCCAGGGAATCACTCTTCTAGCCCACGGTTACTTATTATTTCTTCCATTGATGTCTTTAGATGCGATACCTTTAAGCAGTGACATTCAACGGAACAGCACATGATGACCAATTCCGCCGACACTCAGCGGGCGAACAACTTTATTTTGATCCATCACGGAGAAATACGGGAAAATGAGCTCAAAGACGGTCCAGTTATCTACAACATCTCCTCGTTGGCAGAAAACTATCAAAGTGTCTGTCCCTTTCCTCATCGCCCGGTCCTCACTCGTAGCCAATGTCATGCGATAATCCCCAACCCCTGCTTGACCACCTCCCACGAGTCAAATGCACGGACTGTTCGCATCGCACCCTCAAGCAGCCAGTAAGTTGCGATTAATGCACTGGCTCAGCACAGGCTAACAAAAAGCACAGTCCACGAGACATATGTACTACTTCTGCTGCCTCAGCTAACCTACCGAGCTGCTTTGGGCATCCAGGCGTGCAGCAGCACAGAAGCACTCCGCCACTGGTGCATGGAAGCGTCCAACCTGTTCGACTGGACAATGAAGCACTGTACTCTTGTAATTGGGATGCGGAAACATGTTACAGCAGTACCGTCGCCTTCATGAATGAACCGGAGCTCAGAAGCGAGAGGCCACTCAATGCTATCATTGGAGCCCCCTTGGGTTGGTCACAGCACACTATGTCGGAATACTACGCCTACTACAAGGCAAGAACAGAAGGCTGTTCGCTCACTAAGTTTGACGATAGAGAAGGGAATCTACATCAGATGGGTCAAGGTGAAGAAACCGCTGTACGAGGAGTACAGCAGGCATGACTGAGCGGAAGGAGTGGATTACTCATTGAGCGACGGCAGCCTGAACGAATCGTCCTTTCATTCCTCCCACCAAGTAGTCTTGCACATCGAGGCATAGGTGGGAGTGATGACGGAAAATGCTACAACCTCTTATGGCGTGTCTGTTATCACCTAATTTTCGTAAGGATATTGCTGAGACAGTGAGCCCCGATGGTGATCACGTGTAGGGTCCTTCAACTGCTGAACGTAAGATCATCGATATTTGCACTCCGTTATGACGTGTTACCACGAGGACTTAGATGTACAGTGCTGCTGTGCTCTGGGTGGAGTAGCCATGGAGATGGCCAAGCATCTTAGGGTGTGTGTGGACACCTGAGACAGTGGTCCTCAGGAGTCCGTCGAACTTTTGAGCACGCGACGGGGGAGCAGACTACCTCTTGTCCATCACACAACAAGGAGACTATCAAATAGTCGAAGATTGTAGCAGTGTCTCGTTTTATCGTCCCTGAGCAGTCTGGCCAATCGTGAAACCGTTTATGAAGGCGGAACCGCACGCTTTAAACATCTTCCTCTATTTCCCGGGCCTACCAGCCCACAGTCAAGGCGTGAATAATAGTTCAACGGCAAATAACCCACTCTGAACTCAAATACGCCCTGAATGTCGATCAGGTCATTACCGCAAATTAAAAGTCTCGTGGTACACAGTATGTCCCGCTCGCCAGGAAAGGGACCTTTTGGGAGAAAGTGCGGTTGCCCTTGGAAGCATTGATTGGCGTCTTATCAGCTCTTGCACCTGGGTATGCAGCCATCGCTACAGCCGTGCGGCCGATCATGCTTGAATCGAGCCCGGGAGTATCGATCGAGCACAGGGAAACTCACCAGGAATCTCTCAAGGTGAGGAAATACAGCTGGAACGTGGACCTCTGAATGACTTCGCCAAACCCCACCGTGTTCATGACAAGCTGGCCGGCTGGTAACTTGCTCCAAGCCACACTGCACAACTCTAGTGCTACGCAAAGGTTGCAGTAAACCGTTGAGAGCTCAGCGAAGTAGACTTTCTCCGACCCATGTCGCCATGACGGACTAAGGCAACGGAATAAAGCCCCGGTCAGTTAGTGGCTCACTCAGGCACAGTCCACCCTATGCCCGCGAGTTGACTCTAGCCTATCATTATTGTGCTAGCCAAAAGCATTGGGAGATTAGCACAGCAGAATGGCTGCGGTCTCCTAGGGGTGAGACAATGAGGAACTCATCAGCCTTGATCCATTGTCAACACCGGTCTTGAGTCTTACTATGCACTGTCGGAAGCGCTTGAAAGATCCCGTCAGTGATCACACGACTCCACCGGCACGTGCATGACAGGTAGCACATTGAGCACCTGATGGCACGACAGTGAGCACAGATATATTAATTTACCATCTAGATTGCTTTTTGAGTATAAGAAACACCATTACGCGCCAGGTACTTGATGAAAATGTTCACTAATGCTCGTGAATCACCAGAAATAGTTGAAGATAGTCGGTCAATAGATTCAGCGATCAACTTGAGTGACTGTTCCGCAAGGTCGCTGAGCCTGGATTCGGACATCCTGGGGCATTCTTTCGAGTCTCGGCGAAGGTTAGTACTCCTACAAACGGAGGTCCAGAATATGCTTATATCATGTAATAGGTATCATTCATACCACAATGGAGCGTACTTATTCCCGAACGATGAAGAGGAACAATATCGTCTCGGTGTTTTGCACGAGATAGTGTACATCCTGCAGGATCATAATCTGCGCTGTCGACCATTTTCAGCGGGACATGTCCCACTTCGTGTTCTTGATGTTGGGTGCGGCACTGGTGACTGGGCAGTGGCCTTCGCGGACGAGCACCCATACTCAGAAGTCACCGGGATAGATCTATCTCCTATTCAGGTATGTTGCCCGTTATACAAGGTTACACTATTAACAAGAGGTAGAGTACATGGGTTCCACCCAATTGTAGGTTCTACATCGATGATATGTCGTGTATACCGTGGGAGTTCCCACAGCCCTTCGATTATATCCATGTGAGATCAATTACTGGAGGTATCGGGGACTGGGCCGCTCTCCACCAGCAAGCTTTCCTCTCGCTCAACCCTAGAGGACTTTACGAAATTGAAGGCCATGATTTCATGTTGAGATGTGATGATAAGTCACTAGATAAGGTCTCGTCAATCAAGCAATGGTTGAGTTTACTACATCAAGCCGCCGGTCTAGCAGGACGACCTTTGAATGTAGCGTCAAAGCATAAGGAGTGGATGAAGCACTGCGGTTTTGCTTGCATTGAAGAAGAGAAATTCAGACTTCCGATCGGGACTTGGATGGACGACCCAAAGATGAAGGCAATTGGACAACTGATGCGGGTTCAGATGGCACTCGCGGTCCCATCTTGGACAATGGCGCTTTTCACGCGTCATCTGGGCTGGTCGGCAGTTTCGGTAGAGTCATTCATTGAGAATGTGTTGAAAGAAATCCTCAGTGTTGAAAGGGGCTTGTATATCAGCTGGTACCGTACTTCAGGACGCAGGGAGTGAAATGGGAATACATAATTGGCCGGTCTTGCGTTCCTCACACTCGTCGGATGTCTCGGAGACATCGGCAGAGCCGGTTTCTGAAAACTTCAGCAACCGATCTCACAGATCCGCGCGCTTTGTAACTCGACTACTAACTACTGATTGTCGCGATCATTCGACGCCATCATCCACTCCCTGAATTGATAGTCGCTTCGTTTCTACCACTCCGTCATGGTAACTAGGGTCGCTGTGCATTTCGAACTGTGGCAGGACTGGCGAGCTACCTAGGCATGCATGGGCGGGATTTCAGACGTAGGTGTCATTGGGCAGAGTTGAGCCAACGGGAAGTGGGGTTGCGAGATTAGGCGTGCGCGAGGGAGTCGTAGGCATGTTCAGGGTTGCAAGACTGTCCAGCGATAGCTGTGCTGAGCAATAGGAGAGAGAGATGGTAACTTTATTGGCCATGTTTAGAGAGCAAAAGTAAGTTGGCCTACTCTCTTCATCATAGACGGCTCTTGTGTGTACACTTAACCGAGTCTTCAAATCTCAACGGACAATGATCTTTCTTGGATGCGACGGGAATACCACAACTAGGGGAAACTGTGTCGAGCACTTAGGGATCTTTAGTGTGGACTTATCATGTAGCTAGATTCTACGAGCGCGACTTTCATCCCGTCTGGATGGTCTCACGCGGTGTTCACGACGACAGGTGGGTTTCCCGTGCCTACTGACTGCGTTACGAAACAAACAATGTAAACATTCTACTAGTACCTACGCTTTCAACTATATCTTGAGATAGAGACGAAGCAGCAGGCTGATTGCTTTTTCTTTTCTTAGGTTGTCTGTAGGTTACAATTAAACATGGAGAGCTTTTAACAGCATCACAGTTGTAGATGAATATTGAGAACCTTCTACGGAAGCATTCGGTCAATAAGTGGAAATGTTCTACACTGATATTATAGAGGGGGTAACGAGAGAAATATGCAGATATCTTTGTGAGCGAAGGGCATGGCGGTATCGAGGAGGTGCGGTTGGAGACGTTCTACGAGAAGCACCTAGCCGAAAGCGAAAGAGGGAATAATGCTAGAGATAGGTCATCTCTCTTCGTATTCAGTCTAGGAGTTATTAGCTTATAGACGCTACGAAGTAGACTATAAAGTCTAACTTCTCCGTAGTACCGTGGCAAAACGTTGCTCGAACTACCTCTGGAGGAGATAAGTGACCGTGCCGTAGTCTTTACTGACTTTCGAGCTCATTATTCACCTTTCAAGAGGCTGTATTGGGGGAAGTAAGGGGCGAGAGACGATGTCGCTAAACTTTCACAATCATTGTCCGTTTGAGAGATTATCGGTCGCCTGAATACTTCTTTTCTCTTGCCTTTTAGAGCCCCGAAAGAGTGTTCGATATATTATGATTTGATCCTAGGAAAGACTTTAGGTTATATGCCGACTAATACACTGTTTGCGTAGAATATTCAACTTCTTCTATATTCCTTACTTATCAATCTTAATTATATTCGGTAAACAAGCGTCTGATCGATATAGCTGATACCTACGCTTAGCGGCTCTAACGATGGGTCGATAAAGCTAGACGGTGTGAAACTTCTAAATCTCGGTCTGTTCCTAGGCTCCAGCGCAACTCACTGGTGACATACGTAAACGTGACCAACTCCCCATCCCGAGGCTGCCTAGGGCGTGTTGTAATAGTATCTAAAGCGACATTACACCTCCACGAGAGATTCACTAGTCTGTCACAAAGGCGGCAGCAAACAAGGTTCCACGTGAATGTGGCAAGTCGGCCTCCGTGGCTGGCAGTGGTGATTGTGGCGATCCAATGCACTCTTGAGCATCGTGACCACAAGATTGAATCAACCATTCTTGTGGATCTCAGCAGATCTGGTAAACGGCCATTTAATCGACTGTGCAGTGCCAGAAAAGAAAAGTGTGTTGCTGCTTCCAGCACTCAGCCCAGTAGCTGATAAACAGCCGGCGAAATGCTAACGATGACCCCATCCAGGTTTACTTTCATAGTTCTCAGATTCGGCTTCTTGGATTGATTGCCGCCATAATTCTCTTCCCTGTCGAAGATTTCCTCCAAGTCATCGATCCTAGTGTTAACACAAGCCACATCTACCAGATACAGAAAGAGAGAGACTTTTTTGTCACCACCCACTGCCTATTTTGTTGGGCCGAGTGGTAACCGATTTAAGTCGAGAAACTGCGCGCGTGTGGCCAGCCGCGGCTTGCTCACAGTAGTTGAGCTACTTGTACGTGTTTCGTGTGAATGCTGTTCCCTACTGGAGTATCAACCTCTGCTTCGGCTATCCTTTGGCTTTCGGGTTTACAGCCGATGATATGTGCAGGGCTCCAGGTATTCACTAGCGAAAGCGTAATTGTGTTATCTACTAAGAACCTCGGTTGTCATCACACCAAGTCAACAGATTTTATTTCATCCTCTTGATATTTTCACATCGCCCAGATCTATACAAACTTCTGATGAACCTAGCCCAACTCAAGCACCCAAGCGGCCTCCACCTTCCTCACCTCCTCGATCATCCTCTCAAGTCTGTCCCTGAAACCTTGGTTTAGAGATTGCCACCTCCATTCCTCAAATTGAGGACACCCTTCAGCATCCATTCCCCAGTCATTGCTGTACCACCGCGGTTGGGTATTCATCACTTCGTTGTGCCACTGTTCTCCATCCTCGCTCGTAAGCCATGACTTCGAATTCGGGCTGTCAGTTGGTAATGATGTCTCACAGAAGGTCTTCAGAGCTTCATCGTTTCGAGAACCAACATACCAATGTGTCCAATTCGCAAGTCCCAAGCCCCGATCACGCTTGTCTAGCCATAGGCCACCATTAGCCCACAGAGGCTCACTACCATCTGGGTGTGGGTGGACCATATGTGTTGTACAGCGTCGATTTGGGGTAATTGGCTTTGGCGAGTCGTGGAACTCTCGATTGTGGCTACTGCGCGGGAAGTTTAGCTCATTGGTGGAATGCGGAGCTTCAACCCGTGAGGTCGTCTGATTCTTGTCGTATGAAGACGAGGTGTCTGTCGCCAGAAGTTTTATAGACTTCGCTTCTTTCTCATCGGAAAGCACTTCTGCTGCTATTGTAGGACTGGCCTGGGAGACTGGCTTCGAGGCTCCCTCTAGCACTTGTGCTGCCGGTCCCCTAGCAAGATTGTTCTCAACTGGAGCGACCAGCGGAAAGCCCTTGTCAATTAAGGGCTCTTGTGCTAATCTGGCTGATGACCATGGCTCAAAAGCATATGGAACACCCGTCAGTTCAGCAGCCAGCCAGTAGGTATCTTTATCGCCAAATAATCTCTGATAGGTCACAGTTTCTCGAACATGCTTTGTATTCATCCAACATGCAAACACCATGGCCATATAAGTGTCAGGCTTTGATTTGTCCACCGCGACTAGGGCTGCATCGGCTTCTTCATCAATATGATGTCTGAAGAAAAGAGAATTGTTTGCGAGGTGAGCTGAAGGCAGGCGGCCTGCTAGTTTCAATTGAGCACCGACCCATTCCTGACGTACTGGCGTATTGCCGTTCTCCACGGTACGATCGTGAAAAAATAACAGACCTGTCTCTTTCAAGCTCTGGTACATGCTAAAAATATCATCAGGATTAGCGAAGAAGACTGCATCTGAGTCGAGTAGGATGGTCCGAGGGTAACGCGAGGCAAGAATAGCAAAAGGTTTGGATGAATATCCTTTGAGTTGTATGAGAGTGTTATCGAAGACTTGTGTGAGGTCGATGAAGTTGACATTCGTCCCGAGCCTTGATAAGAAGGCTCGTATGGACGGGCTCATGTCACCATCCCCAACGTATGCGATATCAATCGGCAGCTTGCACTTGTGCACATTCCTGAGGGTTGTGATCAGATGAGCAGTTTCTCTGGCATTACCATCACCTGCAGGGATCACAATGCCCACTTTGTGTCGCAACATTTTGAGGTAGGTAGACGGATCTTTCATAACCTTGAATGGCCATCGCATCCAAGGAAAGTATCGCAAAGTGGAATCATTCCACCAAGGGAAATGCTCTGTGATAAGTCGATTAAGTTCAGAGGAATCGATTGCACTGTTCGTATAATTCTGAGCCAAATCAGCGAGTGCTGCGACTTTATGACCAATGAGGCCAAAATCCTCGATCGCGCCTGGGTTGTGACTCGATAGGGCAAGCCGTGTTGAATCATGGGCTTCTGTGATCAATGCTGGCATCTTCTTGTTCTCGTGGACTCGAAAAGCAACATAGAGCCATTGTAGAAAGAAAGCCGCGAGCAAGAACCGAACGAGTCTTCTGCGTAGCAGGGCTTGGAGAGAAAAAAAATCCATGCCTTGTTCATCACCACGCTCGTCAAGCTGTTTCCATTAAGCCGCATGATGTACTGTTTGGAGGCTGTAGCGCCCCTTTTATCACGGAGGACTGTGCACATTCCATAGCGAACGACTGACACGCGGACAAATGTGTATTGAAGGGGAATGTCTCAGAGGAGCGAATGTTTGGGTTGAACGAAAAGCCGAAAGAATGACAAGATGCCGCCAAGCCAGGGGTATTTTGCTGCATTATTCCATCCCTTGGAGTTCGACGTCGACCAACCCAAGCTCTCTCGACTTTTCAGCGTTTTGCAAAACCGCCCCGACATTCCACAGCATGACAGGTTCGCGACCTACGAATCTCAAAGAGAGAAGCTTTGCGCATCAGGACTTTGTCGAGCGCAGCGTCTGTGCCCAACTCACCAGTGTGGTCAGCAATCCACTGCATGAGATAGATAACATGAATGACACGCAGATCTTGGCCCTGAGGACATGGTAGACGTCGTGAATAAAAGCCAAAGAGGTCCCAAGTCTCCTGATCGCGAAAATTTGGCCCCAAATGTATTTATCCTGCAGATGTTTGGCAGTGTACCTAATTGTATGCCAAGCATTCACATGTAATAACGCGGTGCTTGGCTGTAAAATCCTTGTGCTCCTACCTTGACGATACATCAGGCTCCAAGCACACGAGTATAGGCCAAGTAAAACCAAACAATATCTCCTTCAAATCCGCTGTCGACAGTTGAAAGAACAATGCACAATCAATTGATGCTCCTTCTCCAGAACAACCCTTGCGCAAAATAAGAGAAAGGCTCAACGGAATTTCAAGAGGGGAACTTTGAGATATCATTGCATTGTACCATTCGAGAGCGGAATGAGCACGATCGCAGCCAGGTCAGGGCTATCGAGTTGTCGATGTACTGGGTGTTGGGTCGGACGACAGCAACATGGTTGAGGGTACCTTGCTAGTTGATGAGTGAGACGCTTCGCCCGAAAATAGGCCGAAATGAATCATTGGAATGTAGTGGTTACTAAGTAAACCGTTCGGCACAAGCTGATGGCGAGCGAGGGTCGGTTGAATATGGAATCGACGTTCGTGTCAATGTGGACACATGAACCCATGACAAAAAATTCAATATGGTTATCTCCACTTACCTTGAGATGAAATGACGAGACCATAGATAGCAAAAGGATTGGGTAGGGCAAATTCAGGAGGACCTCGTGGTTTGGGATAATTGGCCAGAAAACGGAGTTTGGGTATGGACATGATACCGCGTCATTCAGCCTTGAGCGAGAGTTTCAATTCTCATGGAAGCCTTGGCACACTGGACAATCGTGGAGCTGGGTGCTGCCGCAATTTCAGCTCTGATTCTATACAAGGGGTGTAAAGCCACCAGGATGGACTCTTCTTCAGTGTGGCCGAGAAAGGGGAAGGGGCCATCCAACAGGCAACCTGAGAGACCCTTGAGCCCCAGACCTGATGCCTCGCCTCTTCAGATACTTGAAGAACAGAAGGTGTAGCGCATCAAGAAGCGCATGCTTGCATGCTGGGATAACGGTGTTGATTCGAGCATAAGGAGGATGGAGACTGCCACTCGGCTGGGAAGGGAGGATTTCGTGTCATGGTTTCTGGGGTGGATTCGGTACCGTTTGATAGTGTGCAAGCAAGATCATTAGCGATCCTGAAAGGACTGCGTGGGCTCGAAGCGATGAAGATGAATGGTAGCTGCTGCTCGAGGTAGAGTTGACTTGAGGGCTTGGAGCAGAAGAATGAGAGACATCCCAGTTGATGAGAGCCCAATATCGTGGCTACCTTCTCTGACCCCTTGCATCCAAGATGACGTCACGCGTTCAAAGAGTTATTGCTATCACGTGCCTGGAAACCATGAGCGTCCATAATTTTCTGACACTTGCAAATATCTAGCCTGCCTGATTATCTCTTCTATGTAGTGCTCCGTAGTAGATTGATTGATTGAAATGCATATCAAATCAAACTCAGTGAGTGTCTCCAGTCAAATTCAAAAAGAGGGCATGATAGTGGAATCAAAGCCACAGGTTCCATGAAGTCGAGTATCTATTTCTGGCACCATTAGCAGAGACGAATTGTGGAGAATAGATATTTCTACGCATGGAGTATCTCAAGTCTCGCCGATGTGAAGAAATTATCCAAGCCTCCAAATTCACCTAACTAGGCGTTCCGAGGATGGCGAAACGCTGTACGCGAAACACTCCGCTGAGCCTCAAATGTTTGTGACGACTGCTCGTACTCGTAGGGGTGGATGGAGAGTGTATGGCCACATCGGGTGTTCCTGACGTCACCTCCCCGCTTAGCTGCGGAATGGCTAACGAAATAGGCTACCACAAATGAAGTCCGCAATACGAGGATAGAACCAAGTACGAATACGAGGAAAATTACTTCAAGACCGAGTTCCAGAGCTTGTCTGTTCGTTCCAACTTCCACATCAATTCTCAGCTTGCCATATCCCTTTCCTCGGGACTCTCAGCCACGATTACGTCGGATATCACTTCATGGTCTCATTATGACACGAGAATTGTCTGCATCGCGCTCAAGAGAAATTCGCAAAGCGCGCAAATCGCACACTAAATCTCGCCGTGGCTGTGGGCCTTGTAAGCGTCGTCGTGTAAAGGTACTGCACCCATCGCATCATTGTATTACCCACCAAATATACTGCCCTCCATCAAGTCGATGGCCATAGCCAATCGCGATGTTTTTGAACATACGTCTCTAGCTCGTCTTTTGACCTCCTCAAGGACTTAGGTCTCCGAAGGGTCGCGAGCTCAATCTCATCCTATGTCAAGCTAACTTCTATGCTCTAGTGCGATGAACGAGGTCCACCGTGCGTGGCCTGCACTATCCGGAACCTTGAATGTGATTTCACTCCCCAGCCTCCACATGCAAGCCCTGCAGAGTCAGGGATTGGATCTGGAAGTGTTGGTGTTTCCAGCATGTCTCAAGGTAGCCCGGCATTCCCCGCACTGCCATCTTGGACGGAAGACTCTCGGCTCCTGGATCTCGAACTCATGCATCAATATACAGCATCTACCTTCAAGAGTATATCTGTTCCTACAGTCAATGGGGACGTATGGCAAGTCTTTGTACCGAGGCAAGCATTGAAGTATGAATTTTTAATGCATGCCATACTTGGGCTTGCAGCATTACAAGTCTCGGTAGAAGACGCCGACCAGCGAGAAAAGTATAAATGTGCATATTTGAACCATCAGAGCCAAGGATTCGCAGCTTTTAGTGAGGCTTTAAGTAAGCTAGACGAGAACAATTGCCACTCTCTGTTTGCGTTTGCTGTTATAGCAATGATATTCGCACTGGCCTCTCCACAACATATCACAACATCCACATCCTTGGACAATGACAACACTGCAGACTGTCAACGCGTCTTTATTCTCTGTGATTTTTTGCAAGGCATCACGACCGTCGCTGTGGCGGGATGGCAATGGATCAAAGATGGCCCTTTTGGGGTTTTCCTTGACCTTGATAACAACATCACGCTTCATAGTCTTGACGCCGAGGACGAAGACATGCTTAAGCGCCTTCACAAGTTCAACGATACTCTGCTGGCAGTGGTTGACCCATTAGCTCATATGACAATTACCTCCTCAATCCATTTACTTGAGAAATGTATCCGTGGAGGTGAAATGATGGCATTGGCGTGGGTTGCAATGTGTGGAAAGCACTTCATGACTCTCCTCGGTCAACATCAACGTCTTGCTCAGCTTGTGTTCATGCACTGGACCATTCTGCTCAATCGATTGGATAGACTTTGGTGGGTCAAGGGGGCTGCAGAATTGTGGTTTAATGAAATCTCATCTGAGCTTGTGGTCTTAGGGCCAGAATGGTTGGAGGTGGTGGAAGACATCAGATCAAAACACCGACTTCAACGGAAACCTTGAGCGGACGGAGGATTTTTCATTCTTCCATTGCCATCATTCGTTAGGTGTCTACTCCGAATCTTGCAAGATTCGTGTATCGTATCCACAGGTTCCATGTTGTGGTCCTGGATCTCAATTCAGCAGGTTGTACCATTCTCTTTCATTCCCAAGTATTTGAACATGAAATACCGGAGTTGAGTCATTCCTGGCTGGCTTGGGCCCGCTCTAGTATCTGTGTTATTCAGGCTGATGTAGAAAATTTGGACGACGACGAGAGGACAAGTTGTCTACGAGAGTGTAAGACTTCTCTACAGATTGAAGCGAATTGTCGAAGCTTCGGTTTCACATTCCACAACAAAATGTGACTTTCTGAGGCGAATCCAATTGATAGCGTGAGATTAATGATCTGCACTCCTTCCATCTGTAGACTTTTGAAAGGAGTCTAGAAACTGCTCTGAACGAAGCCAGCGGCAGAGGGTGGGGCACCCGATACAACCATCTAGGTACCTGGGCAATTTCCATGTCTTCTATCCGCGTGTTTTCTCCACCTTTTACGCGTATTCCTTTGGTGCTGAAAACCTTGCAATTGCGGACTTCAAAGGCCACACACAAGCCTTGTAAAGATAGCGAAGGTGCCAGATTAAGTTCGAGCTGGAAATTGTTTCGTACACGAGGCCTACTGCTCAGGCGCCAGCTTAATCTCTCAACAAGTAACTTTGGAAGTTCAACAAATTGACACTCGGCAACATCTGAACGCTATGAAGCATTTGTGCGACAGGCTACAAGAGAAAGTGAACAATCACATTCCTTAAATATTTGTTCACCACGATATCTGTTTTCATATGATTCTACAATCCTTTTAACTTCTTACAGCAGCAAACTACGCTTGTCATTTCCGTCCCCTAATCAGTTCACGTTATATAATGGCCGAAAATGCAGCAGCTCAAGGTTCAGGGTCAGAGTACAATTTTAAACTCTACCGATATAGCCCCTCACTACCTGCAGCAGTTGTTAGCTTGGTCGTCTTCGGCATTCTGACCGGACTTCACTCATTAAGGCTGCTTCGAGCGAGAGCGTTTTACTTCCTATCCTTTACGATCGGTGGCCTGTGTGAGTTGCCCCTGATGAACTTCGTCAAAGGACTAGTACTGATACTTTGCAGTTCAAACGATTGGCTATGGAGGACGAATCTGGTCGCACTATGATGACCTTGCCATCGGTGGCTTTGTCATGCAGGCGATATTGATCCTTATTGCCCCTGCTCTCTATGCAGCGTCTATCTACATGATTCTGAGTCGGCTGGTTCGCACAGTTGGAGGTGAACACCTTTGTCTGGTACCTGTCAGATGGCTCACACGCGCTTTCGTGATTGGTGATATCATCTCTTTCAGTCTCCAAGCTGGTGGTGGTGGTATTCAATCGGGCGGTACTCTGCAACTTTACCAGACAGGCGAGAAAATCATTGTCGCAGGTTTAATTTGCCAAATTCTGGTTTTCGGCTTTTTCGTCACCACGTCAGCCTTGTTTCACCGCCGACTTATTCAAAGTCCAACAGCTAAGTCGAGGAGCAATAGCATACCTTGGCGGCGTCATCTCTATGTACTCTACATCACGAGTGGATTGATCCTTGTGCGGAGTGTATTTCGAGTGGTGGAATATCTTCAGGGAAATGATGGCTACCTGATTTCACATGAGATCTTCCTATACGTTTTTGACACAATGCTGATGGCTCTGGTTATGGTCATATTCTTGATGTACTACATTCAAGATCTTCTTGGCTCCTGCGGTACGAAACCCAGAGAGAGACTCGAGATGGCAAACTCGCAACATTACGAGATTGAGGGTGCACGGACGTGAATACCCTCTTGTATAGGTACACGCTAGAGTATTTGGCACTGTAGCCACTTGATCGAGGCTCTCGCGCACACTGCCACCTTTAGCATAGGCTCACATTAAGGTCCGGACCTTGAAGGTGTTCCAAGGCCTCAAAAGGTCTACCTACTCCAATATCATGTACAAACTTTCTAGAATATCTGGTTGAGCTCCTATGATGCCTCATGAAAACTTATCTTTGACCCCATTATACGTTATGCGAGATATTTACGCTCGTTTCTACCACGATCATTAGCTACGGTCTCATAATCTGAGTCTTATCTTGACTTTTGTCAACACTAACTTCGCCCCTGAAGCTCATTCAGTCTCTAATATTCGTAGTTGTGGCGTCCCTAACCACTGATATAGCCAGTCCCAATTTGGCCGTCCTAGACAGCCAGGCTCTCCTTTAAGGCCCAGCTACGGTGGTAGTTATCCATCAAGCGCGACTTTCTTACCCACCCCATCACCTGTAACCCAGATGCCACCGACTGGCAATCCTGGAGCTCCAGTCCCTGCTCGAGCGTCATTCAACTTTCCAGTTCTCAGGTCCTTCTTTCATATTGACCTTTCCCTTAACATTCCAGTCAACGTCTCGACGTTGGATGATACAAGTGGCCAAACTCCGATTGTTGGAGGTACGGACCCGAGAGCATCTTCCTCGGATGAGGAGGAGTCGAGCAAAACTGATATCCTTCCTTGATCTAGGCAATGTTACAGGCAAGCTTGGTGGCGAAGTCCTTCCAAGTGTATACTGGGAAAACGTCCCACCAGAGACTTAAGGTACAGTTAGTGTAAGATACCCCATCCGTTCATTTATCCAAGCGCTATCCAGTCATAGGAAATGTTTCAGAATTGATTGGCTTCTCCATAACAGTGCTACAATGCCAACTTCCGCATGCAAACTAACAATAATACCACTCTCCTGTTAAATTCCGCAGGCACTATTACCAATGCCAACGAGGCTCTTCACGCTTTTGACCGAGTTGCGTTCAACACTGCTGAGGAGGAGTATTTTGACCTGGACTAGCGGAGCTTCGTAATCCAGTTTGAAGCATATTTCAATACTGGGAGGGCCTGGGTGGATATTTTTTAACTGGAGAGTGGACGCCAACTCCAGCACCGGAGCGTCCGATCTAAGATACTAGGCTGCAAATCTCAAGATGGAGGAGTCTCAATTGGAAGAATAGGACATGACCGAGTGTTATGGTCGGAGACCATCTTTTACCTCCCTGGGCATTAAATATAAGAGTAATACTAATTTCATTGATACAGATCTTAGAACTGGAAAAATCCGGCGATAACAGGTTAATGGTTCAAGTCATCGAAGAGTTCCGGGAACTAAAGTTGAAGTGAGGGTTGGAATTGCTCCCATAAGTCGTGCCTTCTCGGCAGGTTCATCATCACCTCTATGGACGCTTTTTGAATCACTGAATAGCCACATCACCTTTGCGGTGTGGCGAAGATTTGCAGTATTTAACTTAATGACCACATTTCATTGACTCCTAAAGTCTTTCAAGCGAGTGGTGTATATAGATTTCCAAACTTCTTGTACCCCTCATCTTTCACAAATGTCTGCATCCAGGGTCCTTGGGTCTTTGAGTGAGCCAGCTCCCAGTAGAGATTTGCATGTGCCTCGCCGTCAATACGGTACTTTGGTGATCCATCCGCCTTTCTTTCATCCGCGTAGTAAAACCTTGACTTATCAACCAATTGTAGGCAGAATCCAAGATTGAGACTCACTTGTATCCACGATTTTTATATGCCTCCGATGACGCCCAAACCATATGAGCCGCACCCGACTTCCCAATGCCCGCAGAAACGAACCTCGGGAGGACAGCCACGTTTAATATATTACCAGTGTAAATAAATGTACGCGCTGCTGAGTCCGGGAGTTGTGAAAATCCTAGGACAGCTTGCTGTGCAGCAACAAAGGCGCTGTAAATATTGATGGTAGTGTCGGCTTTTAAACCTTCAAGAGAAAGAGCAAAGGGATCGTCTGCTGGAGTAAAATTTGCAGCACTGGCTAGTAAATGTCAGCAAACTCACAACAATTCTGCAGGAGGATTACCATTATAGACAACTACACTAGGTATCCCGAGTATATGTTTCACTTTCGCGAAGGTATTAACAACATCATCGGTCTTAGAGAAATCGCTCTGGATATTTAATTGATCTTCGGTGCTATCGATCTCCTTCAAGGATCGGGCGGCGAGAGCGACTTTATATCCCTGGGATGCAAAGGTGTGAGCAATAGCTTGCCCAATATTGGGGCCCGCACCGAGAATAAGGACCACAGGGTGGACGGCGGCCATAATGTGAATATTCAATGTGGTTCGTTATCTTGCCTTGCAATGTAGAGAATAAATTCGACGAGGCTCTAATAGTTGGAAAGTACTCTGGCCACTAGATATAATCGTCACTAATGCTGCGCACGCACTCTAATGATTAAGGAATGATACTCTATCAACACTTAACCCCATTGAAACACTTATAACTACGTCATAGTTTGTAAGTTGTGCTCGTTCGCTACTGGTAGGCGAGGTCCTTTGTCAGCAAAAGAAGACTTCCGTCGGAACAGCGAATGAATAATCAAGAGGCCGAAATCGCGAGACGGTAAAACCACGCTAAGTAAAGGACAGGAATCCACCAATCAAAGCACCGATTCTTGAAATACTATCTAGCTTCTCGGGCGATATACTTTGAACTTTACGAATTAACGTCGCTATCTCGAAAGTGGGAAAGGTCACAGAATTTCATAGAAAGAGAACCAGAGTCATGCTAGAATAACCAGACGTAAGCACTGATACTAATAAACGATATAAACGACTATAGTACACTCGAAGGAGCGGCACTTCAGAGTCCCTCATCCTCTTCCAAGAGATAAAAGAACCAAGTAAGACAAGACTTCACCACAGAACTGAAAATATTTGATCTAGACAAAAGCCAACTCAAAACCCCCAACTTCAACATGTCTCTAAAACCAATTACTCTTTGGGGTCATGATAGTGGGCCGAATGCATGGAAAGTCGCTATGATTTTAGAGGAACTCAATGTGCCATACGATTTCAAGATGATTTCGTTCCCAGATATGAAGAAGGAACAATACGAAAAAATCAATCCCAACGGTCGTGTTCCTGCAATTGAGGATCCAAATACTGATATAACGCTATGGGAATCGGGAGCCATCATTGAATACCTTGTCGAAACTTACGACAAAGACAACAAAATCAGCTTCCATCCGGGAACGAAAGACTACTACGAAGCCAAGCAATGGTTATATTATCAGGCATCTGGTCAGGGACCATACTTTGGACAAGCCGTGTGGTTTACTGTCTATCATCCCGAGAAACTCCCACTTATCATTGACCGCTACGTCAATGAGGTACGCCGTGTCTCCGGTGTTCTGGATAAAGTTTTACAGGGCAAGAAATTCCTGGTTGGAGGCAAATTTAGCTACGCGGATGCGGCTTTTGTGACTTGGTATGTCATTGTTTTCCTTTTTGCTGACAGGATCAACCTTGAAACGGATTTTCCGACGTTGAATTCTTGGTTTGAGGGAATGAAGCTCCGTCCAGCTATTGCGAAGATCTTGAAGGATCGCGAAGCTGCCATGAAAAAGAATTAGTTAGAGATTGTCAGGTTGATCTAGTACTACGAGGAATACCAAGTATGGAAGGCAATTATATATCCCAAACAACCACTCTCAGACCTGAATGTGCAATAGCCCTGACATATTATAGTCGATCAGCTCACAGTGTCAGTCGTAGTTGGGTCTTGTGCAAGTATTGTTCCAATAATCCTCAAAGTGTTACCGGTTATAATGATGAATCGCTGGCCGAAAATATCACTCAGACTACCTTGAAAACGAGACTGTTCCAGCAAGAGAAAGCCCACTGATTGGTCATGACAAGTTTTGAGAACTTCACGTTCGTTGGCAGCCTGAGTGATAACGCTAGACAATAGTCCGATGATTAAGATGGGCGCCACAAACCCAAGAGCGACAGACTATGACGACTTAATATCAGTCAATTTTGTAAACGTGGGATCGCCTCACAATGACCGCGCAAAAGAGACTCGATATTGGATTTGTTCTAAGGAGTTGTTGACGGTAGCTGCTCGACATGAGTCTCCGACAGAGCAGCCACACCCAATGCTTCTTTTTTTCGTCCAGCTGTGTCATCGAAATGAACGGGAGGTGAGAAAATTTGCGAAATAGAAAGCGCGAGTTACAACTACCAGAAGAGGCAAGTTGGTGTTTACTGTTGGAAAGCTCAGGCGACCTATATGCTCAAGTTAACAGGTGAAGCACAGCTGTGTGCACCGGATGCATTGTGGGGGCCCTGATCCACGGTTTCCGCATTTTGACGGCGGATACTCCAGCTTTTTGCCTAGAGACGTCCACTTGCGGAAATCCTGATTGTGAAAGAGCGAAGTAGAGTCGGCATTACATTTAAGGCCAGGCTACTCACCCGAGAACTCATGAGCGCAATTTTGGCATGCATAAGCCTTTATGTGCGGTGCTTGGCTGCATACCTAGGTCATTACGGCCATTAACTTTCTGGGGGCGTAAAAGTAACGCCTTCTCTGCTGGCCGCGAGTCTTCGATGGAAGGAGTGATCGAATCACCAAACGCGGCATTGGAAGTGAGAAATTATTGGGTTAAATTTTTTGATCCAAGTTCAGTGAAGACGTAGTCTACCTACAATAGGCTGGAGGCGCGGATTGATCTAGTGATTTGGGAGAGAAAATCTCAGATTAAACGAAAAGAACTCCACACTTTATATTTGAGTCCAACCAGACATGCGAGCATTCGAGCCCCCGAGATCAGAAATATAGCTTCTGACTCGCTCGACGATGCCCTTTTCATCCAACATGAAGCGTTCGTAATTGCTGAGATTCGAAGCAGAGTATCCGTATCCTGTCATCCCAATGCTCGCTGTTGTATACCTCGCCCAGATAGTTGCCACGTATTCTTCGACACTAATGATTGGTTTACCATCGCAAGGAAAAACGTGATCTCGATATTGTCGATCTTGCTTGTCAAACAGATCGAAGCACGGAGCACTGACTACCCGAGTTGATAGCCCTTCGGCTCCAAGGGTCGCTGCAGCTGCCACTACGTAGTGTAGATTTGTGCCGCAGCTGACCAGGGTGAGTTTAGCGTCATGAGGGTCAAGAAGAACGTAAGCTCCCTTTGCAACCTTTGAACGACTTGTGTTTGGAATCTGTCCAACCGGGTCACGGCCAAGTGATAGTATCGAGGGTGTATTTCGTGACTCTAGAGCAATTTTCCAAGCCCCTATCAATTCTTCCCCATCACAAGGTCGGATATATTGCAAATTCGGCATCGCTCGATAAAGTGAGTCAAGCTCCACAGGTTGGTGCGTAGGTCCATTCTGTCCCTCTGCAAAAGAGTCATGCGTTGCAAAGTGAATGACCTGGAGATGACTAAGTGCACCCATGCGCACACCCGGAGCAGCCTGGAGAAACGTGAGATTAGAGGATCACTTGTATATGGCGCGTATACTCACATAGAGATAGAACATAAAAAATGTGGCCGTAATGGGTAAGAAAGTCCCGGGATTGTAAGCAGCAATACCGTTTGATATCGACGCCATAGCGTGTTCTCGTATCCCATATCTGATATAACGTCCGCTGTAGCTGGTCAAGGGATGGAACACATCTGTATCAGCATAGTAAACCTTGTTTGAGTTTACAAGATCGGCACCACCCCCACACAAAGCACGGCAAACAGGCCATAGCTCTTCAATCAGAATTCCGTTCACATCTCGAGTTGCTAGACCTTGGAAACGAGCCGAATCAAGGTCCTCAAGGATTTCTCGATACCGAGTTCCAAGTTTTCCTTGTCTCCTAGCCGCAAGATCAGATGCTTTCTCTGGAAATTTTTCTCCATATTTCTGAATTAAAGAATTCCATTCAGTTTGTAAGCCCTGTCCATATATTTGTCTCTCACGGAAATACTCCAATGATTTCGAAGGAACCTGATGGGTGGCTGAAGGGTCTTGTCCATTTAGGGCTTTGGATTTCCGCACGCTTAAATCGTCAAAGACACCATGGTGTGCTTTCGCTGTGCCGGCAACTTGGGTCCCCAACCCAATAATCGTCCTTATGTTGATGAAGACTGGCCGACCTTTTAAACCTTGTGCTGTCTGCAACGCCTCGGCGATTTGCTTGACATCATAACTTCCATCAGCAATGTCTAGAACATACCAACCACAGGCTTCCATTTTCTGATTGACGTTCTCTGTATTGATCCAGTCGAGAGGCCCATCGCAGGTGACCGCATTGTTGTCGTAGACGAGGACAAGGTTATCAAGCTGAAGATGGCCAGCTAAAGATATGGATTCTAATGCGACTCCTTCCATCAAGCAGCCGTCGCCAGACACACAGTAAATTCGAGACTTGATGACATCATATCCCGGCTCGTTGTACTGGGCTGCGAGGTTCTTAGAGGCTATTGCTAGCCCCACGGCATTTGCGATACCTTGACCTAGGGGCCCTGTCGTTACTTCAATCCCAGGTACCTCGATCTCAGGATGGGCATGGCAAATAGTTTTATACCCGTTCGTTTTTGCACTTCCATACCCTTTGATTTCTTCCATGGTCCAGTTTGGATATCCAACTAGATAGTTTAATGCATAGAGAAACATGGCACAGTGACCTGAATGGCGCTATTAGCTAATTCATGGGAAAAACACTGTTCAGAAGTATCTCACCATTCGAGAGAACAAAACGATCACGATCAAACCATTCGGAGTCCATGGGATTGTACCTCATCACATGTTTGTAAAGAGCGACTCCAATTGCACTCATACCAATGGCTGAGCCACCGTGACCACCACCATTGTGATTGCAGATGTCAAAGATCAGGTTTCGTAGGCTCAGGACTGCAACCTCATCGTCATCAAGATTTTTCTGCCAACTATTCGGATTGCTCGGAAGCTCGCTCGAGTGCACCCCATTTTTGAGTACTTGCCCCTGATATACTAACGTGTTGTCCTTGAGTCCTGACGAAGGTTGGTCAATATCAAATGAATGCATGGCGACGGGAAGAAATGATGTGCCTGAAGCGGATTTTCTGGCTGAGAACGAAGATACTATCCTTTCTTTTATTCTCGATATCGGAATTCGCCCTTATGCCGGTCCAAAGATCTACCTCGCGCTCTGAATTGATTTTCCGAAGACTCGAGCCAGACAGGCTTGGCTTCGGGAAACGTGTTCCGGGAGTAACACAAGAAGCGTGCACTCCCACAGATCTTGAAGGCTAAAAAGCAGCAACTGTACAATATACCTGAACTCCTCAGGTGTTTCAAATCCCCAGTACTCGAACTCCTCATCTTATTCTCACCGGCACTCAGGAAATATGAACGGTTCACTAGTCCAACCACGGCAGATTTTAAAAGCCGATGCTGATAGTTTCCTGAAACATAACGTCCTTGACCTCTTTTCACTCAAAGGCAGAACAATTGTCATAACCGGTGGTAGTAGGGGTATTGGCCTAGCATTAGCCTTCGCTGTTGCAGAAGTTGGTGGCAACGTAGCCATCCTGGATATTCTATCCGAACCTCATCCCCACTACCTGGAGCTGGAAAAGTTTGATGTGAAGGTAAAACTTTATAAGTACGGATGATGTCTGACATTATCGCTTCTATGGCTACTGATACACCGAGATAGGAGCGATGTTACGAACTTCGGTATCTTGAAAGCCACTTTCGACGAGATTGTACAAGACTTTGGAAGGATCGATGGACTGTAAGACCCTCCCTCCCACGATCATCAATTTATGACACTTTGGATATTCAATCGAGTCCACGCTAATACTTTTCAAAGAGTCACCGCTGCTGGTATCTGCCCAGATGAGCCATTTGTAGATCGCAAACCAGAATCTGTTGCACGTTGCATGAATATCAATGTTCTGGGCACCTACTATGCTGCACAATTAGCTACTGCACAAATGCAGCGGCAGGAGCCATTGAAAGATGTGACAAGGCGAGGATCAATCGTCTTTATTGCTTCGATTGCTGCCTATGTGGCCAGCAAAGGTCAAACCACAAGTGACTACTGCGCGAGCAAAGGCGCTGTGTTATCCTTAGCAAAGGCGCTTGGAGTCGAACTGGCAATGAGTGGCATTCGGGTTAACAGTATTTCTCCCGGGTCAGTTGCAATCCTTTTCAAACATCACTTCTCATTGCTCATAAAATCCATGTCTAGGTATATGATGACTGATATGACTCTTGATCTTGCCCAAAAATATCCACATTTGGGAGCAATCATGACGAACGAGCCACCAATGCGACGTATGGGCGATCGAACTGATTTGAAGGGTTTGATCGTTTACCTTCTCTCTGATGCGAGCTCATACACAACTTCAGAGGACCATTTGGTGACGGGTGGTATCCACGCAGGGCGTCTTCTTTGAGATATATTCTACTGTCCATCCATTCAATTCATTGTAAATTTTCATGGTTCAATCAGTTTATATTGAGTGTTTCCTAGAATATTCCTCGATTCCCAAAGTCCAGGCTTAGATTGACGTACTGGATATCCGAACTCTCCACGAAGAACCTGAATTTGCGTTCTTGTTATCCGTGTCTGATTTAGGGGTAGATCGCTCTATCACGGTGATGTAAAATATTGCGCCTGCTTGCTTAAGTAGATTGTAGTACTCTAAATATTAAGCATGAACTAAATTAGATCTAAAATCATAAATGGATACATACATCATAATCTACGAGGGCAAGTTGTGTGTAGAGAGTGGCTGTTACCAATAACTAGCTGTCAGGAAAGCCAATCCTAGTTTACAAGCTCAAAAACCTCCGTATATTCATCATATTGATATGTTACAACAGTGACTCCATAAGCTTGCTGTAAGATTGGGTCAGTCAGGAGATCTCATCTGATAGTTCAGCTGCACTTACTGGCTCCACGCAGAATACTCTTCCCGGTGGCACTTCTACGTCTGCAATCCTATCCCAATCGAGCTCCTTGAAGTATGCAAGGAGCACACGCGCGACTGCACGGTGGGTGATTAACAAGACGTGGTCATCGAGTCGTTCTAGTTCCATAATAATCGGACGTAGTCGATGAATGACATCGGCATATGACTCCCCTCCAGTACCAGGCCACCGATAATGGACGGGATCTTGCCGCCGCAGATTCATCTGATCCTCATGTGAGTCCAATATTTCGCTAAAGGTCAGACCTTCCATCTGTCCAGCGTGAAGGTCATTTAGCGTGCGAAATTTTCTAATCAAGTACTCATCCTCTGGGAAGAATTTGCTCGTTTCCACAGCTTGAACCATTATCGATGTCCAGACTTGGAAGTTGGAGCGAGTGATGTCTTCCTGCGAGGTCAGAATCTCCTTGTTCTCACCTGCCTTTACACGAGATTTGTTGTATGTTTTGACCTCTTCCCATATCTGTTGCTGTTGCTTGATAAAGACTGAAAGCGCGTGGGCAAACTTCGTGCCCCTGAGACTAAGCGAAGAACTTCTTCCTATCTTCCCATCAGCATCATCAATGCTTTCTCCATTTCGTGTAATCCAAATTTGACGTTGATGCAATCTGAAATTCAAGAGATATTCCGTAGCTTGGGCAGATAGAAATCCGTTGATGCGATTTGCGATGACACGTCTTCCGACGTCGTGGAGCTGCAAGTAAGGGGTTTCCTCTTCTTCTGCACTTTCATTCATCGACACGTAATTCTTCTCGTAGAGAACTATTCTTTTTCTAAAGTCGTTTAATGCACTTTCCTCATTTTGTTGGCTGTAGTCTGGTCCCGAAAGTTTGAGGCGTATGTTTCGTTCAAGGAGACTCCAATCATAGCAGCAGCTTTCCAAAAACAGAAGTTCTGTACATGGATGAGCAGTCTTACGTATTTTGTCCAGCACTGCGAGCCGACGCTGAACAGTACTGTTTGTCGCATCCAGGATTCCAACTGATGAACTCTCATCATTCAGCCAAACAAGAAGGTCCTCCAGGGTCTGCAGTGCAATATTTTCACGTCTTTTCACAGCATCCATATCATCTGGATCGAAGAATGATGCTGGGTGGCTTAGAGAAACATCAGAAGATGGATAAACTCCTTTTTGTGGAGCAAGTGCCCTCCGACGGGTTTGACCGGCGTTGAAAACCCTTGTCTCGAATTGAAGCCAATAGAGATACCGAGCAAGCTTTTTCGAAATGTATGATTTACCTCTTGCGGGCAGACCAACCATGACAATTACCAACTTCGGTGTCATAGCTCTTCAGTAATCGAGACTGTGTGCGTTCGACCTCAGGGAATTGATAGAAGTGTTGTATCATGCAATATGAAGCGTTACCCCCAAGACTCCTGGTTGCAAGAGAGGTCAGAATCTGACCAGCCAGGCTGGGACGTATACGTTACGCTTGATTATTGTGGAATACATGTGAGACAATAATATCTGGAAGAACTATCGGAAATACGTCAGCACCAGCCGAATGGTAGCTTCGACCATTCCCTAAGTGCACTAACTACGAAAGTTACCAGGCCGGATTCTGGACTCCGTACGGAATATAGAACCCGACATTTCACTCCCCTTTCTGCCTTTGAGGTGATTAATTCTGACCGAAAGAAGTATTGAGAAGAGTCCAAATCTCAGGCCTGACCCAGATCCATTGAAGAGTTCCACTTACAAACTTGCTACAAATTTGAGGCCTCAGCGTCGCACGTCTTTCCGTCTGGTCCACCCACCCTGGTACTCATATGTCGTTTAGAACTGAGATCGGCGGTATGGAGCTATCAACCAAACTCAATCGCAGGCATTGTCTTGTCCAAACCAGAACTTTTCACAGTAAAGAGGTTGTGCTTGAACCCCCTGGGCCCACAGAAGTACAGATTGCGCCTCGTTCAACCACCCTTTGCGGCTCAGACCTTCACTATTACAATCATTATCGCAATGGTAGCATTATAATCCAAGAACCACTCTGCCTTGGTCACGAGGCCGCAGGTGAGGTTGTGATGGTCGGTAGTGAAGTTCAAGACAGGCAGGTTGGTGACCAAGTGGCGATTGAGTGTGGAGTGCCTTGCATGCAATGCGAGTTTTGTCTAGCAAACAGGTACAACATCTGTCCCAGCTTGCAGTTCAGGGGAAGCGGAGCGAAGTTTCCCCATTTCCAAGGAACTCTACAGGAAAGAATCAACCACCCCGCAAGGTGGACACACAGGTGAGTTATAAAAGCTTGATTAGTATCTGCGACTGAACATCTTTGTCAGGCTACCACGGTTTCTGAGCTACGATGACGGAGCCCTACTTGAGCCCCTGTCTGTGGCTTGTCATGCAGTGAGACGTGCTCAAGTAGTACCAGCTTCTAGCTGTCTTATTATTGGAGCTGGTGCTGTTGGCTTGCTTTGTGCGGCTGTCGCACGATTCAAGCGATGCTCAAGGATTGCCATATGCGACATTGATGAGCGTCGTGTCAACTTTGCACTTCAACACGGTTTCGCTGAGATCGGGCTGGTTGTCAAACGCCGCATGGCTACTAATATTGAGGAGGAGCTAGAAAATGCAAAAGCCTTTGCAGAAGACATAGCCGCTCTAGTATGGCCGGGTGGGCGTCAGGTTGAACGTTTTTCAATCGTCTTTGAATGCACTGGTGTACCATCTTGTGTACAGTCTTCGATATTCGTAAGTTCTCAAGCTTTAATCTACCAGATCCATCTCATACTGACGCATTTATCAGGCCACTCAATCAGGAGGTCGTGTCATGCTAGTCGGAATGGGCACTCCGAACCATACCTTGCCATTATCAGAGATTGGGGCGCGTGAGATTGATCTAATGCCAACTTGGCGCTACGCGGATTGTTATCAGGAGGCTATGAATATGATGTCTGCTATCGCAAATGGGTCTTTCACTCCAGACATTCGGAAGTTGATCACTCAACGTTTTGATGGGTTGAACAGACTCTCAGAAGCTTTCCAAGCGGCGGGGAGACCACAGGACTCCGATGGCAATTTGACCATAAAAGTAGTTGTCAACAATTGAGTAACCTCTACCTACCATGAATTGTACTCTGTGATAGATGAACATTTTGCACGAGTGTCATACAAAACAAAACTTAGCTTAAGAATACTTCGTAGCCAAAATTGTGGCATCTGAATTGCATCCATCAGGACAGTTTAAGATATTGTCCTAATTTCCAAATTATATACTAGCAGGAAAGTACGAAACCATGGAGGCTTATCAGAACATATCATTGTAGAGCGAATGTTATAAGAAATATCAACTCGAACTATAGCATCATCATTGCCACCCCTTCCTTCACTCGTCATGCCAACTATTTGTAGGACAGAAACATTGGAGATGTCGAGTGGACCGTCCATCTCAGAGTACCTCCAAGTTCCTTAATGGATTCTCTCGGCTGAGAATATGCAACTTCATCCCATACCAACAGCCTCGTGTGATTTCATCTCGTCAACATGGAGCACAAACACTCTTAGTCGGTACAAACTTTCTTCGCTCATGCCACGGCAGCCCCGCCTTGAACCGAGCTTCTTCTTCTCGCGTACTCTACCGCATCCTCCAAAACATCTATATCCTCCGCTGAAGCGCGGTCGCCGAAAGCCTCGTCCATTTCTTCCAATGTTTTGCCCATTGTTTCTGGGACAAGGAAGTAGGCCCACACTCCAGCCAAAAAACAGAAAGAGCAGAAGAAAATGTAGGCCCCGTAGTGAATGGACTCGATCATTGGAGGTACAGCAATTCCAATGATGAAGTTTGACAGCCAATTCACTGCCACCGCCAATGCAACACCATGTGATCGACAGGATGTTGGAAAGACCTCAGGAGGTAATGCCCAGCCCAGAGGTGAGTATGAGACTCCATAGACCATGATGAATGCGAAAGCCATTGCGACGCAAGCCCAACCCGCAGCTTTGTGAGAAGCCCAGTCTTTTTCATAAATGCCTGACAAGATAGCGATAACAAGGTAGCATGCAGCACTGCCGAAGCCGCCAAATATGGCAAGCGGACGTCGTCCAACTTTGTCGATGATGCAGAAGCAGATGACGACTGCAACGATCTGAAGAACATTGAAAATCCCCGAGAGAATTAGTGCCATTTCACTAGATTGTCCAATTGACTCGAAGAGGGTTGGCGCATAATAGATGAAGGCGTTTATACCGCTGAACTGCTGAAAGAAGCAGACGCCAACACCGACAGCGACTCGGCGCCAAAGCTTTCGAGAGAATAGATCGACCCATTGCAGCATTTCGAGCTTTACGCCATGGACACCAGGGTGTTTCCGTTCCTGGAGAGAACGCTGAAATTTGACCTCGGCCAGGATACCACGGTATTCAGTTTGGACACGGGAATCAGTCGGTGGAAGGCGACGGAGTTTACAGAGGGATTGGAGGCATTCTTCATCTCGATCGACTAGGGCCAGCCAACGAGGTGAGTATGGGAAGAATTGAAGACCTACACCCGTGATTATGGCCGATACCATCTGAAGACCGAGGGGAAGACGAAAAGAAATCTCGCCAGCCATATGTCGGGTGGCAAAGGTGATCCAGAAAGCAATGACGACTCCAGTTACAATGGAAATCGACTCGAGGACTAGAAGAGTGCCGCGGAGGTTTGGGGGAGAAATCTCAGAAATATAAAGTGGGGCACCCTGCCACGCCATCAGCATTGTCTCGAGGTATCGAACATAGAAACGTTCGAATTAACCGGTTCATAGAGAGTTGACTTACCATGGCCAGTGTACCGACACCAATTCCACCAATCGCACGACCAACGACTAAAGTAACATAGTTTTCGCATGCGGTCTGTAAGATTGCTCCAATAGTGAAGATAACAACAACTAACAAAATTGCGCGCTTCCGGGAAATCTTATCCGCAATCCAGGGGAACACAAGGACGCCGAAAAAGGATCCAAGTTGCAACATTGCGGTCATAAAGCTTTTGCCGAAAGCGGATTCTGTTTGGGGAATCTTTTGGTGGAACTGAGGCATGACGTTGATGATCGACATTACACCTTGGTCGTAGCCAAAAGAGAAGCCGCCGAGGGAGGCCAGAAATGCAGCCCAGCAGACATACTTGGAACCAATGAGCCCCCGAAGGCCATCTGGCCCATATGAAACATGCTCTGCTATGTGCATAAGACTTGAGTCGATGGGAGTTGGTGCATATTCGTCATGCTCCTTTTCGGTTGATTTTGCCATGTCGATGGTGGCGAAGGATATATAATGAATAAGATAACCAAGATTGATGTTTGAGGTTATTCTCAAATTCGCAGTGGAGATGGAATCGATCGGAAGTCTACCCACGTAGGCATCATCCAATATATAGTTTGTGGAATGGGCTGATCAGTTCTACTTGGTCACAGCCAACGAGTTGTTGGAGTCGGGATGGAGCTCCGCACCCCGCCACAAGGATATCCGGGGAAGGACTCTCGAACGGCCCTTGGACACTCAAACGACAGGGTGCGCATCTCGGAATCCTTAACCCAAGTCAAACGAGACGTCGGCCTTCCACCGATGATCCCGGTACGGAAATCATTTCGCGATTCGCCCATCCCATTCTGGTCGGATTCCTGATTCCGCATTGCTTCACCAGCATCCGAGATCTGCAATGCCTACGTGTTCGCGACATAGCAGACGGTGATGGAGTATTTCAGTGACCTTACCAGGACATAGCCAAATAGTTTTCCCTCCTGGTGTTTTACATAAATTTCTTTCACAAGTCTCTCACCCACATTATCCTGCTCAGTAGCAATTTTCCCTACAATGTCACCCTACGATCGAAGCCTCAATGTTGTCATTATTGGCGCCGGTCCAGCTGGTATCGCCATGGCCTATCGGTTGAAACATGATCTGGGATTTGTAGATTTCACGATTTATGAGAAGTTAGATGGAGTTGGTGGAACTTGGAGGACCAACACGTACCCCGGATGGTATGCTCAACTGGCTGGCTCGTATGCGCAAAAGAATAGAGCTGACTTCTTCCAAAGTGGCTGTGATCTACCTTCGCATCTTTACTCTTTCAGTTTTAATCTGAATCCGAACTGGTCAAAACAACTCTGTGAGCAACCAGAGATACTACAGTGTGCGTACCGAAGGCCGATCTCTACATCGACTTCCTTGCTGACGATAGCTAGATATGGAAGATACCGTTGACAAGTTTGATTTACGGCAGCATATTCATTCGGAAGTAGAGTGCATTGGAGCCAAATGGAACGCAGTGAAGGAGAAATGGGACGTGCAGTTAAAGGACCTCAGGACAGGGATTCAATTCGCCAGGGCCGCCTCAGTCTTTATCTCGGCAGTTGGTGCCATCTCCTTCCCAAGAGATGTCAAATTCCCAGCGATGGAGAAGTTTCGCGGTGCAATGTTCCATACAGCTCGATGGGATCATTCCGTTGATTATACTAATAAAAGGGTGGCCGTGATTGGAAATGGATGCAGTGCCGCTCAAGTTGTTCCATCTGTTGCCAAGAAAGCAAGCCTTGTCAAGCAGTACGCGAGAAGTGGACAATGGTATCATGCACGACCGAATCATCAATTCACAAGCTTGGAGAAGTTTATGTTCAAGTGGCTTCCACTTTGGCAGAGACTCTTGCGTCTATATATCTTTCTTGACGCCGACGAGCAAACCACAACCTACTTTCCCACACCCAAAGGTGTTAAAGCAAGATTTGCAGCTGAAGAGGAGTCAAGAAAATACATTCAATCCTTGACACCGAAAAGATATTGGGACTTGATTGTACCAAAGTTCCCGCTGGGCTGCAAGCGACGCATCTTTGATCCCGACTATCTCGTCTCGCTTAACCGACCGAACGTCGAACTCTTGAATCATGGAATTCGGGAAATGACAGAGTCCGGCATCATCAGCTCTGGCGGTGTCCAGGACGATTTTGATATCATTGTGCTTGCAACCGGCTTTGAGGTGGCAAAATTCCTGACTCCAATGGAAATTATTGGAGCCCATGGATCCTCATTATCTGAACAATGGAACGAATCTCGGGGCGCTCAGGCATATCTTGGAACTTATGTGCATAATTTCCCAAATCTCGCGATTTTGTTTGGACCAAACACCTTTCCAGCAAATAATTCGGCTCTATTTGCTTGCGAAACCCAGGTCAACTATACTGTACAGACGTTGATAAAACCTCTTCTCTCCCGGCGGGCGACAATTATTGAAGTGAAGCAAGCCGCTGAAGATCGTGAGACACAAGCTATTCATCAAGGCTTACAAAAAACTGTCTTCTCAGGGGATTGCTCGAATTGGTATATTGGAGCCCACGGAAGGAATGCAGCATCATGGCCTGGACGAGCAATATCTTTCTGGTGGAGAACCTATTTTCCTGACTGGGAAGCATTCAATATGGAGGGAGGATCCAAGTTCTGGTGGTTCAGGTCACTGAGAAGAGGCGTGCAAGACAAATGGATATTACTGTTGTTTGCAGTCATCCTCTTCACCAACAGCAGCTTGCTGTCAAGAATTTTGTTGAGAGGGCTCCCCGATATTGCGGGTGCTACATCCACGAAGTTTCAAGATTGAGAGAACACTCGATCACGATGGTTGTTCACACAATTGCTTCCTGGCGAGTGTAGATAGAAAGGTGTCAATTACTGTGTATACTGGAACCAAGAATGAGATGTATTTGCGATAGACTTCCTTATTCTGCTAGGGACGATTCAATAGATAACTACGCCAGAAGCTTTTCGCTTTCTCTTCTGCCCTACATGGCTGTCTGCGTACAGATAGCTGATACTTACCTAGTTAACAACAGTTCGATAGAGACCCCTTGATTCTAGGGTTACTACACAGCTCTTTTGGCAACGCACTATCTGTGGCTGAGGTGCATTTCAGCCAACCCGTTCACCTGTAGTGTAGAATCACGGAGAAGGACACTTAGCACGATTGTAGTTAGTGATCAAGGTAGAACCACAAGAACCGAACTCACTGTTCATAGCCCAAGATATCATAATCAGTATGCATGCTCGCCACCAGCAAAGCTTGCGGGTGAAATGGCATGACAGCTTTCAATGTATCATATGTAGGAATGCCGCGCGGAATCTGAGTTCCGCAAATATGACAGTGAGAGTTCCAGCTCCCGGGTCCCGGCCTTTGTCTCATCGGGTAGAGGTACAGCTTTGATCACATAAGACGGAGTTTCCAGTATTTGTTTCAAATCCCTAACTCCTTGAATATCTGGATATATTCATAAAGATTTGACACTCTGCAATGAAATCCCCGAAATTGAGCCTCGCCCTTGCGGGACTGGGGATAGTCGGCAAGAAACATGCCACAAATATTCTCAAACAAAGTAGAGTCATCGACTTTGTTGCTTGCTTTGCTCCAACCCCGGCTGAATTTCAATGGGCTGTTGCAAATTTGACATCTCATGGTGTTTTCATCTACTCTCAATACGAAGAAATGGTGGCTCACCCCGGCCTAGACGCTGTTCTAATATCGACTGCAGCCGTGGTGCATGAGGTTGAGGTGGTACAAGCACTTGATCAGAATCTCCACGTCTTGTGCGAGAAACCACTGTCAACTAATCTCGAAGCAGTAAGTCACTTGATGGAAGTGGCAGCTTGTCAGCATGGCGTCGCTAACTACAGCTTGGTGATAGTGTTATAGGTTATTACAGGCAGCTCGAGAAAAGCCCAACCTCAAAGTGATGTGTGGCTTTTCGCGCAGGTTTGATGAAAGCTATCGCCATGCGAAACAAATAACCACCACCGGTCTAATCGGGGATCCGTCCTTCATTCGATGCCAATCGTGCGATAGATACGATGCAGGAGGTTTTTTGGTGCAATATTCTGAGCTTTCTGGAGGGATATTCATAGACTTGGGCATCCATGACATCGACCTAACACTGTGGTTTCTGGGCGAGGATCTAGTCCTGAAATCAGTGACCGCAACAGGAGCCGCCACTCTACATCCACAATTACTGTCCACTAATGATCGTGACAATGCAATGGGCTTAGTCGAGTTTCACGGAGGAAAGGTTGCTCAATATTATGTCTCACGAATAATGGCTCATGGACAGGAGGATTCTGCAGATATCATCGGTACAGAAGGCAAAGTCACGGTTAATTCTCAACCTGCCAGAAACCTTGTCAACTTGTATCATGCAGGTGGAGTTACCCGCGAGGTACCGCAAGACTTCTGGGCCAGATATGAGCATTCTTTCTCTGAGGAGCTTCGAGAGTTCGCGGACTGCTGCTTGCTTGACACTACTTTACCGATGAATCTGGCAGTTGCAGTGAAATCTGTTGAGATCGCTGCTGCCCTTCAAGAAAGTCTGATTACAGGAAGGCAGATTCGTTTCAATGAGCAAGGGCAACGGCTCCTGATGGCTACTCTTTGAGTATATCCGCTCATGCAGCGCAATTTGTTGGCTATCAGGTTGTAGTGTCAAACCCTCGGTATTACCATTGATCCTTTTCAATCAGAATCAAAGAATATCAAGTTGTCCTTGTTTAAGCATTTCGTTATCATATCCTTTCAACAGCCTCGGTATATCTTTGAGAAGACTAGCTCTATTGGTTGCCAAAGCAACATCATCTCTTCCATCTGTTGATACGACAGTTGAAGTAGCGCTCGAAGTCCGAGCGACAATGCGATGATGTTTGAGTGACTAGCTGGAAATAAGAATGTAGGATCTGGAATCAAAGGATCCACGATAACACGAATACACGTATTGAAGGGCTCTATACATCCCATCTATCACTATTTATCCATATTCCCTATAGTCACGCTTTTGATGACTTGGTACTCTTCCATGCCATAGAGGCTGCCTTCACGACCATAGCCACTCTCCTTTATACCCCCGAAAGGAGCTTCTGCTGCTGATATTTTACCAGTGTTCACACCAACCATACCGACTTGAAGCTTTTGAGCTACTCTCAATGCCCTGCCAACATCTTTGGAGAAGAAATATCCTGCTAAGCCGAAGGGAGTTTGGTTAGCCATTTCAATAGCTTCTTGCTCGGTTTCAAAGCTGAATATTGGGGCAAGTGGTCCAAATGTTTCCTCTTGTGCTACCAACATGGAAGTAGTGACACCAGACAAAATTGTTGGCTCATAGAAAAAGCCTTCGCCCGCTCCAGAGCTACCTCCTATCTCAACTTTAGCGCCATTACTGACGGCGTTACCCACATGTTCGGCCACTTTTTCCACGGCGGCCTTGTTGACTAGTGGTCCTTGGGTAGTAGCATTTTCAAGCCCCGGACCAATCTTCAAATTCGAAACTTTCTTTACCAGTTTCTTGGTGAAGATGTCAGCGACTCTTTTGTGCACGAATAGGCGGTTTGCGCTATCTCTTGTCAATTACAGAAGCGTGTTTGTGTTTCAAGGGAACCATACTTACCAGACGCATGTTTGTCCAGAACATCGAAACTTGCAGAACATTGCGCTTTCCACGGCCAGATCTAGATCCGCGTCTTCGAATACAATGAAGGGTGCATTACCACCCAGTTCGAGGCTAACTCTTTTTAGAGTCCCTGCAGCCAGCTTGGCCAACATCTTTCCCACCCCAGTGGATCCAGTGAAGCTGATCTTTTGGATTTTGGCGCTAGTAGCTAGTTCAAGAGCTGCTTGTCGATCCTTTGTAGGACAAACTTGAATGACGCTTGCAGGAATCCCAGCCTCAACAGCAAGCTTGGTCAAAGCAAGGCACGTGAATGGCGTTTCACTAGGAGGCTTTATCACAACAGCACAGCCACTACCAAGAGCAGGCGCTACTTTCCTTGTAATCATAGCTGCAGGGAAATTCCATGGTGTTATGATCCCGCACACCCCAACCGGTTCTTTCACTGTGAACACAGTAGAGTTGGGAGTGGATGAAGGAATGGTAACGCCGTAACTTCTTGTAGATTCTTCTGCAAACCAGGAAACGAAACTGGCAGCATATACAACCTCTCCCTCTGCCTCTGTGTAGGTCTTACCATTCTCTAGAGACAAGATTGTCGCCACTGAATAGAAATTTGTTAGTTGAAAGTGGCTGAACAAATATCAGGAATCAGGGAAGTTTACAGTCTTGCTTGTTGGTTAGTATCAGGTCATTCCAACGACGAAGGAGTGATCCCCTCTGAGCTGCTGTTGTGGAAGCGTAGTATTTTGGCTGTGCTTGACAAGCGTCGTCAATCGACGTCTGGATGTCTTGAAGTGTGCAGTTTGCAACTCTTCCAAGTGAATTTCCCGTCGAAGGTTCTGGGGTTTTCGTTTTAGTACAAGGCAGATCAAATTTCATGCTGCTCTTACCAATCACTGCAAATGTGTCCGGTTTTTTTTGCCACACACCTCCAATAAAGGCATCACCGATGAACAAATCGGGGTTTAGTAGCTACCAAGCGGGAGTTAGTACGATTAGAACTGCTTAGGCCTGACATGATTACCTCGGAAAGAGCCTTTTCGTGGTAGTTTACCCCAAGGCTTCCCATCGTGTCCTATCAAGCGTCGGTAATGATTGTGTCCCTGAGAACAACGAGTGATCTGGGCTCGAGCGTTTTATGTTCCAAAAGTCATCAACTAAGCCATGGGGCAGTAACAAGGCATAGTTCACCGGGATCGACTCTAAGGTACACAGATGTTCACATGCTATGAGCATATCGGGAACCCATTCCCGGTACCTAGATAGGGCTTGAATATGAAGAACTGATGAAAGACCCGAAAATCGTTGAGTTTCGGAATCATGCTCTAGGACCAAGCGACCCCGAGTCGAAGACTAGTGCAGTTCTTTCCCGAGAGATCGATGCTGTTTGAGGACAAACGAGAATGTGAGATACGGAACTATCGTTGAAGTTAATCTCAGCCCTACCTCTCTCACCGTGTCAAAGCATTGAAAAGATTTATGATCGGACACAAGTACCTAATCATGTCAAGCTGATGGAATTGCGGGATAGGAGAACCAACTTGAAGGCGAGTTTCATGTTTGTCCAATGGATACGAACTGCAAACACACCGCGTCTGATTTTTCGAGTCAATTATCGTGACTCGATGATAGAGCTCGGGTTCTTGATTCCGAAAAGTCTGTGTCAGGGACGATCATTCGGCTAGAGCTGCCTACGGTGACATAATGAGAAGCAATATCAATGCGGGGTCGTAGCTCGGCATTGAGCGTCCATGTCTTCACATGTTGCACTGCGGGCGATTCATCTTTCATACCTAGTTGATCACAAGAGAGATTTCATTTATCGCTCTGTCGTTGAACTATTGCAGTCTCCATGCGGACCCTCTTGCCGAAGAGCCATTTCGACATAGATGTCCAGATCTGAAGATAAATCTTTGCCTGGATTGTGTTTCTTTTCGACCACTTGATGCGTAGTTGGAGATCGGATACTCATGCAGGAAGTGCTAAGCTTTGTTGCTGTGCGGGTATTTTTGATTGAAAAACTTCATTTGTTTCGATACATGTCATAGTAGCAATGCTACGAAAACACACGACCACCGCTTGCCAGGTGTGTCGAGAGAGCAAGACCAAAGTACGAGAAAGACCTTCTACGCGGTGACCCAAATCCGCGATTGACGTACACAGTGCGATGGGGTTCGGCCAGCGTGTGGAAGCTGCTTAAAAAGAGGAAGGATTTGCGAGTACTCGGCAAAAGATGATAAAAGAAAGTATGCACAGACCAAATAGTCCGATTCTGGTACACTTTTCAGTCCATTTAAAATATTGACTTAATCAATTCCTAGGGTTTCTTTGCGGACGGCGCTTGACATTGTCTTCAATCGTGTTGAGGTATTGACACAACACATGCTCAAAAATGGTCTAGTGGTGCCACCATGGCAAACATCAGAACAGAGGATAATTGAGCAAGCATGTGCAAGTTTGGAAATACCCTTGGAAAGCATCATTCCAATTCCTCACAATCAGGAAATTGGTATTCCATCTTCAACTCCGGATTTCGCTTCCCAAATCGACCTTTCCGCGGCAATCGTATCAAATGGTGATATGTCAACTTTGAATCAGATCCGGCAAGATAGCCAGGCCAGCCAAACCACACCATTTGATTTGGTTGACTGGACCGAGTTCCCATCATCAGAACCATGGGAGCTCAGCCCTTCTGACTGGCCGTGGCAGATATTGAGTGGTTTCTCGAGCGACCCAGCCGACGGTCTAGTCATACCAAAAGAGCCCTTGATACTGGAAGATTTTCCAGCAGACCAACGCCGGGATGACCTTCCGAGCGGCCTACCTGAATCAAACGAAACATCAGATGACGATGGAGACACTGACATCGCTCCTGGTCTAGCGGCTCGACTTGGCTCCCTACACATTGCCGCAGATGGTAGACTGCGGTTCTACGGCACTGCATCAAACTATCATTTTCTGCTCGGAAACCAAGATTTGTTACCTGTGAACGATCACACCTTCCTGGATATCAGGCGCGAGGCTGTGTTGGCCCTCGAACACGCTAAACTAGATCGTGAAGTCCCCTTGCGCTTAGAGGATGAATTGATTGATCTCTTCTTCAAATGGCACAATCCTTGTCATGCCACCATCGATCAAGTTACTTTTGACCTGGCTCGAGTCCAAGATCGCAGCGGTCAATCAACATTCTGCTCACAATCTCTCATTGCTGCTATGTGAGAACCTTTACTTTTCAAAGCCTTACTTAATGCTAACACTATGGAAGATGCGCAATAGGAGCAGCGTTCAAAGGACGTTATCATCAATCTTTCATCACATATCCTCAGTCCTTGGCTGATTTCTTCGCGGCTAAGAGTAAGGTTCTTCTGGAGATTGAGCTTGATAGCCCATGCGTATCGACAGTACAGACTCTTCTTTTACTAAGCAGCCATGAAGCAGGGGGAGCTCGAGATGCTCGTATGTGGTTATATAGCGGTAAGCAAACCTGATACCATTGTTCGAGTGAAGGTTGTTGATTCATCATCCGTAGGAATGGCAATGCGACTCGCTTTCGACCTTGGATTGCACGTCGATGTGGACCCATACGTAGAACAGGGAACGTTTACCGCTCAGGAAGGAGAAGCACGCAGGACCACGTTCTGGAGTTGTGTGGTAGTCAATCAGTACGTTTTCTGACACCTTGCTATGCCCTTAGCTAACCTCTCAGTCTCTGGAGTTTCAGTTTAGGACGCCCATTCAGAGTTGACAGTGAAGAAGTGACGGTCAAAAGACTACCACGAGCTCGATCCTCCACAAACTCAGAGCGTTGCATCGACTCTTTAATTAGTTCCGCAATGATCTCACCGCCTATCGAGGTCTCTCAAAATGGCAATGAAACTTTATATCTTGTTGTAGAGCAATGGGTGTCATTTTGCGAGCAGCTAGCTCCACTTGTTCGGATCCTGTCGGTCTTTCCACGTCCGGTGAATTTCTGTTTGATGCTGACATTAACAGGTATGGCTGTGCCAAAATCTCACAGACCACATTACAAGAGCTTTCTATGCAAACTACGAACCGTCTATCGAAGTGGCAAGAGGCAATTCCCGATGCCATCAAAATCTCTCCAGACAAGACGGCTCTTCCTCATGTTCTTCTCCTTCAGTGAGTATCACTGTTATCCGGGGAAAATGCACTTCAGCGAACCAAGCTAACCCGTTAACGAGTAGTATGGGCTATCATAACTTTTGTATTCTTATTCATCGACCCTGGACATCCAAGGCCTCGCTACCGAGGGGCAGACTCGGCCCAGGCTACCAACACGCACGAACCATTTGTCGACAATCGGCTTCTGAGATAGCATCTCTTTTACGAAAATACGAGGCCAGCTATACTTTACGCACTATGAATGTTTATATTGTTACTATTATCTTCTCTGCGTCGGTCATCCTAATCTTTGGCCTGATCGCGGAAGACATGCCACAAGGGTCACAAAGTGAGAATGAAAAGCTCAAGATTGCTGGGGATCTCAGCACTTGTTTTAGGACACTAGATGAGCTTTGCCAGTCCATCGAGTGCGCAAAACGAACTCGTGATTTCCTGCTTGCAATTCAGAAACGTTGGACCCAGTCAAAACGTGACCCTCAGCTAGGCTTGAAGCGGAGAAACCAACCACAAGATCACGGGAAAGATGTTTCACAGAAAAAGACCAAGCACCAACAGAAAGTATGACCACCTGAACATCGCCTGATTGCTGAGGGGTGGATTGATACAACGAAAATTCTGTTAGCAGTGTGTAGAGGTAGCAACTGGCGCGTATCAGGATCCCTGGATCACCTAACAGCGCCCTTTTGGTCAATACACTCTACACTTCACCGGATCGATTTTATTGACAGCGTTGCACCTCTCTCAGCAGGATTCATCTCTGAATTATCGTGATTGATTTAATTGTATATAACAGCTACACATCTCTCTAAATCTCAGTGCATACTAGCTAATCTATTCATCGTCGAGCAGTTTGTCTTGCGTAATGTTGGTTACCTGGGGCGACAGGTCAAAAGCTAGAGTTATTGATCCCCAAATTCTGTCAGAAATCTGGCTCGGTGAGCACTTGCTTGTTCTAATCTAAATGTTTCTCTACTCCAGTATCAAGATTGCTCCGAATAGACTAGAGAGCGTATTATGGCTTCTGTGACCTCTTTCGTGGTTGCCGTACCACCCAAGTCTCGAGTTAGGATCTGACTCACAGTTACCAGGTTGATTGCTGTGAGAATCTTATCCGATGCCTCCTTTTCACCGAGCCACTTCAACATCTCAATTGCGCTTATGATCATCCCCAAAGGGTTTGCCAGCCCTTTGCCTGCAATATCAGGGGCACTTCCATGGATTGGCTCGAACATGCTGGGATGTTGTCTCGTTGGATCCAAGTTGCTCGAAGGGGCAATTCCGATACTTCCAGCCAGGGCAGCGGCGAGATCTGATATGATATCCCCATGAAGATTGGTCGCTACAATAGTGTCCAGGGAGCGCGGATTCTGAACCATTCTCACCGTCATTGCGTCCACTAGCATCTTATCGCATGAGATTTCAGGGTATTCAGATTGCAAACTCTCGAATACCCGATCCCATAAGACCATTCCATAGCGTTGTGCGTTACTCTTGGTCACTAAGGTCAGTTTCTTGCGATCGCGGGATCGTGCAGTCTCGAATGCAAATCGCATTGTCCGCTCGATACCAATTCGAGTAAAGATTGCAACTTCAGTTGCAGTGGCATTTGATGAATCAGGGTGTGAGATTCCACCTTGTCCAGCATACTCGCCCTCGCTATTTTCTCGCACAATAACCCAGTCGATGTCGCCATCTTTGCATCTGCGCAAGGGAGATGATACTCCGGGCAGCATGCGGACTGGGCGTACATTGACGAACTGGTTAAGCTGAACGGGTATCAGTACTACGAAACCCTCAACGACAAACATTTCATGGCTCTGTTCTTACCGATTTTCTAATAGGAAGCAGAAGGCCCCAAAGAGAGATGTGATCGGAAACAGCTTGACATGATAGAGTTTGTTAGTTGAGTGCTCCCTTTGACTGGCGCTACCGATGGGGGAACTCACTGGGAGACCCTACTGCTCCCATAAGAATAGCATCGTGTGTGGCAAGGGAGGTTAGTCCATTTTCAGGAATATAAAACCCCTTTCCAAGATACTTCTCTGAACTCCAATCGAACTCAGTCAATTGCAACTGAAATGAACCAACACATCTCTCTACTGTGTGCAAGACTTCAAGGGTCGCAGCTGTCACCTCAGTACCAATACCATCACCAGGGATAACTGCAATCTTGTGGACTCGTTGTTCAGACACCATCCTCGCTTCGCTCCTATAATTCTAGTTTGTGCACCAAAGAGATATACTACCTAAAAAGTGTTCCTAGTCTTCATCCCGCGTTTATGAAAGTCGCCTTGTGAATTTCTGAGGCGGCTTTATGCCGATAACGTTGCGGAATCCGAATTCCGGGTGCGTGGAAGTCCCTAGTCCACCAGCACAAGATACTTCGCACTAGGCATATGACAATTGTTTATGCACGAGCTTACTGGATTATTCTGTGAATGAACTTCCGCCCCTTGCCAAGGGCCAATTCAATCTCCGAAGACTCTCGGACGGAAACGGGGTCCCGGCGGCTTTTCAGATCCTTTATCATTGAACCCGTAACCTGGCCACAGACTCCAATATCTTCATCAAAGTTGATCCGTAAGTGATGACAGGGTCACACCATAAGAGAGACAAGAATGTCAACAGAGTCGATCAAACTTAATACTGGTGCTAGAATCCCAATCCTCGGATTAGGGACATGGCAGTCTGCACCAGGTGAGGTGAAGAACGCTGTTGCATATGCACTTCAAACAGGCTACAAACATATCGACTGTGCATTCTGCTATGCGAATGAGGATGAGGTGGGTGAAGGGCTACAGGAAGCTTTTGAGAAAGGAATCAAACGAGAAGACGTCTTTGTGACTACCAAGTTGTGGAGCACGTTCTCCAGCAAAGTGGAAGAAGGCCTTGACCTTAGTTTGAAATCTTTAGGCTTGGAGTATGTGGACCTTTACCTTGTACATTGGCCGATCGCTATGAATCCAAAAGGCAAGTACTACGTCTGGAGTCAGTGGATTTGGACATCTAATGCAGTGGACAGGCAACGACATACGGTTTCCCAAGAAGCCCGACGGGTCGCGAGATCTTGATTTGTCCTGGTCACACACCCAGACATGGAAGCAAATGGAAGATTTATTGAAGATAGGCAAAGCTCGAGCCATTGGTGTGTGCAATTATAGTGTCAGATATCTCAATGAGCTTCTTCAGGAGTCCACAATAGTTCCTGCCGTCAATCAGATTGAGAATCACCCACACCTACCTCAAAACGACATCGTCCACTACTGTAAGGAGAAAGGTATTCATGTTACCGCATATTCTCCACTGGGTAGCACCGGATCACCTCTGGCCAGAGATCCATGCGTTCAAGCGTTGGCAGCCAAATACCAAGTATCTCCGTCAACGGTGTTGTTGAGCTATCACAGTAGGTCAACCATCCATTGGCTCCGCTCCTTTCATGGTCGCAAGTGCTAACATACGCAAGGCGCTCGTGGCATCTCTGTATTGGCCAAATCCGTCACTCCTGGTCGGATCGACCAGAACCAACTGCTTATTCCATTGGGCGAAGAAGATTTACAAATGCTTGAGGCTATCCACAAAACGTCAGGCGTAACTCGATACGTCTACCCTCCCTTCGGAGTTGACTTTGGGTTTCCCGATAAGGCACAGGATCTTAAAAACAGTAGATAGGGTGTCTAGGGGGGTTTGGTCTGTTATTTGTGTACATCCTTGGGGGTGAAAAGGAACTTTGTTGATGTTGTCCTAGATAAGCTGAACTGAACGATAGGCAAGGCTGGTCTTTGTTTAGTTACAAGGACTCCATCTTTGCCAAGGCCAGGTGGCGGATCTTAGATATCCCATATCTCATGTTGAGAGCCAGGAGAATCGGCTTAGTATGTACGCAATTTTGCTCAAATACGATGCCGTATACCTTATTCAAAATTGAAGACTGCGGAACTACAATGGCTTACGGGACTAAGTTGTATTTCTAGCTGGCCACTCTATGAACGAATTTCCTTCAAAAGGGCTCACAGTATTATGTTCCAGATTCGACGCTATGCCATTGTGAGTATATCATTAAGTCCTGTCTAAATTGGAGTCATTCCGCGGAAAGGGGCTTAGAAATCAGTAAATATTAACAAGAGTACAATTCCCAGAGGCATATAAGGGAAAGTTCCCCAGCTAGAGGTCTTAGTTGGCCATTCCATCCAGCACGAACATTCTCACCGATATCTCGCGACTTATTCCAATACTCACCATGGCATCTCCTCCTCTAAAAAGTTTTGTGTCGTTCACCAAAACATGGCATAACAGGCCGTACGCCGCCATCTCACCCACGAGGCCAGAGTCTTCAGTAGCCGAGAAGAACGTCGTCATCACAGGCGGAGGGACAGGTATCGGAAAAGCCGCCGCCATTGCCTTTGCTCAAGCCGGCGCCAGATCGGTTTCCATCATTGGACGTAGAATTGACCGTCTCCAGACTGCTGGTGCCGCAATCTCTGATGCCAATCCTTCGACTCAAGTAGTCTTAGAAAGTGGCGATGTCACCATACGCACGTCCATTGAAGCTGCTCTCCATTCCATTGCGGCAAAAATCCAGGGCAGGATCGACATATTTATCAACAATGCGGGTATACTTGCAAACGAGGGTGCAGTGATAGACTATCCCGAGTCAGAAGTGCGTCGGTCTTTCGACACCAATCTTATGGGGTCTTTCAATGCTCTACAGGCGTTCACATCACTAGCTGCGCCTGGTGCGAAGCTCCTTAACATTGGAAGTGCCATCAGTCATTGGTCCCCCCTTCCAGAAGTACCAGGAGTGTGGAGCTATGCAGCCACGAAACTCGCGGCACTGAAGATGGTCGATTATTATGCTTCTGAGAACCCCTATATCCATGTTGTGAGCATTCAACCAGGTATCATTGGCACAGAAATAAATCCCAAAATTCCTGTGGGACCAGATACAGGTATGCTGTCTCCAGTTCGCACGCCATTAGGTAGATGAAGCTGCGTTCAACGCTGACATTTTAACAGTGGAGTTGCCTGCCCACTTCCTCGTATGGATCGCTTCGGATGAAGCGACGTTCCTGAGGAACAAGTTTGTGTGGGCAAATTGGGATGTGGAAGAACTCAAAGCTAGAAGGGAGGAGATTCGGTCATCATCTTTACTGAGAGTAATTTTGAATGGTGTCGACATGTAGTAGGCACCACGTAAGTGGGATTAGAGGACTAAAGGGCTTGGTGCGCTGAAGGTGGTTGGAGTAAATTCAGACATCAGCTCGAGGTGTTAATGCACAAGCGTAACACAAGAGCTCCTCGCATGCGTTACGTAGGTCCTTCAGAGACCCCTGTCCTGTTTGTTGGATCAAATCATCCAGAAGAACAATGGCAAGGTTAACTATTGACAGGTCCCGTTCCACACTCGAGTGACGTGGATCAAACATCATATTAGCCGTTAGGCAAATCGATCCGGAGATATAGGTGCAGACCGTCATCCTAAATGATTTATAGTCAGCTGTTAGTCTAACATCAATGTTATAACGATTTGGGTTACCCTATAAATGCCTGATCTCTTGGATTCACTTGTCGAAAGAGCTGCATAAAACCACGAATCTCAGCAACGAGCTTCTCCCAGTCCCGAAATGATGGGGTAGGCAGGGGTATTGGGAGAGCCTGCCCTTGTTGCGTAAGTGTTCTGCCAAAGCCCCGGAGGTTCTGTATCCAGGGCAACGCCATGGCATGAGCCTGACAAACCTGAGTCCGACAGGCAATGTGGGTGGAGTAAAGGATTGCAAAGCTTCGGCAAAGGTTTGGCTGGCCAAATTTAATGACAGAGCTGGGTCGAAACGGTAGCGGTATGGTAGAGATCCAGTCGTCGAGCATACGGTTCAGACGAATTATATTATCGTCTCGCTGGTAGTTATCCGTCTTCCCGGCGCGAGTTGTGACTATGAAGTCATAGACTTCACCTTGGATCCGCGCAAGACGAACCCGACAACGCAGAAAGTTGAACGGAAAGGTACCATCAGAGGTGGTGACATTTCCAGCTCCATCTTCAGGGTCGGACGATGGCCATTCAAGATCGATGTCAGCCTCACGTTGTACAGGTGGTCGACTGGAGCGCAAGCCGATATCTCTGTCAAGGAGGTATGCTATCCAAAAAACCCGATCCTGTTCTAGTGCTTTTGATTTGTTGAGAGACTCAGGTTTCCGACGATGAAGTCCTAATTCGTGTGCCAGGCGTAAGGCGATGGCAATTAGCATTATCGCAGGCTTGAGGTCTTGCATTCCTTGGAGGATTAAGACCATTCCGACGAGAATCTGGACATTAAGAAGGTCACCCTCACCCATGATTACCTCGGAAAGTACAGACTGTGCATTGTTGAGGTAGAATGTCGCGTTTTCGTTGGACGGTCCGTCGTTCGGCGAAATTCGACTGTGAGCCAAGGCGAGCATCACATTGATTGCGGCCCATGCTGTACGTTCTCTTCGACCCGGGTGTGTGTACCAGCTGTTAATTAATTGTAGCAACCTACCTGGATGGAACAGAGGAAGAATGGTATTTAGTGTGGTAAGGTAAACCTCCGCGGCAGACAAGACTTCATTCAGTGGTGGCAACGCCAAGGCGATCTTAGGATGCTCCTTGACGCCCAGATGGACCTGGTCTTCGTGGAAATCCATAGGGGAAGCTATGATTGACAGAGCCTCTGGAGGCTCATCCAAGGTTGTTGCATGCCCTCGAAGCTCCTCGATCTTTTCTAATGCCTGGCTAAGGCTCGATTCGAGGCGCTCCACTTGTGATCGCAGAATGTCGATGACTTGGCCTGACTCTCGGTGCTTCGCCTTTGCCTTACGGCTTACAGCTTCAAAGGCACAGGTTGAGTCATGCAATATACAATTTGAGCATCGAGGCTTTTGTGCATCGCACTTGATCCGTCTGCGGTAACAAAAGTCACAAGCCTGATGAGAAGAAGGTCAGTCTCCGAATACATCAAATGATGGTGAGTAGTAGAAGAATGCGGAGCACGAACCTTTCTACGCTTTAATTGCAGCATCTGGACACCGCAAGTGACTGTCTAATGTCATCATTCTACGTTGGGGACGATGGAACAGAGTACCTAAGTATTTAGCGTGCCTACCTTCCGCGGAAGCAAAGCTGACAAATGTCCACAAGAAAGGTCCGTGTGTTTTAGAACTGCTCCCCATCAGCCCGCAACCTTAGAGGTTCCATCGCCAGATCCTGGGCAAGACTGCCATGGTGATCTCTCTTCAGGTCTGTGGTTGTAAGCTCGAGTCATAGGTGCTGTTGATGGTAAAGATAGCAAGCTATCTAGCTACCTCGGTAGGTTACGAACCGCCCGGGCCAGCGACCGCTGATCCTACGTGAGACATGTTGGGTCACGTGTCGTAAATTGGGAGGCTGCGCTTGACTTGATAAAGAAGGATCACGACGTCATTTATGCCAAGATATTTTCTCGATGACCGTGACCGTGGCAGCCTCGTCCTGAGACGCGTGCCTGCTAAATTTTGGCTAGGTTGACATTGAACATTTATCGACCCAGCCCAACACTGAATTGGTCCAGATACTCGTCCACGGCGATACAAGACCCCCAAAACCTTGACCAGACCTCAGGAGCCCTCCTCTTCCTGGTACAACTCCCTCTCAACAATACGTCTATCTCCTCGTCCAACCATTTGTGCTCCAGGCCACGAGTAAACAGTCCCATCAGTCTCACAGACTTTCAGACTTTCGATCTTAGCGAAGACACAGCGCAAAGTAACACTTTCCCGCATGGTACAATGAGCGAGACCCCTCGACTTCGGTCGGCCTTTCCCACCACTCCAAGAACCGAGTCTTCACAGCTGCGAACTTTCAATAGCAATGCGCAACCAGTGTTTGCCTCTTCCCAGTCGCGGCAGTCCTACAGATCTTCACCCATAACCAAACCCATACAAACAACCAATAAAGCAAGAGACGATTCACCCCTCATATCCGAAGATGTCATCGATGCGCCCACGCAGCGAATGTACGTCTTTGCTTTCTGGGCTTCGTTATGGGGGTGGAGGATCTACAATGCATGCAGTATTGAGGACGGTACAGATGCCACTTGGCAGTTCCTCAAATGGAGTGGCTTGGACGTATGCTGGTTGATCTCTTTGCCCTCCTTAAGGATACCAAAGCTGCAGTTCTCTATCTGGGTCTTGCTGGCCATCTTGATCGTCCATTTCTTCGCCAATGCGTTCATGATGTTCAGGATAACGCCTCCATTGATGTTCTGGGTTGGACCTCTTTGGAAATTTTTCGATCCAAGCGAGCAATCATTGTCAGGAGCCAAAGTCAAAGTGGACACGATTCTTCACAATTCCTCCATCATTCTCGGCCAGCAAACAATTCACATTTTGCCAGACGGATTGGCCATATTTAACCCCGAGAAAACTTCATTCTGCCTAGACCCCGCAAATACAGCGATCGAGCTTCCGATACGCATCAATCAGACCGACCCTATACTTATCGAATTGAGCAGATATGATCTTGACACCGACGAGGTTGAGCTTATTACTATCCACAGCAAAAATCTAAAGCAAATGATTAAGAAAGCCGAATCCGCAGCACAAGGTTTGGGGAAAGGTACCCCGCTCACGCTATATTACTCCGTTAAGAAGACTGGTCTTTATCAATTAAGCCGCGTGATGGACAAATCCGAACTACAAGTACGAAGCCGTAGTTTTGATGCGGCAGTCGTCACATGTCCCAACGCTTCAATATCCTCGAAATCCGTGGACAGATGTACTGGAGATTTGAGCAGTGTGTCATTAAGAGTCGAAGGGGTTCCTCCATTCATGGTGAGGTACAGCAAGACAGTAAATGGAAAACAATTCAGCTCCAATGTGCAAAATGTTCAGCCTTTGCTAGATGACTATCTCAAGCCTGATGATCCATCTAGCGTGGTGCTTGACCCTCGGAAGCCGCATGTTGGTTGGACAAAATCCGTGGGCGAATCATTTGAGATCAATGAATCCCTTCATCAAAATGGAACCCATTCCTACGTTATCGAATCAGTTGAAGATGGATTGGGCAACAAAATCCTATATGGTTCTCCCAGTCCAAAGGACCTCCATGCACCACGGGTACAAAGTTTGGTAGTGCACAATCGACCTCAAGTGAGACTTCATGACTGCAGCCCCGATCTGTTGATTCCAATACCATCTGGAAAGACCACGCGACTTCCCATACGGATCCAAGATCCCGCTAAGCTTCATGCGTCCGACTGGCCCTTGACATTGAAGTATCGCTTTGTGGCAGAGACAAACGAAGAAGTTCCTCAAATTGAAGTATTTGCTCATGAAATGACAGACGACCGGTCTGGGCCCACAATTGGGAAAGCTGGTCGCTACAGCATCGATTCCATTGCTGGGCGGTTTTGTCCTGGAGAAGTACTTGAGCCCTCTTCATGCAGTTTGTTCAATCCACCAGAACCAGATATTTCAGTGGCAAGAGAAGATATCTTTGACAAATGTGCTGGAAATTCAATTGGGATGACTCTGAACCTCGATTTCACCGGAACACCACCATTCAAAGTCATGTACAATGTTGCACGCGAAGGCAAAGCTCGACCTCAGGTAAAATCGTTCTCAACGATGCGTGGTCAAATTGAATTACTCGAACAGTCTGCCGGAACTTACACCTATACTTTGAACCAGATCTCGGACTCTGTTTACGAACCTAATTCTCTGAAAGATCGCGGCCTCGTGTTTCAACAGACTATCAGACCACCAGCTTCTGCGGTGTTCCAAAATTCTCAAACCATCATCAAGGCATGCCTGGGTCAACCCGTGCCTGAGACGGTCAAATTGCTTGGTGAAGGACCATGGGAACTCGAATATGAAGTCATCCATGGTGGGAAGAGAAAGAAGCATACTATTCATTCAGACACAGACCTTGTGACCATCGATTTCCCTGGCCAGACAGATGGAGGTCGATATACTTTGATGTTGGCCAGTGTCCAAGACAAGTCTCGATGCAAGACCATACTCAAGGAAGAACGACACCTTGAAATACGGCCTGACCAGCCCACCGCTGCTTTCGGTGACATTCAAGGTAAAAGATCCATTCTTGCCCTGGATGGAAAAGAGGCCAAAATTCCTCTACGTCTGAAAGGAAATGCACCATGGGCGGTGAGGTTTCAAATGTTGAACGATCCATCTAGCTCCGTTGAGCAACATTTCCGTCAACCAAATGCATTTTTCACTGTCAACAAACCGGGCAATTATGAGATTGTGTCTGTCCATGATCAGTGCTCTGGCCTTGTTGATCCCACAGCCAGTCAATTTCAGGTCAATTGGATCCCCCGACCTTCGCTAGAAGTCAAAGACCCATCATTGGCAGAGGATAGTGTCAGTGGCCTTCGCAAGGCGCCTGTCTGTCAGTACGATGAATCAGCACTGGCGCTTGCCATGAGAGGCACTCCGCCCTTTAGTGTGAAATATCAGCAAAAGTATGAACCCACCAAAGGTGGGGCTTCAATAAGCAACAAAGAAAGCAACTTTGTTGGCATGAGCGCACTCATCAACCTAGACACATCCAAAGCCGGCGAATATACGTACGTATTCTCTGAATTGGGTGATGAACGCTATGCTCCTGACAAGAAGCGATTTTCACCCATCGTTGTGAAACAGCAAGTCTTCGCGCCACCCTCGGCAAGATTCAATCAACCAGGGAAAACATACAGTTATTGTCAAGATGATCCCAGCTTCACGAGTCATGGCGTAGAGACCGAAAACATACCAATTGCCCTTACCGGAGTGCCTCCTTTCAATCTTGAGATCGCAATCACGCATCATGGGCAGGCCCCTCGACCTGAAATCATCCGGCAGAAAGATATTCAAACAAACATTTACTCCTGGCCACTGTCTCGAACCACCCTGGATCTAGGGATTCACAGCATTGCCATCCGCTCGGTCAAGGACAGCCGAGGCTGTGAGAGTAATCTTGAGTCTGACCCATCTTCTGTTCGAGTACAAGTATCCTCGCCACCAAGCATCAGCCCACTTCAATCACAAGAGAACTTCTGTGTTGGCGAGCACGTGTCGTTCTCACTAAGCGGCCAATCGCCGTTCGAGGTGTTCTACAATTTCGGCGGTCAGGAGAGAAAGGCCAAGGAGAATAGTCATGAGTTCAAGCGCCTGACTGACCGCCCTGGTGAGTTTGTTGTGACCGGCATCAGCGACAGTGCAATGGGCAGCGGTAAATGCCGCGCAAGGAAAGAGATCAAGAAAACGATCCGTCCCTACCCGACAGTCAAACTAGCTCAAGGCAAATCACTAACGAGCGACATCCACGAAGGTGGTGAAGTTGAAATCCACTTCAGCTTCAGCGGTACTCCGCCCTTCGAATTCACGTAAGAATTTCTCTTTCCACTCACTCCGACTTTCTCTTTGAAACTTGCCAACTGACTGCGATATGATTCAGGTACACACGGTCCGAAGACGTCAAGGGCCACGCAGGGAAAATCCTCGAGACGCGACACGACACGTCCTATGAGTACAGCAAAGTGATTCGCGCGAGCGACGAGGGTATCTACCAGGTCGTGTCTATCAAAGACAGCTACTGCTCGTACACGAAACCCACGCACAAGAAGCATCGTGATTCCAGTGGCAAGGGAGGGAGTTTTCAGAAGCTCTTGAATTTTTGAATGACACAACAACCAAGAGGCAATTGCCGAACGACTTAAGCTTTTTTGTATTGCCTGTTTATGTCCGCAAAGAGCAAAAGATACTGGGGGTGGAGTGTGGAGTTCTGGTGTCGGGCGCAGTGCTAGGCACTGCAGGCCTGCGCTGCCGCGTTGTTTTGTGAATGTACTGTAGTGTCATGGATAGCCGCAGCAATCGATCGGTAATTAGCCCGAGATTCTTTGGATGGGATTGAAGACTGGAGGACTTTGGAAGACATGGAAGACTTCGCTCTAATTATTGAGAGCTAGATTTGTCGGGCAAGACTTACCTGGACAGCAGTATAATTAGTCTTCTGGCATCCATCAACCCGTTTCATTCGTGCAGCACTCCAGTTTCATAGTCTGGGTTTGGTATGATAAGCACATGGGTTATCTTGATGCTGTTCCTCTCGACGGGTGGTACAATCTGTATACACTCACAACTGGGCATTAAAATGCCTGAACACTCACTGCTTGGCGTTGATGGGCACAATTCGCCATTGAGAATACGAATCCAGATGCAGTCAGTAGATTTTACCACCCAGTACGAGGTGAGGGTGAGGAAAGCACGAAGATCGAGGAAGATGGATGGGAGAGTGAAGAGCAGGGAGAAGTAGAGGTACTCTAGAATTGGGATCTTTTTTATCAGAGGAGGAAAATAGTATTCTTGATTGTGGTACGACTCTCAGTCTTGTCTTGAGTACAAATGGTGACATCGAGATGGGTGGATACTTCAGACAAGCAGTCTGCTCATCTTCCATCCTCCTTTCCTCAGGTCTGTGAATACAGTTTTTGTTTGTCTAGCCAAATACACCATCAAGAGAGGTTCTTGCATTGCCTTGCTGCAAGTCCCTTTACTCTGCATCATTCCGAGTTCGAGACTTGAGGTACAAGCTACATCGATCAGACACATACGATGGCACTGATGGTAAGTTGGATGAGCTGTGCTGTTTGGTTTAGTGAGTTTTGACTATCGGCCTTCCTCCTATTCTTTTTTTGTGGATTTTTGTTGTTTTGTTGTGGTGTTCGAGGTATGATGCTGTGGCGTTGAAAACTGCTCTGTCTTGAGTTGGGGTCGACAAGACCAAGCTCAGTGTCGGGTGTCATCCATGAAGAAGATGTATTAGGTGTTAGAGGGCGTTTTGAGCGACGGTGTTGGGTTCGAAGGGTATCTTGATTATGAAGACTGTTCTGAGTCCGTCTGCAGGAACTAGAAAGGTATGTGACAGGTTGCTCTACTGCCTGATGGAGAATATTCGTCGGCAGTCGAACGACGGTGGAAAAAGGAGGTAATTATCATTGACGAGCCTTGATGACGACTGGGAGGAGGCAATCGCATTGATAAAAAGAAATCGTTTGACAGAGGTGTATGTTGGTTATATAAGTCCGGTGGTCGTGCGTTCTGTGTTGAATGTTGAGAGATGGTACGGACCCAGAATGAGTCAAGTCATGATCCAGGTAAACTGGAATAAACCAAAGTAACGCCATGCAGATCTACAAAACCCATTGTAGATGATGCCCCGAACTCTTCAGGCTTTTGACACAAATCCACCGGCCTGCTGGTCTACCCGTACCAGATAGAAGAAGGGTAGTCCTTGGAGAATTCCCAACGCCAGTGAACCCTAGAATGCAAGCAATGAAGAATGAAAGAAACCTGCTCGACGAAGTCCGTCCCATTCTGTTGTCGATCCAGAAAGTCCTCAACAAGAAGAAAGCAAGAAATTGAAGCTGTACGACACTGTTGTACAGACCTAACAACGAGCCATAATTTCAACTCCGAGCTGTCGCATGTCGCATATCATTGGTCTTCGTGAGCATGGAATGTTGAAACGCCATAAGGAAAAGAAGAGATCTTTAGATCGATCCCCCGGCCCAGTAAAGACTGGAACCTACTGGGCGTTTTGAATAGGTGTTGTTGCCTGTTGAGCATGACCTCCACGACCGCGTTGGCCTTGACCACGGCCGCGTCCTCTGAATCCACCTCTGCCTTGATTGTTGTATTGTTGTCCATATCCATTTGAATAGTTTTGGGGTCTGCGATTTTGGCCTTGAGCCTGACCATTTTGACCTGCTGACGAAGGAACGGCAGCCGGGCCACTTGAGGCGTTGGGTAGGACTGATTTGGACGGCTGCGCTGGAGGAGGCATTGATCGAGGGATGTTCTCGGGGTTGTCATAAACATAAAGACTCTTGTCGATGGAAGGGGGAATGGGCTGGATTTCCGTACCCAACTCCTGCTCAATCTTGTAGAGATTGAAGCGATCATCCCAGTTGATCAAGTTGATGGCCAACCCGAGATGGCCAAACCGACCTGAACGGCCGATACGATGGAGATAGGTCTCGGCATTCTTGGGGAAATCAAAGTTGATGACCACATTGACGGCTTGAATGTCAATACCACGAGTGAGAAGATCGGAGCAGACGAGATTTCGAGAGACACCAGCTCTAAAATCGTGGAAGACCTTGTTTCGATTTTGTTGCAACATTTTGGCATGGGAGTAGAAGCAGGAATAGCCAAGCTCGGTGATTTTCTTGGCCAAAAGCTCGACACGATTGGTCGAGTTGCAGAAGATGATGGATTGATTAATTTGTAGCTTGGAGAACAGAGTGTTGAGACAGTGGACCTTTTGTTTTTCTTCAACAAAGGCATAATATTGGGTAATACCGCGCAGGGTCAACTCGTCCATCAAGTTGATCTCATATGGGTTGCGCATGTGCTTGTCCTTGAATGACTTGACAATCATGGGGAAGGTCGCACTAAACAGCATAACCTGTCGATCTTTGGGGTGGAAGGAAAGTAACTGCTCAACGACGACGGTGAATTCGGGGGAGAGGAGCTTGTCAGCTTCGTCCATGACAAATATGGGACATTCGGATAGATCAGCGACGCCCTTGCTAGCGAGGTCCAGAATTCTGCCGGGGGTACCGACAATGATGTGTACTGTCTCCCCCAGACGGATAATGTCGTCTTTCAAACCAGTACCACCAGTGGTGACCATGACATTGATACCCAGATGTTTTCCGAGCAATTTGCAGACTTGTGATGTCTGAAGAGCGAGTTCTCGAGTAGGGACAAGGATGAGTGCCTGAGTTTTGGGGTTTTTGGGGTTGATTCTTTCGAGAGTGGGAATGACAAAGGCGGCGGTTTTGCCGGTTCCGTTTTTTGCTCTTGCGAGTATGTCTCTGCCTGTGAGGGCTACAGGGATGGTCTCTTCTTGAATAGGGGAGGGCTTCTCAAAACCAGCTTCGAAAATGCCCATCATGAGCTCTCGCTTGATGTAGAAGTCCTCGAACTCGAGGCCTTTTGTCGCTAGGACATCTTCGGTTTGTTGTCTTTGGTCTTTGGCGGGGAGTTTGAGGGAGTTTTTCCAGTTGGCGTCATCTTGTGCGTCGTTGAGAGAAGTTTTGTTTAGCTGTGAAGCTAAGGCGTCCGTCATGTTTCTGGTGTTTACTATGTCGGTAGGCCAAGGGCACCGAGCAAGGCAAAGGGAGGGGTGGAAGGGGTCAATTTGCGAGTTATAAGTGTAAAAGCCGCGCCGATGGTGAGAGACCACGGAATCGAGTAGGCAACCGTTTGTGTGATGACCGAAGGCAGACACTAGGCAAGTCAGGAGATTGTGGTGAGTTGAGGCTGAAGGGGAGTGTGTTGTAAGGGTCTGGCCTTGGTGGTTGGAGTTAGAGTGGTGTATTGGTGTCGATAGACTTGACCGAGTCTCAATGAGGCTGTAGATGGCTGGGATGAGAGGGAGAAAAAGAGGGATCAATTAGATCGAGAGTAAGATTGGGAGTGAGGCTGTTGCTGAATCAAGTGTAATCAAGTCAAGTCAAGTCAAGTTGGTGGTTCAATAATTGGCATGAAGATGAAGAGAAGCGAGTTGCAGTGCGAGAGCGAGTGCGAGTGCGGCGAGAATGTTGGTAGTCGGTGCATTCAGCCAATGGGATACAAACTGCCGGAACAGGGAAGGAACAATGCCAAGAGGTTTAATCATGTGACCGGGATCCACGTGCAAGTTCAACTTGATGCCTGCCGTTGCCTGTCCTTCAACTTCTCGCTCTTTCCATCTATCTCATCTCTCAACTTGAATGCCAAAACCCAAGCAATAGCTCCGCAAGGACGCGCAGGGAAACCCCTTGACGGGTCTTCTGACACGACCCCCTACAGAGAGAGCCTTCTCTGGCCTTCGCGAAGTCGTGTCGAACCGCGTCCATCTCCCATTCCCAGTCTCCTTTATGCGATCGACTATCTCTATCTGCCACGCCTGCGGCACTCTCTTCCGAAAGGCTGTACAACAGTACAGACACGTGATGACACGTGACTCAATCACCATGCTAGCTGTTGGCGGAAATGCATAAAATGGAGTAACTCACAGTATTGGCTGATCATACAGGCCAACGCAAAGGCGGTCAAGCATGAGTTTTACTCAGCGAGTTATACGGAAATGATACAGCTAATTGTTGAAAGAACTTCGAGGGGCTCTTAAAGATGGAAAAAAGCCGTTCTAGATCGCTTCACTAGCAAATCTATATAGCAGGTAGAACAGACAACATTAGGTACAAAAAACAAAGCATTTTGTCGCTTTAATGAACTACCCTATTGCCACATAATCATGCCAACACGATCAAACCACCGGATACAGGACACCGTTTTCAGGCCTGCACCTACTCGACTTTCCCAACAACTACCATATCGCAATCGCAATCCTACGATTCTTCAATGCCGTGTTTGTTGAAAACCTCTCTAATCCAAAGTTCCTAATACTCAAGTCTGTGTTGAACCAGGATTAATCTGGAGTCATTATCCTCCTGCAAGACGAGGGAATCATCACGCTCGTCTTCTTGTTCGATCGCACGTCTGAAAACACGGATGTGGTCGACATCGACTAGACTGTCATCCTCCTTAATCTCACTCTGATCATGTTGATTCAGGAATCTCCCAATATCCAATACTTCAGATTGATCTTCAGTTTGTCTAAGCTTTTCCTCTTGTCGAATTTCATCAACGTCATGTACGTTGACTTCTTCGTCGGTATCCATGAAATTGTCTCTTCGAACCGTTTGGTTGGATTTCAATACCGTAGTTTCACCGATGCTCTCTTCAAGATTATCGATTTCGTCGTGTGATAACGTGTCCATGTGTTTCGCTTCGCGTGGCCCAGCATAGCAAATATCTCTATCTGAAGATCTTTCATCTTCGGAAAATTCGTCCCTCGATAGATCATCATCATGATCATTTTCGGGAGAAATATCCCAGTCTTGTTCTACGGGTCTCATGGGTTCGAAATTATTCACGACCTGGTTATCATTGACTTCGGGTGGGAAAACTTCGTCGTTCAATTCTTCTAAAGAGTCATCATCAATGATTCTCAAGAATTTATGATTCCTGCAAGGGCGGCTGGTGTATTCTCTTGCGTTGTATGTTGCAAAACAATCATAACAGAAGTTGGTGTCTGGACAGGATTTGCAAAAGTACAAAGAATATCTTAAATCTCGACTGCGATTACGGCAGAACACGAAAAAGAAATTGCGGTATCACAATACACTGACTCTTGTAGAGCAACTCGAGCAGGTGGATTGTCGCCCAGAAGCAAAAGACAATGGCCAATATGGTAGAATAGATTAGGATCCTTAAAGGAGGATTTGCGAAATTCGGCCCCAAGATCGGCAAGTGATTGTACTCGGAGTTGATGCTGGAGGGCTTCAGGTGTCGGACAGGCCGCTTTTGGAAACAAATCAGTCAGGTATGAACCTCCTATCGATATCGCCCAGTCCAGAGGCATTCTGCCTGCCAAGTCGCGAATATCAATGCGCATGCCATATGATAGCAAAAGGTCGATGGTCTTCCCGTGAGATTTCCCTAAAGCACAGGATAGTGGCGTCTTTCCGAATCTATCGCAGGCATTTAAGTCGGCTTTCCCTTCAGACAGCGCGGTAAGACATCGACTCTGGCCTTTCCAAGCTGCCTCATGGACTGGTGTAAAGCCACAGTTTGGACATGATCGGCAGAGAGCACCAGCGCCTTGGAGAGTATAAATTATCTCAGCATTACCTTGCCCGGAAGCGTAGTGCAATGCGGTGTGTCCGTATTTATCATGTTGATTGAAGTCGACACCTTGACGTAGAAGGGCTTGACAAACTTCGAGGTGGTTGTTGTTTGAGGATAGTATAAGCGGTGGACTGTGATCTCCTTCTGCAGCATCCAAATTTGCACCTTTTTCAATAATCGTTTCCACAATAACTTTATACCCTTTGAGTGAAGTGTTCTGTAGGGCAGTTGCATATTTCCCCGGAGCGTTGACATTTGCCGCGTTATCCAATAATATCTTGACGGTCCTTTGGAAATCATCTTCTTCCAGAGCCGTTGGGATGGGCTCTTCTTCAGTCGAATGACTCTGGTCGGAACCGCTCGACCAATCACGCATAGTCGGGGGGGTCTTTGCCACCTTCCTGCACCAAGTGCAATCTGACCAATGCAGCTTGAAGAGCACTGCCATATCTTCCACACTGATTGTTAACATCAGCTCCTCTTTCTAAAACGAGCTTTACTGCTTGGTAAGAACCTTTTGACGAAGCAGCTTGAAGAGCAGAGCCAAATATACCTCCACGAGCATGGACGTCTGAGTCGTGGTCAAGCAAGGGTTCCACAATGTGTAAGCGACCACTCGCACATGCGGCTTGGAGGGAACTTCCATACCTTCCACTTCGAACATTCACGGTAGCCTCATGTTGCAAAAGCTTCCGTACAGTCTCAACCGATCCAGATAAAGATGCTCTTTCCAATGCGATACCCAATCGAAATCGAAATGGACCATTGACTTCAGCTCCTTCGACTAGCAGCATATTGACTATCTCGGATTGACCTTTGCCTGATGCTATCTGCAAAGCAGCGCCATTTAATTCCGAGGCATCAACATCAGCACCATGCTCGAGTAGGTGCCAAAAAACACGACAGTGGTTATTGGCAGCAGCAAGATGTAAAGGCGTCTCATCATTCAAATCGATTAGATTCAAGTCTGCGGAATGAAGTGGTGTATCATTCCTCGAATTATATGTATCAGGTTCGGTCCCGAGATCCAGCAATATTCGCATTACTTTTAGGCTACCTACCGCCATTGCCAATGGAATTCGAGTTTCCAGGTGACCTTGAGCAAAAGGATCAGCACCATGCCTGAGTAAAAGCCGAACGACGGGCTCGGAGGAACCCAACGCTGCGTGATGAAGTGGAGTACCATGCCTTGTGCTAGGCGCTTTTGGGTCAGCTCCAGCATCTATAAGTAATTTAACGATGGCCTCATCTCCCCCGAGTGCAGCCACATGCAGAGCTTCGTATCCGATATCATAAGGACTTTTTATGAGAATGTCCCCAGGAAAGAAGTAATTTGAGGGCTTCAAAATGACCTCCCTTAACGGCAATGTGCAGTGGGGTGATGGAATATAGCGTAGCTGGCTGTTATTGAAAGAGGATCCATGGAATGTAAGTTTACAAGTTGACACTCAAAGTGCTTTGTCTCAATTTGATGTTCAAAATTTTTGGGGCAAGATGACGGAGAATAATAGCACGAGGCTGGTATTGTTATTTTGATCTGAATTCGAGAGATCTGATGGTCGTGTTCACCATCTCCCGAACAAAAAGGATAGGTAGTTGACGTCGAGTGCTGCCAGAGGGGGAAACAGGATTGTCCAAACCGCAACCGAGAGTGCTGGAGTGCATAGGACATCGTTGACTTTGGCTGAGAACACGAGGGTTGGCATTGGCTTGAGGTGAGGAGGATGATAACCAGTGGCAGGGTTCAAGGTGCACCTGCAGTCTTCTCTTTCCGGCCTTCGAGCGAACAAGTCTCATCCAGTTCATTTGACCCAAGGTGTGCAGACCTCTCTAATGCGCCAGCCATTTATTAGCTAGGACTGTTCGTATTATAATTCGTATTATATCACATCCGCGCCTTTGACTGTAGCTCCCTGCGATACTTGAAAAGCGGGTCGTGTTCAAGCAACACCACCAAAGCTTCAGGTGGTCTAGACTTCTAAACCACGAGCTTGGCACTGATCTTGCAGCATGGCTGAAGCCTACCTAGGTACAGCCTGAACAGGCTGAGCGCAGGGCCATCTATCTTCGGCTTTCCAGTCGTGAAAAGCTATGTTGTCGAAAATGCTGGGTACTAATGATGTCGGTAGGCTTGGATCAGAGGAGAGTCGGACAGACTGGTCAAGTAGAAAGGAAGACAGAACAGCTGCGTGAAACGCATCGACCTTTGTAGTCAGTGGCTGCAATTCTGCCATGAGATTTCAACATTCTCATCGTGGCATGTGGCTTGTGGTTTTGCTTCTAAGCTGTCAGATGATATTGCACTGTCAGGTGGGAAAGTGCCAATCACAGACGATCCAAGACTTCGGTGCATTGAACTTTTCAGCCGAACCCAGTACTTCACAAGTGGAAGACAACCAACGTTGATGTCTGGTCCCAGGTATGGCAGAATCGGTCGTTGGAGAGTACTAATATCATCAAAGCCTGCCTGTCTTACTTCAACATAATATAAAAACCATGTGCAGGCGGTGACACGATGCACGCGCATGTAGGGTATCTGACGAGTAAGATCCACCCAAAGACTTCGCAAGTGGGAACACTGGGTGGAGGGCAGTAGGCCACCAACCTCTCGGGTCGAATCAGGTCTGCCTGCGTGTCCATGGGAACACATGATCCAATCATCTCCGTCTTCCACACAGCCGGACATGTGCATTCTCCTCGAGCATGGAAATTTCCAGCTTCGTGTCACAGCTGCTGGAGATTGCTGGGGGTTCACAGACTCCGTAACATCATACAGGATCCTTCACCAGGAAAATCTCGTCTCATGCAGCAGTGAATACCAGTCTCGTCTGTCCCCTCTCTGGTTCGGCGACCCTGTTCATGTGTTAGATACTGGTCTTCTTCAACTGATTCATGGCAACTTACTCTTGGGCATGGACATCTGGTGCCTCTTTGATATCGGATCTGGCCCCGGGACTGATCAGGATGAACTGTTTCCCGATACTTTGTCTTGCCCCTTCAATTAAGAGATTGATGCTGATAGATCGATTTACTGCATCCATGAAAACATCAAACTCGTCCAAGCATCGGACTGGGGATCCCATGGCTTCCCATATCGCCAGAAGTAAGCAGATTTGTGTAAACGACTTCTCGCCCCCCGATAACGTCCTAACTCCTCTTCCGGTCCCATCTCTTGTTGTAATGTCGGGTTCGACCTGGAGTTCCATCATCTTTTTCTTGTGGTCCATGGCCACCTGGCCTCGGAAGCCTCTCTCACTAAGCATATACATGAATTGAATCTTGATACGGTGTGAGATCAAACTCCGGAACAACTTCCATCGGTTTTTGCGTTCCCTAAGCGACTCCCATAACTTCTCGAGCAGCTGTTCCATGTCTTTCATCTCCTGCTGCGCTCGGTTGTACGCTTGTGAGCATTCGGCTGCTCTGGCGGCAATCTGTTCTTTGCTTGCCCCGATTGTTCTTTCATGGGCCGCATAGTCTTTGGAGAGTCTCTTGTACTTTGCATCGAGAGCTTCATAGGTCACTCCTTCAGGAATATTGACCCGCTCGGATACCGCACGTGCTTGCTCTGTGTAATTGTCGATGTTGTTGGTCATCTCGTCCAGCTTGCGATTCATCGTCTCCCGGTCCCCCTTGGCATCACCAATTCGTGCTAGTGCTGCGTTCTTCTCACCCAGAGCATATGCCCTCTTCTTCCCGGCCTTTTGGGCCATCGCCCGGGCATCATTCGCAGTCGCTTGGAGGTGGGCTATCCTCTCATCCAGATCGGTAAGCTTTTGATGCGCCTCTCTAAGCTTGTGCTTGACGTCGTCCAGAGCAGTGACAGAGTCTTGATATGAAGTTGAGTTGATACCCTTCTCTTCCTCTGCTTCCCGTTGAGCTTCTCTCAGGGCATCCAGTATACCGCCTTCAGAGCTGTCTGCATTGATCGCGTCACTCAGGCGTTCGGTTTCTTCTTGGGCTCTTTGAACGGCCACTCTGAAATCACTACTGTCACGGCCGTGTTTGACGAGAACTTGCTGCGCTTTTACGTGTTGGGCCTGAACACTGCGGAATTTGTCTTCAAGCTGAGTGAGTTGCAGCTTTGATTCTTCGACGGCTTCACCCTGTCTCCTGATACTCTCGTCGATGTCAGTTCTCATGCGGGGCCCGCCTTGAAACTGGTGCACGGGATCTTGAGCTGGTTGTCCATTCCGATAGAACAAAACAGCACCTCTGAGTCGAGTATTGGCGCTGAAACAGTAGCATCTCTTCACATTCCGTAGCGGCTGGCCTGATGAGTACAAAGTCTCCGAAGCCTCTGCCATGTCCGGAATCAGAATGGCCTGTTCGATGTTGTGTGCAATAACCAGTTGTTTCCTTACAGACTCATTGTCAATCTCCAAAATCCTCAGAATGGTATCGAAACGAGCGTCTGGCTCGTGGCTGGTCACATCTATGGGTTGGTTATTGCCGATGAAGATCGGCAAGAAGCATTTCGTCCGTCTCATAAGGTCGCTCAGTAGTCTTTCGTCCGTCTTATTGTTCACAAGAAAAGCATTCATCGTGCCACCAAACGATTTCTCCAGAATTGAAGACCAGTCCTGTTTGAGCAATTTGACATGTTTCCCAAGCGGGCCAATGGGGCGAATCTGGAATCTGGTTTCATTCTGAATGGCCCTTAAAAGCTGAGGCATGTTCTGATGGAAGGCCAAATCTTGAGAATTGCGATTGCGCGTCATCTGATCAAGTATTTGGGTCTGTTGTTTGACTTTGTCCTCCTGGGAAGTCCTCGCTTGGTCAGCCTCCTCGACAAGTCTTCGAAGGGTCTCAACATTGGCTTGCAGTTCAGGTAAACGTTCAGCATGCTCCTTTTCATCCCGCTTCGCTTGAAGGAGTGCTTGTTCGGCTTCTTGCAGGGCCTGCACGCGAGCGGCAGCACCTCCACCGTCCAACTCGGCCAATCTGTTCATTTCTTCTTCGATGGCTTTCTTTTTAGCGGAAATGACAGCTTCGTTGCCCTTTAGTCTCCCCCGAATGGTACGTTGGTCCGTTTGAGCTTGTGTGGTGGCTTTCTTGACTTCATCATGCTGTGCCTTTGCCTCATGCTTTTCTTCATCGACTGTGGCGAGCTCAGCACTTGCACGTTCAAAATCGTTGGTGGTGTTAGTGGCGTCTTCATCTGCTGCCTGGTATGCCGCTTCGAGCTGGGCAGCTTTGTTTTCCGCATCGACAATCTTAGCATCCGCTTCTTCGATCGCTTGGATGTACTTGTCCCGCACTGCTTCTTGTTGCTCAACTTGTATCCATGCCAGCATGCGGCGGTATTCTCGCATTTTTGCGAGGAGGCCATCATGTTTCTGCGACAATTGTAATTTCGTGTTGGCGCTTTCCATGGATTTTCTCAAATCCTCCAGATCGGGGGCTGTAATTTCAATCTTTGCTTTGATGTTTTCCGACTGTTCTTCGATCAACCGATAATCTTGATCGAGCTGTTCCAGTTGAACACCCTTCATGAACAGTTTGTACTTTTCGGAAGCGGCCGAATTGGAGATAAATTGCCTCGCCTGATCCTGTGAAAGAACGGACATGGGATTGTCAAACTGCATCATCATGTGATCCAGAATATCCTCCAGGTCCATTTTCCGGGATGAGATGATGCGACCCTTTTCCGACTTCAGCTTGAAACCACTGCTTCCATTTCCCGCGCGGGAGAAAAAGCGTTGGACTTGAATTGTTTTGCCGTAGAGTTCCGGCTTGTAGGCGTTTTCTCCTTGATTCTTGATGTAACAAGTAATTGAGGCGTGATCTCGACCCTCCTTGATAAAGTCTTGAAGTCGGGCGCCTCGATTAGTGGCGGACGCCTTTCCACCGAGGCACAGTGTGATGGCAGTCAAGACTGCGCTCTTCCCACTACCATTCTTCCCACAGACAAAGTTGATCAGAGGGCCAAATTTGAACTCATATTTCTCATGACACATGAAGTTCAATAGATCCACCCCCTCCAGAATTCCATATTCAGCCGCTTCATTTCCCTTGCTCTTGTTTTGGGCTGCTTTGACCCGGAGAGCTTGTGTGGCAGCAACGTCGGCTTGTTCATCATCAGTGTCGAAATCTGAAGGCGGAGTGCTTGCGACAGGTGAATCTTGTCGGTCAGTGAGAGGGGTTCTTCGGATCGAGGATTCGTCGCTAGTGCGTCTTCGTTTATTCTGGAATTAATGTGAGCGTGCTTTCCTTGATCCTTCACTATGTCTAGGCCTACCGAAGCAGATGCGGGTGAAGAGGATGGCGCTGGGGTCTGTCCTTGATCTCCGTCACTTTCATCGTCTGAACGGTCAGGCGCCGGCCTCTTTTGGGGCGCCATGGGGCAAGGCAGAAGCGACAACCACCAGTGACGGAAATGTGAGTTCTACTGGGGATGGGAAAGGTGCACGATCTCAATTGTCATGTGGTGTTGCATGTGCAATAGATTGAGATCGCATGGGTTATCAGCGACAGCGGTGGTGGTGGTGGTGGTGGTGGTGGTGGTGGGTCCCAGGCAGTCGCGTCTTTTGCTGACACGTGCACGTGGTTGTCATTTTACGCGACGGGGGTTTAGCCATTTTTTTCCATTTCCACTCGGATTTCACTTCCCCACATTTGCATCATCTTGAATGATTCTTGACAGTCACTCGTTTCTCCGCAGCCTCCAACCTGGGAATTGTTCCAGACGCATGCCTGCCAGTGTACGAGGTAGAACGAAACAAGAACAAAACCTAGCTTCACCTATTGGTTTCTAGGAGCTTTGAGCTTTCTGAGCACTCTCTTCAATCAGGCCCAATCTCATCCTCAGAGGAGGTACCCCTCCGACAGAATGGCTTCGGCCATAGCTAAAGATGGCGACAGTCCAAAAGCAAAGGTATTCTATCCGATACTCGAGTTCCAACCGAATCTAATGAGAGTGTCCCAAAGCCCAGTGCCTTGCGGTCCATAATCGCCGGCTCTACAGCTGGAGCCGTGGAAATTGGTGAGTCTCTCCACCGCATGGAATTATGCTGGCAGCAGCAAATCCTTGTTATCCATTCATCTACTCATCGCCTTTTGCAACAGCAATAACCTTCCCCTTCGATTTTCTCAAAACAAGAAATCAGCTCAATTTACGGCTTCCCGAATCCAAAAAAGTCCCTCTCCCTCCGTTTCCTTCCAAAGCATGGTATACAGGATGTACCACGGCTGTCATAGGAAACTCGGCCAAAGCGGGTGTACGCTTCTTGGCTTTTGACTCATACAAACATCTCCTATCAGATGCCGATGGACAAATCTCCGGCCCCAAAACAGTGCTTGCTGGGTTTGGTGCTGGAATCACAGAATCTTTACTCGCCGTTACACCCTCAGAGTCCATCAAGACACAGCTAATAGATGACCGAAAGAGGGCGCAACCAAGAATGCGAGGTTTCATCCACGGCTCAACCTTGATCGCAAAAGAAAAAGGTATCAAGGGGTTTTTTCAAGGATTCGTTCCAACCACTGCAAGACAGGCCGCCAACAGCGCAGTTCGCTTTGGCACATACACGACTTTGAAGCAATTTGCGGAAGGTTATGTCGCTCCTGGAGAAAAGTTGGGTTCCGTCACGACGTTTGGTCTTGGAGCAGCCGCCGGTGTGGTCACTGTTTATACAACGATGCCTTTGGACACGGTCAAGACTCGAATGCAGAGTCTGGAAGCCAGCAAGAACTACAAGAACAGTTTCGACTGTGTTGCCAGCATTTTCAAGAATGAGGGACTACTCACATTCTGGTCAGGTGCTTTACCAAGACTAGGTCGGCTGACATTAAGTGGCGGCATCGTCTTTACCATGTGAGTCACCCAGCAATTTCCCTCGGATATCTATTGACCTGATATTCAGGTATGAAAAAACCATCGAGCTCCTCGATTTACTAGATCCACACAAGAGATTCATATGAGGTCTTCTGCTTCGATAGATGGCGCTCTCGCAGAGGTGTTTAAGATCTCAACACTATATACTACACCATGGTAATTGTGAATTCACCGATCCCGAATTGAAGGCAGGAGGGCAAGTATGTGTCATTTGGAACAGGGAAGCCCAGCGAAGCTAGACACGGCAATATTTAGGTTCGAGATGAAACAATCCTCACAGGAGGAACGGGTCCTCTGATAGTCCTCATGATACCCAATACTAAATATACGATTTTAGAGATCCACCATGCTTTTCCTCCTATGCCCCAGCCTAAGCCTTCGTCCTGATCTGCTTGACAAGTCCTTCGCCCAGGGCACTCACTTCAGCCAGGACGGCATCCTTGTTGAACACACACTGCGCTTTATCGGTCCCATCATCTTCTTCCACCGCCGCTGCAGCAACTGGCACACTGGACCAACCCAGCCTGACGCGCCATTCCTTCTTTCCCACCACCGCTGGCCTCCACAGTCCAGCAATGACATCTCCTCCATGCCCATCATGGAAGAATAGTGCAGTATTGCGGAACGTAGCTTTCAAGTCCTCAATGAACAGCACCACAGGATCGTAACCGATCGAATCAATGTCCAGTGATCGACCGAGCTGAAGATTCTTGAACTCGCCTCCATTCCTCTCCCGGCGTGATCTAGACCCGGCCTCGCCGCCGTGGTGCTTGACCACAGACGGCTTGAGATGGATACGGAAGTCGAAGTCGTCAAGGGGGCTCACAAACAACCCCGACCAGTCCTGCTGCTCCATTTTAGACCCGCGCTCTTTCACCATTTCGACCGCCGCGCTGGCCAACGCCCTAATCCGTCCGGCGACTACTCGCTCTGGTCTCGATCCTTGCGTCCAGACCGTACCGGTGGTATCGATGTTCGTGCCGACAAACCAGGTCATTGTGTTCAGACTGGGATCGAGTTTCCGCCACGCCTGGAACCGCGTCTTGGCTTCATTGACCTGCTCGCCCGTCATGGCCTGGGACAAGCTCAGATCGGCGACCAATGGTGTGATGGAGAAATCCCAACGCGACAGTAGATGGAGACAGCGGAGGAATGCGGTCGTTGGTGATCCGGGCGCTGACCATGGAGACGGGCAGAGGAATATGTGCGCTGCAATGATTTCGAGGACTTCTTCAGGAAGGTGGTGCAGGAGGAGGTGTGATGAGATCCATTTCTTCAGGAGGCGGATCGTGCTTGAGAGGCTTGGGAAGCGTGTGCATAGATTGCGGATGGCGGTTGTATGGATCGGCGCAGCGATGAAATGTCGTTTGTATGCTGCTAGTGCGGTGGCGAGCGAATCGCGGACGGAGCCGTGGAGGGACTTGTCAGACAGTGCTGTCTGCAGGAGATGTTCCTCGCGATCATGATAAATGCGCGTGCGGAAACAGATTGGGGAGAGATCGGGGGCAGGAGATGGGTAGATGATGTCGAGAAATGAGGTATTGAAGTGGCCATTTGTTGCCAATTCGGTATTTTCCAGACCAACGCGAGTGCTGACTTTGGAGTCGGAGGCGGACAGGAGCTCTGCAAGTTTGAGGAGGAATGCAATCTTTGTATGCTGGATCGCTGGGAGCGAGTCTGGCCATCTTGTGGATGAGTCAAATTGAACGAGGATATCGATTGGTTCCGTGGTTGAGGGGAGCAAAGGATGGCTCGCTGTGGAAGAACGAAGGGCGGCACTAGTCGGAGAAATCGACCGGATTGGTAGTGGCAGACCTTCGAGTCCATGAAGAGCTGATGCCAAAGATTGGTAAGTGTTATTGATGAGTCTGTATGCATCCTTCGGCCCCACAGATGCATCGTCGCTCAAAACACTGGCTTCTAGATCGCCACTCTTCACCGACACTGAGCTAGGAAGCAGTTCGAAATGATGTAAAGCCAGATGTCTGACTATTTGCGATGTGACCGGGCTCCCAGAAGTCCAGACCAAGCTCTCAGTGATACTTCCATCTCTGAAACGCCTTCGCTCAGCCTTGTCACCCCAGAACTTTTGGAACTCTCCAGCTTCATCCGGTTCTTCGGCAGAAGGACCGCGGTCCACAAGACGAGCAACAGTTTCTGGGTTTGTCAGAAGACGGACTTCGAAGACGTCTTCGCCAGTCGATGGATCTTGTTTCAAAGCCCAAGAATGTTCAGTGAGTAGCTTGAAGTCCACTAGTGATACCCTGTCACCAAGACCACGTACCAATATGCTGTGGAGTTTATGCACCTCCCGCTGTTGTTCTAATGCAGTGCTGAATTTCCCCATGGGGAACCTCATCGAGAATATTTCATCGAATTGCAGCAGAGGCTCCGCAACCCGTGACATGAAGACTGACTCGAAAGTATCGAGGACTTTTCCATTGACATTCGTGAGCGATATCTGGGCGTGATGGCGGAGCGATTCGTAAGACCAAGGACTCATTTTGAAAAGGATGTTGACACCAGTTTCAACATCGAAAAAAACAGGTAACTCAGAACGAGGAATGTCCACCGCAGTGCTGCCAATGACCCAGGGATTTCTTAGATCTCGTCCAGATAGAACTTGAAGCATTGCTTTGAAGAATTGGAGGCTGCTATATTGTTTTGAAAATAGCGGATGGCCACGATGACCGCCACCACGAAGCAGTATTGCACACATCTGGGTCCATTCTGGATATCCAAAGCCTCCATTGGTGATAGAACTCGAGAAGCCGCGCTGACGTAACCATGTCTGACCGAGGCGACATGCGTCGTCAAAAGCCGGACTTCTGGCTGACTCCAGTGTGCTGGTATGTTCCATGACTGAAGCGACTGATCGTAGACAGCTGTTGTAGAATGGAGTGGCTTGTTGATGGCCAGCATCCTCATAATTGGGTAAATGGCGCAAACAATTCTTGGTTGGCAGGGTCTTGTCCAAAGGTATTGACTTGCTAGGAAGTCCAAATGAGACCTGAAACTTGAATTTTGATATGGATAACTGCTTTGGAGTCAAGTTGAGAATTGGTAGCAGATCAACATCATCCGCATAGGAGAAGGACAAGTTGAATTCTGAGTTGGCTTTTTCTTTGATCTCCAACGCAATAGATGCAATATAGAAAGCTCCTTTATGGAAAGCTCGATTGTTCAGATAGTCTTTCTCTTGGAGAGTTGCATCTGGCAGGATAACCTTCACTTCTATGGTTCTGTCGTCCCTAATACTGAGTTGGTTCGACATGGCACCTTGAAGGAATACCTGACTTGGCGGAATGAATTCGAACTTGTAGTTGGTTTCCTTGGTGGGAGAAGGTTTAGAAAAAGGTATGTTGACGCCCTTCTTGCGGAAAGATTTGAGAACGTCGGCTGCAGTCATGGCAGGCTTTGGTGACATTTGCTTGACGATTGATTCGAGCCTGTTGGCCACATCGATCCATTTGGTACGGAGTTTCTCGTAATTTGGTTTGAGCTCCGTCCCAAGTTCATGAACCTGCAACGCAAGCACCGAGGACTTGTTGATTCCTCCGGTAGGTAATGAAGTCGACTTTCGAGATTGGTCGCTGGCTGTCTTAGCCTTGTTGTGAGACTCAGATAATTGCTTTCTTGTTCGAGTATGTTCGTGTCCATTCACAAATGAGTTGGCGTGACCATCTTCATTTCTATGGTCAAGTTTGCGCCTTTTCAACGAACGATGGTCGGAATGAATATTTGAAGCCGCCATTCTGCGTCCAACTTCGGACCCGAGCCGGGTTTTGAGTTGATACTAGCGCAGATCAACGCATGAGTCGTCCCCCCTCAATCACGGCTTCAACAAATCCGTACATCCATAGTCTCATATAGGTGGTGTTCATCTCTAGACCTGGGGCCGAGAAAAAAGCTGCACTATCTCAACTCCGAAACTTTTTGATGCCAAGAAATTGTCCATTTCGGGAGTAGCCTCATGCCGCCCTGTCGATGAACTCCAATTGAACTTTCCAAGGTTCCTCCGAGCGAGTAAGCTAAGCGAGCGGTGAGTGACAAGCAGGCGGCAGAAAAAAAGTGTAAGGGGGAGAGCATGAACTCGTTGGAGGGAAGCAGCAATGGAGGTTGTCTTGCGCCTTCCGACAACAAGAGTCATAATCCTCAAGAGTTTCCTAGGTGCCTACCAATTCAAGCACAATGCATCCCACCTGCGATCCAAGTCCAATGTTTCAAAACACTTTCAGTTTCTCTCCAACACAATCATGGCAACCACGTTACACCTCCGATCCGAGTCCAAGCCACTTGAACACCGCTCCGCCTGTAAGTCACCCATCTTGATGGACACAGTGACAGGTGGACTTCAAACTGACATACTACTCAAGTAACTCCTGCGACGACCAAGGCGCTCCTCGACGCCGGCTACAAAGTAAATGTAGAGCGAAGTCCCGAAAGAATCTTCGAGGACTCGGAGTTCGAAGAAGTTGGTGCGACTCTGGTTCCTGAGGGTTCTTGGGTTGATGCTCCTACAGAACACATAATCGTTGGCCTCAAAGAACTGCCCGAGGACAAATGTACGCATCCATACTACCCCAATCACTGTGGTTCGTGCTGAACAAATCTAGTTGCTCTCAAACACACCCATGTCCAATTCGCACACTGCTACAAGGACCAGGGCGGCTGGCAAGATGTCCTCTCTCGATTTCCCCAAGGAGGCGGCACCCTTCTAGATCTCGAATTTCTCACAGACGATACGGGACGTCGTGTTGCGGCGTTTGGATACCATGCAGGCTACGCAGGAGCTGCTCTCGCTGTCGAGGCATGGGCACACCAGCTCAAGAATCCTTCAGATGCGGCTGGGTTGCCCGCAGTCTCCAGTTATGCTAACCAAGATCTCCTCCTCGCTGATGTGCGTTCAAAGCTTGAAGAAGGTGCCAAAATAACTGGTCGTCAACCGCGTGTTCTTGTCATTGGTGCCCTGGGTCGTTGCGGCCGTGGCGCTGTCGACCTGTGCACTCAGGCCGGCATTCCCGATGAGAATATCTTCAAGTGGGATATGGCCGAGACTGCCAAAGGTGGTCCCTTCACCGAGATTGTCGAATCCGACATTTTTGTCAACTGTATCTACCTTTCGGATCCAATCCCACCCTTTATCGATGAAGCGTCACTCTCTTCGGACAAGCGAAACCTATCAGTGGTGTGCGACGTCTCCTGTGACACCACCAACCCTCATAACCCGGTTCCAGTTTATACTGAAAACAGCACTTTCTCCAAGCCAACACTACCGGTCAAGGGATACAAGAATCCTCCTCTGTCTGTCATTTCCATTGACCATCTTCCTAGCTTACTTCCTCGAGAGGCCAGTGAAGCCTTCAGTCAAGCTCTGCTGCCGAGTTTGTTAACTTTGAATGCTCGCAAGACCTCTCGTGTGTGGCAACAAGCTGAAGAGCTATTCGACAACAAAGTCGGAACCCTTCCTGAGACGCTGAGAGGTGCATGGAAGAAGTTGATGGGTGGAGGTTCGTAAATTACCGACCTATGATAAAGCCATGAAAGATATAGATAAGAATTCAAATATGGATGAAGCCGTCATACTTTTCTCTCCCCTACTTACGTCTGGTGTGACCACGAGAACTACGAATAAATCAGCTTCATGGCCTAGATCGAGAAAAGGCGAGTCAGTGGGACTTTGGAGAAGATATGGGCCACGATTGTGTATGGCGATTGGCCATCCACGAGATTGAGAGGTGCTAGAATATTTATCCCCAAATCGGAAAACAATCCCCCAACTTGAACTCCAAGGCTCCGGGATCGGCCCAAAATTTCTCATAATCGCGGAGTCATGGTTCACACGCCACTAATCAGATGATGTGTATTGTAAGAAAAACGACTTCACGATTGAATGAAACAATATATTACATATCTCTCCTTGGGCTATTGATTTCTTCTTCACCATGCTTGCTGCCGTTGGGCAACCTGTCCCCAACACTGAACATGCCGTTAGTGTGTCACTTCCATCATGGAAAGCAACAGTGGGGTACGAGGAGGGAGAAGAATGGGTGGTTTCCAAGATGAGGACTGGATACCCTAGATTCTTCATCCATCTGAGTATCCAAGAGCTGCAGAATGAGGTCTTGAAGCTGCATGGACGCGTAGCAGAGGCTGTCATGCTCTTCCCGACCATCGCTGTGGCGAATCGATGCGAGAAGTTCTTGCACGACAGAGTCGACGGTCTGGCCCCTGAATCCGTCCGCGTACTGGTGCTTGCTCCAGTCATCAACAAGAACAAAGGCCGGAGCGTTGAAACGGTCTCGTCGGGACTGGCTTGCGTATTCTTTCCCAAGGAATATTTCAGCACAGCCAAGCAGGTCTGGCAACACTCCGGAGACGGCATCTCGAGTCGAAGAGGAGAATTCTGCCTAAAGGCCCTCCGAGATGGGTTTCTAAAACCGGTATCTTTCTCGCCGACAAAGCCAAAGTCGGAAGATGTCTACACCAAGGGCCCGCGAAGGTATCAGCGTCCGACCTCACAAAATGGTATCGTTCCTGCGTTGACGGCCAATCCTGAACCAACACCGACCCAAGATGAAACCCTCGAAATCGAGGGCAAAGACTACTTTCAATTCGTGGAGGAACGCTTTGGACGAAATCTCAACGCCAAGCTCGCCTCACAGGCCAAACTTGCCATCCGTCGACGCATTAGTGGCTGTCTGACCGACGACTCGGATCTGGATCAGGCACTCGCCAATTCTCCCAGTAATTGCGACAGTCGACATGTCGGATTGAAAGACCACGACGTCTACCTCTTCCCGACCGGCATGTCCGCCATCTTCAACACGCATCGAATCCTCCGGGCCAACGCCGCCGCCAAGGGGATGGAACCTCGCAAATCCATCTGCTTCGGCTTCCCCTACGTCGACACGCTCAAGATCCTCGAGAAATGGGGACACGGAGTGCAGTTCTACGGGTTTGGCAGTTCCGCCTGTCTGGACGATCTCGAGAGACGCCTCGAATCGGGCGAACGTTACCTCGCGCTCTTCTGCGAATTCCCTAGTAATCCACTCCTCAACTCCCCAGATCTACTGCGCATCCGCACACTAGCGGATAAGTACGGGTTCGCGGTCGTCGTGGACGAGACGGTTGGAAACTTCATCAACACAGATGTGCTCAGCCATGCGGATGTGGCCGTCAGCTCTCTGACCAAAGTTTTCAGCGGCGACAGCAACGTCATGGGCGGCAGCGCTGTACTCAACCCGCAGACCAAGATGTACGCGGAGTTGAAGCAGACGCTGGAGAGCGAGTACGAGGACAACTACTGGGCCGAGGACGCGGTGTTCATGGAGCGCAACAGCCGCGACTTCCGCGCCCGCATCGCTCGCATCAACACTAACGCCGAAGCCATCGCGGCGAGACTGCAGGCGTGTCCCTCGGTCAAGACCGTGTACTATCCGAAGAACAGCCCTTCTCGGGCAAACTACGAGGCATGTCGAAACCGCGATGGTGGGTACGGGGGACTGCTGTCTGTGTCGTTCCAGCATCCGGAACAGGCCGTGACGTTTTTCGACCAGCTGGAATGCCAGAAGGGGCCGAGTCTCGGTACGAATTTCACGCTGGCATGTCCGTACACGATTCTTGCGCATTATTTGGAGCTGGAATGGACGAGTAGTTGGGGTGTGGAGCCGGATCTTGTGAGGATTAGTGTTGGGCTGGAGGAGGCGGAGGATCTCACTGCGAGGTTTGAGAGGGCGTTGAAAGCTGCTGAGTCGGCGGTGCCTCTTCATGGGCAGGGTGGGCAGTAAAGGCGCGGAAGAAAGATGACCTTGATTGATGAAAGAAATAATGGAGACGGTGTGCTGTTCAACTCAGCCTCTCGTCTCCTACTTTACTCAGATGTCATCAGATAAAGACTAGAGATGGGCTGTAGACAGCGTCTATATATTGATCTTGACATTGATGAATCAATGACACATGGACCGAGAACAAGACGAGCACAGTAATAAAGGCTCCAACGCTTTTGTTCGTAGGAAGAGCAGCAAATGATCAATCACCGGACTGAGAATGTTCTAGCTGATGTTCCCCTTTATTACTAGACACCCAGGGGTTCCAAGGTTCCTCCCATTCCGCTCCGCTGTACTGCAATGAGCGGGACTTGATCTTCCCCGCACTGCCTTCATCCTCATCCACCCCTCATCTCAATCTCATTCAGGACACTGACAACTTGCTGCTTCATTGGGGATACGTCATTCTGACATTTCTCTTCCATTCTATCTTCATGGCTCGTGAGTCGTGAAACTCTGACCAATTCCACGAAAATACAATGTGAAAGCAACCACAACGTCAACGGGGCGACAACAATTACTGGTCTGCCACTATTTGGGAGTCAGTCATTACACAGTCATCGTTCACATCAAACCGCCATACCGTACCCCGTCCTCTTTCTCTCATAGCATACCCTAACAGACCCCATCAAAATGGCTTGGCGGTGCAGCGGCGCGAGCAACGCTGAACTCATCTCCAACCTCTTCGCCAAAGGGCTGATAACCTCACCACGAGTCCGCGACGCCATGTCCTCGGTGGACCGGGCGCACTACTGCCCCTCGACGCCCAGTGCGGCGTACGAAGACTCGCCTCAATCGATCGGCTTCCGCGCCACCATCTCCGCGCCACACATGCACGCCGCGGCCTGTGAGTCGCTGCTGGGTCATTTACCTGAGAGTCGCGGGGCGCAGGTGCTTGACATTGGCTGTGGGAGTGGGTATTTGACGCATGTTCTCGCGAACTTGGTGTGCGGCGCGGATGGGCGTGGAGACGGCAAGGTCGTGGGCATCGATCATATCCAGGGTCTGGTGGACCTGGCGGGAGGGAATATGCGGCGGAGTGAGGAGGGGAGGAGGTTGTTGGAGACTGGGAAGGTGGAGTTGGTGGTTGGGGATGGGAGGAAGGGGTATAAGAATGGTGGGCCGTATGATGCTATTCATGTAGGTGCCGCGGCCAAGGAAATGCATGCGGATCTTCTGGAGCAGTTGAAGAGTCCTGGGAGGATGTTCATTCCTGTCGATGATGAGGATGGCTGGGGTGGTCAGTGGATTTGGGTGGTGGACAAGGATAAGGATGGCAAGGTGACGCGCACGAGGGATATGGGTGTCAGGTATGTGCCTTTGACAGACGCTCCGAAGTGAATGTGATGAGAGGATCGAGGAGAAATCCGACAGAGAGATATTGACCAAAGGCTCCACGAGATGAGATGAGATGCTAGGTCGAACGACACAACAGAGGCCATTAGTAAAGATTGGCAGAGGCTGCTCGCAGAGGCTTCTAACACCTATTGCGAGGAGGATGAATGATCTCGAATAACACGGTTCAAGATCACAACTAATGCAAATCGCATTCCCAGTTGACTGCAAAACACGGAAGCAGGGCAAGGCGACAAGACTGCTTGTTGGACAATGCCACAAATAAGTGGTGATGAACATGCATCGCAGAGGCGCCGCGGACTTCCGTGTGAGCCAACAAGAATGCGCCGTCTCGTATCACCACACAAGCATGGTTACAATGATATGGAGTTTAATGCATCCAAAGTATTTGAGGAAGGTGAGGTGACTAGTTGTTTGACGAGCGTACAATCCGTTGAGCGGATTGAGCATTTGCGAGTGATAACTGTATGAATAGTCTAAATGATGGCTCGCTCCACATGTCAATATTGCTTTTGATCTGCACTGCACCAGGAAAGTGAAAATTGACCTCACTCTTCATCCCAAGTCTGCTCGTGGGGTATCATGGGGCCTGGTTGATTTTCATGTTCAACCCTCTGAGATGGGCTCTTCAGCAACATAGTGCAAGTAGGCACCCAACAACTTAATTCCTTCAATATAGTTTCGGCGATCCAGTTTCTCGTTGATACTGTGAGCGGCGTCCGTACTAGAACCCATAGGAAGAAGCAAGACATTCTTGCCCGTGGCCTCCTCAAAAGTGATGGTCACTGGAATACTGCCGCCTTCACGGGTGTAATCTGGATCGACACCGAAGACCTCCTTGACTGCTTTTGCGGCAGCAGAGAAATTCCAATGCTTAGGACTGGAAACCCACCACTTGCCTCCGTGCTGTTCGGCAATTTCAATGGTGTTCTTGGAATTGAGTTTGGCGAATTCGCTCTTGACATGCTTGATGACGGCCTCATTGACTTTAGACCCTTCCATGTCTGGTACAGTCCTGATGGAGAACTTGCCAATCACCTTGGCCGGGATGACTGTCTTCGCGCCAGGAGCGGAAAAGGCACCTTCGATGCCGTGAAGAGACAAAGAGGGGTACCGCCATCGAGCCATCAATGTTTGTTCCTTGTCTTCAAAGATGGTGGTTTTGGAGCCCAGCGATTCGTATAGATTGTCCATGGTATATGCGATGGGACCATACAACTTCTTCTCATCATCCGTCAGAGGGGCAACTTGTTCGTTGATTCCAGGAATCAGGATCTTGCCATTACCATCAACCAGGGTACTCATCAAACGAACCAGGTCAGTCATGGGTTCTTGGGTAGTACCCCCGAATACACCAGAATGTAGATCCTGACCTGGGCCTGAGACTTCGAGAGAATAGTACATGACTCCACGAAGTCCATATGTCAGACATGGCTTCTCGGTGCCCAGCCAATAGTTATCAGAGATACAGACAGCATCGGTATCCTTGAAGTATTTCTTGGCTTCAGCATTGATAAAATCGTCGAGGCCCTCGGAGCCATATTCTTCCATTCCCTCGAAGCAACATAGGAGATTGACGGGAAACTCGACACCGGCTTTTTGATGTGCTTCAATTGCGTTGAGCCATCCCAGAACGGGACCTTTGTCATCTGTGCTGCCACGGCCGTACATACGATCCTTGTCATCGATGGTCAGAGTGAACGGTTCGGTGGCCCAGCCATCCTCCAGTAGTGCGGGTTGGACATCGTAATGGCCGTAGACCAGGATGGTACGCTTCTTCTTGTCATTCCCATAGCGAGCGATGACAACGGGAGGGAGATCGAGGTGTTCTTTGTGCGGTTGTTTTCCTAGTTCTCGTAGTTCGACTTCGGCACCCAATGCTTTCAATTCTTCGGCAAGGAATTTGCCCATCTGTTACGAGAAGGTCTGGTCAGCCCCTCCCTCTCGTCTTCTTGTTTGCCAGTGACTGAGATGGTGGACATACTCGGACAACTTCTGGTCTCTTGTCTTCATCGGCCGAAACTGAAGGAATGGCAACGGCTTTCCGCAAGCCTGTAGTTGAGTCAATACCCCGCCATGGAAAACTATATATGGAGTACTCACGATCAATGAAGGATTCGGCCAATTCATCGACCCTGGATTCGGTTTAGTAGGTTATGATGGCATGGGGGTGTGATCCCTACTTTTTGAAATACGGTTCCAATTGAGGGGCCATGTTGTGATCAGAGATATGGCCGTAGTATGTTCGATAAGGTGTCACAAACAAGGAAGGCAATCTGCTCGCAAGAGGTAGGACAGAAGGACGAGAGATTGATGGTTTACAGAGACTGCGTTGTAGAGTCCTGATGGAAGCTGGATATCTGGACCACATGAAAGAAGGAAGGGCGCATGAATTGCTGTAGGAACAGGAAGGAGCAGAGCGGCTATGTGCGGTTGGAGAGTTTGTTGATGGTCGAGTCACATTCAAAAAACCATCGGATCGGAGATGGGAGATGGGAGATGAAGTGATCAATTACGACAGCTCCAATCACACGAATTGATTTAACATGGATACATCTGCTCCAAATCCGACGGAGATCAAGGATGGTGTGAGAAATGTGTATTGAATACAATCGTCTAGAATATGCTGGTGCTCGTTCTATACCTATCCTACAGCTTCACCTCTGCCCCGGGTAGGAGTCTATGCATCTCTCTGCCAAATTTCCTTTCTGATTTCTCGGTCTTCTCGTGCAATTCTCTTGCCCTTGCTCCATCTAGACTTGACCACAGCCGTGACAGCTTCTTGCATCTTCTTCTTGTCGGTCACTAGTCCGTCCACGACCCAAGTGACGAAGAGCGGCGCACAGTCATATTTCTTGGCCAATTTCTTGACGCTCCAGAGCGTAGGATCTTGAACCCTCAATGCTCTCATCTCGGCCATATCGGCGTCGTTGACATGGTATCGCTTTTCTCTTTGCTCATGTAACGGAGGGGCTAGCAAGGCTTCTGAATTGGTGGTTTTGACCTTTCTGGGATCGCCGTTGGGAAGAAAAATGTTTGGAGTGTGCATGACATTGGGCATGCTGGGAGGAGGATTGTGAATGATGTGATCATGCTGTTCGGTCTTTGTGGGTAAGAAAGCGGGATCGGGTTTTATATTGAGTCTTGATCTTGTTCTCCTGGCGGATGATTGATGGCGGCGATATGATGGAACCAAGATTTGAGCACATAGCTTGTAGAAGCGAGAGGAGGCATTCAAGGGCGTGGCAGGTGTCAGTGGTATTAGTGATTGCATAATGTCGGAGATGTCGCGTGAAGGGTATGTAGGTAGTTGAGCAGTGAAAAAGGTGAAGCAATGATGGAAATTTGATGGATTGGCTGGCGTGATGCTGGACGGAATCAGGAGAAGATGAGTATGGTGTCGACTGTGGATGCCTGATGCGAGGAGGTAGACAGGCTTTGCCCTTGAAGTCGCAGCTCGCGGCGAGGGACAGAGTGAGTAGGGAGTGGCCGGTGATGATCTCGACGACGAGGGAAGACTCGATAATGCATGATCCACTGTCACAAGAGCAGGAACCACTAGTATGGGATATGAGCTAAAAAGCTTGGCATCACTTAATGGAGCCCTTCAGCTCGGGGAACTTGCAGTGTTCGTCTTGGATTTCAGCCCCTCCGGAAGAGAGCAAAGATTGTACCTGGGCAATCAGAATGGAAGGAATTAATGCCATGTCACAAGACTAAATCACTTTGTACATTATGATTGAGGATGGTAGCACATGAGCTGGAGCCACTGCAAGTTTGATGCTCTATTATTATTATTATTGCAGTCCCCGTGCCATCGACATTAGTTCCCCCTCAACGCCAATACCAACAACTACCACTGCACTGCTACCTCATACGTCTCCCACTATTACCCAGCTTCCTCCTACATCATACCTCATCCCTCATCCCTCACTCTTGACCGTTGCACAGGCCACAAGTTCCTCTCTTCAGTTGGCCAGAGAACACCACATACACAACTCAACCTCTGGCTTAATTTATCTTCATACCAACCTCTTCATCTCCGCCAATTTCCCTTCCTACTTTCACTGCTGCCTCCGCCCCCCTCATCCCCATCCCATTACGTCGCCCGCCCGCCCGTCCCGACCAACCCCTATTCATTCACCTTCAACGGACATGCTATAATTCGTGGTGGTGGCTGTCTTTGTTCAACTATTCCATCCCTCCCCTGACACCACATGCTTTGCGCCGCTTCCTCCAACATGACTTCAAGAGATCCCTCCATCAATGCTATCCAACCCAAAACAAACACCCCTTCTACGGAATCAAAAGATTCTGCTACTCCCTTGTTGAAGACCAAGAATTTCTCTCTACCTACCTCCGCCAGTCAGTCATCTGATCCCGCGGAGAGCGATCCAAATACAAAGCACCGAAAAAGAGACTTCTGGAAGTTCAAGAAGCAAGACGAAGACAAACAACAACAAAAGGGCAAAGCAGCTGCAGATACAAATCCAATTCCACGCACTGCCTTGAGCCCGGCTCCCAACAAGTCCCCAGATCCAGCAGGTCCCGTCTCCCCTGGTCGAAGCCTTCCTTACGCACTACCCGCATCCCCGAGCGTTGGGATGCACTCCTCTCGGCCACAATCACCAGCTTCATCCATGATCTTTGAACGAAATGTCCAAGAAGATGTCGTTCTCCCAGAGACTTCTCCCCACCTTCCTTCCCATGTCATCATGGAGAACCATATCGCACCAGCTCTTGACGCCTCCGCCGCTGCCATCACCAACGAGAAACTCGATCCTGATACTGTCGAGATTGTCACCCATGCCACTCATCAGCCTGCTGCTGTCACAATCACCGGTGTTGGTCCAGATCATTCTCTAACTTCTTCCGTGACCGAGGACTTCCCCTCAACTTCGCGATCGGATCCAGAGGAGGCTTCGAATTATGGGTCTCTGGATCAGACAGATGTTCGCCGTTTGAGCTTCATCTCCTTTGCCGATGTCGTTCATGGTGAGCAGGAATTGGTTGATGGACGCCGAGATTCAGCCCACTTGTCGGGTCATCATGGTCTGACCGCTCCTCGATCACCCTCACCAATTCGATCCCCAACCTCTTCGGCTGCATTTGGAACTTCTCCCCCAACCAGTGTTTCTGCATCAATCAAAGGCTTCGAAACGTCACCTCACCGCGCACCAAGAGGTACAGCAAGTCCCCTCCCAGGTCAAAGTTCACCTCTGGCAAGCGGTAGTGAGATCAATGTCGAGACTATGAGACAGGCCTTGCGAAAGACGGGCAGTGGAGATCTCAGTCACTTTCGAAGTCCTCCTACCAGCGCAATTGGCAATGAGGATGGTAGTTACGATCGACCATTCCGGTAAGAATGGTCCAACAGTGGGATGATGACAACGGATCCCCATGATATGAATGCACATGATCTACGCTGGCGCACATCATGGTAAGGACGGTGGGTGATGTTGGGTTGTAAACCTTTGCAGCGGGAGTCTTGAAGGAACTCTTTTGGGTTAGATGAACCTCGTTTTCTAGTATTTTACGTCGCCTTTCTCTTCGACATGATTATGTAGGACACCACCGCTAGATACCACCGACTGCCTCACTATTGAGGCCTCGCTAGATTGAATATGACAATTTCATAAGTATTATCACCCGACCCAAAATCCAGGACTGAATACTGATGCCTGACCCGAACGTGTTTCAGCTTTCCCCTCTTGCGTCCGTCTTGGCGCCTGCCGAGGTCTGATGAACGCCTCATTTGACTACTCGGACCCAAGTTACTATTCCTCCCTTTTGACTCCGCCTCCTGGCAAAGATGATGTGCCCCGGATTTCTTTGGGAACTCTATCCCTAGCTCGCTTTTGTGGTCAGGTCTAACAAAGCCATCTCGCTTTTGTTCCTCTCGTATTTCGTTCCTATTGCTCCCAAAACGCGTCTAGAAGCGGGGTTTGACTCAAGATCCTGCTAGTTCACAATCATGTGAAATGGCTATATATGTCACAGACGACCTCGGTTTCATCTTTCATGTAAGTTCTGCCAGTCGCATTTCATCAATCTCGACTTGAGATCTCTCGACCGTCATCTCTTCCCCCTTGTCCTTAGCCCGGCGCTCCTTGGCTTCAGGCCGCTTGACCACCATTCATACTTCGAAGAATCCAAATCCTTCACGCGTCGAGCATTGTGACTGGCATCTCACCCTTTAGACTCTACCACAGCATCATCCGACTATCATTGAAGTAGAATCGGGTTCCTGGTTCGCACGCGCGTACAACCATGGCGGTTCAATCAGTACCATCTAAATTCCCTTCGCCAAAAGAACTACTTATTTCTCCTTACATTACTGGCCCTCTTCTTCTATATCTTACCAAAATCAACCCCTCGGCTTTGGAGAGGATTCCATGGTTTCCTGATTTGTCCATGACCCTCCCGTTTTCTCTTCCTTTTGATATTCGCAACAATGTGACTCTCAGGCCAACTCCACTGCTGAAAACACTCAAAGTCCTCTTCGCGTTCGGGGTCCTCGCTCACCTCAACCGTTTCTTGAATCGCCGTGCCTTGAACTATGGACATTTGAAGAAACAGGGCGTCCCTTGGGATTTCCAGACCGAGGGAAAGGAGACCATCCTGATTACTGGTGGATGTAGTGGATTTGGCAAGGAAATGGTCAAGATGTTTTCTCAACAAACGAAGAGCAAAATCCTGGTTCTCGACGTCCAAGAATTGCCGGTGGATCTCAAGAATAGTAGGTCCAATCCATTTGTGACGCCCTTGTGGAGAGGCCATGTCAAGATGTATCATGCTGATTAGTCTTTGTAGTTCCCCGCCTCACTTACCACAAGGTCGACCTGACTTCAAACGAGGACATTCACAACGTGATTGCCAAAGTCCTATCCCAATCTCCACCAACCGTACTAATCAACAATGCCGGAATCGCCCACGCTCACACCATCCTCGATACAACAGATGAATTCCTTGAGAAGCTCTTCCGAATTAACGTCATGTCCCACTTCACCCTGATTCGCTTAATTCTCCCCACGTTGATGAAACAACGCAAGGGACATATCGTCTCCATCGCCAGCATGGCGAGCTACACCGGTCAAGCTTCTCTTGGAGACTACTGCGCCACCAAAGCCGCCGTTCTGGGCATGCACGAATCGTTAGTTCAGGAATTGAAGCATCGATATGAAGACCAGGGCGGTCATACGATCCAAGCCAGTATTGTTCATCCTCTGTGGGCGAATACGCCTTTGGTTGGAAGCTTTGGTGCGGAACTCAGGAAATCGGGACAGCCAGTGCTGACTCCAGCTGATGTCGCGAGTCGAGTTGTGAACCAGGTTTTACAGGGAGAGAGTGGAAGTGTCTTTGTCCCTGCGAAACAAAAAGCAGGATCGCTCTTGAGAGCACTACCTGACTGGGTTGCACTGGCTGTGAGAGCCACTCTGGAAGGTGCAACGGCCACTGCACGTGGGACTAAGCCGACATGATGACCAGACTGGGGATTCACATCCATTCCAATTTTGTGCTTTGGCCTGGGGTTGTGACTTGGGCCTGTTCACTATCTTGCATCGTCTCAGCTGTCATACCAATATTGTATGCACACAGGTGTGGTATAGTACTGTTTCACCGCCAGCTCTATCTTCGTAGTTAATCTTCGTTTTTTGAATCAAACTCCCATGTACAATACAACTATCTGGTCAAAAATTTCATGACGTCTTTTCGTGTATAGTTGGTTGCCTTTAGGTGATGCTGTTCATCACAGCCACGTGATATTCAAACTTCCCACTATTTAATCTTCAATTTCTTCCACGGAACGTGAATGATACCCTTTCTCGACTGATAATCATCGGGTTTTCTTAATGCTCCTGTTCCTGCCTAATCTACCTTCCGTGTGTAGAGAGCGAGGTGGAATTTCCTTGAGACACGGCGTACGAGGAACAACAGCCTAAGAATCCGTTCCTCACATTACTTGAGCTCTGAGAGAGAGATCCAGAATGCCACGCAAGGTAGGTCCGACATCACACCTCAATGATGGTCCAATTGAGTAAAATCCAGCTTGAAGCATTAAAGCCATCGAAACCCTCCTAGTGGTATCTCTGATACTTAATCGGATGGATTTTTTCGTCGAGAGATCACAGCTCTAACAGCTTGTTTTCAGCCAAAGAACTATGGCTACAATGCTCCTTTTGTCATCAAGGACAATCCAGTCATCGCCGGTCACTTTCCAGACCCGGGAATTTCACTCTTGTCTCCTGCCTTCAGATCTCCCAAAACGATTCCGGCCACTTTTGGAAATGGAACTTCTGGCCCCACGGAGGATCTCGTTCTTGGTGATTATTCTTCACACGTGAGTTTAGTTTGGAAGCTGACAAGTTAGACCAATTTCTCGATGAGCTGGATGGTCGTAACGACTGTATGACATACGACAAGACAACTTTGAGATCCGAAGAGGGTAGAAACATACCCTATGTGGTACTATCTGCGTCCTCCAAGCCTACTCGATCTTTACCGAAGGACCCTAGAAAGCTCCGTCTTTGGATTCAAGGAGCAACCCACGGGGATGAACCAGCAAGCGATCAATCAATCCTAGCACTTCTGGGAAAGCTCGACACAAATCCCGGTCAAACTTTATCAATGCTACAGAACCTGGATATCCTGATAGTGCCAAGATACAATCCAGACGGTGTTGCGTACTTCCAACGACGCTTTGCCACAAATTTCGATCCTGCAAGAGACCATATCAGATTGCGCTCGGCACAAACCAGGAGCATCAAATCTCTTTTCAACTCATTTGCTCCACATGTTGCTGTGGACATGCACGAGTTCAGCGCCAAGGCTAGGTATGCAGAACGATATGTTCGGATCCTAGATGGCCAGTTCGCTGTCGGAAAAAATCTCAACATCCATTCAGACATCCGCGCTTTATCCGAGGAACTCTTTGTAAAGAGTATTGCTACTGCGTTGGAAGATGCAGGACTGCGATGGGCGCCTTACTCAACTGGCCTCAGAGATGCTGCTGCAGACGGACTTTTAAATTTTAGCGAAGCAGGCAGTGAGGCTTGCATTACACGTAATGCTTGGGGACTCACTCAGACAGTGGCAATCCTCTGTGAAACACGTGGGATCGGTATCGCCGATCAACATTTCGCCCGAAGGACGTTTACTGGTCTCAAAATGCTCGAGGCCATAATCTCAACCACAGTTCAACATGCTGATGAGATCCATCTGAAGCTCGAGGGGGCCTCCCAATCCTTCATAACCAGTAAGGAAGATATCATTATCACTGACATCCCTGAAATGGTTGATTGTACATTGCCATTCTTCGATCTTCGAACAAATAACCTCGTCGATGTCCCCACCACCTTGAAAAGCACGACAAAACTGAGACCACAATTCAGCCGAAAAAGACCACGAGCCTACCTGATCCCGAAAGCATGGTCTGAACTAACCAGCAGACTTGAAGCGAATGGCATTGAAGTACAAACTCTGGATCATGCGTTTTCTGGTGAGGTCGAGATATTGAAGGTCACTTCCGTCGAAATAGATACCGAATATGACGAAGGCTGCATCCGCGCGAACATAACAACGAGACCTATCATGAAGCACGTTCGACTGCCTCTTGGAAGCTTCAGTGTCAATACCGTGCAAAAACGCGCAGGCCTTGCATTCATGGCACTCGAGCCCGAAAGCGTCGACAGTTTTGCCACGATGAATATCATCCCGCTCGTAACTGGGGACGAGTATCCAATCTTTCGACAATTGTGGAACTGACCTAAGTTCTCGTACCACAAAAGATGCCCGCTCTGAACAGACTCCGGTGGTACGCCATGTCATTCTCAACGAAAAAGAAATGGCAATGTATCACTAGATCCGGAACGAGCGAAACCTTCAACATGTCGACCCCTTGGTAGATCACAATCTGGACTCAAGGTCCAGACGAACTATATTCCTTCGGGGCCCAATGACCTGCGAAAGCGGGATAAGTACCTGAAATCCCTCGACCGGTCATGTCCCGTGAAAATACTACCAGGACGGGGAAGGGCGGATGAAAGGGTCGCCCCATCTCCACAATATCACCCCGCAAACCCTCTTTTTTCCCCATGGAGTACCTGAAGTGAGGTATCTAGACGTCATCCGCACACATCCCGGATTCACATTCACCAGATGTACAACCAGACCATCATGCGCCAGTAATGCACCAGGGTACCCCATGCCCGGAGTTTTCTGCTTGTCTCGTCGACCCGCCGGCCTCACGGACTTCGAGACGTCCTTGACATTCTTGAAAAGCGGGCTTACCACCGATGAGGGGTTGGGAAGCTTTTAATGACATACATTGGACCATTCCCGGGGGACGAGGAAAGAGAATAAGTAGGTAGGTTGTGAAGCAGGGTGAGGAACGAGGGGGGGGGAGGAAAGCTCGCCTAGCTAGCTAGCTGCGTATCCTTTGAGCTGCTCTGTTCATCTCCCAGTCATCTGCTCGCTCGCTTACCTGTGGTTAAAAACGAGTGTCATCCTCCTCCTTCCCACCACTTCCAAAGCTCCCATCTCTACTCCTACTTGCAATGGCAACCACTGCAGCATCACAGACGGTGAACCGGACCGCCACGCAGGGCTGGGGCTCTACGCCTGCTCAAAGACACTACATCAACCAGACACAGGCACTGGCGGTGCTGAATGCCGGGATTGAGCGATCAGTCGAGATAGGGTAGAGTCTCCCACCTTTTATCAGTCCAAAGACGACCTCACATCCAGATAACTAACGCGCTCTCGCCCCAACCCCACAGCGTCCAGCAAAACATCGCGGTGCTCGACCCCTCGGCCTTCCTCATCGGCTTCATCCACATGGACAACGCGTTCCTCGGGAGCATCGACATCAGCCAGAAGAAGGCCAAGACCGTGGTCCTGTACAACGGGATCCCGAACAACGCACTGTTGAACCGGAGTCAGCCGGGCGGCGACATCTACGGCATCGAGCAGACGAATGGTGGCACCGTTGTCTTTGGTGGTGGGCAGCCGATTTTCGATCCGGAGGGCTATTTCATCGGTGCGGTGGGTGTGAGTGGCGGCACGGTCGAGGAGGACATTGATGTTGCGGTCCATGCCGCGCAGAGTATTGGGACTACGACGACGTTGTGAGGGAAGGGACGGGGAGAGTGATTGTCCTATCAATCCCAGGAGTTGGCGGGAAGCAGTTCTGGCATAGTTACGGATGGCTTAAGCTTTCAGCTTTCCAGGGAAGAGCTCCCTTCACAATTGAGTTAGATATGCTTATGAAAGACAACCATAGTGCTTTGTAATGACGCTAAAATGAGTCCCATTTCGAAGAGGATGATACTTCGCTATATGTCATCATCTAGACTCTGCAATTGCGCGATGTAAGTATTGGACGTCCACCTCTGCATGAAGATTCATAGTGTTCCACGACGTCTTTTGGCTCGCCTAAATCTCGCCATTCAACACCACGAAACTTTCGGTAGTGTCTATTTCCCACGAAGGAGGCGCTTACCGCCACCTACTCTTTGAACGCTACAATAGTATAAGTCAGCGGGATCCTCTCCCTCCCCTGCAGAAGACGATATTCTCCTAACTCCGCCTTCTCCATCCTCCCACGCAATGCATTCCACGGCACGGAGTCATGTTCCTCAACCAACGTGATGCGCAAGCCACTGTTTATCAATGCCTGGACGGTCTCCGCGAGTCCGTGGTTGAATTCTATTGTTCTCTTCGCAGGTGTGGGACTAGCGAGCGTCCCTTGAGGATCTAGTACTGCTGCACTTGGAGCTTCCTCAACGTTGTCCACGTCTGTTCCGGTAGCCACATCATCATCCACATAACTCAACCCCTCAGCCGTGACGAGCGGCAATCCACTCTCGAAATATGGATAAATCACCCGCAGCTGTTCGGCGGGATACGTCTCAGTCACATTCGAATCGTCAAGTCCCCACAAGATGGGGTGGCCCTCACGGATGAAGAAGCGGCCTCCAGGCTTCAATAGATCGGCGACGACGTTCGCCCAGCGTTCTACACTGGGCAGCCAGCACAGCGCGCCAATGCCCGTGAAGACGAGGTCGAATGCTTCGCGACCGAGAAGCGCCACGGAATCGTAGACGTCGCCTTGGACGTAGCTGACTTTCCACCCACTGGGATCAGGTACCGAGTCGGCCAGAAGGCGCGCTTGCTTCAGTGACTCGGGTGAGAAATCTAGCCCGGTGACAGATGCGGCGCCGAGACGGGCGAGGGAGAGGGTGTCCGTCCCGATATGGCACTGCAGATGCACGATGCGCATGTCTTGTAGGGGCGGGAGGCGCGGAAGGTCGAAGCGCACGATGTCGGAGATATAGTTAGTATCAGCTCGGTAGGCCGCGAGATTGTACATTGCGCTTTGGGCGTGCTGTCGGGATCGAATTGATATGGTCAGAATTTGGAACGGGGTGGTGCGATGAGAGCGGCACATACTGCCTCAGCGCGTGCATCCCATGATGCCTGATTGACCTGCGCGTAGTTTTGCGCGTCTGCTTCGGTGCCAATTGTGATTGACATGATTGGGCGTTGTTCTCTGAAGAAGAGTGCAATACCAGCCGACTGTATATAAAAAGAGACAAGTTGACTTGTGTTCTGTGGCTTTTACTTCGTCACCATCGATCAGAGTCGCGTCATCTCCTGGAGGGAGTTAGGACATGTCCATCATTTACTGAATATGATATCCTCGATGAATGGTGTTCTTCACTCTACCTAGTCACCATTTTCGTGAGTCATTACAACGGATCCTGGTCTTGTTACAGGGAGTGGGAGCCATGATGTGGCCAAGGTCTAAAAGCGCTATGGTGGGCAGTGCAAGGACGATGGGAAGAAACGCTGAGAACTTACGTAATTTTAGTACACGATCAGCTTCTTCCCAGGAGACTGATCATGTTCAAGAAAGGGCCGCTCTTATAAGACTTGCCCTTGTCATCGAGACTGACAATAATGGGTTCAGTTGCTTAGTCAAGTGTCTGTGGTGAGAATTGGTCGATGGGGAACATAAATCAATCGCTAGCGATACTCCTATACGCTCCTGGTACTTTGAGCCGAGGTCAAGTCAGCAATGCATCAGTTGATAAAGTGATATATGGAAGCCATCTCCAAATTAATGCATGGATATTAGTAGGTTCTATCCAAAAAGCAGTATCGATCGTATGCATAACGCACGGCTTATCCCACTGAAGGGTCCAAGGTATTGCAAGTCCTGTCCAATGTTCCAAGAGAACCAGTCTCGAGAAAAACAAAGGGCCGCCACACCAAACCATGTCTAAAATCCATCCGTGTAACCATCCGTGGTTCTTGCTGCGCCAGCCGACTTGTGTTAACAATGATGAACCGAGAATTCCCAGTGGCCGAATTGGGCCCTGGATGTGTGCTCATCTGCTATATCAAACAAAGAAAGTGAGTAGAGAACAAGAGTAGCATATCCTGGCCGTCGTTCGTGTGGTGGACAAAGTGATCCACGTTCGCACTATTCGCCGTATCTCTTAGTCCCCGAGAGTGAAAGCCTGCCGCTCCGCTGTGGTCGTATCGATTTGCATCCCTCGAATATTCTTAATCCTACTCCAATAGTGCCTCAATCTGATCCCACCCGTAGCCGCATGCCCGTTCTCGTGAAAACCAATACGACGCCCATTTGAATTCCACTCGATCCCAATATCCATAGCCCGTTCATCATCGTTTCATAGTATAACTGTTCGCTTATTGTAGAAGTAATATCAATATTTGTGTATGTAAAACTCGTTCATGGCATCATAGCCTCAGCCTCTTCATCGGTGACAAAGATTTCCGCGACGGGACAGTAATCATCATCACCGAAGTCACCATCGTATTGCTTCTTTCGTCCTCGTTCACCATATCGGCCGAGAAGATAACTGGGTAGGAACAATTCATCATTCCATGTGAAGCCTTGGCTGTGCTTGGTATAGGTAATGAGACGCGGTGGCTCATCTGGATCATCATGGTGAGAGTTCAAGTTGATGGACTTGTAGGAGCTTGAGGCCAGCATTGAGGGTCCCAGTGGGGAAGAGGATGGGTTGAAGAGGTTGGGCATGGTGGATGGAGGTGACGAGCCGTTGGTGTTGGCGGTGGATTTTTGCTTATCTTTCCTTTCCGGGCCAGCGTCTACTGAAGTCGAAGGGGTGAAGGGAAACCGGCGGTTGTCTTGAGGTGAGGCTACTGCTTGAAGGGTATTCTGTGGCCGGTCTGGGAGAGGGCTGTAGGACCAGGAGGAGTCATGATCGGAACCTAGGGAAGATGGCCCAGCATCGGAATCAGCTCGTTCGCTTTGTTTGGCATAGCGGCCACTGCGGCGTGGTTGATTCGAAGTGGTGGTGTAATCTCCTCTGGTGGATTTGGCATAGATTGGGATCTTGATGGCTCGAGAGCCGGGAGGAGGATTGGATGGGTCGGACATGATGTTGGGAGAGTGAGTGCAGGTGGTGAATAGGAGGGAAAGATGGGATGGAAAGGACAAAGGGAAGGTGATTGTATTGGAAATGGGAGATGGCAAACGGAACAAGTGTTTGTGAGATAGCCGAGACTCGACTTGGAGGGAGGATGTGTGTAGTATGTAAGGAACAGGAACAAGAACAGAAGCAACTGCAGACGATGTTTCAGTACGAGTTAGAGTCATGCACTGTCATTGACATGCAGTCACGATAGAGTCATAATTGCCCCGCATTCAATCGCATCCGTTATCGTGGCTCCACTTGGGACAGTCGCCGCCTAGATAACCTCTGGTAGACATTTCACCAAAATAGAGGACCTTTTGGCATGGCTTTATACTGTAGTCGGAGCAGGCTTGCTAAAGGGCTGTTGATGAAGATAAACTAGACAGTACTCTTCAGTGAGCAGATCCGTGCCTGGGTAACCAACTGCGTTACACTGCCAGTATGGCCCATCGTTTGGACTGCCTACAACCCTTTATCCATCCAGAGCAGCAGTGGGCACATGGACCAGGCAATATCAACCAGATTATCCAAAAGCTATATTCCCTACTCAAACACTCGATCCGCATTGTCAGCTCTGCTCAATTTCTGTCCCAGTCTCCTGAGGGCAGACCCGACGGCAGTCCTGACAGCAGCCCAAACTCCCACTCCAAGCAATACATAGAGGAGCCTCGATCTCTGAATGAATTCCCTGTAATTCGGGATGTATCCGGCACTCGCAGGGGCCGAGTTGTTCCTTAGCCTGTCGGATGCACGTGCACTTCCACTGATGATCCAGTCTTCCATGTACTCTCCGCCCAGATACCTGAAGTCTTCCCCGGGCGTGCCCATAATCATCCTCCTCCTAGCGGCTCTAGAAACCTTTTTGATTCGGTCCAGTAACTCTGCTTGCGCAGTTTGTAGTCCGAAAATGAAGGCGGGAATTGCAATCAGAGCCAGAGTGATCCAGAATTTCCAAAGGGGAGCACCGTCTTTGAAGGATTCAATATTCATGCCAAATACCCCCGTCACAAAGGTCAACGGGAGGAAAACAAAGGCAAGTTGGGTCAGGCGACCGATGGCATGTGCCTGTCTCTCGGCTCTCACGCCAACGTCCATGGCTCGTTTGGAGACCTCGATGCCTCGTCTAGATTCCTCGATAGACAATCGTGATGCAGAAAGCGAACTTATTCCAACGAAACGATTGAGTCGGTCTTTAAGGCATTCGGCATCCGCCGCAATGGCGTCAAACTCTCTCTTGAAACGCAAACTTTGCACCCCAGGATCGCCTCGAAATGCTGGGTTCTGATTCTCGATCCAGCGTGATAGGCCAAGGGAGCCAGATTGCAGGTCATAGACTGCATGAGAGAACTCGGAGAAATAGTCGATGGTTCCACGTTCGTCCACTGCGCCATGCTTCCATTGGCTGCGAACAGTGTGGGGGCTCCAAAGGAATCGAATCCAACATCGCGCAAGGGCATAAATTACCTCTCCCATATTCCTACCGCCCTCAGACTTAATCAAACTGAGTGTTGAACAGAACTCATGCCAAGCTAAGTGCTCGGACGCCATGCCCCGGTAAGGAATATATATCGAAGATTCGGGCCTCGAACTTATAAACAACCCAAATACTGTGGGGTTAGCCTAACTCCTCAAGAAGACCAGCACTGACTTACGATTTCCCACGAAGCGTTGTGGATCGACTCCCCATCTCGTGCTTGCCTCGCTCAACAAGATGATATTTCCTCTCCAAGGAAGTATGCAAACGCTAGTATCTAACAATGAGGATCGAAATGGAGTTAGCTGGCTGTCCGGGACTTCCCTGATTCGGAAGGCCATGAATTCTAGTGCAAGTTGGTAGAATATAGGATTGACATGAAAAGAGCTGCCTATGACCCCAATATGAACAGCTAACTGAGCTTCATTGTTCACGTAGGAGCAGGTCAGGGGATAAGGCGCATGGGCGACGTTTGCTGGATGGTATCCTCCAAGCACATTCATCAACTGATGATCATTGCGCGTGGTGAAGTTCATGTACTGAGACAAAACGAGATGTTCAGGGTCTTTGGATGACCAGCTTCCCAGCTCACCCGTCGCCGATTGTATCAAGCGTCGCAGTAATTCATACTCGGGCAGCTGGGACTGTATGAATCGGTCATACGTACTCATGACATATTGTCTTCAACGTGTTCTCGCCAATTCGTCCTCAACCAATCCTGGTTCGGCCTGTCTTTGAGTGGCACCAGCATTGTTCGACGCATTGTGTGGTCGTCCATGCTGTTGGTTTTCATTGTCTTCGACCATGCTTGTAGCACCAGCATTGTTTGACGCATCGTGTGGTCCTTCTTGCTGATGGGTTCCGTTATCTTCGACGATACCGGTCGCACCAACATCGTTCGACGCTTTGCGTGTTCCTTCATGCTCATGAATTCCATTCTCTTCGTCGAGAGCCGAGGGCCCTTGGCTCAAGTCAGAAGGCTCTGCTTGGTCCGCAGTAGCCTCGCCATTGGCGAGAGAAGCATTTCGAGTTCTACCATGATTCTCACCCTCTGGGACCGGTGTCGTCTCTGATTGAGAAGTCGTTCCAGCCATTCCGTTCCAGGCTTACGGATGTATGAATTAAAGACAACATTACATGCATCTTCGAGAGAAAGGCTGAGAGCCGCCATGCGCTTCAACTGAGACTTGAAGGTGATTGGCGGCGTGGGGTGATCTAGAGCTGACAGGCAGAATTGCCACATGCTGGACAGTCTTGGCGTTCTACTCTTCAGCAGCAGCCTGAGCGCCCTGGGCCAGCCTCGGAAGGTACGTACTAGTACCCCTCTAAAGCATCAAGTCGATGAGGGAACTATGCAGCATTAATTAAATTCCTGTGTGACGAAAACAACAAGTTTGGGGAAACACCAGAGAAAACCCCGGTTGCTTTGGACACTAGCAGTACTTGATTTCTCGGGTGACACATACACATCAAAGCTACTGCACCACCAACATTCACTCGTCTGGAAAGGGTAGTTGTACCATATTTTACAAGCAGTAGTAGATACCCAGGTAGTTTACGCATAATACCATGGCTCATCAAACACATGATATCGATGACCTCGTACCCCCTCTCCACGGAACAAGGCTGGGAATCGTCGTGACGGATGGACCTGTTCCTCTGGAATCCTCTCATCAGAATAATTGGGCTCCTCTCCAACCACAAATTTGCCCACCTAACAGCAGTCAGTATCAAAGCCCACAAAATCACACACATGTTACTCACCTGGATTTCGGTGTCGGTAATAGTACCCCGACTCACTCTGGCATACCCTACACGCTTGATATCCTTGTAGAGAATATACTCGCACCATCTGTCCCAATCTCGACTATCAATGTCATGCATACCGCTCTTCTCTCCTACATATGTGTTGTAGTTTCCTTCCTTGGGCTTGGTGACCAGATAGCTCAATAAGATCGCGGGACGAGGGCTTGCCTTCATCGCCTTTGCGAGATACTCGGATTGAAGTCGACGATCTTCGGGATCTTCTTCCTGTCCGGAATGGAATACGAATACATCCACCAATGTTCCATATACATCCAGGGTGGCTTCGATAGCAGGAGCAAGCTCACCAACGGGAGAGGGAAGAAGATGGTGGGTGGAGTTGAGAATGGGGAATTTGGACAGTAGTGCCGAACCCCACGTATGCTTGTTGGGACCCGGTCCATAATCCACATACATTCCAAGATCCTCGGCAATGTATTGAGTGGTGTCTCGATTGCCCATGATAATTCTCTGGTTATCGGACTCCAACAATCCAACGACATCAAGCTCCAGTTCCTTGATGGCGTCTCTCATTCGTCGTTCAGAAGACCACATGTCGTTGTCCAACGAGAAATGAATAGTCCAAATACCGGCCGTCATCAGTTTCTGATCCTTGTGATATGGTTGATAGTCGTTGGTGGGGAATCGAAGATATGCAATAGAAGCGCTAAGCAATTGAAGGACAACAAGAATGTGGAGATAATATGCAGACTGCTTACGTCCTTGTGGACTGGCAGGGCCTTTCTGTCGACGACCAGAATTGGTGATCAAGGCTGAAAAGACGCCGGCGCCTATCAGCAATGTAGTTGTAATCATCACCCAGTCGGTATGTTCTCGAACCAGTGGCCCACCAGGGACAAAGGCATATGCCACCACCCAGACGTGGAATAATAGCATGATGTTGTACACGAAGAGGCCAAATCCAAAAGTAATGGCCAGGTTGTGTTGGATGGCTGATGTGATCAATACGGGTGTGCTGCCCATCAGATAGACCGTCAAAACTAGAGCACCATAATATCCGGTCCAGTTGCTGTAGTAGGTGAGAAAAGCTGCACCCACAGCTCCCAATCCAAATGCTGTCCACGACCCGAAAAAACCTGGCAATGCGGTACCCAGGAAGAGTCCCAAACTCATCGCTAGAATAGTGACGGCACCATGGGGAGCGGCCATAGGTCCACGTACTGGAAAGCCTTCCCACACCCACAAGATCATGGTGCTGGAGTCTGACAGCAAGGACTGCAGAGCAAAAAAAAGGCCTCCTATTCCGAATGCTGCCAGGACACTGGAACCTTTCTTGGCGTGGGGTGGCTCATAATCTCCTCCACTGGTGTTGACTTGTTGAGTAGATTTCCACACTGCGGCCACCGCCAGAATAAAGCCGGTCTTGTTCCAACCACCATTGCTGGCGTTCATGATGGGCCAGATAGGATTGTTGGTTCCGTTCGCGAATTTGGAGATACTGGAAAGGATCAAGCCAATACCCCAAGCGAGAATCTTGGCTTGAAGCCGGGAAGAATTTTTTCGTTCCGCATACCATGTAGACGTCCAGGCCAAGCAGCCCATGAAGTTGGCAAAGCCGATGGTGAAAAGACGGTTAGCTGGGTCCTTGACATTCCACGCAAGAAGACCTGTGAGAGATAACATGTGCACCCATCGGATGTTCTTGATAACCAGGGAACGAATGGCAGGGATGCCGAGGAAGACAGGAGACACCGAAACCATGATCATGGCTTCGTATCCGGAGATTCCCATATGCCATAAAGGAAAGTACCAGACAAGTAATCCGACAGAGGTGAGGTTGGACCAGAAAACAAAGCCATTGTAGATGTCCGCAGCGGCATCAAGAACGGCAGGCCAATAGTACGGACCATCAAAGGTGGACGTTTGAATGAAGGGCGAAGCTCTTCTAAGCAAGAGTTAGGTTAATCCCGAGATGTAGGAGTTGACATACTCTTTTTCCTTGATAGAATCCTTGTACGCTTTCGCATCACTGGTCAAATGTCAGTAATGGAGTCGAGTGGAACGCTCGACTGAGTCGTACTTTTGAATATCTTGGGAGCATTTGCACATACCCACGACTGATGCCCTTGACATCTTTAACGACGATTTCGACCGCTCCAAAATCCAGGGTGGTTACAGCGTCGAAACCGACATCGAACAGAATTAACGCCCATTCGAAGAAAGCGTAGATGGTGTATGCTGGGAAGTATTAGAGATTACCACGCAGAGACGTGCAAGAGGAAACCGTACCACCAGCAACCCTGTGTACTTTGTGTTGAATGAAGAAGTAGATGAGTGGAACCAGGGTACCGAAGAAAGAACCAGCCAAGACCTTTCGATATTTGATGGCAGTTGGATTGGGAGGGCTCAAGGCGAGACATCCAAGTGTCCAAGGAAGTGTTGCGACAATGTATGAAATCATGAGAATGTCGTGCCAATCATGATCGTCAGTGGATGTGATATAGGTCCATCCTCCGCAGGTCAGAGTGCGAATGACACCAGTGACTGCGACGATTCCCGGAAGACTCGAGTTTGGTTTTCGAGTAAGCAGGTAGAACAGGCCGACGAGGGCGAATCGTGGGCCGGATGTGATGGCAATGAAGAGCATGAAGAAGGAACGTTCAGGGTATCGATCGCCGATGGTAGAGGAGACAGAAGGAAACCATTCTTCTGGATATCCATACCACTCGTTTTGGACAATCTTTTTGTAATGCAGAGCGCAGCCAACAAACAGGGCGCTGAGAAAGGCAGTGTATGCAATGGCGGTATGACTCCAAGAGATGTATTTTCCATTAAACTGATGAATTGTGAGTTGAGAGAGGTCTCGACAAACGAGTAGTATCTGGGGAGACATACAGAGAAGATGACGTCCCCGTCCTTACGGGGCGCCATGTTGAGAAATGATTCGGAGATGGACCAAGATTTAAAAGGCGACCAGCGACATTACAGGGCACAACAAGATGAGTAGATAAAGAATGACTAGAAGTACGAGATTGGGAATCTCGAAGAGGGAGAACAGGCGAAAGGTGAGGAAGAAGTGGATTCGAGTTCGGTGTTGATCAGCCAACTTGGGAAAGAACGTGAGGGAGCAGTCGCACTCGCACCTGCCTTTGCTGCCCCTGAACATCCGCAGCCTGCCAGACAATCTTTTTTGTTTTTTAGGCCTCGGAGTGCGTAACCTTCCCTGTAAATCGATTAATGATGCACTAATTCTACACTAAATCATTACCCCACTAGAGATCCACGGGTGCGGAGAAACTTCTCTCATCGTTCTCTAAAATTTACTGCCATAACCAATTCAAGTTCCTTTTCATACCCACTACACTGGCAATTCCATGGCGGCCGCAAGCGACAAAGCCAGGTATTTCCTGGAGCAATCCATCCCCGAGCTCAAAGAATTTGAGAAAAAGGGCATTTTCTCCCCAGAAGAAATCACCCGCATTGCCCGTAAACGATCCGACTTTGAACACAAAATCAACGCCCGAGGCTCGACGCCTACCGACTTTGCTCGTTATGCCGAGTTCGAAATCAATGTCGATGCTCTAAGGCGTAAGAGGGTCAAGAGACTGGGAATCAAGGCCACCGCCCATACCGGCAAGCGACGCATATTCTTCGTCTTGGATCGCGGAACTCGAAAGCATCCTGGCGATATTGCGTTATGGATGCAGACCATCGAATTTGCCAGAAAACAAAAAGCCTACAAGAAACTGCAGGAGATCTTCACCAGTGTCCTACGTTTGCATCCTACAAAATCCGAATTATGGATCTACGCCGCCCAATTTGCTGTGGAAGAGAATGGTGACATGACGGAGGCGAGAAGTTACATGCAACGAGGATTGAGATTCTGCAAGAATGTGAGACCAATGTGGGTGCAATATGGGAGGCTTGAGATGTCATACATTGCCAAGATCCAAGCTCGACGGGAAATTCTGGGGATTGGGGCAGACAGACCAGAGCAAGTCCCAGAGGTCCAAGACAACGAGGATCTACTCAAACTACCCAGGTTGACGGCTATGGACATCAACCCGGATCTAGAAGACGATAAGATCGATACAGTGGCTCTGGAAAACCTCGATGCTACCCCTGCCATGACCGGTGCCATTCCCATGGCTATATACGACGCCGCGATGGCTCATTTCGGCGATGCGGACATTGGACTGAGCTTTTTCAACATGATTCTTGAATATGACCAGTCTGTCACTTGCAGGCGCATCACCAAGCACATCATCGATCCTCTGTTGGCCACCTATCCCACAACCTGGCAGGCCCACGCATGCTACATTCGGGCACCACTCGTCTCTGTTGCCGTTACAGACCCAGAATATCCACGAGCGTTCAAGCAATCGTTGACCAGGTTGAGGGAGGCACAGAAAACCAGCGAGAAGAGCAAGGTGAACGAATGGGCTCAATCGTGGCTGAAAGCATTAATCGACGAGGAGGGTCTCGATCCAGGAATCCAGACTGTGGGAGAATCGATTCTGAGATCGCTAACCGCCTCTTGACCGTGTCACTCGTATCCAGGCTTTCCTCTAGTCTGCTTCTTGCTCGAATGCAATTTCTTGGCCTTTAATCTTGCCTCTTTCTCCGCTTTCTGTAGCCTGATCACTTTCTTCTGCTGCTCCTCAGATGTCTCCCCAGGCACAGAATGGCTGTAAACCTCGGCAATCAGATCGTTTAATTTTCTAAAGCAAGTATCTCTGTTGGCCTGCTGTTTCCGACTTTCGTCTGCTTGGATGAGGAGGGACGAGGACTTTTCGGCACAATATCGTGAGGAGAGAATTCCCTTGTGCAGGACAGCGGGGATCAATGGGAATAGTTTGTCCAATGGTACACGCAATTGAGCTTTGGAATTGGTTCTGGAATCTGTATGAGACTATCAAGTAGTGGTGGCTCCGCGGTATGAATCATGTCTTACTTGTTCACATTTTGACCACCTGGTCCGCTTGCTCGACTGTAAGACACCTCGCCAATCTTGCTCAACGTGTCAGGAGAGTATTTGTTCTTGTACCAGTCCCTCGTCGCCTCATAATCCAATTCAGGTTGATCTGTTGTGGTTGACGACCGACGGTGGGTGCTCGACCAGACACAATTCTCAGCTGATACCAGGACTGGTCTCTTTTGAACAACACTTCTCCATGGTTGCATCATCAAGGCAGTCCAGGGGGTTGTAACAATTGTGCAGGTGCATGAACTCATGTGGATGTTGATATCCGTCCTCCCAAATCGTCACCAGCACTTACTCTGTTCTACACCAGGAAACTTATCCGAGCTACACTTGCTATTATTGTTTGACTAACCTGGCCAAGGTAAGCGTCCGGTTCTAGCGCATGGTTAGCGTCCAGTGTGCCTGATCTGCTCGCTCCTTTCCTCCCTCGTCTTTGCTCTTCCCTCGTTCGTCACTTCCTTTCTTTCCCCTCCGTTCTCTGGCTCTTTGGATTTCCTCCGTCATTCAGGCTCCGGACTGCCACTCCCACGCTTCTCACAGACTACAGACACTCAACCTCCCACAGATCGGGTGTTGAAATTCATCCTTCCATCAATCAATATCTCCCTTGTCTATATCCATCCCTGAAGAACCCATCCCGTTCCCTTTAACCCATTCTTCTTCTTCTCATTCTCAGGTCATCTTGACCTTTTCCTTTTTTTCCATTTCCCAATCTTTTCCCCCACCACCATCAGCCTTATCAGCCATCGCACCATGAATCCAACCTCATCATGACTGAAACAAGCCCCCCGATCGAAGCTCAACGCTTTGGTAGATCCCAGACTCCCGAAAGTCCACGTCCAGTTCATCTACCTGAGCCTTCCAACATCCCAGTCCTGCTAAACCAAATGGATCCGGTCTTTAATGATACTGAAACCTATAACATTCCACATGATCAGACTTTCTCTCCTTATTCCGAATCTGCCCGCGCAGTGAATGATTCCAATTCTGATGAACAAGACGCGGTTCAGAATTTCCTGAGAGGTGCCGAACAAGAGAATGCTCGTTTTGATCCACCACCCACCACCGCGCCTGCGCCCGCGCCCGTTCAAGATGATTCGATCTTGTCGAATCTTGCCAATGCTACTGCATATTCAGGGAATGAAACTACATCCCAAGCTCATGATTTAGTTGGGCCCACTCAAGATTTGTCCAAGCCTGGATTTGAACCATCTGAACCGTCGTCAGAACCTGGACTTGCACTCCCATCTGTGGCAGATGCTCCTTCTTCTTCCAACCATGACATTTTACAATCCATTACCGAAAGCATCTCAGACCCAGACTCCAATGCAAACCCCAACCCTTCATCAGGTCCGGCCGGGATTGATTATCAGTCTCTTCTCGACACCATTTCTCAATCTGCTTCTACTGCTCCTGCTGCAGACCCTGTATCTGCCCCAACCACTGCATCTGCCCAAGATCCAACTACCCATAATTTACCCATTGTTCCAGGCTTACCTCCCAAACCTCCTGCGCAAGAAAATGGCCCAGAAAATACTTTTCTTACCTATGCCCAACCTATTAATGATACTACTCAAGTCGTCCAAGCTCTTTACCAACCACCAGAGATGCCTCAAATGCCTACCTATGATGCACAACAAGCTCCTGCTCCCAGCTATGGTGGTCAAGCTCCAGGTCTGAGCTTTCCTCAGTCGTCGCCGACTCTTTCCAATCCCGGCACCGGTCCCTTTCAACCTCAAGAACCTGTTCGATCCGCCGATTTGCCCGAACGGAAAATGTCACCCGTCACCCAAGCCAAGTATGACCAATTTCTCGAAGATGAACGACGTTATGTGACTGAAGGTATCTGGGATAAATTTCCTCTAGGATCTCGCCTGTTTGTGGGCAATCTACCTAGTGAGAAGGTAACCAAGCGTGATTTGTTTTTCACGTTTCACAAGCATGGCCGATTAGCCCAAATATCCATCAAGCAAGCTTATGGGTTTGTGCAATTTCTTGAAGCTTCATCATGCGCATCTGCTTTGGCATCGGAACAAGGTGTGGAAATCCGAGGAAGAAAGGTTCATCTGGAGGTCTCCAAACCACAAAAAAACACCCGCAATGCAAACAACCAGGGAAACAAAAGACGCCGCTCACGTTCACCGGACCGTGGCCCTCGACAGAATGATCGTTACGGTCGCCACAGTATGGACAACTTTCGAGATGATCGGGTCAACAGAAGGGAAGATTATCGCTCAGGGAGATCCCCCTCACCCAATCGTTATCGATCTGCTGACGATTATCGACCACCTGCACAAAGTCCAAGAATGTTTCGACCGGAAGGCAGACCGAGGTCACCTTACGGCGCTTCATATCCACCCCCATTACCAGTACCGTATGATGAAGAGGCCTCTTTACCACTACCTCGACGAGACTCACGCGATGTCCCAGATGTTCAACTATTGGTTCTTGATCCTTCGGTCGCTCAAAGCTTTATCCAATGGATCGAGCAAGGATTTCGTGCTAAAGGACTTAGGGCTTCAACAATCTGGCTAAGTCCAAGACTTCCTTTAAATGGTGTAGTCAAGAGACAGATTATTGAAGGCGTTTCAGCCATTGTCAAGCTAACACAAGCCACGCAGTATGTCAGCAAGATTCCTTTGCAGGTTTTTGATCGATCTTCTGGTGCGTCCAACGTGAACTTCAACGAGTATGTTGATCTCGACGTTCCTATTGCGGCAGATATTGTTTCACACGCCCGACAGCAAGAACGAAGAATGGGACGACAGAGAGAGATGGTGTCTCCAAGTTATGGTCCCGGGATGGGGCCTAACCAGTATAGTCACCAACAGTCTCCTCAATTCCCACAACAACTCCCACCAAACTTTCCACCACAGCAGCAAAATTCTTATCAACATTACAATCAGCAATCCGCTTATGACTCCCGGATGTTACCACACAGTCCAGCTACTTTGACACCTGACTCTGCAGGAGCTCCGAACCTTCAACAATTGTTGGCGAACCTTCGTCAACAGCCGGATGGGCAAAAGAACATGTCACCAAATGACCGACCAGCCCCCGATCTAGCTGGACTGCTCAGCAATGCAGTTCGACATCAAATCCAAGGAGGCCAATATGTGCACCCCTCACCACAGCAGCAGCATCAGCATCAACAGCAGGGTCAGTATGGAGGTGGACCGGGGTATGGGGGAGGACCACAGCAATCGCCACAGAATGTTCAGAACATCATGGACACATTGGCAAGATATAACCGATAAGCCGACAATGGGTGTGGGTGGTGTTGAAGGACTTCGGTGATGTGAGGAGGCAACTGCAGATCAAGGTGATGATGACGGTGGCTTGTCGGTCTAAAGACGATGTTATGTGCAGAGTTCAATACTTGTATAGATGACCATGTTTCTTATTTTCAATAGCATAGCAGAGCGAGGTGTCTTCTTGGCCCAGAGCAGATACGAGGAGACCTGGCTTGCATCAAAGACCGAGTTTTAGGCACTACGATTTAAACTTAACTCCCGCTAGATGGGAACGGAGGTACCGACGAGCTTAATACAAGCCCGATTCCAAAAGAAAACCCGTGCGATCTTTTTCTAGCATCCAGCTCCGTCTATGGGATGACCACTCTCCTGTGGTGCTGAAGGGACTTCTATCAAGACAGATTGGGTCTACCTATATCTGCTCCCAAGGACTCATCGGTAACAATAACAACAGATATCAGGTCGATGACCCTGGAGTGTCTGTGTATGATGATGTGACGATGATTTCCAGACCGCTGGCCCGGAAACCTCGACACAACTGGACCACAAAAAGGCCGCACAGTGGGTGGGAATTCTGTGTCGATGGAATTCAATTTTGGACCAGGAACACTGGCCGAGAGACGAGCCGACATCAAATTTCGCTGGGTAGGCTGTGAGTGTGGTTTAGATGTGATAAAAGGGAAGATATGGTATGGCGGTAGAGTAACATGGGAGCCTGGAAAAGGCTTCTGAGCGCTCGAATATAGCAAAGCGAACATCGGATGGGACTACGAGGCGGTCTTCAGAGCCTTGTCCGGATCATAAGGCCCAGAATCAACGTCTTGTATTCTTGACATGGAGCTGTAGACTCCTGCCAACTCGAGGTTGTCTACTGGCCTCCCGGATTTCTACATGTTACTGCAAATGCACAGCCATCGTCATATCTTGCTCTCACTTTTCTTTCTCTGATGCTGAGACGACCTCGCGACCTCCGCATCCAGTGTTTCATTGACAAACACAACCATCTTCTCGACCATTGACGCCGGTACCTCATGCCCGACGCCGTCGAATACATGGTCCTCGAGATGCAGGTCTCCGCCGTTGAACCAACCCCCTTCTGCCGAGGACCGCTTCAACCAGTCTAAGAACGGCTTACTGTGCGCATAGCTGACGAGTTTATCGTCCCCACCGGAGAGGACCAGGATTCGTTTATTCCCGAAGCATCGCGCCATCACGGGTGCAAGGGCCGCTCTGTCATCCGCCGTGAGTGATGAAGTCGAGAGGAAAGCCTGCTCCGTTGGTGTATCGCGTAGGTGTGAAGAAATAAACGCCGCGGGATCCGTGCGCCGCAGACTCTGTATCAGACTGGGCGGAAAATCGGGACTGCCCAGAAACTTCCTTCCTTGGGACTCAAGCCAGTGTTTCCGTTTACTCAGGCGGGCTCGATCGGCCATCAGGCGTGCGTAGTCCGGGCAGCCGATGACGGGGATGGCAGCGCTGAAGCGGGGATCGTGGGCGATGACGTGCCAGGCTGCGTGGCCGCCGAGGGAGATGCCGAGCACGACGTTATGGTCGATTGTGCGAGTTGAGTCTGGGAAGATGTAGCCCGGGAGGTAGTCGAGGAGTAGGGATGTGTCCTGTGCGGTGCCTGCGTAACTGCTGTACATGTCCAGAGCATGGTTTTCATTGCCGCCGCGCCAGGCTTCATTGGCGAGGGGAGAGGCTAGGCGCGAGCCATGGTTGCGCTGGTCGAAAGAGATGGCTATTAAACCCCTTGATTTCGTGCCTGATATATTGTTGCTGCGGTGTGTGTTCCATTCGGTGATTAAATGTGCAGCGAACGGTGCCATGCATGCTTTCGTTTGAAGGCGGGGGTGGAGGAGCCATAGTGCTGAGACCGACGCGCTTTCGCTGGCGGGTGGAAGTTCCGAAAGTCCAAATACTGTGACAAGGATGCCGGCGATGTGGACTTCCACTGCTGATATGGGCTCCGGGTGTTCGACTGAGTGGGCGGTGGCGCCGGTGTTGGGTGCGCCGTAGGTGTATTCGACAGGGTTGAGGGTCGTTTTGGGTTTGGTCATTGTGAGAATGGTGAGGGTAGGTCGATGGGATCAAGGTTAAGGTGAAGTGAAGAGGAGACGGAGGACCGGGAGACAGTTGGAAAGTAGCAAATACTTGTCGAGAAAATATGGCATTCAATGAATCGGGCCAGAATAATGTTGAAGTCAGTATGTGCCGCGGTATGTGTTTGGGTGCGGGGAAATTCGGATGGAACTGGAAGTGGAATGCCCTTCTCCAACAGGTCACGTGTCAAGGAATATAGGGAAAAGAACCAACACAAAGCAACTTGCATACATAGATGTAATATATACATGGGACTGATATGTGGTCAGGTCCCCTTTTTCGACCTCTTGAGACTAATAGATCCTCGGATGGCTGGCCTATCGAGGTCGGGCTGGTCGGTCGTACCCGAACGGGTACCAATGTATCTCCGACGGCCCGATGACTGAGATACTCACTTTGAACGGATTGTTCGCGTGATATCTTGTCGCATAACTGGGCTCTCTCCTGTCCAATAGACCACGTCCACCATGGGTAGGTCTTGAACATACGCCAGGTAGAGTCCGTCACGAAAACGTGCCCGACATGGTCGTAGATACACCTCAAAAGGGCATCATGACGGTGGCTTGCAGTGCTGTACTGGTCCCGGACATCGACTTCATCCTTTTCCCCAGTGACCTGGTTTTGGTAAAAAGAGGCACATCAAGGTCACGAACAGAGCCTTGGTCTGCGGGATGGAGCCGCCATCCGCCATCCCCTGCTCTCATCTTTGGTGCAGGCTGCGATAAAGCTTGAGCTCAAGAAAACCGTATGGAACCCTTTATTTTCTTCATCAAGGAATCTGTCCAGCTTCGAGTTGGAGCTTCCTCAAGCTCCTTGACCAGTTCGTCGTAGTGGGCGGGATTACTCCTTGGATGGCGAACATTTGGGGGGATGGGAAAAGCATTGAGATATTTGTTCTTGAGAAGGGAGTCGAGAGCCTTGACCTGTCGCAGCTCCTTTTCTTCGCTATAGACTGGTGGTTGAACAGGTGAGACAAGAGCATCATTTGCCTTGATGGTAGTCGTTGAAGGAGCGTGGACTCTGTCTATACGAGATTGCATGATTTTCTGAAACGAGACATTGTTGGGCCTGACGCGGTCAACGGGCCATTCCTTGATGATTCGGGCCCAGTGTTTGAGAGCGACCTGGAGTGGTCAATGCTGAGGGATGATTGAGGGTGTAGATGAAGACTTACTGCTTGATTTGTCGCCATGATGGGTGGATGGGTAGGATGAATATGAGATGGGGTAAACACTCAAGCCATGAGATGAGATGAGGCTCGGATGCCAATAATGAATAATGACGCGATGATCATCAATCAATTGACGAGGGACCTCCAGCTCGCTCGCTAATGGGGCTGTGCAGAACTGCAATTACAGTTTACCCGTGCGCTTAGGGCCAGCCCTCCAGAGTCCAGGCACCAACTTGGGATGTTTCCGGCACCCGAAGCCTTGCAGCCACCTGGGACCCGCCTGGGGATGACGCCCGGAGAGTCTTTCATCCACTCCCACTGCACTTTATTCTTCCCTCTTCTTCTTTGCCTCTGCCTGTGCCTGCGCCATAATCCTTCCTCTCTTCCTCCCCTTCTCTCCTCGTCTTTGTCTAGCCAACCAACGACACACTGACCATCTGCCTTTCACTTCCTTTCAACACCAATCCATTCTCTTCCTCGGGTCAATTTCTATTATTCTGTTAACGACAACTTTCCTACATTCCTCTCTTCTCTTCTCTTCTCCCTACATCTCCTTGCTCTGACCACCTCCTAATTGCTCACGGCCGCGCAATGGCCCCTCAGAGATATGAAGCGGTAAGACTCTCAATTCCCAACCCATCATCATCATTGCCATCATCGCCATTCTATTCAAGAACATCCATACTGACTCAATCCAAGGTCAATTCTCAAGACGACGATGACTTCAATTCGCCAACATCTCCACAGTCCCCTCCACCATCATTCCGCTCCAGAGCCTCTTCACCCACATCCCGACGCTTGTTAGCACAGGATCCTCTAGAAAACCATCCCGATCATGACCTAGAGGATGCCTTTGACGATGGAGAAGCCTCAGATGCCGATAACGATGGTGATGACCGACAGCGATTGATGAGGGCCGATCCGGCCACCTCCAGGTCAAGCCAATCAAACCTTACATCACAGTCCAATGTTGAACGACCAGCCGCACCACTACCAACATTCAGACCCATGCCTATGCCTTCGTCAACGTCAAGACCTACTGATGGTGTCTTTGCAAATCTTTCTGCCAAACCCGAGCGCGGCGAACAATTGGAGGAAAAGCCACCCGTGAGTCAACATGTCTACGCTACTGCCCAACCATAATCACTGACTTGAATCCTTAGACATATGAACAAGCTGCCGCCGATGCCACCCCTCCATACTGGGAGACTACTATTCTCGCTCCCGGAATGTCATCGGACGAGGTCTACGTAGATGGACTTCCAGTTGGCTCCGTTTTCTCCTTTGTCTGGAACGGAATGATCTCAATGTCCTTCCAACTCGTGGGTTTCCTTCTCACCTATCTTCTACACACAACACATGCGGCAAAACACGGCAGTCGCGCTGGTCTAGGATTGACTTTGGTCCAATATGGATTTTACATGAGCGGTACCGAAGGCGGAAATTCGGACACCGGCAACCCTGGTCAATTCTCAAACTCATCGCCCCCAGATCCAAACAGCCACAATTTTGATCCTAATAATGTCGATTCAGCTGGCTCATCCGACAATGCTGGAGTGGGTGGTCTCTCAAGTACCGACTGGATTTCTTATGCCCTGATGATTATCGGTTGGTTTATATTGATTCGCGCCGTATCCGACTTTTTCCGGGCAAGGCGTCATGAAGCGTTGGTTCTACAAAGTCCCAATCGTGGTCTTCCTGTCGCGGTCGTTGCAGAGGGCGAAACCCCAGAGCAAGCTGCATGATTTTTCCTATTTTAGATATTTAGCGACTCAGGGCAATTGAGAGCATTCCCTATTTTATGTTCCTATGCATAAACTGGCTTTTCTACCCTACCAGCTCGATTGTCGGGCATAGGACGTGGTTTCTCGATGCGACTTTGTGTTGCACTGAAAATACCATCAACTTCACATTTCTAAGAGTGACTCGCAAAGAACATTTGTAGTGGGAACAAGAGAGTTGAGAAGTATCAACCTCCAAGAGTAGAATGAACACTAAAGGGCCATGCTCGCGCGGTCTTCAACAACGACAGATACATTCCGAATCATGTCTTCTCCCATCTTCAACGGGCAGCTTGCTTGTCACTTATTTTGACTACCACTAGGCCTATCAACTGTAACCTTGCAGCTCTTCTCCCTACTCATGCATGTTGATTCTACTCTCCATCCGACGTTCATCCCGCAGTTCCACGAGTCGCTCTAACGCAGTGCGCAGCGGAATCAACTCACCCATTTTCTGTGTGGCGGGATCATCGCGGTTGCGGATATTGACGGTGCGAGTCTCTTGTTCTTTGGCGCCGACAACTAATTTAGACAGACACATGGCGAGTTAGTAATCACGCGATCAATTCATCCTCACCACCAACAAAGAAAGACCAAATTGGGTTCAAACACTCACCAAAGATGAAGTTATACTGGGCCAACTGCCCGCTGCGGATCTTCTTCTGCAGCGTATTCCCACTGACATCGATGTCGACGTAGAGTCTCGCCTTGTGGAAAATGCCCTGGATCTCGCGCACGTAGTCCTCTGCACCCTTCATGACGGGAATCACCAAGACCTGGCGGGGGGACAGCCAGAACGGCCATTTGCCCGCGAAGTGCTCGCAGAGAATGGCGATGAAGCGCTCGAACGAGCCGACGATCGCGCGGTGGATCATGACTGGGCGGGCCATGCCGTGAGCAGGCGCCTTAGGGTCGCGTGGAGCTGCGGCTTCGCCGTCTTGCTTCGCGGCCGCGGTGTCGCCACCCTCGCCGGTGCGGTACTCGAGCTTGAAGTTCTGCGGGCCCTGGAAGTCCAGCTGGATGGTCGCGCACTGGTACTCGCGCATCAGGGCGTCCTGGATGGTGATGTCGATCTTGGGGCCGTAGAACGCGCCGTCACCCTCGTTGAGCTCCCAGTCGTCCCCGCGGAAGTTCTGCAATGCCTGCTTGAGGCGCGACTCCGCCGAGTCCCACTCCTCCTTTGTGCCCATGTAGCCCTCGGGCCGGGTGGAGAGCTTGAATTTGAAGGGGAAGCCGAACAGGCCGTAGACGTGTTTCATGAAGTCGAACAAGGCCTCGATTTCCTCTTGGACCTGTTCGTTGGTGCAGAATATGTGTGTGTCGTCCTGTTGGAACTTGCGTACGCGGGTGAGGCCTGACAGTGCGCCGGATGCTTCGTTGCGATGTAGGACGCCGAAGTCGGCAACTCGCCAGGGGAGTTCGCGGTACGAGCGTTCTTCATCGCGAAACATCAGGCAGTGGCCAGGGCAGTTCATGGGTTTCAGCGCAAAAACACCCTTGTCTTTGTCTTTTGGTTCGCCCGCGGGAAGGGGCTTGCCGTCGGGGGCTTTGTCTGCGAGAGGAATTGGGTCCGAGGCGTCTTCTTTGATTTGCACTCGGAACATGTCGTCTTGGTAGTGCTGCCAGTGGCCGGAGGTCTTCCAGAGTTCGACGTCGTACATATTGGGGGTCTGGACTTCCTGGTAGCCTCGGTCCCAGTATTGTTCGCGCAGCATGGCTTGGAGGGCGTTGAAGATGCGGACGCCGTGGGGGAGAAGGAAGGGTGATCCGGGGGAGAGTTTGCTGAACATGAAGAGCTTCTGTTGCTGGCCGATGACTTGATGATCGCGCTTCTTGGCTTCTTCGAGGAAGTGCTCCCAGTCTTTCAGCTGTTGTTTGTTGGGGAATGCCACGCCGTGGATGCGCTGGAGACTGTCGTTGTTCTGGTCGCCGAGGAAATAGGCGGAGCTGTTCTTCATAATCTTGAAGGCTTCGATCTTGCGTGTGTTTTGGATGTGGGGGCCTTGACATAGATCGACGAGTGTGCCGTTGCGGTAGACTGTAGAGGACTCGCCGTCTGGAACGAATTTCTCGATGTAGTGCATTTTGTATTTACTGTAACCAAACAGTTTTCGTAGATTCTCCTTGGAGACCTCGAGGCGTTCGAATGCTTGTTTCTCTTTGGCGAATTTCTTAGCTCGAGTCTCGAGGGATGGCCATTCACCTTCGCGTACGGCTTGTCCGGGTGGAAGGGCCATGTCGTAGAAGAAGCCCATGGCTGTTGGGGGACCGTGAGATAGACGACAGCCATATTCATGTTCGGCACATTCACCTAGAACGTGAGCTGAGGAATGCCAGAATACATCTCGTCCTTCTGGGTCATCAAAGGTGAGGTAGACCACTTTGCTGCTCTTCTCAAGTGGTCGGTCAAGGTCCCATAATTCACCGTCGACCTTGGCTACAACGATTTGACCGGCTCGATCCTTGGGGACGTTCTTCAATAAATGACCTGGTGTGGTCTCCCAGGCTTTGCCTTCGATGACGGTCTGTTGACCAGGTGCTGATGTGAGATTGATCTCAATTGTTGGTTTCTCCTTACTGGCCAAGGCTTCATCATGTTCTCTCTTCAGTTGATCAAACAGAACATTTCTTTCCTGGATGAAATCTGGTAATTCTTTGGGTGCCTGGTGTTTGGGCGCCGCTGCTTGAGACGACATTTCTTTTGGTCTGTTTGGTACTTTCCTACTCTGTTGTTGAGGGTTGTCGGGTCTCTTTGATATATTGCTTCCAGGGGTAGATGACTCAGAAGTCTGAGGATGATTTTGACTCATCTTGGGACCATTCAAGACACCCCAGAGATCATGGGGGTTAAGACTTACTTTCTTCTGGTGGCTCATGGTAAAAGAGCGAGAGAAGGAAAGGGAATTCGCGTTGTGGAGACCAAATATGGTAAAGCAGATGGTGGGACTGGGACAGTTACGGTGTCCACGTTGAATTGATGCCAGTGTGTGTGAGTGGTGCCGGTGGTTCTGGTGGTGACAAGTCACGTGCTGGCAGCTTTGCCTGCAACTTGAATAATGCCGTCCAACTGCGAATAATCGTCCATGAAATTTCATCCCCTCTCCAGCCCCAGCCCAAGCCCAAAGGAAAAAAAAGTATTCCCCGTTGTCAACCCACTCGCTTCTCCACGCTTCAACAACAATGGCGTACCGAGGCGATTCACGAGGTCGTGGCGGTTTTCGAGGTGGTGATAGAGGAAGAGGATCGTTTGGTTTTGGTGGAAGAGGTGGATGTAAGGATTAATTTCCCAAGCCAAAGTCTCCGGAGTTTCGAGGCAGAGGGCCTGCACACAAGAAATTGACGGCCAAAAATGACTGACCTTGCGGGTGAACAGGTAGAGGAGGATTTCAACAACAGAGCTATGGACCACCTGATCAAGTGTTCGGTGAGGCTTGAAAAGTCTTTGCGACACCGTTCCGGAGCTGATTTGGTATTTTAGAAATGGGCAAATTCCTCCATGCATGCGAAGGAGAACTTGTCTGCGAATCAGTCAACCCCAAAGTTCCTTTCTTCAATGCACCCATCTACCTCGAGAACAAGGTGCGATCACCTCCTTATTTCTACCGCGACAGCTTCCTAACGCTGCGCAGACTTCAATAGGCAAAGTCGATGAGATTCTTGGTCCGATCAATCAAGTCTACTTCACGATCAAACCACAAGAAGGAATTCAAGCTACATCATTCAAAGCTGGAGACAAATTCTACATCGGTGGAGACAAGCTGTTGCCTTTAGAAAAGTGAGTGGAACACAGCCCAGAGTTTGAGATGCAATGGAATACTAAAGAATTTCAAGGTTTTTGCCCAGGCCCAAAGCACCACCAGGTAGGACCAAAATACGTCTCAGTATATCACACAACTTACACAGATACAGGATCGAAACCAAAGCGACCAGTGGGTGCTCGTGGCGGTGCTCCTAGAGGTCGAGGTGCCCCCAGAGGCCGAGGCTCCTTCGGTGCGGGTGGACGAGGTGCCCCAAGAGGCAGAGGATCCTTTGGTGGCGGTCGAGGCGCACCCAGAGGTAGAGGATCCTTTGGCGCAGGTGGAAGAGGAGGTTCAAGAGGTGCTCCAAGAGGACGTGGCAGATTTTGATTGTGGTCACTGAACTGGAGTCTCGCTCTTTTTGCTCTTCTGGCATGGTCAGGCGTTATGGGAGGAGGGATCAATACCCGGTAAAACAGTGTACAAACTGGATGGGTGTGAAAATCGCCTGTGCGATTGTCATGTGTGATAGTCCACTCGCTCACTTGTCAGGACTCAGATGGTCTTTACGAAGAATAGAAGAATGGTACGCCAGGCCCGATAACGATCACGTGACCATCCTTTCTTCCCTCAACATTGAAGTGGCTGTGCTCTGTCTAGGTCTGTGGCTGTGCACGTAGCTTTACGTAAGTCGGACTGTGGCGCTTGAAAATCCAAAGTTTGGACTCTGCAGACGATGACGTTGTGGGACTGAAACAACAGCAGCACCACCACCACCACCATCATCATCATCAACACGTTTCCTCGTCCGCGGCCTTGTTTCTCCAAAAATCCACCTTCTTGACGTCGCTATTTCAAAAGTCACCCGCTCGTCAACCTCTTCTTCCCCCATATTCTTCGCTCACAAACATTTCACACCTTTCCCCCTATTCATTCCATACATCATTTTCACCAATATGTCTCGCAGAAGCGGTGCCACCACCGCTGGTCAAGAAGAGACTTCCGTGCAGCCTTCCAACAACGCACAATCGAAGCAAGCAATGTTGTTAGCACAGGATACCGGGCATTTCAGCTTGGTCAAGTGAGAGCCTTCGTACACCATGCAAAATTCAGAACTGACTCCAACAGAGCTCTGCACCTGGCTGATCTAATTACTGAATTGAATGGTGAGTCCAATCCCCTTCGACATGTGAAAATAGAAAAATGTTAATTCGTTTCCAGGCTTCTGCGGATGTGCGTACCCTACCATCCTGATGTTTTCACCTTGACTGATCATCATATCCTAGTCATGTCTGTCCTCTCCTCGATGCGCTACTGCCTTTCCGACCCCAAAGATTTGACAAACTTGTGGCTCGCTTTGGGGTTTATGCCCTTTGGGCTGTTCTTCGACTTTTTCGATGGCAAGGTTGCAAGATGGAGGAAGAAGTCTTCGTTGATGGGACAAGAATTGGACTCGCTGGCTGATCTGGTATGCTTCTCAACACAATGGCTTGATGCAAAAATACTGACCTCCCGCAAGATCTCATTCGGAGTGGCTCCAGCTGCTGTGGCCTTCGCCATTGGATTCCGGACCAACATTGACCAACTCTTCCTCAGCTTCTACGTTTTGTGTGGCTTGACCAGACTTGCGAGATTCAATGTTACGGTTGCAATGCTCCCAAAAGACAAGACTGGCAAATCACAATATTTCGAAGGAACTCCAATCCCATTTGCATGCTTGACCAGCTCTGCAATCATGGCGACCTGGACCTCATTTGGGTGGATTCATGATTCCATACCAGTCGGAACCGTTCTCGCAGGAACTCCATTCGAGTTTCACCCAACAGTACTGCTCTTTGTCTTGAACGGGTCTCTGATGATTAGCAAGACACTGCACGTTCCCAAGCCATAAGATTGGAGTAGCAAGACTAGAAATTCAATGGAAGACGGCACACTATATCCGGCGCTGACTGGACATCCAAAGCAATAGGCATGAAGACGGCACTGGACTTGAAAAACGGGATAAAGCCAAGGTGTACATGGTGTGGGCTGTCTCACTTGGTAACAGATTTCTCTCCACGGATAATGATACCAATCTCCCCAAGGAGTACCGATAGACTGGGGCTTTCGGCTTCTAGGATAATACATTTTGAGTCGTGCCCAATCATGCGAATCCAGCTTGGTCCTGGTATTTGTTCCGCTCTCCACAATCACCCCACAACTCGATTTGTTCATTCCCTTTGATGACTGCCAACACTACCCCCTCTTTGTAGCGAGCGAAAGGGCCGTCAAGGGGACTTGCCTGCCTCAGACAAATAACCCTGTCAGATGCCATTACTTCTACATATGGCACAAAACCTTCGAACTCTCCGTTTCTTCCACAGGTACTCCCGCGCCAGACATTGAACTAAGTTCTGCTAAGAAATTCGCTCATGTGACAATCCCATGTCGAGGCAATAACATAGATAGTACTATTACTTCAGGATTCGAGTACTACATGAATTCCTTCACCGGCATTATAAGCTCAAATAATATGGCATTCGATCTTTGTGAAAGTCACGGATCGCGGTTGCTGACAAGAAGACAATCGATAAGCGCGTCTGTACAGCAAGGATATTGCGGGGAATATATTTCTCACGATTCCTCCGCTCATCTTCTCGTACTACCTTCACCATACATTCTCTTCAATCACAACATGTATCCCTGATCCAGGCAGAGATAAAATTGCCGCATCCCACCCTGGCTAGCATCCACCGCGTCTTTGCCCATGAGGAATCTGAGGTTGTACAAAGCTGCCTGACCTTGGCTAAGGAAGGCGGGGGCCTTACAACTTAACAATCCCGCGCTCCGTGCTCAAATTGATGCGTACAGTGTCCGGCAAGGCATAAGACGAGCATGTTTTCCATTCTTATTATTGACATACTCTCTCCATCTTACAGACGCGAGATGCTCTTCACTATATCCTGACACAAACCACTGATACTCCGCAATCGAGAATCTCCAGGGGGAGGCATCTATCTGTTCGATCGAACACACCGAGAGCTAGCAAGCAGCAATCATCCTAAAGTCGACACAACATGCCAATCGAGAACCCCGCTCTGCCGCCAGACTCCATAGTCCTGATCACCGGCGTCAACGGGCTCGTCGGCTCGCACGTAGCAGACCAAGTCTTGCTGCACGGTTACCGAGTGCGAGGGGTAGTGCGAAACCTCAAAAAGCATGAATGGATGATTGCGTTCTTCGCGTCACGCTACGGTGCCGACAGATTCTCACTGACCGAGATCGCGGACCTCACGAAAGCTGGCGCATTCGTCGACGCCGTCAAAGGCGTCGCGGGCGTCATGCACGTAGCCTCGCCCGTCGACATCAACCCGGACCCGGACGTCGTGATCCCGATCGTGGTGGACAGTACGTTGAACGCGCTCACCGCCGCGAGTGACGAGGCCGGCACGGTCAAGCGATTTGTGCTCACATCGTCCGGCTCGGCCGTTGTATTCCCGAAGCCGAATCACCGCGTGAACGTCACGGCCGAGACCTGGAATGAGGAGAGTGTTCGAATTGTGCAGGACTTTCCGGCTGATATGTCGGTCATTCAGAGGGGCTTTGTGGTTTACATGGCTAGTAAAGTCAAGGGCGAGCAGGCATTGTGGAACTGGGTCAAGGAAAACCCGAATTCGAGTTTGGCTGTGAATGCTGGTATGTCGATTCTGATCCGAGCTTCCAGGTTTCAACGCAGGTCAGCCTGGTAGCTCACATTAACTTGTGGCAGTCCTCCCCGGCGGAGCGTTCGGCCCAGTCCTCAGCCCCGAGCATCAAGGCTACCCGTCGACGACAGGACTCGTGGCCGCTCTATTCACCAACAACACCGAAATCGTCGACCTCATCATACGCGACTATGCTCCCGGTAAGTTTCGACCCTTCCCAAGAGACCCGTCTACCATCCAAACTTCACTACTGATCCTAACCCCGAACAAATAGAATATTTCGTCGACATCCAAGACGTCGCCCGCCTCCACGTTGCGGCCCTACTCCACCCGGACGTCAAAGGCGAGCGTATCTTCGCGTACAACACGCCGTTCAATTGGAACACGGTACTGGGTGCGTTTCGGAAACTCTACCCCGAACGGACGTTTCGGGACGATGAGCCCGGTCTCTGGGATGATCTGTCGATCGTGGAACCGGCGAAGCGCGCGGAAGCGTTGTTGCGGGAGATGGGCAGGGAGGGGTTCACCGGCCTCGAGGAGAGTCTGAGAAGGAATGTCCAGGAGATTGTCGACGCCGACGGCTCGGGGCCTTGATGGTCGACATGGGGAGGTAGGTGATTGTGGTTATGGGTTGGAGGTGGTGTGGAATAGTGTTGTGAGGAACATAGGACGTATGATTGGAGAGCTGGGATCTTCACTCTCCATGTGCTCTTGCCCATGTTGGAGACCTGGAAGAGTGGATTCACTAGAATCAATTGGCCACTGTTCTCGAAGCCATCTCCAGATTCTCGGTAATCTGATGGATGGCCACCTCGGTAGATGGGAAGTGATGATTGGGAAGATCCCGAACCTGGGACTGGATCAAGACGGGTGGAGAGAGGACGCGTGTAGAACCTTCCTTGCAGAAATCCAAAGCGTCGAGGAATGGGTAAATGGCTAACCGTTTCTGGGGAATTTCTCACTGTGATCGACATTTCGGACGGGAACAAGTTCAACTTTATATCACATTTTTATTTGAGAGATTGCGTACCTCCTAAGTAGGGGTCGCTCTAAGCTGAACTGTGCGTTTTGAAACACACAGAACATCTGGGAGAATATTCAGTGGTAGTCAACTCGTTATGCCCTCGAATTTTTTACTCTACCCCCAACAATCATGGAAAACTCCTCAGCTAGAATCATATAAAATCATCTGCCATTTACTCGGCATCTGGCATCTTGAGGACATATCGTCCTGCGATCTGTCCGGCGTGCATCAATTCGTAAACCTTTGGTAGATCCTTGAGATCCACAGTCTTGAAGGGAACCTTGATCAAACCACGGGCGAAGAAGTCCAAAGCCTCCTCACTATCCTGTCGGTTACCGACGTATGAAGCTTGAATTCTGATCATCTTGAGGACAGACTCGAAGACTGGTGCTCGGATGTAGGCCTTGGCTGGGAGACCGATGACAATGACGGTACCTCTGGGTCGGACGTATTCAGCAGCCTGTTGGAAGGGCTTCTCGTTGACAGCCACGAGGATGACGGCATGGGGACCAAGACCGTCCTTGGTGGCAGCCTTGACATCCTTGACAATGTCGCTGGATGTTGCGAAATCGATGAATGCCTAGAAGGAATTAGTGGTTTAAGGAGAAGGATATTTAAAGATCAAAACTTACCGAAGCACCCAATTTGGTGGCAAGAGCCTTCTTCTCCTCACCAGAATCAATACCGATGGAGTGTAGACCCATGGCCTTTGCGTATTGGACGGCAAGAGAGCCCAACCCGCCACCGGCACCAACAATGGCAACGGTCTGACCGGGCTTAGCACCGGACTCCTTCAATCCCTTGTAGACGGTGATACCGGCGCAGAGGACTGGTGATACCTCATCAAGGGGAACACCTTCTGGGATATGTGCAACATGTCGTGCGGACGCAATGGCGTATTGTTGGAAAGATCCGTCAACAGTGTAGCCTGAAAGCTTGGGAGTCAAGCAAAGGGGTTCATCGGCTTGTTGGCAGAAAGTGCAAGAAAGGCAAGAGTCGTTCAACCACTTGACACCGACAGCCTCGCCAATCTTGCAGATGTCATCGGTGACGAGTTCACCACGTGCAACGACAATACCAGCACCTTCGTGACCACCAACCAGGGGTAGTTTGGTTGGGATGGGCCAGTCACCATTGACGGCATGGAGATCAGTGTGGCAAACACCAGAGTACTTGATGTTGACGAGGACTTCCTCTGGGCCAGGCTTTGCAACTGGAATCTTCTTGTATTGAAGAGGGCCACCGACCTTGTCGATGACTTGAGCCCATTGCTCGGTTGGGATCTTTGGTCCAGACATTCTGAGTGAAGAAATGGAGATGGGTTTTGGTTACAAGTTTGTTATGTTTGAAAAGAAGGATTGATACTGAGCTTGGGAGATGGATAGTAGAATGTGAGCAGGGGAAGCATATTCTTTATGTAGACTTGAATAGATATCTCGAGCCCCTCTCATGATCAGAGCAAGATCCATAGTATGGCAGAATGAATCATCAGGATGAGCGGAAACCCCTCAATGCATGGGAGCATTGCATTGACGGCGCAGTCTGTCAAGCAGGTGCCTGAGATCTGTATCCTGTGGGCCGCTGTCAAGACTAACCAATGGACCAGATAACAAACATAGTTTCACATCTCATGACGGTCGTAAGGAAACCATGCTAAAAGTGGATACATATCTTTCCTAGATTTGGGAGTTGTTGAGTGGATATGGAGTGTGGACGAACGGCTTAGATGAGATCTGGGCGAATAATGGAGGGATCCAATGCTTCTCCAGAGTGACGGCCCAGACCAGACAGGGATGAAGCTGCTGAGGAGCTGGAGAAAAGGGAGGATGATACAGAGGGGTATGGAGTAATTTGGCACGTTACGGGTCAATAATGCAGTAAAAGACGGATTGATTGAGTCTGTGGGTTTGATCAATGCGGTTGTGGATGTTCACGAAACCACAGTCGAGTCAGCTTGGAAGGATTCCCAAGAGTTTTTCTTCGGAATTGAGGCCCAAGCTCGCCGAAAGTTTACAACACCACGGGACTTGATCACCAGGGCATGGAGATGCCTGATTTGAGGACTGATGGAATAAGACTTCCCAAGAGGACCAGAGGAAGCAGAAGGCCAAAGGGAACGAACATGAAAATTCGTGTCGCAGAAATGGAGAAAGTGACGGGTATGATGCGGGGGATAGTGCCCTAGGTATGCTCATCACGGGCTCGCCAGGCCACAGGAGGGCTTAAAGGGTTCCAGATAGCAGCTTCCCATGGGCCACCACCCCCTGATCCCTGTCTGGACCCCGCGCCTGACGCCGAGAGTGGGCATCAAACTTTGATCTTTTTGTTTACAAAGTGGCATGAGCGTGAGGGGTTGTAAAAATGTTTGAGAGACAAATTTCAGGGAATTACGTGAGTCTCAGATGATGATGATTGATGGAGGAACTTGTTGGTGGCCAGTGATGGAGGATAGATATGCTTGCCTTCTCAAAAGACATTCAACATCGCTTCTTCTGAAACACATGAAAGTCGACAGGCTGGACAGGTTCCATGTCATTTTTTCGGTTACTCCTCGGTCGCTGCCAGTGTGTGAAAGCACGAGTTGGTCGTACAGCGGAGCCGCGAGTTGATGGTAGCGGAGCCGTGAAAACGACCTTCAACGCATCGAATTACATGGCTCAACACTTCCAGAGCCATGCACTGATAGCAAGGATACTTACTGAGGTGTAGCATCATCCAGAGGCATTTTCGTGCACGATGCTACCACTCGCAATCGCACCAGTCGAATGAAGCAATGGCAGCGAGGATTGACAAGAAATGTTGATCATCAAGAAGCCACTGGATGCAAGTGTGGTCTGATGATGGATTGCACTGCAACGGTCTGCGATTTTGGATGGAAGTGACGGATGACGAAGGAAAAAGCGAGTGGATTAGAAATATACCTCTCCGGCATCTCCTATCAACCAACTCTTCCAGAAATTGATGGGATTGAAGAAGGTGCCTGCAGGAACAAACGTGAAACTTGGAAGGAGCAGACGACAATCTGTCTGGAGCACATGCCAGTGCGACCGCCCTTACCGATGCCTAAATACCTCAGTAGGTCCAAGAGGTCCGTCGACCACCAGCTGACGGTGACAAACAGAGCAAACAGAGCAAACAGAGCAAACATCCCCAGAAACCTCCAGACCAGATCAGTCGGATTTGATACCATGACGATCTCCCCGATTCGAATTCCTTCTACACCCGTTTAAAAAAAAAGGGCAGACTTCAGAGACAGTTGTACAATTCAATGCAAGCACTCAAGAGCCAAAAGTGGCAATCCGAGTCCCTCATCAGTGAGTCTGCATCAACAGGCGACGCCCAACAGTGGCCATGCGGTTGAGATGGTCTTCCTGCCTTCACCCGAAAATTGATTCCCGGAAGAATTCAAATTCATGATGACTGAGAGTCGGCAGGTAAGAATATTGACTACCATTTTGGTGACTATCACCAACGTGTGGATTGTGTGAATCTGTCTTACTCGTATCTTGATTGTCAATTTCCTTTCCCTGCACAGGACGAGGATCAGGACGAGTACTCGGAGTTCCTTGTTGAAACCATCTTGCACTCAACTACCCATTTCCGTTCAAATCACGTGGCTCTTACTCGGAGCTCCAGGGGCAAAGTCGGCTCGTTCCCGCAGTTTCGGAGTTACCCCTCCCGAGCTGCACTGGCCCCTGGCACGCCCTACATTTGGCTACGACTGCGGGCACTCTCACTACTCGTCTAGGTAAGTTTCATCTTGGTGGCGGTGCTGTTTCCCCCCCAAGAGCCTCCCAATTGTGCCCCTCAAGCTCCCGCAAAGCTTCGGGGTTCCGGGTTGACTTCAAGCTTCGATCTCACCGGCGTCATCATCGGATCCTGCACCCACCCCGCTACCCCTACTACCTATCCAGACCAACTGCCCATATAAATGGTCACCTCGTAATCGACTACCTTGTCACAATGCCGCATCGACCGGGTTCGGAAATAAATACTACCTCCTCTGGTAGTGGCTGCTCCTCCTCCTCCATGAGAAATCATATTTGATTTCATGAGATCAGTTACAACTCTGCCATTTGGAATTCACCCAGAGACATAAGCACCCTCATACTGTAAGATCCTTCCTTCCCTCTGCTTGTAGAAATATCAACTTGATCCTCCAACTTCTCGCTCCGTCAACCTCACCATCATACAACTCTCAACAAACCCATCTTCGACTTCATCTCTCTCAGAAAATGGCTTCCAACGGAACGAATGGCACCGCCTCATCCGGCTCCAACTTCAACTCCTCCTCCACTGTTCCCCTCTGGCTCGATGGCAAAGAGGTGACACCATCCTCTACCTTTGATGTCATATCTCCTCTCGATCAGAAGACCCTCTACAAGGCCTCATCGGCTTCCGAAGAGGATGCCCTCAAGGCGATCGCTTCCGCAGTAAAGGCAGCGAAGGCATGGGGAAAGACGAAGCCCAACGAAAGACGAGACATCTTCTTACGCGCGGCCGAGGGGTTCAAGAAGAGAAAGGATGAGCTACATCAATACAGTCGTACCGAGACCGGAGCTGCAGAGTCAATGTTTTCCTTCGAACACAATCTTGCCTATCAGGCCTGTTTGAGTGTCGCTGGTTTGATTCAGGTCGCCACTACCTCCAGTTCTCCCGTGGTCGCAGAAGAGGGCTCGAGCGCTTTGATCATCAAGGAGCCTTATGGAGTGGTTCTGGGTATTGCCCCGTGGAACGCCCCTTATGTCCTCGGTCTTCGTGCTTGTCTCCAACCTCTAGCAATGTAAGCACATGCGCATTCGATAAGGTGAATGCCAGGTTATTAACATCTTCTCAGGGGAAATGCAGTCATTCTAAAAGGTCCTGAAGCTGCTCCGGCGACTTATTGGGCGATAGCATCCATCCTTCATGAGGCTGGTTTGCCGGCCGGAGTTCTGAACACCATCTATCACCGTCCTGCAGATGCTGCATCAGTCACCAACACCCTGATCCAACATCCAGCCATCAAGAAAATCAATTTCACTGGCTCCACACTGGTCGGATCCATCATTGCCAGTCTTGCAGGCAAGAACCTCAAGCCAACTGTCATGGAACTGGGTGGGAAAGCACCTTCAATCGTATGTGAGGATGCCAATATTCAAACCGCCGCCCTCCAGACTGCCTTGGGAGCCTTTCTACACGCTGGTCAGATCTGCATGGCCACGGAAAGAATTATAGTCCATGCCAAGATTGCAGACGAATTCCGCGCAGCTTTAAAGGCAACCATGGATCAAGTCTTCAGTGACCAAGGAATGGGTGTACCTCAGCTGGTGACCACCGCTCCAGTCGAGAAGAACAAGAAGCTGCTTGCAGATGCCCTATCCAAGGGTGCAAAGACAGTCTATGGCGACGCTTCTCACAACGAAGAATCAAAGACGAAAATGCGACCCGTCATTATTGAGAATATCAAGCCCGGCATGGACATCTATCACACCGAGTCTTTTGGCCCAACTGTATCTCTCTACGTTGTAAACTCGGATGAGGAAGCACTCGAGCTTGCCAATGACACCGATTATGGTCTGGCAAGTGCAGTGTTCACCGAGGATTTGAGACGAGGGTTGAAAATTGCCAAGCAGATCGAGACTGGTGCTGTGCAGATCAATAGTATGAGCATTCACGATGAGGCGGCTCTACCCCATGGTGGTGCAAAGAAAAGTGGATTTGGGCGATTCAATGGCCTACCGGGCCTGGATGAATGGGTGCGCAGCAAGGTCATCACCTGGAAGGATTGAGATACCACATGATCTGTGCATTTGGATGATGCGTATGATAAGGCGGGGGAGTTCGAACACCTATGAAGCTGTTCATAAACAAAGAATCAAAAGTTGACAATCTTTGGCTATGTCGTCTCTTGAAAACCCTCCCCTGTCACCACTGTAACCTCCGATCAAGAGTTGAGTAAGACCTAAAACCCGTACCGACGAATAACTCGACCAAGTCAAACGATCCTTACAGTTTGGGCGTGTCAGTCAGATTTTCATATCCGTTTTCCGTGATATGCACATCATCCTCGATCCGAACACCTCCGACGGTCCAGTACTTCTCCAGCACCTGTTTGTCGATGTATTTGGCCAGCGCAGGATCCTCGAGGACGGGGTCTAGAATGAAATTGCAGAAATAGATCTGTCCAAGAGAATCAGTTAGCCACTCCGAGTCTATCCTCGGGGGAACCTCGGACCGGAAAGTGGGAATGACTTACACCAGGCTCAACCGTTATCACCGCGCCTGCGGGCACGTTTCCTCGAACTCGGAGATACTTGAACATGGTATCTGGATCGTCGTAGTTTGCATGGCCCCCGGTGTCGTGGGTGTCCATGCCCAGATAATGGCCGAGGCCATGCGGCATGAATGCGACGCTGATACGCTTGTCGAAGATCTCCTGCTCGTCGCCCACCAGGATCCCGGCCTTCTTCAACCCCCGGATGGCGACCCAGTGCGCATTCTCGTGCACGTCCTCCCATCGCACATCCGCCTTGAGGAGTTTGAAACAAGACGACTGCATCTCGTCCACGATGTCGTAGATCGTCTGCGACTCCGGCGTGAATGTCCCATTGACCGGGAACGTGCGCGTGATGTCGGCGCAGTAGCATTCGTATTCGGCGCCCGCGTCCAGGAGGATGTTGAGGCGCTGGCGCAGTGGCTGGTCGTTGCGGATGTAATGCAGTGTCGCGCAGCTGGTGCCGCTGGCGCAGATCGAGTGGTATGCTTGTTCGTGGGCCCCGTTGGAGATACATGTTCCGATAAATGCGCCGTAGATTTCTTGCTCGTTGCTGGCTGTGGGTGTCACCTTGGCGGCTTCAATGTGTGCGAGGGTGGAGATCTCGTTGGCTTTGCGGATCAGTGCGACTTCGTAGCTGTCTTTGACCACACGACATTCGTCGATGGCCGTCCTCAAAGACGTAAATTCGGTCTCCGCAAAAGGCAGGAAAGTGATATGCTCTGATATTTGTTCTGGGATGGCATACACCGTAGTTGACTTTGAAGGGCCATAAGCTGCCAACGCGGCATTGACCTCGTTGCTGTAGAGCACATCATCGACATCATACCTCTGCAGTGCTTCTTCCTTCGACTCCGGAAGCCCCGCCCAGATCACGCTCTCGGGATCTACCGGGGGGATAAATAAAGTCAAGATGTCCTGTGGGATATTGTATGTGATGTACGCATCGGGCAATTTGCAACCGGAGAGATAGAAGAAATATCTTCTTTGGCGGAACTGCATCGCCTGGTCGTCGTCCTCGACCATCACCGTCTTCTGCGCTTCGAGATAGATAACTCCATCGCGGGAAAACCCTCGGTCGGTCAGGTACTTCGCTACCCGCCTGGCGTGGGCTTTTGCCGGATATTTCTGCTTGAGGGTTGTGTCTGTCAATGACATTGTGTGCTCTTCACGAGTTTTCGCAACATACGAGGACGATGAGAGGAGGGAGGACGAATCGATGTAACATGAACAATCCCCCGCATTGGTTAGGATTTCTGTGTGGGGGTATTCTGGTTATCAGCGGATAAGAGAGAGCCTGGTCACGTGTAATGATATCATACACCGCTAGCTGAGCTAAGCCATAGGCACTATACCGAATAAAGCACAGACTACCCCCTCTGGAGATCGGGCTTCAGAACACCTCTAATGGCTTGGTGACGCGACTTCTGCTTAGTACTAGATGTAGAGGGTGCTACGAGATGCTCGACCACAGATTTCCTGCTATAAAGCCATCAGTGCCGTGATACTTTCAAAGAGCTAATTTGGATCTATTCCCCAATGTCGGAGGTCCGTCAACATGCTAGTTATTCCAGTTTGTACAACAAGACATAACGGGATTGGTCGATGTGGGAAGCCAAAGACATAGACACAGCCGCCCGAGTCCAGCCTCATTTAAGCCGTAGCCTCTCCGACTTCGTTGTTGATGTCTCCAACGATGGACTATTGCTTGTCTCAGAGACATTGCCTGCCTACCCGAGCCAAGACTTCCAGATGTAACGGCGACCCTAGCCCTCTTGCTCGAGGATATCCACAAATCTGTCATGTCGAATCCTCCCCCACCTCATAATCGCCGTGGGTTCAGGTTAACAATCATCTGCGCCTTGCCACTGGAAGCTGAAAATGTACAATCTGTGTTTGATATATGCTGGGAAGATGAGGACATACAATGTGGGAAAGCCGAAGGCGACCAAAATGCCTACTCAACAGGAATGGTTGCGCGGCATAATGTTGTCCTGGCCCATATGCCTAGCATGGGGAACAATAGCGCCTCAGCTGTCGCTGCTGGTCTCCGCTCTAGCTTTCCCGAAGTTAAGCTTGTTGTTATCGTCGGAATCTGCGGCGTTGTTCCATTTCATGCAACCACCCAGCAAGAGATAATTCTGGGCGATGTCATCATCAGCACTGCGGTAGTTCAATATGATTTCGTAAGACAATACCCCGAAAATTTCCAGAGGAAGAGACATATTGAAAAAATTTGGGAAGAGCTTCCCCTGAGGTTCGCTCATTTATCAGTATGCTGAGAACCCGCCAAATTCATAAAAGGTTGACAAAAAATCTTGCACTGTTGATAAACTCGATAGAGTTCCAGAAAGAGGTACCTTCAGCTAAGTATCCTGGTACAAGCCGAGATCATTTATATGAGGCATCTTACCTACACCGACATCAAACGGATGCCGGTTTGACCTGCGACATGTGCAATGACAATCTCGTCCCCTGCCCAAAGACTTGTGCCGATCTTGAGTGCGGACAAGATATGATCATTCGTCGTGACCGGTTAAATCTTCAAGAAGTGCTGGGCCCGGAAGGCATTCCGGATCATGTCCCAATAATTCACTTTGGCCGTTTCGGATCGGCAAACATGGTGATGAAGTCTGGCGTCGATCGCGATCGGATAGCAAAAGTTGACGAATTGATCGCATTCGAGATGGAAAGTGCAGGGGTCTGGGACCAATATCCTACTCTCGTTATCAAAGCTGCCTGTGATTCCGCGGATAGCCACAAGAGCAAGAACTGGCAAGATTATGCTGCTGTTGCAGCTGCGGCTTGCCTGAAGGCATTCTTGAAAGAATGAGTCGTATCTGAGCAGGTATCAGACCGAGGTTAGCAGCTTTAACACTCCACCACCACTTGAAGCTGACAGTAGCTCCTTTTCTCAAGATCCGTCGCATGGCCATTCTCGCGATCGAAATCGCTCAAAATTAGTGGGTGCAGGGTCGGAGGAAAGTGATGCTACTCGGAAAACACTGAAACTCTCTGGTACGCCGTGGGATATGCATCTAGAGATTGGCAAGGATATTTTCCAATGAAACTCTGTACTGACTGGTTTTCGGCACCCATCAGAACTTTCTGAAGCAGAAAAGCTCTGCCTCCAAGGATTTTCGTCTGACTACGAGACCATTCGCCAGAAAATCGCTGTTCATCACGAAGGTACCTGTGAATGGGTCCTCTCCCACAAAGATTTCAAACACTGGAAGGAGCACAGGGCCGCCACTGGTCCTTTATGGATAAGTGGAAATGCAGGAATGGGGAAATCGGTTCTCTCCAAGTCTCTCCTACAGTCATTCGAGAATGAGCATAGTGAGAATAAAGTGGTTTACTACTTTTGTGATGCTCAGGATGAAAAGCACAGAATCTCTGATTCGAGCTGTGATTCACCAGTACAACCAGATCTTTCCGTTCCTGCTGCGGAAACATGTCCTACCCATCTACGAGGCTCATGGAAAGACAATTTACACGTCCTTCGGCATTTTGTGGACCATTCTCGCATCTGTCTGGGCTGAGCCTGGGCTAGGCCAGTTTTATTGTGTGCTGGATGCGTTGGAAGAGTGCGAGGAGAAGTCAAGGGATGAGCTGCTTAGGCAGATAGGGTCCACTTTCTCCATTGTCCAACAGGGTCAGAACGAACTCATCACCGCCAATGGGGTCAGATTGATTATAACAAGCCGCCCTTATGAAAGCATCCGAGCCAGACTGTTCCCATTCGCCATCATAAGGCTGCGAGCGGAAAGCGAAGAGCTTCACATTAATCGTGACATCACTCGATATATGGAGGATGAGGTACCAAAGCTGGCCGCTTTGAGACGTTACGATAAATCATTGCAAGAGTGTGTTCGCTCAGCTTTGATTACAGGGGGGGACGGCATGTTTCTTTGGGTCTCCTTGATGATCGCTATTCTGGAGAGAACTCCGGCAAAAGTGGTTCGTAATCGTATCAAGAGCATACCACGGGGCATCGAGAGTGTCTACGACCGCATTCTGGAAGAGATCCCTCATGAGTCGCGAGAGACAGCTTTCAACCTGCTCATGTGGGTTGCTGTTGCTCGCCGACCACTCCATCTTGACGAACTCGAAGTTGCTTGCACGGGAACTTGGGGTTCTGATCCGTTCATTCAATCTCATCCCACAGAGCCCTATTCACGAGATGATATTTTGGGCGACATTCAATTGTGTGGACCGATCTTGAAGGTACAATCCGACGACTCCGTCCATCTTGTTCACCAGACAGCCAAGGAGTACCTTATCCAATTGTCATCATCGCCCACTCACGTTCCCCACATTTTTCTGGAAGAAAAGGATGCTCATGCTAAAATTGCATTGGTCTGCCTTGCCTACCTTGCATCGGACCCAAACGACGAGCTAAAAGCCTTCATTGACAAAGTCAATCCTTGGTATAGTTGGGCGTGGCACACAGGCGATCCCTGGAAACGGCTCCATAGTGCCCTGCCTCTCATGAGATACGCGGCTTCCTTCTGGCAAGATCATGTACGTCAGTGCTCGTTCGAAAACAGGCAAATATTGCAAGCCCTGCACATTGCACTAGCGGCTGAATCGTATGCTCATAAGTGGCCAATTTTGCAAAGAAAGGGTTCTTTTCAGCGCCCCTGCCGGCCTTTTGCGGGTTATACGCCCCTTCACATCCTTGTACACAATGATCTTGAGGCCGTGGCGCTCCGGCACATGAAATCAGAAAACTTCTTCGTCAATGCAGGATCTACGGGCAGAATCAGTGTTCTACAGCTTGGCGCGGAGCGTGGCTACTATGATATCATCGTCAAATTACTCTCAAACAATACAGATATCAAGCTGATCCAGCAGGCAGGCTTCGACACGGGTGGGGTTGGCTTCACAGGGCGCGAACCCAAGGCCACTCGCAAGAGTGCTGCTTTGCACCTAGCTGTTCGCAACAAACACACCGAGGTTGCACGACACCTGCTACATCACGGCGCCAATGTCAATGCGACCGAGATAGAGTTAGAGGTTCATGGGGGCAATGGCAAACGTGGTATCATTATCAAGAATAAAAGAACAGCACTACATATAGCTGTTGATAATAACCCTCAAGCCTTGATCAGACTGCTAATAGAGTGCGGTGCAGATATCGAGGCGATCTGGGAGCACTACGCGCGCTGAAGGGTTCATGGAGTGGGGAAACCTGCTCAAACACAGAGAGGCGAACAGCGCTGTGTGGTGCTATATCGAAGGGTTATCAGGACATTGTGTCGCTACTACTTGAGAAAGGCGCGAAGGTGACGCAAAATGAACAAGGCTTGCTTGGTGGGTTCTATGAAAATAAAACAACGGGCGATCTGTCCATACGAAGGCATTTTCGAATGCTGCCAAGATGGGCGACAAAGAACCACCTGAGTCACGATGGTAAGGTCATCATTGGCAGCAGTGACGATGTTGGTGAAACATTCGGTTATGAAACATTCGGTTATCTCGTGAATGAGGCTGCGACGAAACGAGCAGAGAAAAGACAGCGAAATCCATGATGCGATCGCCGTTACCAATTGCTACGAGATTCACAAGCGCGACAAATCCAATGTATTGTTTATCAAGCTAAGGAATGGCTGATCAGCTTATGGCAGAAACTCCTTACAAGCTGTCTAGTGAGGAAAATGACGTATGACCATGGCATCCTGGAGAGCACCGAGTTCTCGTATTCCTCTACATCCATTGTGGAAACAGCTTGAGATGTTCACAATCTACGAAACTAGTTCATCACCACCGGACGCTATCAATTCCCGGATTGTGGCTAAGCAAATAATCCTTAGCCTTGCAAGCCGCATGGCCATTCGACGCTCCGAACTATCTTGCATAGTTCTTGCAGAAGTCCATACTGACCAAACTCTACCTCTCTTGGTATAGTTGATCTCGAAATTATTGTCCGCTTGATGAGCACAATGTAGCTTTCTCTCACCGAGAGTCTGCACAAGAATGTATCACCTTGTACCTATCAACAATAGCCCACCTGTTGATCGCAACATGACTAAGCAGAGGACGTTTAATAAGGACAGTAAGAATGCCTGGGTTGAATTACTCTGTGAGACAAATAGGGCACGAGCCTCTATCCCGGCAGTAGGCGGCTAGCGAGAGAACAATCCAATATCATCGAAACACCTTCACAATCAGGCGGAATTTTGGTCGAAATAGGACTTCCCACCAAATCCGGTATAGCGTCGTCCAGACCGGGGTTGTTCGGAGCCCTCAGGCTTTACTATGTTGTCCTTGACACCGGCGACCGTACTCTGACGAGCTCCTACGTCCGAATCGAATCCTGGCCCTTAGCGTTGAAGTTCTCCGTGCGGGAAGATTAGACTCCGGTGGTACAAAATGTCGCCCTGTTAATGTTGGTATATCTTCTACAGGTAACATGTGAGTCCCTCACAGCGCAGCAGTAATGAGAATAAGCACACGCATTGTACTCACATCGACAAAATGCCACCTCAGACCTACGAGAGCCAGCGCGCCTGGAAAGAAGTCCAACAATTCCTTCCGCAACGTCTCCACTTCACTGACAAACACCAGCCAGTTGAAGAATGGTGGGAGAATCGAGGGCATACAATCCACCTCGATCGATGGAGGAACCCAGCAGCTAAGGTGAGGCTGATTATGCATCATGGTGTCGGTACAAATGGAAGACAAATGTCCATGATCCTTGGTGTCCCCTTACATCAAGCCGGGTTCGAGCTCGTTGCCATCGATATGCCCGGCTACGGGTGCACACAGGTCGCGAAGGGCGTCACATACTCATACGACGACTGGGTCAATATCGCCAGCGACTTCATCAACTTCGAACTTGAGCATGACACGCGACCCATCGTGCTCTACGGCCTCTCTGCAGGCGGCATGCTGACCTACCACGCTGCGGCACTGAATAAGAAAGTCAGCGGTATCATCGGTATGACCTTCCTCGACCAACGAATCCAGCAAGTCGCCGACGAAACAGCGCGGAATTTTTTCATGAGTCGGGTTGGCCTCCCGATGACTCGTTTGTGCAACAATCCACTCACCAGGAAGTTTTCTGTCCCCATGTGGCTGGCGAGTAAGATGTCCGCGCTGGTCAATGACCCCCAGGCTCTGGCGATCATGTTGGCGGATCCGACGTCCGCCGGCTCCTGGAAGTCGATGCGGTTTTTGGCGACATACTCGTCGTATAACCCCACGATTGAGCCGGAACATTTCAATTTCTGTCCAGTTCTATTGACGCAACCGGCGGAAGATGCTTGGACGCCACTGCATCTGAGCGAGACGTTCCTACCGAAGATCAAGAAGGTACCTGTCAAGACTGTGATACTGGAGAATGCCGGCCATTATCCTTTGGAGGATCCCGGGTTGCAGCAGTTGATTGACGCAGTCATTCCGTTTTTGAGGGAGTTGTCACAAAACTAGACGGTTCGTTAGAGAATTAATAACCATATATTCCTCTTCATCTCGTAATCGTTCTGCATACCACGAATGCTCAGAGTAGACCACCTTCGCGAGAATCGAAGTCTAGAGGCGAGTCGATTCGCGGTTAAGGTCAGCCATTCAAGAGGCATTAGATCTCACTAGGTCAAATAGAGCTCGAAGATTGGGCAGCGCAAAGCCTCCCAAGATGTAAGAGGTCTGCTGCTTTCGACCTCCCCGGGAACACTTACCGGTGGAGAAGTAAGAAAGGCTGGGCTTTGTCAATATAATGTTGGTCCTGAGCTCCAAGAACGGCCACAGGGCTACCGAAGGAATTTCATAACGTGGTGACGCGATGGCGAGGAGTTAGAAAGTCACATATTCATGGTTCCGGCGCAGCCTACCATCAGTGTGGAAAGGGGATACCCGTTATTCATTCTGCTTGGGTTATCAATCGTTTTGAGCATTAGAGCCCTGGCGTGGCCAGGACATCCAGGTAGCACGAAAGGTGCTTGAGAGGTGGAATTGGGTGTGAAGCTGTTGTCGGTGGTGAAGTTGAAATTGGGGACGCGTTAACAACTTGGGCACTTGAGATAAGCCGGCTGGGATCGCTGGGCGTTCGAGCCAGTGGTCCTAGCCTCCTAGATACCTACGAGTAGGTAGCTTAGTTAGGTGCTTAGCCCAGGTAGGTAGAAATTGATCCTCAGTAATGACTCAGCTCCGGAGGGTGGTGACTTATCAGAAGCTTGTGGGCGCTCGCCACGGTGATGGTGCCTGGAACTTAGGACCGAGGGACGTGCCTTACCCCAAATACCAACTATAAGGTACTCGTACCGGGGCGCATCGCCTAAACTCCGGCCTTGGGCTTTCGGCCATGACAATGTCGCCAAGCAGTAGCATCCGCGACCTTGGCCTGGAGGACTACGAATGTCAGAGATCAACATCGCTTGTCTCACACGGTCAAGATGATATGAAGACTCAATAGTCATTGCACAGTGATAAGCCATCATGGCATCCACGGTGCCATCGCAGAAGCCCCTCCTTGGATCCGCTCCCATAGCCTGCTCGGCATGTCGGCGGCTGAAGGTGTGACAAAAGCACAGAAGACCGTCGAGAGAGCTAATGGCCATTTTATAGATGAGGTGCGTGGGAGCCGAGAACCCGCCATGCAAAAGGTGTTCCGGAGCCAACAGGAAATGTGTAGTGAGTCCATCGAGAAGAGGCCTAACGCAGGCCAATTCATTGCGCAAGAGATTACCTCCTCTACCAACCTCAGTCGCCGATCTTCCGGATATTCAGACCGCAACATCTTTTCAAGGGAGCATTTCTATCAAATCTCCGCGGTTAGCTCTATCAGAAATGACGGGTCTTCCAAGTCACCGGAGTCCTACGCACCGATCGGATACACATGAATCTCCTAATAGTATTTCACGAACCGAAAATACTTCCTTTCCGAGCCTTCCATCGGTGTATTCTTTATCTCCTCTGGATGTACTAGGCTCTGTGACACTACAGGAATCGCCTTCTGACTCCCGGCATCAATATCAGTGGGAGCCAAGGGACCGTATGATTAGTGAATCTAGGTCTGCCGAAATCTCAGAGAACGTTTTGGCTGAGTACATTGAGTTGTAAGTCACTGTTGCCCGCGTTGCCGCTCGCAGGCGATCCTGACTTTCTCGCTCGATCCTAGTTTCCGGGAAAAGATCTTGTACTGTGTACCTGTTATCGACGATGAAGACCTCAGAGATGAGCGGTATGTTATTGCTCATAAGCGACCTTTAGCTTATTGTGCAAGTTTTGTTGCTTCCCAGTTCATTCCTGGAAGTGCAAATGTACGACAACAGCTTCTCGCCCATACCTTGAATTTTATTGAAACTACTAGAGGCCCTTTGACGCAGGATGAAGACATACTCTGGACTCAACTACAGGCTCTAGCCGTTCTCTACGCATATCGCTCAGCTGGAGACCTCTTTCCACTCTCTGGAGCGCCTCGACCCCACGGCTTCCTTGACCACTGGACGCTAAAATCTTCAATTGAGACTTTCGCATTAAAAGCGGGACTACACCGCTCGATCGATAGACTTAAGGTTCTACTAAGAAAAGATTCGTCAGATATATCAAAATCATTGACCTTGGCTATGTACGTGTACTGGTTATGGCTTGTGACTATGTCCCATCACTTCTCCCTGATGACTCGGACGCCTCCGACGTTGCGAGAAGACAGTACCATTACTCTAGCGGTCGGCCTGTTAAGGGATATACCACGACCATCGAGGATGACTCGCATTCTCGCCGAAGTGGACCTGTATACACTCTGGCAACAAGCTGGGCGAAGCGCACCAGGTCTAGCCGAGTGGTGGTGTACACCTTCAGACTCAATGAGCGTCGAGGCAATTGTTGCCATTCTGGACGACTTTGAAGGGGCTCTGGATGTATGGAGCAAAAGATGGGGTCTCCGTGGCGATTCCAACGTAACTATATCAAATGTCGACACATCGAAGAATGGAGCTGTAAATTTCCACTTCCAAAGCACTCGCTTCTGCATCAGCTCATTTGGCACGAGATACATTCTGGAGAAGACTCGATGTGCGTACGACGAGGAATTTACTTCTCGTTCCACTCTCAGCCAGTTGGCCCGAGAGTCTGTTCTGAAGTCCGTTCAGGCGGCGCATGCTTGTTCACGGTGTCTCGTGGATATTTCGCCACTACGGCGGGAAACTTTCCGGTACATGGGGGATCTTGGGTACGCTTTCGTTGCTTTCTGCTGCCTGTACCTCATCCAGGCGTACGAATTGTTCGGAGCAACCTTACCGATGCCGGACAGCTACATGACTTCTGTAGAAGAAGTCGCCAACCTTATGACAGAAATGGCTGTCGCCAACAACACCACTCCGCAACTATACGGTAACTCAATATTACGACAGCTGAAACGCGCTCTTGAGGGATCTACAGCTGTCTACCGGGATGCTCAGCTGTGGACTGAGACGGATAACGAAGCTATTGGAGAGCCTGCACATCCCCCGATGGAACAGCCTCCACCGACACCTGATGTTGATCTCATTAACGTTCCACCACCTGGGCATTATCTCCGCCATGATGACGCAGGATTCCAATTGCAGGCGAATTCAGCTTTTGCCACGAGCCCGCCACTCTTCTCCATATTCGAACCCAGCTGGGCTCATCTTCTGAGGTAGTATGACAGGCATGGAAATTGTGTTAGCATGATAGCTCTGCTGCATCGATATGAGTGGGTGGTTTCCGTCTTCTGGGTATTTTCGTCCTGGCCAATTGTGTCAAACGTGGTCCGCGAGTCTCATAACGACCCTTGCTTCAATGTAACCAGCTTAACATGCCACTGCTGGACGTTTGCGCACAATTAAGCTTGGGAAGCCGGGCTCTTGCTCGTCGAAAGCCCTACTCGCTCGCTGGCAGGCATCTTGCGCTTCCCTAGTTAGTGCCTATGTTTTGCCAGATACCTGTCGGTATGCGAATCCGGAGTACCTGCTGATTCATCAAAGACTCCTGTGAGGGAATGCAGGATGATGCCAGGTCCCTGACGAGCAACGCACTACGTGAAGTCTACCTTTAATTCTCAATAGAATTGGTCGTTCGCAGTTGAGCATAAATCTTGCAGAATGAGAAATCTTCTAACGGGGACAACCTATCTCGTGTGTTTCATGAGGAAACCAAAAATGGTGCTGATTAGCATTAAAAGGCGAATTTGAGGAAGATGTCTATGTCGGGACTACGGGAAACGCCGGAGTCGGTTTGCTCAGTCGCCATCTTCCCTCCACTCACTCGATCTCATCCCCTGACGAGCCGGTCGCATAGCTTCAATCAAGACTCGGACGCGCTCATTCCATCATGCTTTAGCAGCACCAAGTATCAGATCCGCTGCTTTTTCGGCTATTGCATACACCATTGCCATGGGGTTACCGCTTATGTGAATGGGAATGATACTTGCGTCCACGCACCTCAGCTTGGCGACCCCCTTTACTCTTAGATCAGTGCCGACGACTGTTCCCATAGCAGCCGTGCCGATGGGGTGGTGCTCTGTTCCTACATGGCTGCGAATGTACGATATTTCACGGTCTCGGTCTCCAAGTCCAAACGTATCGGCTAGGTTGAAGCCTGGATTGAGCTGCGCTTTGACAGCTGTTGAATTCGAGACCTTGTTCAGGAATTGCAATGTTGCACGCAATACTGCGACATCTACCGGATGTGATAGAAAGGATGGGTCAATCGTGGGTGGAGCTTCGATATCACTGCTCGTGATGTGTACACTTCCCCGACTCAATGAATACTGAAATGCTGTTATTGCTGTCACATGATTGTTTCCAATGACTGCGGGTCGAATGAATTTGGACTGATCTGCACGCCCTTCCGCAGTATCAATATTTCCTGGAATGAAGAGAATTTGAATCGCCCCAGCGTGAGGATCGCTCAGCCTGTTGATTACTCTCTGCTCTTGAGCCGCTGTGAGAGGTCTTTTCAGCCCTTCGATTTGTCCTACAGCATCGATGGTGGCTTCAAGGTCGTTGGAGGACACCAAGGATGAATAGCTGAGAAAGCCCATACCTGATGGAGGATTCGCAAGAGGCCCACCCCCTGTACGTTGATAATCTTCCATGGCGGGTTGAGCAACAAGTGGGTCTGCAAACGCATCGATAGAAAAGCCTCCTGGTGCTAGTTCAAGCGTCGTGACGAACGCGGTGTGATCTTGCATATCTTTGCCCACGAAATTATTCGGTACAACGCAGGCCACTCCAGCAGCTTCAAGGATTTTAGGATCTCCAATTCCTGAAAGTTCAAGAATTTGGGGCGTCTTGTAAGTGCCTGCGCTGAGGATGACTTCTCGCCTGGCATTGACTGCATGCCTGGCTCCCGAATGCCAGAAGTAAACTCCTTCCACCACCGTGTCGGAGCTGTCTCCTTGGAACTTCACAGACTCGACATTGGCCTTTGTGAGTATTCTGAGGTTGGTGCGGTGCAAGTAAGGTAATAAATATCCGGAAGCTGCATAGCTTCGTGTTCCGTTGCGATCTGTGCGGTTGACGGTGGAAAGAGCCTGGAAAAACCCATCATGTGTTCCGTTGGTGGCATCCTGCCCCTCTGGGTCAAATCCAGCAACTTCTCGACAGGCATCGAGAAATGGATTTTCCATAGGAATTTGGGATCTAGTTGAGCTGGTGTGGATTGGCCCGTTGGTTCCGTGCGCTTCAAGATACGTCTTTTGGTAATCTTCAGCCTCTAAACGTTCATTTCTTCGGAAGTATGGAATCATCTTGGACCACGACCACTCGTCTGAGCCAACATAGCTCGCCCATTCATCGCAGTCAGAACGGAGTGGTCTACTATACTGCATGTAATTAGTGGCACTAGTGCCTCCCAACACTTTCCCGCGTGGCAGAGCGAATTCGAGGTTGTTCACGTGGACCTGTTGACTGTTTAATGGAGATTTACGCCACGAGTCAGTGACTTACTTGTGGAACGCTCTTCAGCATCCAGTCATAGCCAGGGTTGAACTGGGTTTGTGGAAACAGATTTGGAATATTGACCATAGGATCATCCAGCCTGTTCTCGCCAGCTTCGAGCACGCCTACACGAAATTGCCCATCCTCAGACAGGCGTGCGGCAAGTGCGAGACCGGCTGTACCTCCACCGGCAACAAGAAAGTCAAAATGACTAGAGAGGAATTCTGCGAGAGAACAGAATACGGACATTTTCTTTTTGAGCGGAGGCTGATTGAGGGTCGACGATTGAAGCAAAAAACATTTTCACCCCTAACATTCATTTCAACGCTTATAAGGTGCCATCTCCTCTCGAAACCAACTCCCCAATCTAGGATAAGGTCAAAGATCTATGTCTACCCACAGGCGCAGCATTGCCTTAAGATAGATCATAAAAAGCTGACGCAGCTCTGCCAAAATCGATATCGTCAAAATCTGGCGCAAGATGAAGGTCTTCATTAACCCTGGACAGGGACGAAGAAAGAATATTGTTTTACTGGTGATGTAAATATGCCAGAACAGGAGAGTGGACCTTGAGGCTTCGCAGGATTCGCTAGATCATTCTTGCCCCCCCCGTAGCTGAATTAAACCGTCCTCTCCACTGAACGCATGTGAAAGAAGCTGCTCCCAGTTTTCTTCTGCGGCCATTACATATTGCAGCCGTACGTAGTACTCACTATGCTTGCGTCGAGACTCGCTCCATTCACGAAACGGGATCAGTTCTGATCAGCTCACTTCCAAAGTCTTCGAACAAGTACAGACCAGGTGGAATTTGAGCTGCGAGGCTTTCAATACTCATGAAGTCATACCAGTTCACGGAATTGAGGCATTATCGAGAAGCTTAAGCATGCACTTTTCTGCTGCTTCAGTAAGACGATAATCGTCAAATGAACGAAATCGATCTCCTGATTACTAAAGTGCCATCTGGGTCCGTCGCCACCCAGGTCGCATCCATTGAAGCCGGAGCTCATCCCGAAGCTAAACAACCGGTCACCGGACATGCAGATGCACCCTGCCTATTGGAGTCAAGCTCCTTTCCACCGCATGTCGCTTCGCCACGTTTCCTAGATTTTTCCGGCGACCAGATTCACAGACCATATGGCTTCTTCGTTACCAAGGAAATATGAATTTCCGAACAAAGTATATGCAGACATCCTTTGCAAGGGTAGACATTGCCCCATGCTATTTTGCTGCTCCAGACCCCACATCAACAGATTTGGAATTCGAATTCAGATTGGCCCCCTTTCTCCTTCAGAATTCTGGAGATAAAATCTGGGGTTCCAGCCGCAGTCATGCCAACGAAAAGCGAAGAAGCAAGTCGGGCTCCATTCCCATCTGGGGTATTGCTCCCTGAGAACGAAGTCTGGAGACGAGATTTGCGATCTAATAGCTTCGTAGACAGCATTCTGGGATGTTAAAGAGATGCCGTCCGCACTCTCTGACACTTGAGCTATATCGTTGCCCATCGTCTCCCTTCTTATTGCACTTTGAAATAATTACTCTCCGCCTTCTCAACATGCCATCCAAATCCGAGCCCGATAACATTGAGCACGGATCGTCTGTTACTATTGAGGACACTGACCTCAAGAAAAAAAATATCCGAGACTATGACGTTGCGTTGAGTTTCGCTGTGGATAGCAACAGTACTGATTGGACCGAGGCTGAGGAAAGGAAGATATTGTGGAAAATTGACGCTGTGATCTTGACCCTGGTAAGCTTCAGCAATTGCAAAGTCTCCCAGGATGTTGAACAAAGTTATGCAACTTGCGTTCTAATGCAATTGTCTACGTTTCATAGCTTTTTGTGGGCGCCGTTGTCTCATACGCAGATACCCAAGCATACGGATTCGCCGCTCTGTTCGGCCTGGTCAAAGACTTCAAGTTATTTGTGATCAAGATCATTGGAGGGAAAGCTATTGTCGACACAACTAAATACCAGCTTTCTGCGGGCATGAACGCATTAGGTGCAGCGGCTGTGAGAAACTTCTGGACAACCGTACAAGAAAAATGTACTCAGTCTATACAGGGTCAATATCCATTACTACTCCTTGCCCAACACCTCCCAGCCGGTAGATTTTATGGTGTCATCATCACTTACATGGGATTGGCTGCTATTCTGGTTATTGTATGCCAGGATTTCGCTGGCATTGCAACTCTTCGGTACGCCTAAGATATTAAGGTTCACAGGGTTTAATGCTTATATGAAGTCAGATTCTTTACCGGCTTTGCTGTGGTGTCACAGCCGCTGTCTGTCATCATAACCTCCATGTGGTATGTTCCTCTTCTATATAAAGACCCCTGCCGTTGATGAAACTCGCAGGTGGCAGAACAAAGAACAACCCCTGCGCGTCGGAATCTTCATCTCGGGAACCGCAATTGGATCTTTAGCAGGACAAGGGATTGACCTCGGCGCAGTGCATCTCTCCGGTGCATATGCTACGAGTCCCTGGAAATGGATATATGTTATCCTAGGTTCTGTTACCATTGGATTCGGCATCTTCACGGCGCTTGTCTTCCCTGCCAATCCTATGAATGCGTGGTTTCTCACTGCCAGAGAGAAGGAAATTGCTGTGCGACGACTTGCCCAGAACAATACGGGGATCCAAACTCACAAGTTCAAATGGAAGCAAGTCAAGGAAGCTTTCATGGATCCTCAGTTGTACATCTTTGGGGTTTATAGTTTTACATTTGCGTTTGTCAACAACGCCATCGGCTCGTGAGTTTGTCCTAGTGGAACTCCTCCAAGCCTCTGCAGCTGACACTCTTTCTATAGATTCGGAGGGTTTTTAGTCTCGTCCTTCGGCTATTCAAACACGAGAGCCCTTGTTCTTTCAATGCCTGCAAGCGCTGTCGCCATTATTTCGATGGTATCATCTGGAATGTTTGGCACGTTTTTTCCACGCCGACGCATTCTGATTGCTATTCTTTATCTTCTCCCTGCCATGGCAGGAAACATTATCATGTGGAAGAGCGACAGGTCAAGCAAGGGGGCTCTTCTGGCTGGATTATACATCGTAAGCTCTTTCCATTGCCCTCAAACTTGTGGCACTCTAACACTGATGTTCTGCTGTTGATAGTCTACTACTCTCTACGGTGCTCTTGTGCAGGAATTTGCTCTCCTTTCCTCCAATGTAGGAGGGCACACTAAGAAAACAGTCATCAATGCCACAATATTCGCTCTCGCAAATCTCGGTGGCTTTTCTGGACCGTGGGCGTACAAAGGAGACGAAGCCTCGCGAGGTTATCCTACAGGTCAGATTACAACTATGAGCCTTTTCTGTGCGAGTGTGGGATGTTTCGTACTGCTTTGGTGAGTTCAACGCCCCTGTAATTGATAAGGATGGAACCCTGATGCCGGAATGCCCGGTGCTTTGACCCGCAAAAATCACCACACAACTAACATTCTGTCTAACACAGGATTTACTATATACATTGCAACAAGAGGAAAGCTCTGCTCAGGGAACAACACCCTGAATTGACAACAGATCCGAATGTCGCCTTTGCGGACTTGACAGATCAGACGAATCCGGTGTTTCAATACGTTTGTTGAATAGCGTTGAGTCGTCTGGCTGGGCACTTGTGGTAGAAATGGTAAGATACGGTGAAAATGATTACGATGGCTATGCACTGGTGCACGGTGACGCGCAGATGAGTGTTGAACAATGGACGAGAGATGGGGAAAATTGCATAAGAATATCGGATTGACCAATTCCTCTTTCAGAAACGGTTAAGCGTTGGAAAAGCGGAATATGCCAGTCAGTCTGCATAGCCTTGCAACGCCTTGTGGTGAGGTCTAGTTGCGCTACTAGCACACGTCCTCTCACTTATCCACCGAGGATTGAGAGGAACCTGGATTAATGCATGAAGGGCTGTGTATATACTTTCAGTGCTATGTACGCTAATGATAACTTGGATCTCATAAAGTCGTCAATGAGTGTGTTTTGTGCGGTGGATCTCTCTCTTTCCTCTCAACCACGTCTTTCCATTTTGTTTATCTACGTGGTAGGGTGTAGTTCCTATCTCAAAAGCCATTATAACACTGGCATACAGCGACTAGCTCCGAGGGCTGAGTGTTTCGCTACTTTTAACTCTTTTCAGAGGCCTCAAAAACATTCCCACCTATTAAGCTTTTCCAGAGATCCTGGATATCCCAATAAAAGATCCACTACACAGGTTTCAAAAATGGTTCCGAACATCTCAGAGTGCCTAAAACTCCCTCGAAGCTTTTCTCCTTAAGAGACGCTCTCATCTACCTTACCTACCTAAACATATTGGCCAAGCCTCAAACAACAGCATTTACCTCGGCTGCTCGGCCTGGTCTGCGCATCTCCGGCCACCGGGCGTGCGGCAACTTCGCTCTTAGTCTATGCTCCCACACGCGCGCTCCATTGACTTCTCTGCTGACCGTGCGTGCTTACGTGTGCTGAACTCGAAGCATTTCGATTCTTGGTTGACAAGCATCCAAAGAGACAAGCCTCAATGTACTTCCGCTATCCACGCACAAGCGCATTCACGGAACCATTGTTCCCCGGTTTTATGATTGCGGCTTCTTCATGCGTCCGCCTTCGAACCAGGGAGAAGCGTGTGGGATACTTCTTTAGAAGCGCGATGGGAAGACTGCGGTCAGATCGACTGGCATCGGTCGCGAGGAAAAGTGATTCTACTGATATCAAACTGGGAGACATAAAAATACCTCTTTCAAACTCCGTTGCATTAATCAGTGACCACTATCCCTCCTCACCTCTCCTATAACCTCCAGCGACGAAACACATACGACAATTGACCCCTTAAGCCGCGACAGAAGATGGCAGACCTAAAGATACCGCTGGCTCGCCGTTCATCTACGATAGGTACTTTCGTTAGCGCTCAAAATGGCACGGTCACGGTGCCCAATCCTTACGACTGGCTCGAAGACACCACCAGTGCCGAGACTGTTTCCTTCATCGAGGCTCAGAATGCCGCCTTTGCATCGTATCTTGACGATGAAACACTTGGGCCCGCGAAGCAGCGCCTGGCGAGCAGTATGGCGGCTATGGGGAAGTTGACCATCTTTCCAGGTGTGCCGCAGAGTCTCGGAGACGAGAATGGGGAGTATATCATCAGAACGATGGGCCGCGGACGGGAGTTTGGCGTCTCATATCGGGTCGGCAAAGCGGCTCTCCTGGGAAAGTCCACTGCTACTAATGCTCAGACCGATCAAAACGGAATTCAAAGCCCAAAAATCTTCTACGATGAAGCCACATACAGCTCCATTTTGACTGCTTCGTCTCTCAGTCCGAGTGGTAGTTTCTGGGCCTTCACAACCAGCGACTCTGGGTCGGACTGGGGTATTATTCGTGTTAAGGATACTCACAATGGGAAGATCCTACCTGATGAAGTCCGCGGTACCAAATTTGCCAGCAAAAATTGCAGCACCATCCCCTGGCTCAGAGACAGGGGCTTCTTTTACACCTACTACCCTAATGGCAGGCCACATAGAAATCGTGATGTGGTGAAAGCAGTGCCACCTCAGCTCCGTTTCCATATCCTTGGGACAGAGCAGGCGGTGGATGAGGTCGTGTATGAAGATGTAAATCATCCTGGGTATTCGATCAAGGCGAGTATGTCGATGGACGCAAGAACGGTGTTTCTCGAAGTGTACGATCAAGGTAGAGGATGCCAGATCTGGTATGCCAGCATTGATATCGACGGATTAAATAAGAGTGTTGGTGCTGCTCCAAATGAGAATAAAAAGCTCGGTCTGAAATTTCATGGACTCGTGTCGGATCGCTTTGATACTGAGCTGGAGTAAGTATTCCCTATCGAGTCGATACAAGCACCTATTCCTTTTGCCCCTGCTTTTTTCCGCTTCCCTAGCTGACACGAGTGGTAGATACATTGGCTCTTCTCCTGATGATTCAAGCGTGCACTTTTTCTGGACCACAGAGTCGAATGGTAAGGTTGTCGCATACAGCCCTCACGACAAAGACAAGGGTATGCCTCTCCGCGAAATCATAGGCCCTCGAGAGCACGAGACTTTGAAGTTCGCACGCCTCTTATCTGATGGAGACATACTGACCGTGCGCTCTGTCGATGTTCGAGACCAAATCCAGATCTTCTCGTCACGGACAGGTGCGAGTCTCACGACTGTGTCAGGTGATAAACTACCTATGTGGACGATCTTGGACGTGTCCTTTGATCCCTCAACGCACACTCTATTCTTACTTGAGTCAGCGTTCACGCATCCGCCCCAACTGTGGTACACTCGAGTTTCTCCTTCCGTTGCAGCTACTGTAGGCGATAGAGAAGGACGTGTAGCAACCGCTGTCGGTGACTTCAAGCTCTTGTCCCTCTTCCTCGAAGACAAATCATTCAACCAACACTCCTCCGTCAAAGCAGCAACGGCAACGATATCACCGCCACAATCCCTCTCAACGACTCAAATGTTCTACCACTCGACCGACTTAACCACTATCCCCATGTTTCTCACATCTTTGTCACCCAGGACTTCTAATCCCTCACCCACGCCATACTTAGGCCCTGTGTTGCTATACATCTACGGCGCCTTCGGATTAACAGTAATACCCCACTTCCGGTCTGATTTCATCACATTCCTGCGCGTGTTCCGGGGCTCCACGCTTGCGGTTGCAAACATCCGTGGTGGTGGCGAATACGGAACGGAGTGGCACCACGCGGCGCAGAAGCTGAGGCGGCAGCGTCTTTTCGACGATGTTATATGCGCGGCGGAACAGCTCCATCGGAACGCCAACTCCAGGTCAGGAACGGCAGTAAGGAGAAAAGTCATCCTCATGGGCGAAAGCATGGGCGGCCTCAACGCCGCGAGCGTCATGACGCAGCGCCCAGATCTATTCGACGCCGTGCTTCTAAACGCCGGCGTTCTGGACGTGCTGAATCGAAAGCGCATGGCAGGTACAGACCGCGGGGTGCAGGAGATCGGGGACGTCAATGAAGGCGTGGAGAGCGATTTCATCCGCTCATGGACGCCACTTGAACGTATTCTTTCCTTACCAAAAGATGAGGCTAAAGGCGAGGTCGAGAAGATAGTTTACCCTCCAGTCCTCCTGACCGCGGGTGATGAAGACGACTTGGTCAAGCCATCACACAGCCTGAAGATGGCGGCAGCGTTGCAATATCATCAGCATCGGGACCGCGCTGCTGATCGAGGTACACCAGCAGCAACACATGTTAGAATTATCAAGAACCTCGGCCACGGGGGCAACATCTCGGCCAAGCAAAAGGCCGTCGTAAGCGTCGAGCGGTGGCTGTGGGTGAAGAAAACTTTGGGGTTGGAGGTGGATGTAGATTCCAACCGGGATTAATGTGGCTGTAGGACAAGACCGAGATGCTATGGATGTAAATGATTGATTAACCAGGGGTTCTGCATTCAAGAGCCAGAATAGTTTTACCAAAGAATCTCCGTGTTGGTACACTTTACTAACGTCTAAGGATTTGAAAATCATTGGGTGGTCTGTTCATGCATGGATCCATTGTCTCTAAATCCCACAGTGCAGCTTACGGCCTTTGGTCCCCATTCTACTACTCAGCATCACATCTTCTGCGCTCGTGAGGTATACTCGATGCCCCCGTTCCAACCCCGTCAAATATTCATTCTCTTTGGAATATTTGTTCCAGTTTTCGATCCCCTCGAGATAAGAGCAACTCTGAATTACAGCCGCTTGAGATGCAAGGACGATCTGCTCACCCACACAGTAGAGGAATTTGTTACATGGTAGTACGTGAGGTGCCGTGGTATAAGGACCTTTCCTGGCTGCCAGGCGCGACGATCTGAACGCGATATATCTGTTGCAGTCCAAGACCAAAAAGTGGCAATATGAATAATTATCTGCCTGCGTGCTAGATCTTTAGAGATTCGGTATGAGTCTCACCCCGACCGCAGAACACATATGTTATATCCACCCTAGGAGGATTTGGAAGGTTTTCGACATGTATCCAAGATAAAGTCTCGATTCTCTGGCCCAGAGCGATTTGTTCAGCCTGCTGAGACCCACTCTCCTCAATGTCGATGACTCGCTCAACAACCCTGGCTACGCAGATGCTGTCCCAAACAGCTTCCCGTATAGGATGCCGTCGTAAAGTCCCCAGAGCCTGGCGACGGACCACAGGATGCCGACATTTGACTGCGATTAAGTAAAGCATAGGAACAATTCCAATTTCGGGGGTAAAAGTTGGTTTTAATGACCCAGGGTGTCGCTCGTGCGCAGTCGCTATTCCGTCTGCCAAAGAAGCGCATTGCTGAAAATCAGTCAGAAAGCTGTCATACTCCATTTCCTTGCCAGGCCCAAAGCTACTGAGGTGAATCCATGCGACACCATACTTCAGGCGCAGTAACGAAATGAGCCGGCCAGTGTCAGTATCATTTTCGTGGGAGGTATCTCTTGGCACCATGTTTTGAAAACGATTCAACCATACCTCAAGTTGCCTGAGAACGATAGGCCTAGATATGAACAGCGATGCTGACATCTCGCTGGTACCATTAAACTGCTGACCCGTGTTGTGTAGTCTCAAGACTTCGTTGACGAGGATCTGGAGGCAGTCGGCGGCTTGATCAAGGGTTTGAAATACATCATCAGAGGGTGAAGACTGAGACATGATGGTGTCATGGGTATCAGTGGGGATCCAATCAACTAAGAACGTTACGGCCTGAAGGTCGAGACGGCGAATTTGCCGCGTGACTTGGTTGATAACAGTGCTGACACTCGAATGTGTGGCATCATAGTCTGGATCCTCCTTGTCAAGGATACTGTTGTTCATCTTACATGATATGTCCACGCCTCCACGTAGGTGCTTAATTGCTTGGACGTAATTACCTGCCAGATGATCGAAGCAGGTCAAAAGATAACAGACCAAAAGGGTGATAGCCGTTCTCTCCGGGTTGTCACCGGTATCATGGTCTAGGAGAAGTTCGATGGCTCGATTATAATGAACTAAGGGTAAATGGCCCGGTGGGTAGTCGCCGAATGATTGTGGAGGATGCAAGCTGCTGGGAGAACCACGATCCGTGAAATCTCTGTGAAGTAGAGCCAGAGCCAGAGCGGCATGGCGCACTGATGGCACTGTCTGGGAGAAGAACATCATCATATTCCGCCACGATTGAGAGGGTTGATAGTGGTTCAGATTCTCGATTGAAACAAATTCGAAAAAGGTTATTGCGTCTGCCTCCTTTGACCCTATCGATGGTAAGATCATCAACGGGTCAAGATTGTGCCCAGTGAGACCATGGTGGTTTAGACCCCATCGCTCTTGCCTCCATATGTTGATCGTGGTAGGGGGCGGACAATGGCTGTGGTTCTCTGCTACCTGGGGGTTCTCGTTGTGGTCACGACCTTTTTCCATCTCGCTATTGAGGTTGAGCGACACATCTCCATAACCGTCACAAATGCGACCTGTGGTATGGCACTTCAAGCATGAAGGGCGAGAAAGATCACATTTGATTCTCCTTATCCTGGATTGATAACAAGGATTGACGGTCAGTCTTAACAGCCCAGGGTTTCATCATGAAGGGAGCGGGACAATACACCAGATTTGGACTCACTTGCAGGTTTTGCAACCTAATCTTGACTTTGAAGCGAAACTGCGAGGCTTTTTCCTCCAAGCTTGAGTGGCTGGCTCAGTATCCTTGTTATTGATTTGGGACATCACTCTGAGGAGAGTGGCTCAAGAGATTAAATGAGGGGCTAGTCGATCGGCACCGATGTTATATCACAAGCACCTAGGTAGTCAAACGCGTGAACCGACTGGCAGAAGGCAAAGGCTTCGTCCCTCCGGTGAACAAGCTTGCCAGTGCAGAAACCAAGCGTCCAAGTTGCTTGATGCGTTCTCAGGCTTGTGAAGAGGCCAATCTCTACATGTTTTGGAAAGAGTGCTTTGGCAAGAGAGGATGAACAGTACAAAAAAGGATGCCTGCAGTGGCTCAGAGTTCCACTACTAGTGGCATCCCCTTGGGGGCTAGCTGATTAGTGCGAATAGCTATTGGTTAGTTCGTACAGGTGGGGCTCTAAGCCTGCTTTGGCAGGAACTAATCTGCACATGGATGGGATATGCCTGCCCGAAGACGTCACCGACTAGAATAGTAATTTGAGCCTCCTCACATTCGACAGGTACAAATAGTTCCTAGACGTCGTAATTATACTGAGTGCGATGCGCGTAAGTTTATATAAGAGAAAGCATTAAGAATCCTACGAAAACATCATCCCGCGACAACTATGAAACCATACAGCATACTGCCCATCCTCCTCGTAAGCGTGGCTTGTCAAGCAGACAGTGCCAATACTTCGACTACCGCGATCGGCTTTGATGCTGTAAGTCTCAGAGTCCATTGGTATATCTTCTGCAAGGCTTTCCTGATTTTAACTTCCCGTCCAGATTGAACCCTCGGCTAATCTCAACTGGACAACATGTTTCGATGACTTTACATGCTCCCGATTGGAAGTCCCCTTGGATTATTCGAATAAGAGTGTTGGAAACACATCGATCGCCTTCATAAAGCTCGCCGGGAAAAATGCCACAGCCGATTCCCCAAGTATTGTATTCATTCCTGGTAAGATCTTCACGACCTCCATACAGTCCTTCCTGGAGCTGTTATAATTGGACTGACATTTAATCAGGTGGTCCAGGAGGCTCTGGTATCCAGCTTCTCCTGGAGTCCCGGGATCTTGTAGGTACCATCCTTGGAGAACAGTACAATTTTGTTTCGTTCGACCCAAGAGGTATAAACAATAGCGGTCCAATCCTTGATTGTTTCTCGGGCAACGCAGAAGCAAGACTTGCCTTCAACCAGCTGCACAGCACAGGGATTACCAACGTATCGTCAACATCACTCGAGGAGCAGTATTATTCGAGCTCTATTTACGGTGATTGGTGCAACAATGCAGTGAAGAATGAAACACCCTATGGATATTATGTGACTACACCGGCAGTCGCCCGTGATCTGCTCACTTTCGTTGAAGCGGAAGCCGAAGCGACCAGCCAGGCACTATCAGATGCAAAATTGTGGAGTTACGGCGTCAGTTATGGCACGGTGATTGGCACAACTTTCGCCTCTATGTTTCCTGAGCGAGTTGGAAGAATGATACTGGATGGTGTTTTGGATGCTGAGCAATACTATGACAACAACTGGAGGGATAACGTCAATCAAATGGACGCGACCATACAAAGTTTCGCGAGCTTCTGCCACGCCGCGGGCCCTACAAACTGTTCTTTCTGGGGACCAACAGCAGATAATATCACGACCAGGATTGACAGCATTATCGACCGGCTTCAAACTCATCCGGTTGCCTTGAGCGGACTTCAAAATCCAGGTTTGCCAAACGTGGTCACCTATTCAGACTTGAAGGCCCTTTTCGTCAACACTATTTACAATCCATTACAATCATTCCCATTGACAGCGGAAATCCTCCACGAAGTCGAGCATGGAAATGTGTCTGCTCTTGTCGGAGCTTTTGACGGCTTGGCTATCACGGACGATGCCCGCCTTATTGTTCAATGCACCGACTCTTCACAAAGGAACAAGCTCAGAACCATTGAGGACTTCAGGAGCTATGTTCAATATACGACTTCTCAGAGCCATTATATCGGTGATATCTATCCAATATTTCTGGAAACTATCTTGTGTCGATCATTCCGAACCAACTTGCCTGAGAGCATGGTAATTCAAGGTCAGTAACCCCAGTTGCTCTATTCATTCAGTCGCTACTCATCCTCTAGGAGCTTTAACTTCACCCAAGATTCACTATATGTGCATTTGGACAAAGAAGCTAACTGCCCCCGTTTCTTTGCAGAGCCCATAACCGGCACAGGCAAAAACATGTCCTTCCCAATCCTGTTCACGAGCAACACTATCGACCCAATAACTCCATTAAAGTCGTATGTATCCACCAATCTATTACGCAAAATGGCACCTACCATGTCGCTAACATATGTGATCTTTTTGTAGGGCGCGCAAGATGCATTCACAATTTCCTGGGTCGAAACTTCTTTTGCAAGAAGGCGTTGGTGTAAGTTTTTGCTGAATCTCAAACCAATCAACATTTCGCAAGGAATCAAAGCTGACCAGTGATCAATTTCGCTTAACCGCAGCACACAGTTATCAACCAGCAAGGGTCAATCTGCTACTTTGGATATATTCAGGCATACCTTCAGGGAATAGTTCCGCCAGCCAACACTACATGCCCGCAACAGTATATACCTTTCATAGATTCTCCTTTATAAGTATTACCAATGAGCCGGGGATGGCGCAGGCGAGTCCTGGGAAAGACTGATATAATATATCCCGACCACAGAATCCGTTCCGAGCATCTGTGCGCTGCATTTCGGGGTGCCTAGGTAAGCTGGCCGGCACCATGACGGAAGTTTTCCGCCGGATGTTCTCAGACATTCAGGCTCGCCACTAGAATTTCTCGGGAGTTCGTTCTAGCTGGATTCAAGAAAGTAATCCTAATCTATCTAAGCTCTACATGTCCAAGCAAATGATCCATTTCCGCCGCCGTCGGAATCTCCGCGATTAGCAAGTACAGGATATCTGATTTCATCATGTCTTTGGCGGCCCCAATCAACCCGGAGCTTGAACCATTTCGACTTTCAACCATACTTTTCACCCCTGATACGACGCGACCTTCAGAGGAGGGCGCAGACTGCCTCCCAGTAAGTTGTACTAGCCGCATTTTGACATCATCGGAGTTGCGAAACTTTCCTCCTGTCAGTAATGCAAGAGGATGGCCCGAGTTGACAGGATGGTTCGGATCCGAGAACCTGCTTGCGAACTTTGCTGGGTCTGTTGCTCCAGGAACAGCCAGAGTTGACTCTTGCCCATACTTTCCCGCAAATGTTGCCTGTGCACGCCGATCTTTGTATTCTGACACAAACTTGCGAGTATCCTTCCACGACGAGGAATTTCGTTCCTGTGAAGATTTAAGTCCAGTCGTATTGCCATCCGTTTCTTGTGATGATACTGGATCATGGCGCGTGGTCTTTTCCACATAGATCAGCTGGGCCGCTTGTGGAATCTCTAGCTGACCGTGCGACACTCCATCAGACTGGCGGAAGTTCTCCTTGGGTGAGGTTTGCGGACAAGTAGACAGCGCAGGCCACACTCCTGGAATAATGTGTTTGGCACTGACGGGCCCGTGATTAGAGTCCAAATCCAGGAAGATATTTTCCTGTCTATCAGGCTTAAAAGTCATGATCATACAGTGCAAGTTCTTGGGATGGAAAAATTCCTGGTTGACCTTGTCGAGGTAGTTGTTTGTTCGAATTCGACTTTGCACCTCAATGGCAGCATTTGAAGCTGCCGTTACTGCCAACGAAACAGCTATAGCGATTGCTGATGGTGCAAAGCCAGCACCGATAGCCGCCAAATTGATAACTTGGAAGACAGGTGACGCTTGTGAGGACTTGTGGAACTCTTCCAAAAAGTCGAGAAAGCTCTGCTCATTGATGCATTTGTAATGCCAGAGGTCAGGTGCATATGCCCGGGCGAAACCTCGACTTTTGGTATTTGGGCGACGTTGAGGTATAATCACTGGTCGTGGAAGAGGCTTGATTTCAGTAGGACGATCTGTATACTCTGGCGGAGGCTCTCGTTCGATCGGCTGCGTACCAGGACGCACACTGCACCCTTGGTCATTTGGAATCTCGTTGTCGATGCTTTCTAGCTCTTTGTGATGGACAACCTTTTTCGACTGCCTCTGGGCATGGATTTCTGTGGCCAGCCCGATCAGACCACTTACACCTCTTGTCACTCGAGACAGTGGTCCGGTACTTCTCTCCCCTATCGAAACCATGGCCAACCGTTGGTTTTATGGAAAGTGGATGTACATGAGTAGATTTTGAATTGTTTTCCAGGACGCACGTTATATCAAGCCAAAAGTTATCATTTAAACTACGCACTCGTATCAGCACCTCTCAATCGCAGTCTGAAATGGCTGGAGCCTGCTCTTCAAGCTCTAGGAGCAAATTGTAGGAGCCCATGCGTCGTCCTGAGGATCTTTAACTTCGAGGACAAAGTTGTTTTAACCATACAGAGAGTCAACGGATGGCTACTGAGGTAAGCTGAACCAATACCACCACGCCGTCGAATGTAATGGAGACTCTAGTTGCGAAAATTGCCAGAAGCGGTATGCAAGTCACACGCTACTTAAGTGCCTCGTTAGTGCTTATCTGAAATTAAAACACCCTAAAGAAGCTTGAGTCCAGTATTACTACGAGGCTAAAAGTTCCCTAACTTGTCAGGTCTGTGGTGGATAATCGTTCCCCCGCTATTTAAAGCCTGAGAGTGTCACTATTGTGGTAATGGATTGTGGAGTCATGCTCAATGAAACCTATTCAGATATCGCATCTCGGAATAATTTCCCTACTTGGCTTAGGGGGGAGGGTAGCTTTTACTGACGCGCAAGACGGTACATCTCCTGCAAACGTAAGTACATTTGTAAACCTCGTAGCTTTGTTTTTGAGGAAACCGATGACCCCGTTATCCAATTGACATCAAATCCTTGGATTGTCCTCAGAGACTATGTTACAGGCGAGAGAGATAAAGTAGCCATGTCATAGAGTCACGTCAACTTGACAGGACTCGCACACCCCCAATCTGACCGTGGGCATAAAGGAGCTTTATGGCATATCTGAAATAGCTGCATCCATCAAGGCTTGATTGTGCTTGATCTATGCCAATGGTTATGATGAGAAGAATGTACCGAAGTAGGGATATGAGTCAGGTTGGTTCTTCAAGGCCGCCTTGAATTTGCTTTGGGCTACCTTTCTGCCAATCATAGCCAGGGGAAAAGAGAGGGCTCAAAGTAGTCTTAAGGAATAACACTTCTTGCGGCGATCGCTCGAGCACAAGCCTTCGTCCTTCGAAGTATCATAGTCGTCAAGTGCTACTGCTTGCTACTCATGGTGGGCCTCTTAAAAATCAGCCTAGCTAATGCTTATGAATTTCTACAGTTCCGTAGCTATCGACATCTGTGTCCCCCGAAATATACTCGTCTCGCTTTCGTGATCGCCTACTCAATCCTACAGGACAATCTCTGGATGAGACTACCGAATTCGAAGCCGAGCAGCAATAATTTTGGCCTGCAGCCTGGCCAAAGCAGGAATGTCCTTGCTGCAAAGCAAGCTCAGTCTAACTTCGAATCGATCCTGTACTAGACCAAAGTCTCGACAGCAGCGAAGGTGTGGCTGATTATTCTGGAGGATGATCAACACGTTCGTGGTCAAGGTTTGGTCTCTGGCCTAACAGTTCGCGCATGAGCATCGAACTGAGGATTGACCGTTTATACAGGGGCGGGATTATGACAAGTCCCTTGAAGAGGGCCGATCTATTTGACAATAATTCAGCTTTTGGTGTCCCTCCTAGACCGTATCATAAACGAGTCCAATCTGGTGGCCGAAAGAGGATAATTGCACATCCTTGTGTCAACAATTTGTCATGTAGCAAATATTTGACTATACGCTCTTGGAACATCGGAAAACATAACTCAACATGTGAAAAAAGACTTCACTAGCTGTGATAGTAATATCCCTGTATTCCAAAATTGCGCAGAACTTCTCAAAGTATCTACCATTTTGGATATAAAAGGCAAAGTCGATTGCAAGTTGTTCTAAACCAGCCAATTGATTCATTCAACCGCTGAAAAGTACCACATAAAGACTCATGGTTCTCACATACGAGGCAAATCCACATGTCCGACATAGCGGCTGATGTGCCGATTGCACCGTGAGTGCTTGAGTCCACCAAGGATTATTCACATAGGAAGTATCTTGGTATGATGTATGAAGGTCCCGGCAAGGCTTGGTCCCAAGTGCTGAATCTTCCGATGACTGGTCAGTAGGCGAAAAGGGCGGAGAAGGAACATCGTCATACCAAGACCTGGTGTCGTCTAACGCTTGGCTGCTCCACTGCCCATATTTCAACCCACTGAAAAAACTGGCACTGTTATTCAACCAGTTCCTCGGCACTTCATAAGCATTACGGCTTACGTCGCACAGAGGGGGACAGCAAGCATGCATTCCGTCGTGGTAATGTGGGTGTATTTCTCAAGCATGAGTATGCTGCTTGCCATGTGTGCTCATCATAAAATTGAACACTATCCAAGAGGATATCGAAAATTGGAAACACCGAGTGCCAAAATTTTATGACTGGAGAGATATACCACGGAGAGCGTGCTTCCAATATCTGACAAAACCTTACGGCAAATGCTGTCGAGGTACCAATTCTTCGTTGACCAAACGCCCAAGAGGCAAGCCAAGGCGATCAGTGTCTGGGCTCAGCGAAATCCAAGGGAAAATTTCGATCTCGATGATGCAAGTCCCATTTGCCTGAAAGTAAGAAGAAGAGATACAATCTCAATATGATCACACGATTGAACGAAACTCCTGCCGTCTTCGCATCTATTATGGACACCTTTTCCTATCCTCTCGCTTGAACTTTGCTCTATATTTTGATTATATCTTCGAATCTTGTCACGAGCTGTTTGATTACCCGAGGCACACCGCAGCTACTTATTATCCATAGTCACCATGGATAGAATTCGGAAGGTTGTGAACGTTGTGGCACCACCACCAGCGAAGGGTGCCGATGGGCGTGATCAATGGCCATCGCGTACTGCTTTTATCCTGGCCTCCTTAAGTGGTGTTATTGGCATGGGAAACTTCCTACGATATCCATCCACGGTCTTCAACAATCACGGATTACAATGGTTTATCCCGTATCTTATGGCTCTTTGCTTGCTAGCAATTCCTGCCTTGGCCCTTGAACTCGCTGCTGGCAACGCCTATCGGGGCGGTACCGTGACAGCTTTCAACAAGATCAGTAGACGAATGAGAGGTATTGGTTTCGCCTTGAACTATGTCGGCCTTGTTGTTAGCATTTATTTCATCCCTATTATTGCTTGGGGGATGGTCTTCTTCCAGAAGTCGTTCACCAGTCCACTCCCCTGGGCTGGCGATACCGCAAACTATTTTATGTACGAGGTTGTTCAAGCCATTGATCCCGACACTTCTGGCACCTGGATCGACTATCCTGGCACTGCTCTTGACGGCCGCTTGGTTGGATGGAACGCCTTTCTCTTCTTTCTTGTGTGGCTCTGCATGTTCCGTGGTACTGGCTGGACGGGTCGAGTGGTCTACTTCACCATGGGCATGCCTCTCATCGTCATCATCATTCTCATCGGACGAGGTGCATCGCTACCAAATGCTGGCCGTGGAATCCGCATGTATTTTGCAACATGGAGAAGCGAGGTCCTTTCTGGGACCCGTATCTGGCAGGACGCGGTTGGGCAAGTCTTCTACTCGACTGGTGTCGGTTTCGGATTTTACACGGCTTATGCCTCCTATAACCACCAATTTGCAAACGCCGCTCAAGATGCCGTCCTTCTTGCATGTACCAACGCCTTCTTAGAAGCTACCCTCGCCTTTGCAGCATTTGGCATCGTTGGCTTCATGGGCTTGCAACCTGACCCAGACAATCCGATGGGGAGCTACAGTTTAGGCTTTATGACCTATCCTGAGGCTTTTGTCCAAATGCCCGGTTCCAACTTTTGGTCTGCTCTTTTCTTCCTGACGCTTGCTGTCGTCGGTGTTAGTTCTACCTTTGTCATGCTTGATGCCGTCATGACGTTGATAATGGACTCTGCATTCGCCAGGCGCTGGCGTTGGTCACGCCCTTGGGTCGCGACTGTTCTTGTCACCCTAGTTTTCCTTGTATCCCTGCCGAACTGCACACATTTCGGTTATTACTACCTGGATGGGATCGACCGTTGGATCAACAATGTGGGTCTGGTCTTCGTCGTATGGGCTGAATGCACCTGTGCCACTACCGTTTACCGCTTCGAGGATGTAGTCGACCAGGTCGGCTTGCGTTCCTTCGCAATATACAATGCGAGCTTTCTAGGTGCCGAGCTGCTAAGCCTTATCATTGGACATACGGTCAGCGTGCCGGTGGGTGCGGCTGTCGGCTTTGGTGTTTTTGCAATTGGGGCGGTACTTGCCGTCGTGGTTGCAAAGACCCCCACTGTACGCCCATCTGCTCGGCTTTTCAAGAAAGGTAGGTTGACATCCATCATCTACTATCTCGCTTTCTACTCGGTAAGTTTCCACGGTGACAATTCTGCTATGCATGAACTGAGAATAATTACTAGGGTAATCAATTGCGCCATGATCTCAATACTGTCATCGGTAGTGGCTCGAACTGGTCATTGCCCTTCCTCTGGGCTCCCCTGCTGCGATATGTCTCCGGTCCAATCCTCGCCGTCATCCTCAGTCTTGCATATCCCAGTTTCGAACAACTCAATAACGATCCTCTGCATGTCATGGGCTTCATAATCGGTCATTTCCTCTTGCTCTGGTGTGTTGCGGGATTTATAATGCCTCACTGGCTAGATATTTTCATAATAGAGGAGCGCCGTGACGATTGGAAGCAGCCCACAGCACCATGTATCCTTCGAGACACTACTGAGGGTGAAATAGCTCATAGTCTAGAAACTGGTTCGGCCTCCGACTCATTGGCAGATAAGACGCAGACTCCGATGGGGAAAACAATCAGACGGGATGATGTTGACGCGATGGGCGAAAGTATTCAGCGCGACAGCAACAGCTCACTGACAGTAGATGGGCAAGGAGAAAAGATTGGAAAGCAAATCTAATGAAACATGACGCGAAGTGAACAACGACTCTCGGTAGTGCTGATATTTGTACAGTGTATCGAATTGCCGATGCATGGTGGTTGTACTCAGATTTTTTTCGACGTGACAAGCACTGTCAAGATTGCCCGTCCAACCTCTGTTTTGCCTCTTGCAGAAGTTGTTTTGCATATTGGGTGACATCACAATAAAAACAAGTCTTAAAGGGTTTCATTAATGCCGTGGGGTTTACCATATAATGAGCGCCTGATAGTGACTCGATTGTTTTGCTTTATCTAGCTATCGCTGGGTCAAACTTGAATACACAGAGACAGGTAGGACCCTATCATCATTCTCAAAAGATAATGTTCGCATTTGCAACATTCCTGCACTCCCAGATATGATATACTGAAATTCCACCTTTTGAAATGCATAATTCAAACTGCGTGGACTTCACCGAGAGCCCATTCTGCAATGCCGCGAGCGTGTATTGTCGTTGTCTCAAAAGTTGGGACTTTCTGGTTTTCTTGGTCGAAAACAAGTCGCAGCTCCGTGCATCCCAAAATGACACAATCAATTTGATGATCTTGCAAGAGTTGCATATATGCTGCATGCCACTTTGCTTTGATGTCATCGGGAATCCTGTCCTTGCTCATTTCGTCGAATATCATACGGTCGGCGTCAGACCTGAAGTGCTGGTCTGGAACGTAAATCTCCAGTCCAAACCTTCGCAGCCGGTCAATATAAAACTCTTCCTCCATCACAGCTTGTGTTGCGAGCAGTCCAACCTTCTTGAAGCCACGATCGACAATCAATTGTGCTGTAAAATCCACGATATGTAGGACTGGTAATCTTGTTGATGCTTGTAAATCCTCAGCCGCTTTATGAGCGACATTGGCGCATAAGACCAGTGCTTGTGCTCTAGCTGCCTTCAAATCATGGCCACACCGGCAAAGCAGTTTACTCATGCCATTGTAATCTTTCGCATTCACTCTAGCTGCAAGATCTGAGTAGTCGATAGATCTGATCAGGAGATCAGCAGAATGTATGCCTCCAAGTCTTGAAGCTACATGCTGGTTGATCTCTCGGTAGTAGAGTGCAGTTGTCCTCCATGAAAAGCCGCCAATGAGACCCACTGTCTTCATCCTGCTTGGTACAGAAAGCTTGACCATAAATGAAGAATAGCGGTACAAGAGTCGGTTACCATGCGACTATGAGCATATCATGATTTGGTTGAATCTGATGGCGTCGATTAGCTCAAATATTGATTGGGGTATGTCGAAGATTCAGGTTCGCGTTACTCCAGTTCCCACGGTTATCCGCGGGATGTGAGACGCGGGGAACGTCATAAATCTAAGAGGTTTTTGGAGTTGGGTTGATCTGAGCACGGGTTTATTCATCAGGGTAACACACTGTCGACGATTGGCCTTTTCCATTCCCACTCCGATATAGGTTGATCACAGGCTCAAAAATCCAGCATTTGATTTTGGGAATTTGTCCTCCGCATTCAACTTGTATTTGCGCCATATCAAAACTTAAAGAAACAAAAGTCGTACTGTTTGGTAAATTTTAATCTCGACAATATTACATGACTCGTAATTAGCTCTGAACCTTCATAAACCTTGAGAAGAAAGAGTCCATCTGCTGGTAGTCATCCACAGCGCCAATCCAACTTACATACTGGTCAGGTCGAACAATGATAGCGCAACCCGTCTCCACATCAATCCCGTAGTTCTTGTAAGCTTCCCCATGGCCCTCATGGTATGACTCATCATCCACAAAGATCTTCCAGTAGTCCCAACCAACTTCGTCGTTGTACGGGTGGAAAATATCAGGAAAGTCGAAAATTGTACAGTCGGTTCTAGGACTCGAATGAATACTCAAGACCTCAATGACTGAATCTATCGGCTTTCCGACGGGTCTGAAGCGCGAGAGGAATGATGTAGGCGATGCGAGTTGCTTTCCAAGTTTGTTCACTCTAGCCAGCTGTGTCGATCTTTTGATATTGCCGGCAAATATCAATATTCTCCATCTTCCATCACTTTTCAGGCGTTCTTGAAGGTGCCATGGACGAGCATCGGATTGGTTGAGTACTTTGAAACTTGGCATGCGCATTCCAAGTACTACCTTGCTTGCAAATTGACCTTTGCTTGTCACTTCATTGTCAGCTTTATCACTCGGATGATCTTCGTCTGACACAGCAACAATCTGCGATCCCGAGTACTTGACACCTATGTCATCATCAATACAGGCGACGTTAGGAGGAAAAATTTCAGATCACCTACCAACCCCGCTGGTGAACATGTTACCATCCGCAAATGCTTTCTTGAATTCTGCGAGACTGATACCCTCAGTATCTAAGATATCTTTGGCTGGTTTTCCGGAAAATAGTCTAGAGAACTTATGATCAAAATCGATGAGGTCTCGGGCAACCTTTCTTCTCTCCGCTTCATAAGTCTGCAGAATTGATCTATCCGCTTCTCCTTTTACTACTTGGGCGATTTTCCACCCTAGGTTATACGCTGAAGTGGTGTTATCAAAAATGGTAGCTCCGGTATGAGTATGAATGAAAACTTACTGTCTTGCATGCTGACATTCATGCCTTGTCCGGCCTTGGGACTATGTGTATGCACGGCGTCACCAGCAAGGAAAATGCGATCATGCTTCGAGAAGCCCTTCCCAACACGCTGCCCTATCTGATAGACTGTCCACCAGTCGCAGTACTTGTACTCGATCTTGTAGGGAGCCAATACCTTTTGCGCTCCTTTCAGTATAGTAGCAGGTGAGATAGTGGACCTGTCGATTCGACCTCCAGTCGATACTTCTTTCAATTGGATATATAATCTGGTGAGTTTGTTCTCTCGAGGAATAATCATCATACTGCCTGATTCTTGGGAGTGAATAGCACATCTCGTGCGGATGTCTGGAAAGTCCGTGATGGGAATGATATCGAGCACCCCCCATACGTAATCTGTTGCTTCACCAACCAAGGCAAAGTCGTCACCAAGCTGTTTTCTGACCCAGGAATGGGCGCCGTCACAACCGATAAGATACTTCGCGTTCACAATCTCTGTTCGGTCCTCTTTAGCCTTAGATGTCTCCAAAATGCCTTCGGTGTCATCTTCGGTGATGTTGCTTCGGAAAAGACCATTCTCTACTCCTGATTGTGCAGGGGCAGGATCTTCAGCCAAATGTCGAAGACTGATACGGATTGGATATTCATTGTCGAGAGCGACCTTTGATTCATCGAGTTCAAGTGTCTCAGGAATGACCAGTCGCTCCACTCGAATCTTGCTGTGCTCCGCTATTGAGTCCAAGAAAAATCTTTCGATGCGACCTTGGTGCAAAACCGCCTGCTGGAATCTGCTAAGATTCTGGATTGTATCGATCAGTCTATCGGTCCTTTGTATCAATCCATTGTCATCTGGATTCCACAGGCACATCTCTAGCATATGGTTAGATTCTTGCCAAGCTCGGTAGGCGAACCCGAATGAGTCGAATATCTCCAGAGTTCGAGATTGTAAGCCATCAGCTTGTCCATTGAAGATCTAATCATGGTAGGTTAGCAACTTCTTTTGGAAAAGATCCGAATATCCGTGGCATAGGTAAGATATTCACACCTTTGTCCCTCGTTTGTCCACAATGCGAGTTTTAATCCCCGTCCGGCTCATCCAATTCGCCAACATCAACCCAGCAGGACCTGCCCCTACAATAAGGACATCCACACAGGACACTTCTACTGGGTTAGACATCCTTGGTCAAGGCAAAGCGATACCGTAGGAAATGGATCAGATGTGAATTCTTCCTTGCTCAGTCCTCCATGACTTGGGTCTCATCCATCAATGGCGAGCCTAGAGCTTTATTCGCAATATATGATGCTAGACTCACGACGGTCCACGGTATCGGATCGTTATCCACCAGGGAGTAGGTTCCTTGGACGCTTAGACAAGCGCATTCTGGAATCTGGCCCGGTATCCGGATGCTTGCAATCAGGGTCAGGAGCTCGGATGATCGAAATTTGAAGTTCCACATCGGAACCTGGACCAACCAGCAAAAACACAAAGCTTTGTGGCCAATCCCCACGGGGAAAGTGTGTAGCTAGTTAATCTTGGCTCTTATGCTACCAGGTTGGCAAAGCCTAAGCCCCTGAAAAAGCCAAATTTTCGGGATGTATTCCGAGCCAAGGTCTTGGATACTTGGATCATATCGGACAAGGGTATCAGATTACGTGCCACAGCGAATCAGACACGCGAAAAAGGTCTCAATAGAGCTTCAAGGTTGCTCAGTGACTACTTCCGATCCCGATGTGCATTGTTCCACGACTCGAGGTTTCCGGCCCCCGCAATGTGATTCTGGCTAACATGGAGTGACAAGTTTCTCCAGATTTGAGAAATCCTGGACCCCGGGAATGGGAGTGCAGCATCCGTCACGGTCTTCCATTTCAGCTCAGCTCAATCTGTGTGTATATATACATATATACATTCTAGTCAGGGCTATCTCACACCACACATCGACTATCGGCTCACCTCTACGTTCCACCTCGCTACAACGTAATGGATACCCCTCAACACTCTCACCTAAACCATGTTGACAGCGAGTCAAAAGCTGTCCCACATGAAGCTCATCACCTCGATCACCTGGAGACTACACATGAGATTGCAGAAAGAGGACATGCGGCTACTGATAAGTCAGACTACCTCTCTAATTTTGACCTCAATTGGACACTACTAACTACTCGGCAAGACTCGGTCGACCTGTTGTTGACTTCGATAAGGCAGCAGAAGCAAAACTCAGACTTAAAATTGACCTATACATTGTGCCAACCGCATTCATGCTGTATCTATTTTGCTTCATCGACCGTACCAACATTGGTAAGCTCATCGAAGTAACCATTAAACCTCAGCTGATGGACCTGAAGGCAACGCAAGGCTTGTAGGCTTTGAGAAAGATCTCGGTCTCAAAGGATACGACTACAATGCAGTCCTTTCATACTTCTACATCTCATATATCCTGTTCGAAATTCCTGCCAATATGCTGTGTAAATGGATGGGACCCGGCTGGTTTCTCCCAATCTGTACTATCGGTTTTGGCATCAGCTCACTCGCCTACGCGTACGTCAAGGACATCCATAGTGCTGCGGGAGTCAGGTTTCTCCTTGGGGCCTTTGAGGCTGGTCTTCTTCCAGGTCTGGCATACTATCTTTCAAGGTACGAAAGTCAGGACACTTACGTTTAGTATACTAACAATATTTTCCAGATGGTACAGGCGCAGTGAACTCGTGTTCCGACTATCACTCTACATCGTCGCGGCACCCCTTGCGGGAGCCTTTGGTGGGCTTTTGGCTTCCGGAATTTTAAAGATGACCAGTGTTGCTGGCCTGCGTACTTGGAGAATGATCTTTTTTATTGAAGGCATTGTCACTATCGGCGTTGGCATCATTGCGCTTTTCACCATGACAGATCGGCCAGGCAGCGCGCGTTGGTTGAGCGAAGAAGAGAAGGACCTTGCTATATCTCGACTTAAGTCGGAACGAGTCGGAGTTACTGAAGTTCTGGATAGGATTGATAAACCAAAACTCCTCCGTGGAATGTTCTGTCCGATAACCCTGGCGACATCTTGGATATTCCTGTTGATCAACATCACGGTTCAGGGGCTCTCAATCTTTGCTCCAACAATCATCCGAACAATCTATCCAAAACATACGGTCATCTCACAACAGCTTCATACTGTACCACTGTACATCGCTGGGGCTGTCTTGACTGTTGCGATATCATTTGCAAGTTGGAAATATGATCGCAGAACTCTCTTCATGCTTATCAGCGGCCCGCTGATTGTCATTGGATATGTCATGTTCCTAGCCACGAACAATCCTCAAGTTCGATTTGGAGCAACTTTCTTGATTGCAGGGGGGGCGTTTCCATTCGGGGCCCTTTGCAATGCTCATGTGTCAGCAAACGTGGTATCAGACACCGCTCGGTCGTCTGCTATTGCAACGAATGTGATGATGGGGAATCTTGGTGGACTCATCTCCACATGGTCTTTCTTGCCTAGGGATGCACCAAATTTCCCGATTGGTAATGGTCTCAACTTAGCCTCCTCAACGCTGGTGGTCATCACAGCTGCAGCAATGCTGGTTTGGATGAAATTTGACAACAAAAAGAGAGAAAATGTTGACGTTTCCTCGAAACTAGCAGGGCTCTCTCAGAAACAGATTCAGGATATGGATTGGCGTCATCCAGCTTTCAGATGGAAACTCTGAGGCATGATACAGTTTGTTTGCTATTGAGCGCGCAGTGTGCGGACAATTGAGAACTGCCCTGTTCTTCTTGTCTCTAGTGGAAGCCTCAAGATTGACTTAGTACGTACTGTCTCTTGATAGACAGAACACTATTGCGTGATACTCGAAAACTAGTTTAAGGAGTGACTTCACATGTCTACACATGCCTAATTTGGAGCTGCACTTCATCATTGCTGGATGACCGTTGGGAAATGCCATATCCTGGTAATTCATCTAATCGCAATCTCAGAGTCAGACTTGAGCTGAGGCGCAGTGCTTGATCGCTATGCTAAGGGCTAGAGCGAAATGTAGAAGTGTCGATAGTCAAAATAACCATGTAAGTTGGACATCGTAGAGTTTGCCTTCTGAAGATCACCAGTTATGCTATCTACCCCTTGAAAGGCTCGCCAAAAGATGCCTTATGAACTTTGTTAATGCCCAGCTTCAACTTCTGATTACCACAAATTGTGACAACTGCTTTCTGTTGAACACCCGAATTTATCGGCAGAGTAGGGTTTCCAATAGCATTGATCGTTAGAATGATATCAGGCACAATTCGTGGCAGTGTCCGACGTCTGATAATAGTGAATATGCCACAAAATGCGTCCCTGTTTTCCATGGCTCACCTAGCCGCCACTACATCCCCTTCAGTACATCCCCTTCATTATATCCAAGTTGCAGAAGGGTTAGGTTCCGATATTCCATCTCCGCCTTTGGTTCATAGTGGATTGGGCTAAAATAAGCACTCGAATCGAGCTCATATCATAAGGTAGTGTTCCGGAAGATTGGGACAGGCGGTTTCGCCAGGTTCCAAGCCGAACAAACACAACGGAATCCATACCGATTTATCACGGGTCGTATCTAGACACAAGACCGAGGTCATCTGGTGAACGGAGAAAACTTATCTCACTAGTGAAATGCCATCTCCACATTATCGGCTTGTGTTCCGAAAATGCAGATCATCCACACCCCGACATGCTCTAGCCAAACGGATCCGGGGTCTAGCCCATTGCCGTTTCGGCACTGTTCACCGCGACAAGAAATACAAAAGGCGGCTGTTTACAATGTGTCCATGGCTGTGCGCTATCCATGACCTTCAGCCAAGTCTCGATCAAATCTCTTCGCTTTTGAGCTATCCTCAAACCTGAACCACAACGAAAATTGGTCCCGCATTCTGATAGTCAAAATGGCTCTAAATCGCTCAACAACAGCAACCATTGCGGTTGAACGCATGCCGGGCAAGATTGCTTTAGAAGAAGCAACTGGTAGCCCCCATTTTGTTGCTCATGGTACCCATCCACCAACTCCTATGATCATCGGCTCAAAGGATGGTCTTCCGCCATACAACACGCCATTCTTGGAAGATATTGATGACCGACTAAACAACGTCGAGAAACGTCTGCAATCAATGGACCAAAGCGGGATTGGCTATGCCATTGTATCTCTTACTTGCCCGGGAGTTGAGGGTATCTTTGACCCCAAAGAGGCCGTTGAGTTAGCACGAAAGACCAACGACTCCTTGTATGAGCTATATGTCAAACCACATCCGACAAGGTTTGGATTCTTCTGCTCAGTGCCAATGCAAGATCCAGAAGCAGCGGTAAAGGAGCTGGAGCGATCGGTCAAGGAGCTTGGTGCAAAAGGTGCACTCATCAATGGGTTCACCAATCTTGACATCAACGATGTCAGTAAGGTTCAATATCTCGACGACCCGAAATGCGAACCACTATGGCAGAAACTGAACGATTTGAATGTCCCTCTGTATCTTCATCCACGCATCCCACCACTAAACCAACAACGAATGTACGAGAACATGCCGAATCTGTCTCAGGCGGCATACGGATTTGGTATTGAGACTGCTGGCCACGCACTTCGCATCATGTGCTCCGGTGTATTTGACCGCTACCCAGCAGTCCAACTCATTCTTGGACATTGTGCAGAGGCTCTACCTTTCCTCGCTCACCGTATTGATCACCGCATGGCTATTGGCATCCGAGGCAACAACGGACCATACAAGAAATCCATCATGTACTATCTTCAGAATAACGTCTATGCGACTTTGGCAGGCGTACGACGAGAGAGTACCATGCGCAATACAATTGATGAGCTTGGGGAGTCCAGGACATTGTTCAGTGTCGACTATCCCTACGAGAGTAATGAGGATGCGGCAGATTGGTTTGACGGTATGCAGATGAATGAAAACACTAGACGTGCAATTGGGTACGAGAATGCTCAACGGCTCTTCAAACTATGAGAGTGCGGGATGATCAGGCAGCTTCCCGCTACATTGTATGGCGTTCAAGCGTATGGGCTCTAGCAGCATATAAGAATAGGAATTTAAATCTCTGTTCAACGTCCAACATGATTGCGTTATTGCATGATCGGTCTGATCACGTTCACTGTTTGTGCTAATTTAGGCTTGGTGAATCCGCAAGTAGCAGAATAAGAACCGACAACGCGTTGTTTATCGAGTCCAATCATGAAACGGGCAAGGCTGGTGATTTCAGGAGTGCGGGCCACGATTATAGCTCACCAAAATTCACATAGACGAAAGATGAGGCCGAATTTCATGCAATTTGTTGATCGCATACTAGAGATCTTTGAACCTCGACTGTAATGAGGTACAGCAAGAAAGTTTATTGCGGTGTTGGTGAGATGAAGGTTTGTCGGGATCATGCCGACGATGCCAAGCTGAACGCCTCAATTGCGACCCCGCAAATTCTCGAAAACATGCTCCAACTCTTCATCTTCCTTGTTACTCTAACGGGCCTCGGAGTTGATAGCCACAACGATAGATACCCTGCATATCGTGAGTCGAATTTCGGGGATGATCGATATCCAAAGTCGTCTGCCTGGCGCCGTGGTCGAAGATGTCTCACGACCTTCCAAGACGAAGCGTCAAAAGATAAGACTAGCATGTCAATCTTGTCGGGATCGGAAAACACGTTGTGACGGCGTTAAGCCACACTGTTCTCCCTGTATCAAAAGAGGTGTACCCACCAGGTGTGAATATGAAGCACCAACTTCTGTGTCGCGAAGGTGAGTGCTAAGCCAGCTTCTCGCCGGGAGACTTCAGCTGATTATCCCGAACTTAGATACATCTCGGAGTTGAAGGAGAGGATCGTACGGTTAGAGCAAGGAAACAACCATGGTCAGAATCTATCAACACGAATTAGAGCTTGGAGGTCACTGACTATGATTTCATCAATCTAGAAGCTCTTCCTCAGATTATGCAAGATGATAGTCCTTCGATTTCGGACTCAGTTCATTCAAACTTGCAAAGTGCTGTCCTGATGGAGGCAAACGATCCTGCCACTTTGCCAAGTTCCCATATGGTTTCGATAGGATCAACCGGAGTTGATGGTTTGGCAACTGTGGCTTGCCCCACTAACGATGACTGTGTCTATGGAGACTCATCTACCATTGCGTTTGTGCGTCGAGTAGGTCATGAAGGTCAAAGAAGCTCTACCAGCCAACAGCAGCATTCACCAATGGACACCATGCCGCAAAGAACTGAAGGTGCAGAGGTATATCCACTTCGACATGCTGCAGATGATTACCTTCATTGTTTCTGGGAATTCATCCACCCGGTATTTCCCATTCTTCACAGACCAAGCTTTATGCGCAGATTTGAAGCATTATGGTCAGAGTCTCAAGGTCCGAATGCTGGGTCAAAGCAGGACGAGTTTGATCACATCGTCTTCGTCTCGTCTTTGAATTTGGTATTCGCATTAGGTTGCCAATTCAGTGACCTCGTGCGAGAACCAAACCGAGCTCATGTCGCCGAGGAGTTCTACCAAAGAGCCAGGAAACTTTTCATTTATGATATCCTGGACTCAGCATCGATCACTCTTGTTCAAATGCTACTTCTGACATCAGTTTACCTCCAATCCACAAGTCATGCCAATCGATGTTGGAATGTTGTGGGACTCGCTGTCCGTGCAGCACAGAGTATAGGAATGGATTCTGAACCCCCATCTCGGACGCCACGGGATCCACTGACGCGAGAGCTGCGGAGGCGCTTATGGCATACCTGCGTTACTATGGACAGGTATGACGAGAGGCCCCTTTTGATGAAAGCTCAAGTAACCCTATGTTAACGGACAAGTTAGGCTGGTAGCAATGACGTTTGGTCGAGCAACTATAACCTCAGGCACAGAAAGCGTTCCGAAACCTCTAGTAATTGATGATGAATATCTAACTGAGCAGCATGAGGGCGTTCAGCCTTCTGAAGAAGTCCCCCGTCTCGGTTTATTTGTATGGTCTCTGAAACTGTACGACATTTTGCACGAGATCCTGGCAACACTGTACAATAAGCGTTCCGAAAGACCAGGACCCAGAGGTCGAGATGGAGAGAACTGGAACCTGTTGTCTGATATTCTCACACTCAATCAGCGACTTGATGAATTTCAGGCGCAATTACCTGAATATCTTCGACCTCAGACCCAGTCAATGTCTCCTCCAAATCTGCGCAAGGCAGACCACAAAAACCTCCAACGACATGTTTTACATTGCCGGTATGCGAAACCACCCACTGGCGACATGATTTGGAGCTAATCAAGTGCAGTTTTCTCTACACTCGTGTAATTCTTTTGCGACCGCTCCTTCTATTGGGAAACGATTTGGACTCGTTATCTACGCCTTCCGCTACAACTCCTCACCTGAAAAACATTATGTTCACATCAGCATGCTCCTTGTGTGTCCAGACTGGTCATCTACTGCTCGAAAAGTTGCGTGAGAACTTGGAGGGTCCTTATAGAGTCTCTGCGTGGCACAGTGTTTACCGTAAGTTTTAGCCAGACTCCGTCATGTACTACTACTGATCATCCTGTTAGTGGCCGTCGGTGCAGCTATCGTACTACTCAGTGCTCAGAAGTGTGCCAGTTTTAGGACTGAATCAGAGCAAGCAGCTCTTGGTAGATCATGGCAACGATGTCTTGCTGTCTTGGGCCATTACAAACAACGGATAAATGCTGCTCATCATGCTATCCGTGTCTTGGAATCTCTTAGGCACGAGATGATGTCAAGGTATTCTAAAGGCAATGATACTGGGAGAAGTAAGCACCAAGCTCTCTTCACGCTTCGATTTGAATCTGATCTTATACTAATCTCAATGGAGAAGGTGTCATGGAGCCTAGGATCGTGGGCAATGAACAGCTACAAGACAACGGCGGCAATGCCTCCAGCACTGAGAGAAACGCCTGGGGCGACTTTCCAGAGTATTACGCAATGGACACTCCTTGGAACGGCTTCGATTTCCCTGAGGAAGGAACGGCCTGGTTAAGTCAGCATCTGGTGGATCTGGACTGGATGGACCTGCCTTGGGTTCCACCAACCTGATCGATTATTGCGGTGTAGTCTGAGCCACAGTGGCTTCGAAGATTTCACCACTACTATTTTACGATCAAAGTCTATTGAAATCGTCGAAATTTCGACATCACCGAAGGCTGAGCGACTTCCATGGTCAAGAGCTATCAGCGCCCACAAGATAGGGGACTATTACTCAAACTCCTACCATTCATCTACTCAGCCACAGCCCTGCAGATATGGTCGATGATAGCCTCTAGGACTCTTGCTCCCCCTTGGTCAATTTGACCCCGACTCGCTACTCCAGAGCCTTCATGAGGCACGTCAACCATAGATGACTGACAGTCTGCGAGCCCTGCGCCGATTTGATACCACATTCGAAGCATTAGAAATGAGACTAAGAGCATACCAATCCTAGAAGATGATTATGAACTAATTAGGACCTTCTACGGTTCCGGAACTTAGACCAACAGCCCTCTGAATGTCCGTGCGCCCCTCCGAGAACCCAAAATGGAGGGCTCGTAGTCTAGAGTTCAAAATGCTTTGGCCAGCTCCGAAAATAGGTTTCAGCGGCAAGGAACAAGCCGCACGCTTCGCTATTCGTTGTTATCCCAGTAGCAACATACTGGGGAAAATCGTCAAAGGTAGCGCTGCACGGAAGGTGGTCCGTAGTTTTCAAGCACTTCAACGGCTTAATCAGTCGACTGCACTCAGACTTTACTCCGCAGCTGACTATCTCCTCTTTCTTGCTCGCTCTCACGCCGGCTCAGAAGGTCTTCAATATCTTTAAGCACAGTGCCTTGTTTGCCACCTTGATAGTCAACTTTTCGCATCCATTCTTCCAACGACTTGATCCTTCCTGGATAAATCTCATCCAGTAGCGCCATATCCCTTGTGGCACCTTTTCCACTACCCCAGAATTTCCACCACGCCGTGAAGTTCTCTCTCCATGTCATCGTTGCTTCATCGCGTGGATTGCCCGCCCAGTTCGCTGGGGCATTTGGATATGGCTCGCGCTTAGGGAGATATACCTCGAAGGAAATAACTCGATGAATAGCTGTACGTCCCGTCACTCGAGTGAAAGCGGATGTAATATCTGAGAAAGAGACTTGATCCGTGGCCATCTCCAGGTTGATCCCCGCTGAACGCTCGGGATGATCGAAAATCCACTTGACGAACACTCCAACATCGTCAAGTGCCATTAAGGGAATCTTTCCATCTTCTGCGTTCGAGTTTTCAGGATCAAGTGAAGAACCTCTGGAAAGCAGACTAACCTGAAGGATTTTCCCATACAATTGTACCATCTTCATGCACCTCCGATGGATGGAACATACCATCCAACAGCATATCCATATATGGTCCGACAGTGAAAAGGGTTGATTTCATGGACTGTTGACCTTGTGCAAGGATGAAATCTACCACCTTGGTCAACACTCCGAACACACGAGTCTCACCTTTCGGTCATACCTCCAATTCTTCCTTTGGCGTCATTGTGGCCCCAATGATATTGTTCATCCCAGCCCGCAATCCTCAATGCATAATCACAATTTGCCCAGACATAGTGTTGAACCTTTTCATGTCGGGCAATCTCATAGGCACGGAATCCGTAGAACAATTCTTTCATTTCCCCTAAAGTGAACCCATCAAGATTGACCCACGCTCCATAAACCCCGTGGAAGGCTTCGTGAAGCTTCTTCTGCTCATCTTGACTGCCCTGTAACAATGTCACGTTTGGCAGTGATGCGAGCTCTTGTGCTCTTTTTGATGAAGGGTCTCTGGTCAACACTCGGACAGAGTAAGTCGAGCTGGCAGAGAGAGCTACAGAGAGTTAGGGAATCATTTCAGACGGAATCGTGATTTGATCACCCTTGACGACAGGAATGCCCTGTGCCCCAGTACCCCCAATAACCAAGATTTCCTTTCTTGCAATCTGCGACATGATATCGTCTCTATCGAGTTATTCCAATGCGTAGAGAGGATGAAGTCGCACAGTCAAAGGAACAAAACCTGGTTCAGGGTTGTTGATGGGGTGAATCATGGTGACCATATACCTGCCTCCCCAAAACAAGAAGTTCAACCTCGATTGTCTTTCACTAATCATAATAACATGTGATTACTATTCACCGCTTGTCGTTGGCAACTAATCATAGAGCCATTGAGACTATTGTTCAGCTGAATCATGTAGATTCGCGGGTTCGTAACGAAGAAGAAGCAAAGCACACAAAAACTCCTAATGTCTCAAAATGTTTGTGAAACATATTGGCCAATACCCAATATATCAAAGCCTGTGAATTGCCACCAAGGAAGGAAATCAACCGGCCGGGTGCAAGCTTTCATTTCGATGATCCAATCAGAACTTGATGCATTGGTCTATGATGGATATTCTAGCACAGTCGCAAGCTTTTACATCCGCTCTGCCGACATGACTCGAATCAATACTCTCCAGGACGGTATTTCATGTGTCCTGAGTGGGTGAACTATTTCAGCAAGCCCGTCCATTGCATGGGTCTCCGTCGTTCGATCACCTATGATACCTCCATGACTAATTTACACCTCTGCTAGTAATCTGTACACTTGAATTTGGTACAGTCTCACAACCTGTGCCTACACAGTCGATCTGTGGGACATATCAACTATCCAATTGAGAACCTCGGCTTCTGATGTCCAATTAGGACAGTGATCGCCTTGGATTCTGGTCACATGGACCTTGTTCCCAGAAACTTTCTCCACGGTGTCGATACCCTCCTGTTGAAGTGAAGGCGGAAGAACTTGGTCGCGTTCACAGAACAGGTAAGACACAGGTATATTCTTGTACCCTGCGTAATTCAATTTGTCTTGATAAGCGTAAGTTGAAAAGTTTGCGAATTTCCTAATCAAGGCGGTTGGTTCTTCCCGAGGGATTCCTGGCATGCATCGAGTACCAATCTGTTCAGGATCAGGTTGCCTCAACCAGCCGTCCTCCTGATCACGATAGAAGTCAGCATACAAGAACCTATTGATGAAAATCAGAATGGACACTTACAAGCAGTTCCATAGGCATCCCTGATCCCTGCACCAGGGATCTGCTACAGACTTCGCCTCCTGACTCGTCATTCACCACACAGGACAAGTCCACTCAATGTCAAAATTGTTAGCCATAAATTTCATGCCTCAGCCCGATAAACAGTGTTTGAGGTTTTACCGAGACACGACGAGCTCAACAACTATGCCTACTGTTTTCGCTGTGGTGGTAGCGCGTCACTCGTGTTGATTCATTCTCCCCCATTGTTGGTTATTGAGGCGATATCGATCAGCATTATGATTCTGCTCATTCCTATCGATTCTGACTCATAGCATGAGGCGACGCTTTTGAATGTCCGCCCATTCCGTTGTACCAAGAGGTTCAAACTTGTCCCTCGCCGAACGCAGGTAGAAACTCTGTCCATCCCAGTTACTTTGAGAGGATCTACTCCTTCTTTCTCAGGGTAAACTTCTGTTGTTTATTAGTTCCGGTGACGATGACCTCAGTCACCACTCTCAGTAACATGGGGACCGCATACTTGGGAAGCTTTTGATGAGCCAATGTTGCGATACTCTGAAGAGTAGCTTCTGGCACCGGCGTATCCGGACTCGATATGTCCCGCAGCAACAGTGCAGCAAATCCTGCACGGCCCTCGTGAGGGGTAGTTCAACGCCATAGACATTGGGTTCAAGGATAGCTAGATGGGTACACAGTGCCTCGGCAACCTCGTTTGTGGAGACGTTCTCACTTTGCCGGCGAAATGTGTCACCAATCCGATCAGAGAACCAAAGTGTCCCGTTGTCGTCCAGACGAAGGACATCACCAGTACGAAACCACGCGTCGCCAGGGCGAAATACATCTCGCCAGACCTTTGCATTACTCGCCTTGGAGTTGCCCCAATAACCTGAATATGTTGCAATAATGTCATTTGCGTTGACTGCACAGAGAAGCTCACCTGGTTCCTCAGGGGTGACCCGGGTACAGAACCCAGTAATTGGATCCTTGCGAGGCTCTTCGGTTTCCCAATCCAGCTCAACGATCGCCTGAGTTGTCACCACCGACAATCTACCCAGTAGCCCAACATCGCCAATTGCACCACTACTATAAGTATTGCGATTCAGGTTCAGGCTGTCACATCGTACGTTTCTCGGAAGGTCCACGTCCGTTCCTCAAACACGATGAAGATCTGGACCTGGATTTGGTGATGGTTGGCGTATTCTTCCAGCAGACAAAAGGAGTTCATCATACCAGTTTTCTCTCTTGTACTCAAGGTCCCCGCTGCAGAGAGCCTGCTTCTCATTACGTGTAAATCAACAGGAATGCTCCATCGAGCATTCAGATACGCTAGACCTGCTATCATAGCGGCCGAAGTCGCTAGGGCCGAGCCAACTGTAGAGGACCTTGGTCAGTCAATGACTTTACCTTGGAACATTGTCATGGTGGAATAATACTTAACCGAAAATTTACTTACCCATAGTCATTCCTGTTCTTCACTTCTTTGGCACAGTTGTAGTCTCGCAACAGGATCGAATTGAAGGTGATATCATAGATGTTCAGAGCATCGTTTCGTATATGTTTGTGACTTCCTGAGTGGGTCAAGATCGGAACTCCACGGCCCACGGCTATCACATTGAGTCAAGTATACTTTGCTCTTCCCGTTCGGCTTTCCATATTTCCTCCCCTTGGAAGAACAGTTCTCAACTCGCATGGGATCATGCCACAAGCCTCGGTGATATCTGAAGACCGCCCAGGACTTACCATCGAGAGGAGAGTAATACGTGATCCCGTGCACATTCCCAGCCGACGGCTTGAATGTTGGGCTATTGGCAAACGAGATCTCATCGTTGGCCTTCAAAACGTCCACGCCTATCAATCAAACCAACTGAAATTGCATCACCATTTTCCTCTCGTAGACCTCAGTCCCATCCGAAAATAGTAACCATCTTCAGGGTAAAAGGACCATGTCTTCTTATGAAGCCATAGCGCTTGCGCTTACGAGTAGAAGCACTCGACTTGCATGGCGTGCTCTGAACACACTTTATTAGGCCCTTTCTGAGAATAACACTCCGTGGCTAGGAAAAGGTTGTTGTTCTGACTGGTGGTGAGTTATCCATCTCAACTTAAAAGCCTGTCTTGTCAGTCAACTCATAGAAGCATGACCAGAGAGCATGCGCAGAAACTGTTTCGACTGTCTCCCTACTGATAGCAGTATCTGCGGCCAGGGCGGCTGGGAGGGAGTATGGGAATAATGGATCTCGATTGTCGGATGACCGTAGGATATAATAAACAAGACGGACGGTGTAGGGATCGGGTCACCCTGCAGCAAAGTTTACATAGCTGAGATCTACGTAGCACTTAAGAGTTTCCCTACGAGCAGGCATATTATCATTATTAATGTATATCAATTTGTATAAATCTAAAGATTCAGCTGTCATCTTCGCTTTCAAAGGACTGTTTCCCAGCGAGCCTGTTGTATAGCATGCTCTCCTGTAGCTTATCGACAAACGCCCCCAGAGGTATCGTGATGTCCTTTATATGTTCTAGGTTATTGCATTCATGAGAAACAAATGTATCAGAACTCCACTATGCTCTCTCACATCAAAGAAATCACAATTCTGCCATTACCAGCGCAAACTCACTCATATCTGGTGGTGGTTTGTCGATCTTCACCTTCAACTTTCTGTTGAAGAATGCGCCCCTGTTTCCGATTGCAATGTAACGGCTCAGCGCCCTTGTTCTTTGGACTTCATCATCACTGACCGCGACATCGTCCCTGGGAATCCATACGCTCGGCATAGGTTCTCGCAATACAGGATGTGTAAATGCAACACTGACCAACATGTCTCGTTCTTCCGTCGTGAGAGCTTCCAAGTCATCATTGTGCTGCATGATGATTTTACTGATTGGATCGTTCATCATCAACGCTATAATTTCGCGTTTGCGTGGGATCAAAGCGTTGCTGGCATATGCTTCAGCTCGTACGAGTCCCGACTCGAGTTGAGCAAGCCTAGCTTCGTCGAGAGGTCGGTTCAACCGGGCTAGGATCCGCTTTGCTTGATGCTTGTCATGCTCCTTTTGCTCTTCCATAAGTGTTCCACGCCGGGACCTCTGTTCTGCCGTCAATGATCTTGATGACGTGCGTCGCACTTCATCCAAGAAAGGGGGCTTTGGAAACTTTTCAACCTTCTCAACTTCACCAGTCTGTTCGGGACGACTATCACTTTTCCCCGCAATTTCGGAGTCTCTCTCTTTGGCTGCTACGGTCTCGTCGCTCATCGGGCGATCTTCGTCCACGTCCGATGCTCTGATCGGTGTCTGAGGCTCGTTGGACTGTAAAAGCGTCTCGCTGGTTAGTTGTAGAGGAGCGAACCTGAAAAGTCCGTTGAAGTGGAGTGTCAACCAGATTTGATACATGATCGTTAGGACGAACACAATGGCCATGATGATGCCTTGAGCCTCACATGCAACATTGTTTTTTGCGTCACGGACAAGGAAGAATAAGCCGATCAAGCAAACTTCCATGAAGTATAACCCTGTGAAGGTCTGGTTGATTGCACTTGGAAACCATACTCCACCACTGTCGACGTCTCCTGTCCGAATGACATACAGGATATTGTTTTTGATGACGAGATAGAAGAGGCTGAATGTAATCAACATGAAAACCAGCATGAGTGGGGCGATAACGGAGTAAACCATTCCAATGACAGCGAATGTTGTGTACCAAGGTATGTTTGATCCGATTCGAGTTCTCCATGTAAAGCTCAACTTTCCAAAAACATCGTCAGGAGTGTTGACCGATGCGAAGACATAGAAGTTCAGCAGGCGAATCGTCTGTAGAATTGAGCTTGAACTTATTGACAAGGCTTGAAGGACCAGGAATGAGAAGTAGTAGTTAGCTGCCGTTGGCAAATTCGTGGCCAGAATTTCAGGAACCGATGCCGTGTTATGTATCAGTTCTTGCACAATACTAGTGAGCCCAGAAGAGATGGTTGGTATGATGAAAACCTCGAAGAGCAAAAGAATGAAGTACCAAAGTTGGAGGGAGCGTTCGCCTCGAGAACCAGTTGTGGCGCCACGAGTACTGTTTGTCATCGCACGGAGAACAATCGGTGTTGGGCCACTCAAGAGGATAACGAGGATGACTGGAGGAAGAGTACCTTGTATGAAAGACAAGAGCCAGCGAGGTAGCGTACCGATCCATCGTAGCCATGAAGTTGAGTCGGCCAATGTCGAAATTCTCGAAAGCAGTCCGGTGAAGAACGATATCAGACCAAAAACAAACAGGAGCACCAGGAATAACAAGACAAAAATGACAAGTCGGACAGCTCGATTCTGCCTAGTATGGTTCAGGGTGGACCAGTTGATATCCGCTGGTGACATCTCAACATTTCGTTGTGCCATTCGTCCTGGTGCTGTAGCAGCGACTGCTTGGCATGCCATATGTGCCGCTTTCTGATCGTTGAATTGGATGAAAGCCGATCCGTTCTGTGGGCAGCTATCTGCTTCCTCTATATCCATCTCAATCTCTCGGTTAAGGCGTGCAAGTTCCCGCCGACAGAAGTAAATGGTATCCACCTTGAGTGAGAAGAAGCGACCAATGAGAGGAATTTTGCATATTATGGGATGATCAGGTCGAGGTATTCGCATAGTAGGTCGCTGCTTAGGGGTAATGAACTTAGTCCACAGGGCCTTTGTACTCAGGTCATGTTGAAGATCATTCTCGCAATCCGCTTGAGTTGTAATCTCAATTACTCCTTCAGCAGAATGAGGCTCCCGGTCAGGATGGCATGCAGTTTCAGAGCCTTCTTTAGGTTCTGACATCTCATTCGAATCCCCACCACCGGCCTCTTTTCCTGTCTTCCGATGCTTTTTGATCACTTTACGAATGAGATTTGTTTCGGCATTCTCCAGTCGATGCTCGTAGTTCCTCCGCATCTGGTCCTTATTGGCAAGTGACTCAAAATTTCGATTGAGCCATATTCTTCGTACACCCCCAGGAAAATCGTCGTAAAGCTTCATCAAAGCTTCTGTTGTGCACAGACTACTGGGTATGTCCATGATCAGAACAGTGGTGCTCGAAGCCTTTAAGCGATGACGTCGACTGCTAAGATAATCCTGACGCTTGGCGACATAGTGCAGGAGTTCGTGATGAAACAAGAAACACACCCAGGCGATGCCACCGACGGCCAGGACCAAATGCGCCCAATAACGATCGGTGTGTTGAGGTGAAACGTTGGACCAGGCAAGTGTATCCAGGCCGGTGACATTATAGCGCGTATCTCCGATTGTATTCGTGCCTTTACCATTCGAATAATTGATTGGAATTAAGATGGGAAGGATGATGAGAGCCATGGGACAAAACATCTTCAAGCACATGCCCAAGTACCGGACGAAGAAGTAAGCATCCATTCCTGCTTTGCGTAAGACTTTGTCGTTTGAGGTCTTTAACAACAGCCAGAGCCATCTGAATGGATTATTGGGTGGCGGTTTCACCCTGTCTCTGGACGGGATCAAGAAAGATCTTGGCTGATAGATTCGTTTTGCCCATAGGTAGTTTCGTACAATTAGAAATGCCCCGAATTGCACAGCGAAAAGAACAAAGCCAGCCGCAACTGAGATGACCAGGGTCTGGACTGTTGTTCCCTCCCTACCCTGTGCTGTGCCTGCAGCACCATTGATGATATCACCGAATGTATCAGACATGGTCGTGTGGCGTGGGAAAGGTGACACTGTGAGATTCGCTCAGGAGAGCTCCTTGCAGAGTCTATCACGTGTGGTGCGAGTTCTCATGTTGATCAACGTCGTATGAGACAACCGCTTACCAGGACCTTTCGATATGCGGGTAACGGGATAAGTTGTGGTCGATAATGGATGATTGACGATGGATGATCTAAAAGTTGCAAGACTGCTCGTGATCTCAACTTGATCTCCCTGGGCACGCTAGTGATGATCGCTTAAATTAACGACGTCATTGCCGTAAACACTGCCACTCCCGTGCCAAGCAACAAAACCTTAAAACTCAGCTCAGGGGGATTCTCTCACGTGCTTCCAATGTTTAACAAACAACATCAATCCTCTCCTGCTTCACTCTTCTCGATGCTTCTGAGGTAACGTTTCCTGCCTGAAATCTGTGAGACTGCTGTCTCAGACGCACCTCGTTAGTCAGTGGCTTGAGGATGCTTGGCCAGCATCAGTCTCCAGACAGTGGCGGTTGGTTTTGTCACAGGAGATGAGGGATCTCGAACTAAGTACTGTTTTTAAGACGGCTCTGGTCTTAAGGATATGACAAAGAAACGTTCAAAATGTCACTGTTTTGACGAAGAGTCGAAAAATCCTTTGGATAATGGCGCCCAAAGTCTTCGACTTGTCCCTTGTCGACGAGAGCCTTGGAACAATCGGGTCACCGCTTGTCCGTATGACATGTCGGATGTAAGTTGTCGTTCACCTTGGCAGTGTGACTTTCGACGGCTTTCTCCAATACTGTTCAATGGTTGGATTTGCATCTCAGAAGGAGATGGCAAGCTATGACTCACCTTTAATATCAACTTCTGGCTAGTTGGTAGGCGGAGAAACTACAGACTAGGAATACCCAGGTTGAGGGCATGCAGAATGAGCATATCTAGGCCGGCGACTGCTTCGTGGGTAGTAGTGGTGGATCTCAACCACTCGTCATATTCACTCGTCGTGTCAGTGTTGACGAGAACAGCTGTGCTCTGCACACAGGGCTAAGTAACGTATTAGCTGTGTAGTTCGAAATCGACAAGTAGCCAATTTTCTCTCATGGCGAAAGAAACCGGACGGGACAAAGACCAGAAAGGAAAGGGATGGGTGACTGAATGAGTGAGAGAAGAACTGCACGGGATCTCAACAATAGTGAGCCGAGGAAATGTCTCCAACAAGTTTGGGACAGTGCAAGCAGCATACTTATCATTTACTCCTCAAGAAAGAGCAGCCAACTAGGAGGTTTATCTTCTGGTCCAATTGAAGTTGCTTAAGGAATTCGAGAGCACCGAGTAGCGCCTGCCCTTCTTATTGCGATCTTGAGCCATGTTCGACCTTCGTATAATGGCCGGTGTATTGAATTGTTCTGGTAATCACTGGCAAGGTATTGAAACCACAATTTGGTGACATGCGCGAGGGACAAGTGGGTTTATAACCCTATCCGATATCACGTCGTTTGTCATCACCAATTTTTAGACCTTGTCCTCGATGCCACCAATCCCCAAGACCATGCCGGATTTCTCTTTCTGCGTTTCGACCAGATCTACATTGTCTGCGATCAGCGATGTCTGGTATGACTTGAGCGTTCTGCAGGTAGACGAGCATTGAACATCTTGTCCAGCTCTGCCATTGACCTGTCTTTGCTCTCACGCCAGCAGAACCACGTCACAACAAAGCCAACAGCTATTGAGAAGGCACAGGTGATGTAGGTCTTCAGCCCTGGGTTTGTAGCATCCTTCTTGGCAATATAAGGAAGGACGTAAGTGACAGTGCGGCCGAGATGTTAAATCTCCAGCATACTGGCGGTGGTCAACTCTATTGTGATCATGGCTACGTGAACCGAGCCTGTCTGCAGCGCAGTACCAAGAAGGCAGATGGCACAACCAACCTAAACGGTCTCTTTGCGACCCCACTTGTTAGCTAGATAGTGACAAGCCCATGTTCCAGGAATGCTGCCAACGACTCCGATTGCAGTAACAAACGAGATTTGGCTCACAGTCAGACTCTTCGTGCCATCAGGAAGCTCGGTGCTGATTCTGGCACCAACCGTGTGCGGCACTGACCATCCGATAGTCTTTCACGCAGCAGGTCCGAATGGATTTGGTGCGCAATTGTTTCTCCTGCCAAACGACGGTGTTGGTGTGGTCACCCTGGGCAATACAGCGATGTCAAGTAACATTGTGGGAGAAAATATCTGTTTGGATTTGATCGGCAAAAATTGGGCCTGCACGGGACAGATAGAACCAAATTGATCGAGTCAATACGAGCCACAATGCCATCGGACGCGGTGCCCGGAATGGCACCAAAGGCTGGGCCAGGGGAGACAGTAGACTCTGCTCTTGCTCTTGGAGAAGATGCGGAGAAAGTACTGCAATCCCTGGTCGGCGAGGACGACCACTCTGCTTTCGGTCGCTTTCGGGTTTCAATCTATGACAGCCGGAATTCGCCAATCTTGTACTTGTACTTGCCGTGGGTGTTGCATTCGGATCGCATAGAACGTGACAAGCGAAGAAGTCAGCACACATACCTGAGTGCCGAACCCCTAAGGCCTCAGACCTGGAACTATAAACTCCTCCTTCATCCCTGCCTGATATTGACAAATGCATGAGGAATATAGCCAGTGGCCGTGAGAACTGCGACATCATATTCTCTGACCTGTAGAACTTAAAGGGGCATGGAAACACCGAGGACGATGCTCTCCTCGGTCTACCGAGGGGCAATGAGAATCCCGGCAAAGGGCCGATCCTGCGTGATGGGATTGTCTGGCATAGCAACAGCTGGAGTCAGCATGGTGCTGCTGTCAAGTTCGCCTCTGCAGTCTGCCAATTGGAAGAAAACAAGGCCGTTTCATGTACACTAGGTATGGGACTCCTCTGGGAATTGACAGGTCAGGACGGAAATGAAGGTGAATGTTGGGGGCAGGAGATGATCTGATTTCATCCCATCGTCGTGGGCAATAGGCCGGTGACAGAATAGGATAGATCACGTGTATCTCGACTAGAGCGGACCGTGTGAGAGTCACCGCATCCCCAACAGCTCATAAAAAGTTGATATGTAGTGACACCAAAAACACATTTTGTATGTTCACAAGCATTGTTGCGCAAGTTGATAACTGTTGGCGTTTGATGTTTGATGCTTCCTTTCTTGGCAAGCGTGACGCCGCCGAACACTAGACCTATTTAGGGACTACCTCCAGCCTTGTTTCCAGTTCGGAATCACAAACATCTTCCACTTCACTCACTTCACTTCACTTCACTTCACTTCACTTCACTTCACTTCACTTCACTTCACTTCACTTCACTTCACTTGTACGGACCCTGATACTGACATGTCACATATATAGGCGCCAAGGCACCTAGATACTCACGTTGATGGTGATATATATATATGTCACTAACCGCGGCATACTTTCCCAAGCAGCGGCGGTGCTTGCGCACAACGCTCCTGCACCGTTCCAATGGAGATTCTACATCCTTCCAGTCGTCAACACTTGTTCCGTACCAACAAATCGACGTTGCCAACATTCAGCAATTAGACCTCACTTTACGACATTGCGCGATTGGGTTGCGCGTGACAACTATCTCAGGCTCATTGTGTCAGACCTGCCACCAGATTCATAGCTGATTTTCCTGAAATGCCGTCCCTCAAACAGGATTGCTCGATCGACAGCGCATCAACTGCGAAAGACGACTCGTCTGTTGCTGGCACCGATCTTCAACAAGGGTCACACAACTCGTCACACTCATGGGCTGGTTGGGCAGAGCTGGAAAATGATCCGCTCATTTTTGGAACTTTGCTTCTGGAGTGGGGTGTCAGCAACATCCAGGTCAATGAAGTTGTTCCATTGGAGAGTGTTTTTGATCATCCATCGTGAGTACCCATCCCTAAAATTCTTCATAGCTTATTGACCATCTCGTAGTAATCAAACCTATGGACTTGTCTTCCTTTCTCCCTGGGCCGCCCCATTGTCGGATAACAGCATCAAAAAGGCTCCAAAGGGTGTTTGGTTCGCGAATCAGGTATTTACAGCATGAAAATCCTCTCCGTGCATCTCTCACTATTGGTCAGACGTCTTCTTTCTCCTGTGCCACTGTGGCACTCATGAACATCATCAATAACCAAGATACTCTCGATCTGGGTGAAAAGCTGAACGCGTTTCGAGCCAAAACGGCTGATATGAGTCCGGTCGACCGTGGTTTTGCCTTGGACCACTTCGACCATGCTCGCGATGTCCATAACTCTTTCTCGACCAAATTCGATCAAATGGTCGTCGATGTGCGTCTGAAGCAGGACGCCGTTGCCCACGAGAAGCAAAAGAAGAAGGCTGCCGCAACGGCAAATTCTAAACGACCGCGCAAGAAGGCCAAGATTGAAGAAGAATATGAGGACGATGAAGACGACGCTGGCTTTCACTTTGTAGCCTACGTCCCTGTCGGTGGTTCTGTCTGGCGAATGGATGGCATGGAGCCACTCCCACGAAAGGTTGGAGAAGTGTCTGATGGGGTTGATTGGATCATGATGGTCTTGCCCGAACTCCAAGCCACATGGGAGTCGGCAAGTAACACTTCAATGGAGTTTTCTCTGTTGTCCTTGACTGTCCGGACTGAATCATCGACTATGAAGGCAGATGAGGAAAAGATGGCACGGGTTCGAGAAGATTGGGGTCCATTCATCGCCCACATGGTGAAGCTTCATGCAGAGAAGGGCGACCTCAAGCAAAAGACAGCATAGTCCCAAGATCAGAACATTCTTCTTGTACCAGCATGAACCTCCTTCTTTCTGCTTTCCCATCGGAACGGCGTTGCCGACAAGGCTGAGATTATCCGTGGGGTAATTATCCGAAATCGGTGACGTTATGTATTTCTCCGAAGATTAACCCCCACCTCTGTTTATTTTTTGTCCATCATCATTCACCCATTCACGAACATCATCACCGTCCATCTCACTCTTCCAATATTATAAACCCTTGCGCATCTTGTACAATCTAATATTCCACAGATTTTCATTCCTCCACAATGGACAAAACGTTTGAATCACTACCCGACGAGGTGATCCGCATGATCTTGGCACACCTATCACCCTTGTCAACCATTTCTCTCCAGCAGACATGTAAGCGATTTCTCGCCATCGGCCATGAACCGTTATTGTGGAAAGGCTACTGTCAAGGCGCATTCAGATGGTGGAGTCAAGAATGGAAGTACGCGGAGTCACAGGAAGATCCGTCATTGGTTGATTGGAGGGGAGCCTTCGCCGTTCGCCATGCTCAGTCCTGTCTGGTCACAAAGTCTCTTGATAAGATTATAGCCGACGAGACTGGCCGACTTGATGGAATTCAAGAAATTGTGGAGATCGGATATCACGCCAAAAATGCTCTGATGGATTTGTATCGAAACTCCCCATCTTCCCCGAATCATCTAGCCCAGAGGTAAGCTCTTCAGTCGCCACCGATGGAAACGACTTGGCTGACCTTGCCCAGATATTGGAGTCATGCTGCACTGGGTTGCCTGCATCGTCTCGTTGCTGTGGAAGAATGGCTCGCCATCAAGAACGAGAGGAGGCACAGCAGACCCGAACGACCAGTTTCATACGAGAGGCCCCTCGCGGCACTTGACCTGTTTATTCTGGAGCAAAACATGGAAGGCGATATTGACGATGTAAGTGATCTGAATATTTTGTCCCTGATTGCAGAATTTAATGTTCTCTTGAAGGTGTTTGCTCGCTTGGATGTATACGTTGACTCAGTACGACACGATCACCCGACCATCGATGACATGACTCCACGACAAAAAGCTGTTATCGTCGCCGATCATCTGCTCGAGAAGAAATGGGTGGGCATCCATGGTGATCGCCACTATCACAGTCTAGATCACATGTTCCTGGGAGTATCGCTGTTCAGCTCAAACAGAAATTCGGTCCCATTGATCTCATGTATCATCTTCTGCTACGTTGCACGCGCGTTCGGCCTTCGCGCCGCTCCATGCAGTTATCCTCTACACGTACATGCTCTTATTCAACCACCATCAGGCATCGACCTAGACGGCCACTCAATCACCGAAACCGAAGCGCAGGAGCCATCAAGCCAGACACATCTATATATGGACCCATTCAACAATTCCGACCCAATCTCTCGAGCTTCACTAGAGAGCCGTATCCGGTTTATTGGACCAACAACCACGGCATCACAGACCGAGGTCTACCTCTCGGCGTCATCACCCCGTGACCTGACAATCCGTACAGCGCACAATATCCTGGCCTCGCCATCCCACTATGCCGGCCCACCTCTCTACCCCATCAACCCCAACCTCGCAACATATGCCGCTCTCTTCTCTCTCGTCCTCCTCCCAACCCCAGCCACCACACACCCCGCCCAACTCCGACAACATCTCGCCGTCCTCACACAACAATTCCTTGAATTCTTCGACCTAGACGTCCACCTCTTCGAGACCCGCATTCTCCCCATGACGAATTCCCTACCCGACGCCCGCGCATACAGGAACCTGATCCACTCACTGCGGGAAAGCGACCGCGAAACACGCATCCCAAAGTACCGCACAACAGACCCACGCAACCAAGACGTCCAGTATCGCGTAGGCCAGGTCTTCCGCCACCGACGCCGCCAGTATCTCGCGATCATCTACGGGTGGGACCCATACTGCAAGATGCAGGAGCAGTGGATCAACATGAACCAGGTGGACACGCTGCCGAACGGGCGTCATCAACCATTCTATAATGTTCTGGTTGAGGACGAGTCGACGCGATATGTCGCCGAGGAGAATGTGGTGCTGTTGCAGCCGGGAGAGATTTCGAAGGAGGATCTGATCGCCGCATTTCCCATTGAGATTGGGAAGTGGTTCAAGGCCTATGATGAGCTATCTGGGACTTTTGTGAGTAACGTCAGACAGGAATATCCAGAGGATTGAACGGCGGAGAAATGAATCATGTTGGTTGGCTTTAGTGCATGCATTACGTGCAACTGGATTTCGTCCGTACGCGAGCCCGCCCGTACATGAGCATGAGACGACATCATGCAGTGCAACATGTTGGATTTCCGCGGGCTGACGCCATGGATGGGAAAAGCAAAGAAAAGTAAATAATGGGACGATCAGTGCAGACAAACATCTACCCGCTTGCGATGCACAGCAATTTCCCCTTCCTGGCATATGACAAGGCCATGCCCGGTCGCACTATTGGGTCCGGTCGAAGCTGCTACAGGACTCAATTGAGACTGGCCAGACTTGCAGACAAAGGATGGAGCTCTTTCTCGCCGAGTAATTTTAGAACAATATATTGTACTGTCATTGATTAAAAGGCCCAGTATTCCCATTTAGTCATTAGATGCTCCCGTAAAATTCGGATGATGATGACTACAGATTCCTTTGTTGCTCAGCGTCATTCTCGTGGTTCATTCTCATCTCCAGCCTGAATGTGGAGTGCGGGTCTGATTGAAATCTCCACCATGTCAAGCCCTGAGTAGGCTCCGAGTGCTCATTTGCCGTTCGAACCGAGAAACCACGCTGTCACTCCTCAGGCGAATAGATGTTTTGTATTTGTTTCAATAGAAATCTCGTATTTGTCTCATAGTCTCATTGCACGTCCCCTTCATCCACAGCATGAATGAACAGTAGAAAGGCATACAAGTCATCCTAATCCAACGGTGGTTGCCTCATTGGGCATCGTTCGAGCGTCTCTCAAATCAATCAATGCTTGAGCGGCTTTCTTGGTGCGTTCGTTCTCTAATCCCAGAACGCGTTCGTAGCCTGCATGTGCCTCGACATATGCCCGTTCGGCTTCATCCCATACTTCGCCTGACTGGCAGATGCGTCCAAGTTCGTAGAGACAAGCCAGAAGCCACTGGGTCTTAGGCGCCTCATTCTGGCGGTGAACGTGTATTGCTCGCCCCACCGCATCTTTCGCCTCGGTCAGACGCCCTTGATCATGGTAGCATCGGCCCAAGTCAAGTAGGCACCACAGAGCCTCTGGTCCCTCGTCCACACCGTTGCTGGAAGCTATTTTCAAGGACCGTCGAAACGCGGCTTCTGCCTCGTCGAAAAATTTCTGCCTCGTGTGAACTTTCCCACGGGCCCTGAAGCACACCGAGATAGCGCTGGGCTCCGATCCAGAATCATCTTGGAGTGAGGCTATGATATGGTCCAAGCTAGTCTTCGCTTCATCTAACCTGTCCTGGTCGACACAGATCTCGGCCGGTGAGATTTTCCAGCTGATCAACGTCACATCATCCTTGCCGAGAGTGATTTCAGATGTTGTCACACAGCTTCGAAGAATCTGTTCAGCCTGGTCTAATCTGCCCTGGAGATAATACAGTTCCCCCAGCTGAGATATGAAAAACGCCACAATTGGACTATCTTCATCGAATACGTCTCCTGGTCGCACCGCAGAGTAGCTGATTAATCTCTCCGCTTCAGCTAGGTCGCCTTCCGCAGCATAGTTCCAACCTAGCATAAGGTAGGCATAGTCCATCTGAAAGTTCTTCGTGCCCAAGTGTAGAACGGCGTCGTCTCTGGCTTGTAGCAAGAGACCCCTTGCGAGTTTGAGCTTGCCAACCCTAGTGTACAGCCGCCCAAGATATAGATCAATATTGATGGCATTCGTTCTTGTAAGATGAGCATCGCCACTATCTCCTATGACCTCATGCAAAAGAGACTCAGTGATTGTTTTCAATCGAGAATATAGTTTCTCGGCTTTCCGAATATCGCTATTGTCGTCATACGTATTCGCCAATGACCACATAACCTCCATTGTAGTGGAATGAGATGGACCCAATCTCTCTTCTGTTCTTTCAAGCACATCTTCGAGAAGTCTCAGCGACTCCTTTAATCTGCCCATGTGTCGATAAAGTTGCCCAATAGCGCACTCGGCCATTATTAGGTTTTCACTGTTTGGCCCGTGAGCTCTTAGATATCCTGCGATGGCTCTCTGATGGAATTCAAGGGAAGATCCATAATTATAGCACCAAAAGCACAAACGACCCAGGTTTGATAGCCCTTCCAGCGTCGGAATGGATACATCAGTGATATATTTCATAGCAGTAAAAATAGGGTGCTGGAGTCGTCGGGCATGTGGCAAAAGTCTCCTACTCACAGCCTCTCCTTCGTGACTATCTCCCCAAGCCATAAGGTGGCTGATAGTCACTATGACATCGATAAGAGTTGAAGAATCTATCGACTCATTCAGCTCACCGAGTGTCCAATCGTGCAGACACGTGTGCATACTGTAACCCTTTTCACTTGATTCAACCAAGCAATAATCTGCCAGTCTTGCCATGCATTGATCGAACTTTTGACGCGATGAGATCGCTTGTTGAAGCAGATTACGGCCTTGCTGGTGGCCTGTCCTTTCACCGACATGTTTCCTCGGTGTGGACACGACATCTTCCTTCCACGACTTTGTCTTCTCTGAGAAACGAAATCCAATTTTTTCAAAAAGTCAATCACGCCTCCTGGGCGGCTTGGCCGTTGTTGCAACCGGGACGTTCGAAAATTGATCAGGCTTGTGCTGGTCAGAATCTCTTGATGAGCAACAGCCTCAATCTATTCATACCAGATGTCCCTATTATCAAAATATGCCAAAAATCGAAGTAGTTCCGCAGCACACGGGTCTTTCGCGTGCAAGTGTGCAAAAGAGATATTCCATGTCGTGAAGAGTTTTCGCTCGTGGTAGTCCTCTAACTCAACTGAAGCCTTGAGTTCCTCCCATCTCTTTTTATAGACGTCCAGATAGCCGCCGCATGTTTGATCGGTTTGGCTCAGGTATGCACCGGCAGTAGCAAGGCCAAGTGGCAATCCTTCTAAACGATCGGCGAGCTTCCACGCGTCAATGTCTACTCATGTCAGCCAGTAGTCAGCGAAAAGTGATTCAACATACCGTGTCTGATGTCTCGGCCAGATCTGGTAGACAAAATGTCAAAACATTGTTCAGGGTCTGTCAGTATCCGCAACTTAAGTTGCTTCGAAAACATTAACCTTTTGGTGCGTGTAGTGATTAAGATGTTGCCATGAGCTCTATGAGGAAAGTATTCTCGTATGTCGAATGCTGCGGGATCGGCCCTGGTGGCATCTGTAGTCTGCGGGAAATGGTCGTAGTTATCAAATATGAGCAACCAGCGACCGTTCTCTTCCTCAGACAGCCATTGCCTAAAAAGATTGATTCCCCCATCCGCAGGAATCGAGGTTATCTGTGAACGCTTGCAGATCGCAGCGTGTGCTTTTGTCAGGCTCTGTTTCAGACTCGGTTCGTCTTTTGCGTTAAGCCAAAAGACAGCGGAGTAAATGTATGAGTGCCTTTTCGCGTACGCCAGGCTGAGCTGTGTTTTGCCTAAACCACCCATACCAACAATACTTACCACCTTCTGAGCCGGGGATGTGAGATTCGGGTCAAGCTAATCTTTGAGAAGATTTAATTCAACCAATCTCCCAATGAAATAGTCATCCTGAATTTGAGGAGCGGCACTGAGGATTAATCCTTCATTATAGCTCAGCCTGGGTCTGGAATTCGGGGCCGAGGCACCCAAAAGGTTGAGAGCAGAGAGCAATTGCGCAACTTTGTCATTTGCGTCACTCTGCTCAATTGTTTGAGCAAAAACAAGAAGTTGAATATTGCTGTGCACACGATTCACCATATTGGCCGTTTCCTTCTCCCGTGAAAGGCTCAAGAGTGCCTTGGCTGCTCGCTCCAGCGACGAGTTTTTGACCTCAGGTAAGACCACCTCCAGGATCTCATGAAGAGACTTGACATCATCCGAGACATTGTTAAGAACTGGAAGAAATGCTATTAGGTCTTCAGGGCTCGCTGCTGCATTCTCTATACGGATGCGAAACTTGTTCAGAACATGGATCAAGAGTGGCAGTTGATCCGCGACCGACTGAAATGATGCTAGCAAAGTGGAGGCTGTTTTGCTGTAGGAGTGGAGGCGCGAAACAATCTTTGTTGCGAAGTCAACAATGTTGACAATGGACGCGACGAGTCCAATCACCGCCGCGGCCTCTGCCATTGTAAGACGTACTTGACGTGATGACTGTTTTACGATCGGATAGGACTGGAGAGAAGAAAGAAAGAAAGAAGGAAAGACCAATGAGGCTGAGAATGGGCAACCACATGCGAAGGCAGCATAGCCTCTGGTCACGTGAAAGTGGTTCATCGCAAACCAACTAAGAGGCGGAGCAAGGTGGAAATGAATCGATGATAGATCTCCGTGGACCTTCAAAGGATAATTTAGACTGCACGAAAAGGGAAATCGGGCGCTATCTCCTATCTCGGTGTCGTCGATCACTCGCATCGCTGTCCCTCTCACGATCTCGATGACTGCGGCGGGAAGAACTTGAGTCATATCTCTCCTCATCTCGTGGGCGGTCCCTATGCCTGTCGCGATGTCGACTATCATGATCATCGTAATCGCGCCTCCGCCGTTCTTTTGATCGACTTCGATCACGTGTAGACCGTGAATGCTCGGAGCCACGATGATCTCTATCCTTCTTGGACGATCGAGAAAAGGAGTTCATGTCATTGCGGTAGTTGCTGTCACCATTCGCTGGACGACGGTCGCGGTCTCGGTCTCGGTCCGGATCGCGATCGCGATCCTTGTCCCGTGGATTGTTCTCTAGATTTCTGTCACGTCGTTTCCTCCAATCTTCTTCCTTGAGTTCTCCCTTGGAATCCGAGATTTTCTTCTGCAATTGATCTTCGGTAATTCTCTCGCCTGTGACCTTGTTTTCTCGCATTAATGGAGTAAAGAAACCCTCTCCTTTATTGTTCTTTCTCATATCGGCTTTACCCCATGCGCCCAATTCGACACCAGCGCCTGGAGCGGCCTTGGCTCCAATACCAAGAAAGCCTTCTTGCTTGCGTGCCTTGCGAGAATCGTCGGGTTTCGGATTGAAGTCGATGACCTCCCCATTTGCACGTCGCTTCTTTCCCATACCTCTCAACATGGCCATGCCAAATTCTTCCACAGGCATTGCGGCGTAGTCCTCCAGAGTACTCGAGTCCGGGCGAGACGCCACATCGTCTCTGAAGTCCTCCGTCTCGTCTCTTGCGGCGAGTCGACCATTGGCTTGTTGCGCTATGACGGCAGTTGATTTTAGTTTGTTGGATCCATCCTCAAGCAAGGCATTCAGCGCTTCTTCGTCTGCCGTCAGTTGTCGTGGAGGCTCTTGTTTTTCGTCTGATGGTGGGGGTTCAGAGAGTCCGTTTGTTTCTTCTTGAGTAGATGCTTCTGCAAATTGTAACCCGCTTGCCTTGCTCACTTCAACTCTCTCCACTCTGACGGAATGGTCATTCTGTTGTTGTGCTTGGACTTCGGCTGGGAGAAGATTCTTGCGTCCTCGTTTGCGCCAATCGCCATTGCCCACATTCTCTATAATGCGCACATCTGGCTCCTGTAAAGGTTTGCTTAGAATAGCACCACTGGATGAGAAGCCAGTGACTGACTCATGTCTGGGGTGTTCTTCTTCTTCATTGTCTGAATCGTCATGTAGGGCAGTTTTGGATGGCCGAACAGAACCCGCGGGACGTGACTGTTGGGGGATCGCCTTTTGTGCGGGTGTTGTGACTTTGGACTTGCCGAAGCCGAAAGATATTGGCTTTGACATTGCGAGTGAACGCAGGACAGAGAAATGATACTGTAGGCATCAACCGTCGAACACATGGAAAGTGTTCAAGTTTTTGGAATTGCGCTCTGACAGATAATGGGTGACCGTAGAAAAACAGATGGTCCATTTGGTCCCCCGCATTAGGCGGAGATCGACTGCAAGTGCCAGAAGTAGTGGAGTCGTGAAGGCAACTTCGGCCATTTGATCAACACAATAATGAGAGTCGGAATTCAAAAGTCGCGCTCACAACTTCACTTCTCACACTCTTCTGGACGGATCTTTTTATCTGCGCAAACAACTCAAACAACCCTACTTCTCTTATCTCACGTCTCTCAATCTCAAAAACTCCGTGTCCACGACATCACAAAGTCGCCTCCTTGTCCATGGTCGGTCCAACTCGGTGACCTGCCTGTCAGGACTCAACGCCCCTCTCACCGAACCTCCTCTAACACCATCCTCCCCCTCTACCACTCTACGACATGGCCAGCGTTGATCAGTCCCTTCTGGGGACCTTCCAGAAACACATAGAGGACATGCGCAGTCTCTCACTCTGCAAAATATGCATCAAGCCATTCTACGAACCTTTCATTCTCGGGTGCGGGCACACCTACTGCTATTCATGTTTAGCCAACTGGTTCGGTGGTGCACAGGGTAGGAGGAAGAATCGAAATTGCCCCGATTGTAGAGCTGTCGTCACCATCCAACCATCACCCAACTATCTTCTTCGCGACTTGGTCCACATGTTTATTGGTCGAGTCGAGTTATTACCCGAAGATGAAACATTCGAAGAACATCAGCAAGGAAAAGAAGAGGAAGCAGCCTTACTTGCAGCAGATCGGGCTGGACCTGGTTTGTTCAAAGGCGCCTTCGTGCGGCAATCACTTCTTCTCCGACTAGGTGGGGGTGGAGTCCTCGACCCGGAAGATAATGTCTATCGTTGTCCTGAGTGTCACTGGGAGTTGGAGGATGGAGAGTGCCTGCAGTGTGGTTTCCGTGAATATGAGGCCGGTGGAGAAAGCCTTTCAGATTCCAGCGATGACCTATCCGACGACCCCAGTCTCGCGACAATCCACACTGATTACGATTCGGAAGGCCACGAAATGTCTCATCTAGACGCGCACACGATGGCCGGGCTTCATGATGACAGATTCGCAGATCTAGCACCTCCCTATTGGGGTAATGAGAGTGATGAAGAAGATGACGACGATGACGAGGACATGGACGGTTTTCTGGACGACGAAGACGATGGGATTGACTCGGACGACGACCAAGCCAGCCAAGCCACATTGACTGATGCACATCACCACACATTTCATAATGCAAATCACCGTGCAGCCCATCACCGCCACCAGCACATTGAGGTGGATCTGCGCTCGCCCGATCACCATCGCACAGACGATACGGGCACACAAACTACTAACTATGACGAGCAGTCGGATGTTGCGACAAATTACGATGAACAAACCGAAGAGTCGGACCAAGAGGACGATATTCGACCGAGTCAGAGAGCCTCGAGGAGACCCACTCGAATCATCATCAGTGATGATGAAGACGATGGCGATGGAGAACACGATGGCGGACCCGACGGTGAACCTGAGTCTTCCAGCGACTCAGAAGAAACCAGCGGAGACCCGGACAGTAGTGATGGCTCAGACGAAGACGATTCTGATGATGGCGGAAACGGTGCTGCCCATGGTGGTCCTGAGGACATGGATCAACATTACAATACCGAGGATGGCGATTCATTTTCAGATAATTCCGATGGCACGGAAATACAACCACCACAATCCATAGCACGTCGGAGGCAACATCTGCAGAACCAACGGTCAAGAAGAGCAGACACGATGCGAACCAAGTCTGATTACCGGACCGATATGAGCAATGCTACCCTTGAGAGACTCGGCCATGCAGTATTCAGGAACTCGATGAGCCGAGATATCCGCAATGCACGTCGAGGACGTCGTGCTATCTGAAGTGGGAGCATGGGTACACCATTGATACGAATGACGGATGTACTTGATCCCAATCCATACGACATGGCCTTCAATGTCAAAGACTGGCTCCTCAAAAGGCTAGAGTTGATGGGAGCATCCGCTTCCAGAGACACTCCAGACCATTCAACATGTGAAAGCGTCAAATTCTTCATTTGGATCCTCAGAATTGGCTGCAAGATACTACTACGTGCTATCACCTTCAGCCAGATGAGAATTGAGGGACGGGAGAGCTTTACTCCAGATGCCAGTGACAAGTTACTGCATAGCATCACCCACCTAGGGAGTTCATAGATACCCACAATCGAACATGATATTGTAATCTTCGATTTCATTTGCTGACAGACGCAATGATTGAGGACATCTACTGCAAAGTTAATGTTGAATCAATGAACCGAGATCTTTTTACGCCGTCGCTATGCAATACTAGGTAGATAAATGGTCTCTAGTGGTGAAAGGTCGCGTCCAGCAGAGAAGGGCTTTTCACTCCACATCCCTAAATCCGAAGCCTTGTGTGCCTTCCATTTCCCTTTCCCATTTTCCTACCACATTGACCCCTCATGGTTTTTAATTCCAGGCCAAACCCCATCGAATGCGGTACTTCGAATACAGCCTCAGAGTATCTTAAGCAGCCATAACTTGTTTGCTGGTGTCATACTCGAGATCCACAATGCCGTCCTTCTTGACCACCTTGACCGTCATGCCCTTGAAATCAATGGGCAGACGACGCTGCAGCTCGTCCGTGCACATGCGCAGGATCTTCATGCCTTGCTCGAATGAGATGTCTGGGTGGTGGTGCTTGTCCAGGATCGACAGGCAGTAGTATCTGTTTAGTAACACCGTGATTAGCTTGTTGATTCTTTCCCGGATCATATGTGTGTAGTCGGCCACTCACTGAGCATAGCCATGAGCCGCATAGGGCACCTGCGCACTGCTAGCCAGATAATCTAACCAGTACAGACTGGGCTGCTTGGAAATGGGGTCGACGCCGCCCAACAAGAGATTGACGTTATAGGGCTTCCGGCTCCGCAACGACCGAGCCAGCTCGCCACGCACAAAGCTCGCCACCGCGCTGGGCCCCAGATCTGTCTCGTTGCGCATCGTGTACAGTGCGATGTTGGCTTGGATGTATTCGGCGAATTGGATGGTGTCGCCTGCTTCGCCGGAGAAGGCCATCAGGGTGTTTTTGTTCAGGGCGCGGGTCTTGTCGTCGGAGGTCTTGAGGATAGTGGCGCCGCGCATGGCTGCTTTCGAGGCCGCGATGATTGTGAAATCTCGCCCGGTGAGGCCGAGAAGGACTTCCCTGGATTGGTGAAGTCATGTTAGTTGAGTGCGAGATGTCGGGGAGGTTGTCCTGCTTGGTGGAAGACTTACATTGTGAGTTTGGTTTTGCTTCGAGGGGTGATCGGTTGATTATACGGAGAGGATTTGTTCAGGTAGTCAGCAGATCAGTAGTAGGAGGTGATCTGAAGTTGTGGAGGGTATGTTGAAGGCTGTGATGGTCTGGATAGATTGCTTGCTATTTGCACTGCTCAATCGCGGGAGGATTATTGGAGACGCGAACGCAATGTTGCCTATGAAAATCAACTCCGGAGCGAATGACGTTTGAACATGTCCAGCTTTCCTTCAGCCTTGCTGTCAGACAGAAAGGCATTATTTAATTGGCTGCCTTCCCTGCAGTTCAGCCTTGCCTACCCGCATCAAAAAAAAAATTGGCCGCAGGCAATAATTCCAGTGCATACATCCGGTGGACAACCCAGACTTCTCTCTCTTTTCTAAACATCTAGCTCCCCACTGAACCACTAGGACTTGAAATGTCGTCATTTTTTACTGTCCCGGCGTCTCAGCGAAAGCGAAAACGAGGTGAAGATATTGCAGGAAAGTCGAGGAAACGGCGGGGAGTGGAAAAGAATGATCGAGACGATGCCGCTACCACTGACGGTTCCGCCCGCCGCAAACCTTTGAGGCCTCGGGACAATGAACGAGATGATTCGATATCTGGCAGCGACTCCGAAGCTGAAGTTGAATTGGAATCTGGAGAAGAGTCGGAAGCCACCTCAGAAGAAGGCGAAAATACCGCAGACCGCAGAATTCGTCTTGCTCAGCGATACCTTGACAACATTAAACAAGAGGTGGATGAGGCAGGGTTTGATGCAGAAGACCTCGACAAAGATCTGATAGCGCAAAGATTGAAAGAAGACGTGGACGAGGCGAAAGGGAGACAATTTCGACTCATTGCAACGAATCTGGATTTCCCCAATGCCGCACATTCTATGTTCCGGGCAGATACTGACAGCACCACTGGCGTCGCAGTCTGTCAACCATACGCTTATACAGTGAGCCGAGATAAGACTCTCGTCAAGTGGGAGTTGATACACCCCGGCCGACCCTCAGATAAGAAGAATTCTACAGCACCACGGAGGAAAAAGCCAAAGCAATGTGCATACGTTCGAGGCATCAAGATCCGAGCATCAGCGACACAGCAGCACGGGCATACAGGAGAGATACTGTCAGTTGCGGCTTCCCCGGACGGCAGATTCGTCGCTACTGGAGGTGCAGACAAGAAACTGATTATATGGGCTGCCGAAGATTTACGGCCACTGAAGACATTCATGACCCACAGAGATGCGGTCACTGGATTGGCATTCGCCCCTACCTCATCCCAATCAGGATTCGGAGCACAGTTATTCAGTGCGAGCAAGGATCGCTCTCTCAAAACCTACAGTCTAGCCGGCGAAGACAGTCTCGCCTATGTTGAGACTCTCTTTGGTCATCAGGATCATATTGTCGGCGTCTCTGCAGTCTCGGTGGACCAATGTGTGACAGTCGGGGCACGGGACCGAAAAGCGTTATGGTGGAAAGTGGTTGACGAATCACTGACGAAATTCCTGGGCGACAGTTCAAGGAGCGAAACATATCAGACCGGCAGTCTAGATTGTGTCGCTGCCTTACCGCCCGCAAATTTTGTGACTGGCAGTGATTCTGGGGCTATCGTGCTGTGGAATGTTCACCGGAAGAAGGCCGTCTTCACGGTTCAGACGGCTCATGGGGTGGATGAGCCACCTCCTCTTGAGGAAGTTACGTCGGAGACGAGTCCGGACGTCATTGAGCGGCTGAAGAAGAACGATGGTCGACAGCCTATGCCACGAGCCATCACTGCATTAGCGGCAGTACCAGGAACTGATGTTATTCTGAGTGGCAGCTGGGACGGAAAAGTCCGTGTATGGAAGCTAAGCAACGATAAGCGATCACTGATATCTCTTGGCTCGATTGGAGAGGTTGAACATAGCGGAATGACAAATGGTCACGTCAATGGAACCTCCGACGATGTGGATGAGGCTTCCCACAGCACGAGCGTCGATGAGCCCAGCAATAGGGCGATCTATGGCTTCATCAATTCGATAGCTGTGTTCGAAAGGAGAAACGAGATTGTGAATGAGTTTGGAGGGAAGAAAGAGGGCGAATGTGAAGGCCTGTGTGTCGTGGTTGGGACCGGAAAACAGATGAGGTTGGGTAGGTGGATGAAATTGCCCAAGGCAAAAAATGGCGCGGTGGTGTTTGAAGTACCACTATTGAAGACCCAGCTGTAATGGCTGGACTACAGACAACGTCGTGTTGTCAATCAACATCATAATAATGGCCATTCCTCTTGTACACCTCTCCTTGTCAACCAAAAGTAAATCCTGAAACCACAGCCTTGTCCTTCCTGGAATCGTAGACAAGGCTACCTAGACACGTGATTGACAACTCTTGGCAACACGGTAGTGGCTAAAAACTTCTCTGGACGACCAGAGCTTCAAACTTCTTTTTTTTCTTCTCTTCATCAAAAAAGCAACAGAGCCAGCCACGACCGTCGTTTCGTCCTTTTCTACAGCGATGTGTTGCCATGGGTCCATTGGACTCAGTGGCTCTGGAGAGCAATTCTTTCCCTGTAGGAAGTTTCTTTCTCGTTGGGTCCTCTTCATTGAGGGCGATGGGCTTGAAATGTCGATTATTCTAGGAAACATTCCATCTACATGATCTCTTAAAGCTTCACCTCTCGGTCCGAAAATCCTTTGCAATGCCAATATACCAAGTTCAAAAAGTTCCATAAGGGAGGGTGCCGTTTCCGTCATGATGTCCTCTGTGCCGTCGACAAAAGCTCGTACCTCCATGATCTGGCCTACGATCACCGCATTGAATCAGTGTGATGCGCTTTAGATCAGGCTCTTCTCGACAAGAATTATCAATCTCGAATGGCATTCTTGGCCATCTTGTGGTGCGTGCTTGCATTCCTCTCTCAAAAGGAAGGGCGTGTTGTTATGCTGTGTTGAACATTCCTGAAGTCTCGTTATGTGGACCTGGAGTTGATGCACGGTGCTCAACTCGAATGGGTAAATATCATTCCCTGCTGCGAAGATCTTTATACTTCCTTTTCTACCCAGCTCGTCTTTTTGAGTCTCGTCCGTTCGTTTTGAGCTGTTCAATTGTGCTCTAGTCACTCATTTGAAGCCTTTGCTTTACCTTTCTTGTTTTCCATCTTCCCCTCCATATTAGGATTCATCCTCTCGACGCATCGACCAGGCACCGACATACCAACGAAAATTGAAGCCTTCGAAATGAAACACTCCTACTCCTCACAGTGGTTGCGCGTCGCAGCGCTGCTTGCTGTGACGGCTAATGCTCAAACAACCACCCAGGTCAATGATCCTCTTGATACGGGCGTCCTCACCGTCACCTATTCGGTCTGCCCAACTGTATTGACGACCACCACCACCTTGTCGAGCACTCTAACCTACTGCGGATCAACCCTTTGCGATGGGGGATCACCAACCATCACAGCACCACCCATGACTACCACTGCACCCAATGGCAACGTGGGTCCTGTTCTCGACTTCACCAGGGTTGGTCCTGATGGAAAGACCACTATCCTTCGACAGCAAACCTGGGTCTACGACCAACTCTGCTCGGATGGAAGCAGCCTTGAACCGGCTACTTACATCATCACTGAGACTTGTGGGTGCGGCACTCATCCTACTAAAACTGCCGTCCCGGATGGTTTCACTACCACAGTTGTTCAGTGCAATTGCGGAGTCAATGGTGGTACAAGTTCTGTTACTCTCACTACACCTTGCTCTACTGGGCCTTATGCCACTGTCACGCCCATTACCGGTGGTTCTAGTTCCGGTAGTGATTCAGGTTCAAGTTTTGGTTCTGGCTCAGGATCTGGAAGCGGATCTGGCTCGGGCTCTGGTTCTGGTACCGGTAGTGGAGAAGGCTCAGGATCTGGTTCAGGATCTGGCAGTGGCAGTGGTACCGGCTCTGGTTCAGGGGCAGGATCTGGTGAGGGTGCTGGAAGCGGTGCTGGCTCTGGTACCGGTGCTGGAAGTGGTCCTGGCAGTGGCACAGGCTCTGGATCTGGATCTGGATCTAGTTCCGACAGCAGTTCAAACTCCGGAGGATCAGCCCTAAATAACGGCACCATCTCACCACCCATCACACCAGCGAATCCAGCTGAGTATCGTGGCTCCGCAGACAGGATGTCCATGGCCTTATCGGCCATTTTCGCTGTTGTTGTTGGCTGTTTGGCATGGACATTGTGATTCAAGAACTAAGGAATGGTTATGATTAAGGTTTTCTTATAGTTGCGCATCAATTGGTTGGTTGGTTTTTGGGACATAAGAAACGTTGGGCATTTCTAGTATACTGACAGAAAGGGAAGACTCAACTGTGGTGTTGCTTGTTCGTTCGGCATTGTTAGGTAGCTTGATAGTTGTTGTTTGTGGTAGTGCATGGCAGTTTGGATTCTAGCAACTTTTCTATCAAATTCGCTTTACTGTTGTGTCTTCCTCGGAACAGATCTAGAGAGGCCAGATCGAGAATGACCTAAAATAGTCAACAAGAAGAGCCTCTCTCTGAGCTCACCGTGCAATGAATCTCACGAGTGGATCAACAATTCATGTTTCCACCGGCAAGAAGCGTGCCGTTACAAAGATTGATCGAGTCAATGGAATCTAGTAACCATTCTTCACAAGGGAGAGATGCTAGTTGTCCAATAGGCATCGCGAAATGGGCAATTGACGCCCAAGTAGGTGGGGAGACAGTCGAAATCAGCGCTTGGCTGGGCGGCTATGAGGAACATGATAAGCCATTGGCAGCCCGCGACAGGGACTTGGGCGGGTAGAACACAGTAGCCTTCGGCTGAAATGGAGCCTGGAGTGTTGGCATGGTGTTACAAGTCGAATGGCGAACGTGGGCATCAGAGTCTTTAACAAGTGAGTGACGGACGCGTGGAGGGATTGCGTAGAGATTTGGGACTGTAAAAGTAGGGAGGCTACGAATATCCATATCCGTGGCCATCGATTAATACAGAAAGGAAGGAACAAACTCGCTTCTCTCAAATCACATCGCACTTGCCTCATTGTTGCTTCTTGGACTGCTCTTGCCCTGCCTGTGCCAGTGCAGCCTTCCCCCTCGTTCACTTTCCTGCCCACTTCCACTTGATCCCATCCCCTACACTTCCTCTTCTACGAACCTAGCCTGGGTTACACTACTCATATATATCCTCATCCGACCCTCTCGATATCTGCAGCGCTTGTTTCAACCCTCAAGGTCGCTCTTCTGGTCGCTCTTCTGGTCACTCGTATCTTACCTTCTATTCCCGTCAAAGGCCCCTGTCCACCCGAAAGCCGTGTCATCGTCATCTTTCCGGGCTCCACAACCCAGAATTCCCCCCTAAAACCAACGCGGCGCATTGACCTTAACTTGGTTATCTACAAGACCCCTCATCATCTTGGTCTTGCTTCACTCCATCCAAGACCTTGGGCGTCTCGACAGTCGCCATGAGTTTCTCAGGGCGCCCTCAGGGCAAGCCCGATGGTGAAATGTTCTTAAACCGTCCCAATGATCGCGATTCCCCTACCATTGTCGAACCATTGCGCATCAACAAAAGGACTTCAAGTGCTGGTTCTGGTGTCCTACCCACCCAAAGTCCACCCCCGCAGCAGCAGCCCGTTCAGACCACCCACTATCCCATGCCTTCGCTACCATATCCAGATGCTCGCCCTAACGGTGGTCCGCCATCCAATATACCTGCCAACTCCTATCCATACCCAGACGTTAGAAGAGTCACTTCCCCTGAGCAACCCGGAAGTGCGGGGAGTGGCACAAGGCAACAGGCAAAGAGAACTACCTCGGGCGATACAAAGCAAGGTCAGACTCTGGCCGAGAGGAGAGGGACTTTTCCAAAACCATTACCAGAGTCTCCTGGTCCTGAAGCACCAGACAAGGAAGGTCTGTTCCAACGTGCTCCTCAAAGAACGGCTGGTCCTGCAACTGCGCCTCTGCCGAATATGCAAGGTCAGCAACAGCACCAATACTGGCCTCCTCCATCAGCAAGTGCCACAGGCGATGCCCTGAGTAGATTGAACATCAGAGATCCGTCATCAATCAACCGCATAAGCTCGACCGCTTCCACGTCAACCACGAGGGCACAAAGAGGTTCTCCACCTCCACCCGAGACCCCCATAGTTGGTCCTAATGCTGTGGGCGCTCCAAACCCTGTGAGCGCACGGCCTCAGACGGATATTGAGGCTCGGTACGCGGCCTCTGGCATAGCCGGCACTGCAACTTTGACCAGTTTACAGGCTCAAAGCTTAGCTGCACAGCACAGAGCCGCTCAGTATGGCAATCAAGCGCCACCAGGTCAAGCTCAGGCCAATAATCCACCTCGCCGGCCATGGACACCCACAGAGCTTCCCGGAAGTACAGCTCATCCAGTTCCGACGGTATATCAGGGTATGGGCGAGGCAGAAACCTCTCCTCCGAGAACTTCTCCCCGACCACTCTCACATCATCAGGCGCAAGTCCAATCTCCTGGTCGAAATCCACAACATCCCTCCGAGACTGAAATTGCCAGGGTTGGACCTCATGAAGAGCCTCCCCCCGCTTATTCTCAGGTGCCTGGTGCGGCAAATGGGAGGCAATACCCCTCTGACAAGCAAAGACGAAGCACTGCCGGAGCATCCCTACCACCATCAATAGGTGTGGCTCAGGCACCTACAAACATTACCCCAGGCATTCAAGTACCCAATCAATCGGATCATCCAGCATTCGCGAATGATCCTCGACAAGGAACTCCAAGCAATGCGGCGCAGCCTATCCTCAATGGCCATGTACAACAACAACCACAACCACAACAGTATCAGGTACCGCAGACTCCCTCACAAATACCTCCGGCCTCCCCTCCGCCACTACCAGAAGGCTGGATAGCTCATATGGACCCAAATTCCGGCCAGTATTATTATATTCATCTGCCCACGCAATCTACGCAATGGGAATTTCCAAAGGGTCCCACCCCCTTGAACTTGACCGAGACGCCTCTGTCACCCGTCGCAACTATCTACCAGAATCCTCTTGCTTCACCCGGTCTTTCCTTTTCTCAGAAACCACTCGCATCTCCAGGTGTCCCTTTGACTCCATTCACACCAGGATTCGATCAACAAAGTGTCATGGGATTATCTAGCCCGGCTGCTTTTACGGGTCCTCCACCGACTGCGGGTGTAGACCTGTACAAGATTGTCGCTACCAATGGAGTGTACTTTGGACCATACCTGCGCTATTGTAACATGGACATTGAACGGGGTATCTGGTATGGATCGATACTATTGGTCACTGATGCGCCACAACCTCCTACTATCCATATCCATCAGAGTACCGATTTGTCACCGAATCCTCGTCAGCTGAAAGCTGCTAACATCTGGACCCACCAAAGATGGACATTCTACAAGTATGAGATAGATCTTGTCATGGATGAATCTGGACCTGCGAAGTGGACCTACGCAATCACATCACATTTAGGTTGCACTCGATATGAATTCATGGTGGCCGGCAAGCATGAGACAAATTGGAGATTCATCGCAACATCGGGCAACGACTTTTCATTGAATGTCAGTGCCAATGAACGAGCTAGACTAGGCGGTGCAGGCTTCATGTGGAAAGATATCATGCAAAAACATGCTGAATGTGGTGGTTTTCACTGTCAGCTTGGTCTGGGTGGTCAGATCTCTGCCGACAGATTGTGGAAGGAAATTCCTTCCTTGAAACAATGGTTGGCTACAAGTGGCAAAGACAACAGAAAGAATGCTATGTGGACGGCTGCACACGAGGAGGATGTTACACACGCCTATTTCCATTACTACACCAGTCATTTCGATCAGCCATACCTACGAGAAGCTTTCGCGCAGATACCCCATGTTTTGATAATTGACGACCATGACATGTAAGTACTTTTTTGCTCACTAGGTGTCTTCAGTATGCTAACAAATCATAGTTTTGACGGATTTGGATCCTACCCCGAATATATGCAGTTCAGCAATATGTTCAAAAACATCGGTCGCATCGGTATTGAGATGTACTTACTATTTCAGCATCATACGACTTTGGAACTTCTTCGTAATGTTTCCGATGATCGAGATCTATTCACCATCACGGGTACTGGATGGCACTTCGTCAAGTACCTTGGACCAGCGGTAGCTATTGTTGGGCCAGATACAAGAAGTGAAAGGAATCCACATCAAGTCATGGCTGGACCAACTTACCAGGGCCTTTTCCCGAAGATTGCGCTTTTACCCTCAACGATTCAACACTGCATACTCATGGTAGCGGTTCCTTTAATCTATCCTCGACTTGATGCTGCTGAATCCATCGCACACACTGTGGCGACTGGCAAGAAAGCCGTGACCGGAACATACAATCTCCTTGGAAAAGTCACTAGCTCTGTGGCTGGTGTTGTTGGTGCGAAAGGCGCCGTTGGTTCGGGATTTGATTCCGTCAAGAGAGCTGTTGGAAAGTCTGGCCTGATGGGAGGAATTCTAAGTCCATTCGGAGATATCGATGTGCTCGATGAGTTGAAAGATCAATGGACACACGAATCGAAGGTATGCAGACGGAAAGTTGACTTGGAAGCAAATTTACTAATTCGTTTCAGGACCTTGAGCGAACATATTTCATTCGGACTCTGCAAGGCATCTCTCACCAACGGTCCATCCGCTTTACGTTTCTCTCTGGAGCTGTCAATACTTGTGGAGCAGGATTGGTTCATGATCCTTCTCATCCATCAGACCACAAAACCATGTATCAACTCATTTCATCCTCGGTGGTGAACACGCCACCACCAAGTTACGTCATGAAATTACTCAACAACAATAAGCCTCTCTACATTCCTCCAAATGGGCAAAGGTCGACTCCCCAGCAACCAACAGACACCAAAGAAGACATGATGGAGATATTCAGTCATGACGGTAATGGTCAACCCACCAACAATCGCAAATTGATGGCAAGGAGGAATTATGTGGCCATAGTGGTTTATGACCCCGAGATCGTGAACGGAACATTTGGACAAACCGGAATGCATCGGGGTTCCGGCAAGTTGAGTCTTGCTGCAGACTTCCTCGTTCAAGGTGAAGGGGGTTATGGTGGTGTTGTGAAATTCGGACCTGTGGTCGTTCCAAGTCTGGAATACGGTCGGTGATCAGAGTCTTGTGATGCGGACACAATGAGTGGATGAGTGGAAGAGAATATGAACGGGATGCTATATATTTGGCATATATCAACGAAATGAAAGCGAAGCAATCTGTGTCAGAATCGATAGCGAGCATAGCGAAGGATGTACTTGTTGTTCCTATCTTAAGGTAATTTCAAGCATGATTGAATAAACTACAAACCGCCCTCGTATGAAGGGTAATTATCAAATGAGCTTGAACTTTGTTGCGGACACAAAGCGTGACCGCTGGACATGCTGAAGGCTGGTGTGGAGGAATAAATATTCAAGTAGTTGCTGATGTTCCTCTCGGACGATTTGGCGCCACCATCTAGCTATTCACGAGTTGAACCCGCGGACATATTGATCACTATACGCGACCTCCAGAATCACAATTCCACCACTTCATGTAGTTCTCGTTCTAACAACACGTGTACACATTTCATCTATTCGTACATTGCTTTATTCGTTGCTAGGGAGACGGATGCCCAAAACTGCGATGTGCGCTCCGATAACTGAATACTCAACCGTATTAGTATCACGAAATTGCTCCTGACGCAACCTCCACCACCAGTCGTTCGCTCGCTGTTCTTTACGCGGCTCGATGCTAACAAGGTTCCCCATCGGCTTGCAATGGCAGTGCGTCTATCCGGGTTGCAGCGCGAGGTCATCAAACTATATCGACGCTGTCTACGTGAAGCTGCGAAGAAGCCAGAGGTGAGGTTCTTGCCACCCCAAGCAGCATAGACATATCGAGCTAACCGCCTACCTGTCAAAGGCGACGAGACAGAACTTCCGCAATGCTGCACAGTGAGTTTCTTCATTCATTTTTGAGAGCGTAATAGTGTCTGATTGTTATCACAGACGGGAATTTCGCAAGAACACGAAGGTCGACAAGAAGGACTTTGCTGCCGTGGAGACTCTTTTGAGAATGGGCTATCGGAAGCTGGACCTCTATTCGTCCCCTGGTGTTCGCGACATTCATTGAGCAGCTTTAGCTGCCAGATACTAGGCCAGATTGATGCTGATGCGCAGCGTCTATGCGAGACTGTGTCTGTTCATCTAGCTCGACCAGAATGACGGATTTCCAATCTTCATGATCTGCCGGTCACGTGATAGAATCTCATGGTAACTCGGAGACAAGTATCGCCACTTCCGGAGCATTCGAGAATAGGCACGAATTTGCTTGCGTCTCACAGAAGCATCCAGTATTGTCGAGATGGCTCAAGACTCTAGGTAATCACTGCTTGCTCATCGAGTCGGTGGAAACTAGTATCTTCCATCTGGCAAGATGAATACCTATAAGATCTTGATCATCTCTGGCCTTTCTCCAACTCGACATCTTTCAAAGAACAAGTCATATGCATTCAACCAGAAGAATCATCCCCCGAACATCCATCAAACTCAGCCCAACTTCATCAACCAGAAACATGTCTTTCCTCTTCCCCAGAATCGCTTATGCTCCCGTGCGATGCGCACCCGCTCGCCACGAGGTCGCACCTCTATTCAGTCTGCTCGACGACACCTTCAATGAGCTTCAGCGGGCCACTCGCCAAGCTCAGAGGAAGACTTTCAACCCTCGCTTCAACGTCACCGAGAACAAGGATGTCTACTTGCTAGAGGGTGAACTACCCGGCATCGACCAGAAGAACCTCAGCATCGAATTCGTCGATGAGCACACCTTGACCATCAAGGGCCGGACTGAGTCACGAACCGAGTCTGGTCGTCGCCCAGAAGCAGTCGAGTCTGAAAAGACCCCCGCTGCCGCTGTCGAAGACACTGCCGCCTCAGAGACCAGCAGCGTGAAATCCCACCAAGCTACTGTCGAAGATGAGGAGGAGCAGCCCGCCAACGCCAGTGCCGCGGCGCAAGAAAACACTGAAGTCGCCGCACCATCACCGGCAGCCGCTCCCGCCAAGGCTGAAGCACCCAAGCAGCCCGAGTCACACCGTTGGATCTCAGAACGGCACGTCGGAGAATTTTCGAGGAGCTTTAGCTTCCCGGCCCGGGTGAACCAAGAAGCTGTGCGGGCATCGTTGAAGAATGGTATCCTCAACATTGTCGTTCCCAAGGCGCCGGCTCCAGAGAGCAGACGCATCAGCATCGAGTAAATTGGAGCAGGGCTCGGCAATGCAACAGGCTATTTTTGTTGTACCTCACGCGGCCAACATTTTAATGCAAAAACAAAATCATGGATCGAGCCTATCGGCAATGTTGTGTCGAAACTTGCATAGCGGGCGGTATTGGTCTAATCGGGTTTCCAAGTTTGCAGAAATGCATATCATTTGCAGAGCATAGCATAGCATGGTGTCTCGGATACTAGTACTCACAGATACATAATGATGATCATCCAATCAATCAATCAATCAACTCCTTGACAATATTTCGTAAGTTTCTCTCCTAAAGTTCGTTCTGTAGTGATGCGTAATTCTCATGCATTGGTTATTATTTCTACACGTGCAAATGGCACATAGCGCTGCCTGTCGATAACAGGCCACACGTGAAAAATGAATCCGGGCCAAAAGGGCGGAGGCGCAGTACCTACATATGGATTGGTCCGGGTAACCCAAAGTGCATATCTGCAGTGTACGGAGTAGTTGTGAACTACATGAGGCGTCCGTCCCCTCTACGGAGTACCTCTTACTACTGCTCGATAATTGTCGCAAGGCCGCGTAAGAGTAAAAATAGCTTCCGCAAGCGACACACCATGCCCATCGTAAGTGCACATGCACCGCAACGCCAGAGTCGGACCTTGCATTGTGGTGGTGCCACATATGCCAACAATGATAGGACGGTCACGATGTCAATTGTTGGAAATGCCATCCATTGATACGTACAAGGTGGAGTGAGAGAGAGGGGTGGTTCTACAGACCAACCTCCAGCATTTTTCCTATATGTTGATCCTTACCACTGTCCGGATATCCATTTCGGTGGAGATGTTTCCCATTCGACTATACGGATATCTCTGGTTGGAATGGAAATCGAGTTGCAGTGACGATCACCATCGGCTGGATCGATGATCTCAAGCGTGATTTCCCTGACCTGGAGCTCGAGTCGAAACTGGCAATCTGGTTGAAGGGTGATTGGGGCACTGGGAATCTCGATTTAGGCGTGCGGTGGCGTTGTCGGGGGTTGTTTTCTCCGCAGTGCCTGGTCTTTTCGCCCCCCGGGGCCTTGCTGCACGAGGCAGAGCCTAGAGCTCAGAAGTCCAGAGGAGGCATGGAGGGCATGGAGGGCATGGAGAGGGGAAACATGCCTAAACTCGTGCCGCAACTTAAAGCGTTCGTCACTGGACTCGCTTGAGGCGTCTCCGACTCCCTGACAACCATTCATGGCTTAGTGGTGGCTCAAGCTTGATTAAGCGGGCATGGAGGGGAGCAAGGCCCAGTCCTTAGCTGTTCCAGGGTTGGTCCCAGGTGGCTGTTCCACAATTCCAACGCCCAGTTTCCAGCTTTCTGCATCTCTTACGCCTCTCATGGCTTGGAATGTGGATTGACTTTGACTCTCCCGGGCTACGCTCGACGCCCTCCTTGTTTATCTCATCCCACTTCCACCCAATCACTGTCGCAGCATCGCTGGATGGGGGCCATTCATCCCATGTCCACGTCCGTTTACTTCATGAAATGCATCCAGCATATCCGTACGGATACATGACCTATTCCGCGTCCTGCTTTTTCTTGAAACTTGGAGCTTTCGCTGCAGGGCAAGCTCTTCATGATCAAGTCACAGACGGGTGCTTTTCGTCATTGCCCTGTGCTTCTGTCGTCCGTCGTTCGTTCTTGCCTTTCTGCCTTGATTGAATCTGTCCCTCGTTGAGCGGTTACGTCGAGCATATTTACCTACAGCAAGTGTATATACCACGATTGAACACCGACCACTCTACATCGGTCAAAGAGGTTACGTATTGGTCAACGAGTCAAGTCCAGACGCTTGGAGCCTCGCGCATCGCGCAACGCGCCGCTGCCACTCCCCCATCCCAGCCCGCCTTTACCGTGTGCACGGTCACCATCCTCCTTGCCAGTCACGAGCATTCGTCATGGCTGAGGCCCTACGGATAGTGCACCATTAAGACCATATCCTCCAAATCTTCACCCGAACGACCCTTTTGACGATTTGCCAAACATGGCTTTGTTTGGTAGACGCAAATCCGTCGTCCAGGTCGAGATCACTCCTGCAGATGAACAGGTCGAACAGAGAGAAAAAGAGAGGGATCGCCGCAGAAATCGCCTGTCAAAGCCCCTCACAAATAGCAAAATCTCCATCACTGCATCGACAACAAGTCTCCAGGACTCGGTGACCAAGAGCCGCAATCATAGTGCAACAGAGCTTGTCAACACTCACGAACTGTCTTCCCACCCCAGCAATCCCGACCTGAGGCAACAGATTCGAACTGAAGTGTTCGATTCGGATAGACTCTCACCTCAAGATGCTTTGAAAAGTTCCTCAACACTGAGTGTGGCTCAGATGGTCAGACAGTTCGACAAGGATGCTACATCTGCGAATGCCTCAGAAGATTCTCTGTTGCCAGTCGACAAGCCGAAGAAGAGGAAGTCATTGCTGTTAAGACGGTTTTCCGCCCAGACTTCTTTCAATCTGAGTCGCTCGGCTAGCAAAGAGAAAGTCAAAGTCACCAACCTCGAGGCGGTAGTCCTGTCACCCAGTTCGTCGATGGATAGAATGGTTGATGCTCCTTCTATCCCCACTACACGTCGAGCTTCCTTCACTCCTGGAGCTGCCACTAGAAAGCCATCAGCCGTGCTCTCCACCGAGGAAATGAGACTTCAACAGGAGGCGATTGAAGAAGTCGAAGAACGGAGTGTAATAGAGTTAGACTATTTCGATTGGCGACCTCGACCTCCAACCATGACTGGACGAGCTGGTACTCCTGCGGATCTCAGTTATTCTCATCTGGCAGGGCTCAAAATTGGTTCCTTGCAGGTTATGAATGGACGAGCCTCTCCTGCTCTAAGCGAACTGACCATGGTCTCGAAGCATCTCCTGACAGTGCCACGACAGCTTAGAGACGTATCCAGTGATTATGGTGATGCAGATGATGATGATACTCACGAAGTCGCTCTGATCACGGACCGTTCCTTGCTTGTTGAAACACCCAACGCAGTCAAGGAGGCTCGAAATTTCACCTGGGAAAGTGTCGTTGCAGACCGTGAAGAAACAGCAGATGTCGAGTCTGAGATAGACGTCAGGACAAAGGTTCCTCTGGACATGGATGATGACCATGCTTCCATCATGGCGAAGGAGTATATTTCAGAGCTGCCTCAGAGTCCATACTCGGTGGCACGCTCCAGCTCTTTACCCGGTTCACTTCGACGATTTCGATCTGATGATTCCCTGCAGAGAAGTCCCTCGATCTCTTCTTTGCAGAAAACACCTCCAATGACATCCTTACAAAGGACTCCTTCAATGATGTCTCTGCAAAGATCTCCTTCACCCGAGAATTACCAAGCGAAAGATGCTACGTCTCCTGTTAGCTTTCGCACAGTATCAAGTCTTTCGCATACTGGTTCGGTAGTGAGGCGGCCAAGTCTACGGGTGGCTGTTGTACAACCTGACCCCTCAGCAGATCACGATGATCATCCTGCAGGTAGCGTCATGAGCTGGTATTCCCCGGTGGAGCCAAGCTTCAACCAGCTCGAGGCCTTCCAATCAGCGGTCGAGTTTCAAACTCAAAGCCAACTATCTCGACCCCAGCCTCAAGGAAACCTTGACAAATCCGACAGTGGTTACAGCTCGAATAATTCTCTACGTTCTCTTCGCATGTCTAAAGTTGCACCTAACATCCCACAGACATTAGTTGAACCCCCCGTTGTTGCTCAACCATCACCAGCGGAGCCACAAACCATGTCATCGGATCTCAGATATCGACCAAGTATTCTTAAATCACGAAAGACAGAGCCGAACGTACCAACGTTTGCCAATCTACGCCCTGCCGTCATACCGCTGAACGTAACACCGACCAGTCCGTCGCCCATAGATCCACTTACGGAAACATCACTCAAGCCAGTAAAGCAAAGAAAGAAACTACAGAAGAAACGTGCGCAAAGCCAGCCACCGAGCAAGATCGCCATTACCAGAGTTCGTTCTTTCGAAGCAGAAACTATTCCTGCCATCCCTCAAGATGTCAGAGAGAACCTGCGAATCCGAACACAAGAAGTCCCGGAACTTGAACAGACATACGCCAGACTAAATAATCAAGCCAGTCTATCAACCATGTTTCTTCCAACGCATGAAGTCAGATTTCCTTCGCCTGAGCCAGAGCGAAAACCCGAGGTACGCCGTTCAAGATCCATTAGCAGACCTCGATCGTGGATATCTCGACCAAAAGAAGACAACACAAGATCAAGAAACATCTCCGATCTCAGTCAAAGTGATGCCCTTGCCATAATTAATGACTTTGGAACCGCGGCGTCATCACTTGGAAATAATCCATATCATATTGCTCATGAAAGTATGATCCCAAACCCTCCTGCTCCCAAACACTTGCATAACAAAGCACCGCGTCCGAAATCTATGATGGATGACAAGTCTGCTGCTGTCGTTGCCAAGTTTCGAAGACGGTCATACCAACAGCGCGAGGCGTTCTCTGATAGACGACCATCTTTTAATGACAGAGGTGGTATTCCTGGCAAACCTCTTCGTCCAGGCAGCTTCATCAGTGACAACCCACCGATAACTCAGGAGATGCTTCAGACTGTATATCGAACCTCCTCCATGCAAAGAGGGGCATCACTAGAGGACAGTCTAGCTCCTCCTGCTCCGTCCCATTCTCCACCACCTCCTCCACCCCACTCACCTCGTCCAGCTTATGTGGACTATGAGGAAGATTACTCGGACCTAGTGGTTGCACCCCCTCCACCATCCCACTCGCCACGACCTGTCGATATCACTCCAGATCCTTGGGCGGCTCAAGCAGCTAGCTGGAGATCTCGAAGACAGTCCATTGGTCTTGCGCTGAAGGAACAAGCTGGATATTCTCAAGGAATTGAACAGGCGGGGCATCATGTTGAAGAACCCCTTTACCCTGCTATTCCTCCTCGCAATGATCCACAAAGAGCAGGCTGGGCGCAATATACCACTTCGCCAGAAGAGTATTTCCCATCCCAAAATTATGCCGTTCAACAATATGCCCCAGAATATTATCCAGATCACCAAGAGCAATATCGGGGAAGAGAACAATACCAGAATGCCACTCCATCTCATGGTCGCTACTGTGAACAATTTGCCACATATGGCGATGGAACAGATCGAGGAAGATCTGTGAGACCCCAGAACAAAGTCCATCGTAGACCATTACCAGAGCCACGAAACGCACAGGCACAGTATCAAACTCGGGATCACTCACAAGCCCGAAGTATTCGGAGCCAAGCATCTTCACTCGCCGAGGAACTGCATCCAGAACACCTCGAACCTCCTCAACCCGCACCAGAGTTTGGCCGGTATTCTGGCGGCATGGACTATGGTTATGAACGCGGAAATGGCTTTGGTGGTTCTGCCGGGACAAGATCCGTGAGCGGTAAGGCGGACGGTTCCAGAAAGGGTGTTCCCTTGAGGGCGAGCTATGGGGTCGATCTAGGAGATGTGCCGGTTTCATACATGGTCAGAGTATGATAATAGAGCTCACTCCAAAAGTATTGATCGAGGCGGGCTTGGCTCATTGGCTATTGCCAACTTTCAACTACATGCTGGATTTTGAAGTGCCTACAGCATTCCATTTTTCACCTTATGCACATAGGCGACACAGACGCCAAAGATTTCTACAGTGAGACGTTTACTAATTCCTCTTTACGGCTTTCTTTGAGCATTATCAGATGCCAGTCAGCACATTTATATACCCTAGGTTGGAAACTCACAGGTTTTGGACATTATGAGGTTTGGATTTTCAAATTTTCACAATCAGGGGTGGCTTAAAGGACGAGAGGTAATTTTGTACATACTTGCATACATATATACCCAAGTTTCGAGATTGTTCGGTGTTGGCTTTGGGATTATCAGATTGTGAATGACGGTACGGTGCTTTGACGGCATTTACCACTTATATCATACCACATGCCCTTGCTTCTTTCTTTTTCGAGTAACCCAGGGGAGTCAAATGGTGTCTCATCGCCTATCCATCTATCCATCATCGTGCCGAACGTACTGATCGAAAGATGCAACACCAATAGTCCTGAGCCTGGCCAGGAAGCCGTGATAACACTGTACGCAGCGTCATCGACCATGTGTGTGCGGATTCGTAGGTAAGTTCTATAGTTGAGGGTCGTCGGACCGCCAGTCGGCTCATTCGACGGGACGAGCGAGCGGAGTGGAGTGGAGCTATCGATGACGATGACGGCACGGAAACCCAGAACAATGTCGATCACGCACTGGCACGGGAGACCTAGTCGTTGGGAAAGACACTTGCAGTTTCTGTTAGTCACGAAATCCAGGGCCTGCGTGAGGTTATCTTAACTTCCAACTTCGATTGTTATTCATGCCAGGGCTATGGGTATGGGCGATTTTGCGGTGGGAATCTTGACGAGCATAAAGGTATACATATATATATCTGGGAATTAAAGGATTGTGGAAAAATGAGAGATGGGATCAGATCCGATCAGGAACCTCCGAGGCTCTTATTCAACGATAGCAAAGATCCGTCTGGATGTTTGCCTGAATAGTCATTATTATTGATAGGCAACGATAGCAAAGATCCGTCTGGATGTTTGCCTGAATAGTCATTATTATTGATAGGCAAAAAATGTGAAAGATTTGCAATATCCCAACTACCTAGGTACTTTACTCAATGATATAGCAGATCTTGGCGATGCCCTTGCGCTTCTTGACGGGCTGTTCGGCCTCGATGATCTCCTGCAGGCCGGTCTGGAGGTCAACCTCCTCGGACGACCAGGCCCATTTGTCGCGCCAGAAGACGATGCGGTGGCCAAAGTACATAACGAAGAAAATCGGAATGCCGACGTAGGCGGTCAAGAAGTTGGCCGCGGAGAACCGTCCGGGGAAGAAGACGGTGAACCCGTTGATCAAGCAGAGCAGCGTGAACGCCACCATGGCAACCCACGCGCCATAGGGCTGCATGAACGAGGTCCATGGTCGGGTGACGCCCTGTACGTCGGTCGCTTTGCGGAATCGTAGGTAGATGACCATGCAGCAGACCCAGGATATCATACCCCCTAGAAATCGTTAGTTTTACAGGTATTTCAATGGAAGGCAGGGGGATGACGTACATGTGTTTGTGAGATTGACAAACCAGTTGAAGACTGTGCCACCACTGGTTGCGACGTTCATGTAGGTAAGAGCGCAAAAGAGCGATGAAGCGGTCACCGCGGCGTACGGGACACCCCAGCGATTGCAGGCCTTGAACATTCGTGGCGCGGAACCCTGGACTGCAAGAGAGTATAGTGCACGGCTGGAGATGTAGAGGAACGAGTTTCCAGATGACCAGGCGGAGATGAGAATCACTGCGTTGACAATCGATGGTAAAGTCGAAATTCCGGCGTCGGCAATGGCGACGACAAATGCGGATGAACCGGCGCCAGCTCCGCCGTCTGTCAGCCTGGGATCGTTGCTAGGGCACGTGACGCCGATGGCGAGAACGCCCAGGACATAGAAAACGACTAATCGGTAGAAGTAGCGTCGAGAGGCGATCGGGAGGTTTCGACGGGGTGACTCCATTTCTCCTCCGGTCACGACCAGGAGTTCGGGCGCAAAGGTGAATGGGAAGACGGACGATACGAGAGTCGAGAAGAACGAGATGGTTCGTCCAGCGTCTCCTGTTTTTATAAACGGCAGTGCCGCCCCTGGATCTTTCCAGTATCGGAAACCCAGTCGGTCGTGGCTAGGGCCACCACCCCAGAAGAGAATGAAAGACAAAAGGAGAAGTCCAACCATGAGAATGACTTTGGTGCCTGCGAACCAGAATTCCGTCTCGCCATAATATTTGACGGGCATGAAGTTGAGAGCGACAATCACAACCGTCATGATGGTCATCCATACTGCGATATTGACGTCGTTGGGCCAGTAGTTGATGACCAAGCCAGCAGCGGTGATTTCGTAGGGCACTAAGATACCCAAGGCGTACCAGTAGAGGTAGCCAAGAGCGAAACCCATTGATCGAGAAACATAACGGTAGCCGTAGTACGACATTGTACCACCGTGGACGGGCAAGTATGTGGCAACTTCGGTCATGGCTGTAACGACGCAGTAAACCAGGACTGTCATGGTGCAATAAGCCGCGAGAATGAAGGCTGGGCCGCCTTTGGCGAGCACTGAACCACTACCAACGAAAAGACTGGGAGGATTCAGTTAGCACAGACTTGTGAAAATTCCTCCCTAGGGTGGTACGTACCCAGTTCCGATGGTTCCACCCAAGGCAATCATCTGCGCATGTCGACTTTTGAGCCCTCGCTGAGTAGTTGCGTATCGTTCATCAAGTAAATCAGCCGCGATGATAGATTCCGCGACCGAGGCCTTTCGGCCGGTCAAGGATTGTTTTCGACCAGCGGCATCTTTTGATTGTCGAGATATGGTCGGCTCAATACCCTTCTCAGGGTCCGTGTATTCTGGGGAGCTCGACATGGTGAGCTCTGTTGGTGAGCAGAACCAAAGCTAGCTCGTGTGAGGTTTGAGTATGTATGCGTGACCCTTACCCGAGATGGGTTCGAGAGTTTTAAAGAGGTCAAACAAGCCGAAATGGGTGAGACGAAGAGGCTTCTCTAAACAATGTGTGGAAATCCGAAGATCTTTATACGTCCCATCCTCTTGGGAATCGGTTGGTCCAAGCGATTCTGATCATTGAAGGTTGCATGGTTGGCCCAGGTAGCGTGACCACGTTTGCAAGGGTAACATGCTTCTCGGTGTTGAGAGCAGGCATAATCTGGAGAGTGGATGGATGCGACGAATCCGTATCCGTACACTCGAACTCTGATAAGAAGGCTTCCGTCGGCACTTGTCCTTTTATTGCCTCGAGCCTTGGCTAGGTATCTCACCATGCATCCTCCACTTATGTATCTTGGAACTTCAGGGGTGCCTCGTGTTATCACCCTCGTTGATTGGAGGGTTGTGTCTCATCTGGATCGGCTTGCCAGACAAGGCATGACAAGCCCTTCAAAAGGCTGTGATAAGCCTGACCCAAGGGGCGATGAAGCCTCAGGCTAGTCCGTGGCTGATAGGCTCACTCTTAGGCCTCGGACTGTCAATCCTACCTAAGCAATTGTTAGTGGAACAATCATGAGGAGCACAGTTGCACACTACTGGTCTTGGGGATAGTAATCACCATACCGACGTACTTCATACGAGCAGATTGCCTGATTCTTTTGAATTACACCCCTGTACTGTAGGGTTCCATTCTTTGATTTCCTGGGAGGCGAGAAGCAGAAAAAAGCAAAGCATTGCATGGCTTAGGGGCCAACATCCTTCTGGAATCTTTGAAGAAGCAACTGGCTTGCTCACCCGCCCATGTCGGCTATCTAAACCCTTAGGTAGGGACCGATGAGCCTGACAGTAGCCCAGGCCTTGCCACCAGATACACTGCTTAGGCTTCCCTGGGTTGAGGACATCAGCGGGTGGAAAGAGCAATGATAAGGGTAGCTGATCTCCGATGACCACTTTCTAATTGGTAAAACATAACGATGTGGGCAATGCCCGGGTGAGCATTTAAAGCTCAAGGGGCCTGGGACAAGATCAATCGGGCCGAGTCTAGCTCATCAAGCATTCAAGTGGCTGATTGATGATCTTTATTTATCTTCGAGGATCTGGACTCGGAGCATAGGTGTCGTCAAAACTACTATATAGATTCTATTGCCTTGGGAGTTCTAGGCCTTCAACTCGGCCGAACTGAGTTCTCCTAGCAGACTCATTACACAGCGGTAGTCGGCAACTGACTTTCCAACTTTTCCTAAATGGCCTCATCCCCAGGACTAGCACTGATCTTTCAAACTGTTTGATCATCCTTCAAATATCTTCTATCTATCTATATATACTGTTAACGACTGATAGTCCAGTCACACTAAAACCTGAGCGACAATCCCCGATCCGAGAGTTCAAAGGCTCATCACTACGGCAACCCTCAGGAGTCGAGATAATCCAGTGCCCATTGCTGATCCCGAGTGCTGTAGATCGGGAACGGCCAAGCATCGAACACCAGAATTCCGACGACGAGCTTGAACCAAGAAGGAGATCCACGCTCATGTGTCAACACAGGCTTTGAGGATGTCACTGCGCATCATAGCATTAGTAGGTAATGAGCGAGCTGCTTCAATGGGATATTGAACAACTTCGCGGGCAGAACCGTTCTGCGGACAAGAGCGCTCTTGACGATGAGGCTTGGAAGCAATTAAAACCCCTTGAGCAATCTAAGATAACTGTGTGCGTGCCGTGTTGGTCCTACCTGATCTGTAGCTGGCCCCCTGCTTAGGTGCTTAGCAACGTAAACGCACATCGGTCAAATCTCGTTAATTGATTAAAGGTCCCGAGTATAGAACTAGATATGTTGGCTGAAGGTAAGATATCTGCATTGTGGTGTGAGTGGCTGAAATCGTACCTGACACTAACTGATCTTGAAACCCAGGTTCTTCCATTTTTGGGATCCCCATCAGTGCCTGGGTCGTCCTAGGTGGCATTCTATATTTTGTATTTGGCTCGAGCCATGATCCCGAGCTCAACAAGATTCCTGGTCCATGGGTCTATAAGGTGACCAGGTATCGATCAGCTTGGGATGCATGGAAGGCACGATACGTCCACGCGATCCTGGATCTGCACAGGCAATACGGCCCGGTCGTCCGAATCAGCCCCAATGAGGTTTCATTCAACAGTCTCACGGCTTTGAGAACCATATATGGCGCTGGAAGTGGATTCGAGAGAACTTCCTTCTACCGAATGTTTGATGCCTATGGCCGGGAGAATTTGTTCACTTTTGCTTCGGGCAAGCTACACCGAGACAGGAAGAAGCTCGTCAGTCACATCTATGCAAACCAAACAGTGCTGGCGACAGAATTCTCCCAGCTGGTTCAGAGGAAGGTCGCAGGGTTTCTTGACTTCCTCGAGAGGGAACCCGAGGCTGCCAGTGAGATCTTTTCAAGCCTTCATTACTTCTCCTTTGATGCAATCTCTGAGTTCGTCTATGGACCTCGACATGGTGGAACAAAGGCGCTGTTAGGCCCAAATCGAGAGTTGATTGCAGACATTCTAAATCCCGCCAGGAGAAGACTGGCGTGGTTCGCTGTCCATTTTCCTGCCTGGACTTCGTGGGTTACCACCCGAACAGGTCTGCTTGAGAAAGGGCTCACCTCTCTCGGCCTCTTACCAATGAGAAAACCCTTCACATACTCCGGTATCAGAAAACATGCACTTGAAGCATTCTACAGCTTTAAGAATGCCCCTGCCATTGAGAAGGCAGATGTTGCAGAGAACACAGTCATTGGCCGCTTGTTCAAGGTCCGAGAGACAACAAACATGTCGGACCTGGACATCGCCTCGGAATGCTCCGATCACTTACTTGCCGGCATTGACACCACATCTGATTCATTGATGTTCATGATCTGGGCCCTTTCACTGCCTCAACACGAGGGTTTTCAGAATCGGTTGCGGGAGGAGTTGTCACACATCTCCGTTGATGCTAAAGGACTACCCATTCCACGCGACCTTACTCAGCTACCATACCTGAACGCAGTCATTCGGGAGTCATTGCGTTTATACTCACCCTTGCCAGCGTTTGAGCCGCGTACTGCATTGGTCGATACAGTAATCGACGGATATAAGATTCCAGCAGGCGCAATTGTGGGCATGTCTCCATTTTGCTTGCACAGGGACGAAAATGTCTATCCCGATCCTCTTACCTTTCAACCGGAGCGATGGTTGACACCTTCCGGAGACCTCATCCCTGAATCCGACGATCGAAACAGGTACTTTTGGGCATTTTCGTCGGGTGCACGAATGTGCATCGGAATGCACCTCGCTAACGCGGAAATGCTCACATTGATGGCTGCGTTGTATCGGAAGTACAGGACATCTGCAAAACACCCGGACACGTCGCCAGGTATCACAAGCAGGTTTGAGGTATTCCATGATGAAACCATGCCCAAAATGGTTGAGCATGAGTGTTGGATCAATTTCCAAAAGATTCAAGACGTGAGTTGAGGGATTCATCCCACGTGAGTGACAAACGCCACATATGAGTTCCTATGGTCCAAGTCCGAAGCCCAGGGTCATGGAGGGCAAAATGCAAAGTTGCTTAGCGTGCGGGAAATTCAACCCTTTGACAAGGTTCACAGCGTTCAAGCCTTGACGTGTTGGACCTGGCTGGGGAACCAATTCATGCAGGGAGCCGTCCAGTCGGGAGCAGCAAGCATCCATAATCAAGGTCGCACAAGGAGTAGAAATCTTCAGCTCGTGTTCATCTCGTGTTCAGCTCGATGTCTATTTAAAGTGGAAGTTGAGAACTTAAGTCGCATGTTATTGATTAAATGCGTAACGGTTTGTTGTGACGTGCGCCGTAGCCTCGTGGTGGTCAAGGCTCTGACAGCAATTTCCTAGGCACCATCTGAAGAATGCCATAAAGCCCTGTGGAGAACAAGTCCACCCCTTCAAGTCAAAGTCGAACTTCCAGGGATCATTATTCAGGGGTTCCCACAATGTGCATAAGTGAAGTTTGGACGTACCATGAGTGTGGCTGTCACTATAACCACAGCATCCTCTGTCGTTCGTTTCGAAGAAACCGTTCACCATGTTTCGCCCCGAACATTCAATATTCGCTTGAGGAGTGGCAACAACAGACGTTCGCTAACGATCGTACAACACTTCAAGAGTGGGCAAGAAGAGGAAGGCCAAGTGAACCTCAAGATTGCCCTCACCACGCCTTTGTACAGAGATCGTTCCTCAATCAGATCTGCGACGATTGTCTCATGCAAGAGCTAGATATGCAGCCTCTCTCAATTGCGGATGAACTACCACATCAAGCAAAACCCAACAACAGCGAGGGCCTCATTTTTGATAGTGAAGTCAAGGTTCAAGTAGACGAGATCCAATTTGAGATGCTCTCATCACCAACAAACCATGGCAAATCCGTGCCTAATGTGGATACCGAGGATGACGGCGACAAGCAGATTCTGGAGAGTCATGTTAAGGTCAAAATCGACTTTGAATCCTCTAGCATCTCTGGTGAACCATCTTCACCTTTGTTCCCATCATCTGCAACACGATCATATCCGTCGTCGCTGGAGGCTTCGCCTCCACCATCGACTTACCGAACCAAGAGATTTGGCTTTGCGCTTCCAGAAGGGGTGACATACGATCTCGACACAGCAGACGATGATTCCGATGACTATCCCGAGATATATGACTGGACTTCTTCGCCCCTGTTCCGAGGGAGATCCCTGACGCGGAAGAAATTGACCAGTTTTGAGATTTATGGAGTCTCACCCAACAGCAGTTCTACCTCAGTCAAAGGCAAAGGTCTCTCAGGACTCAAAAGTCTTAAATCAATGTCATCGAACCTACGATCAGTTTCCAGCACAAAGATTCCCGACAAGACTGGGAAGGTGGATGTCGCTCCCGCCAATAAACCAAGGACACTTCTTCGAGGGCTTCGATCACGCAAGAGTTCACCACTGCTGACTACCAAGGGGGAATCCTCCCACATAGTCGAGTCGCAGTGCAGTGGATCGTATGGTAACCTGGAGCCGAAAGCCACCAAGAAATCCGGCCTGAGGAATTGGACGAGATTCATGATTCCAGAAAAGAAGCGAAGCAAATACGTACCCATAAGTCAGCTCAGAAATCAAACCCGTAGCTGTGCCCCAAGTCCAACGGGATCTTGGGCTCGTGCTCAAGAGGACAGCCACGAAGACTTGCCAATCTTAGCATCTGATCCTCCGACTATGGCTCATGGTGAACATCGTATCAGCTCGTCCAGTCAAGATATCGAAAGGGGTGATCCGCTGGAGGCAGGTAACAAGAGAATTTTAGACTTGACTGTACTGCCTGCAGAAGTGGTATCTGCAGTCGACCTAAGTCAGTCGGTTGAAGATAAGTTACGTCAAGACGATCACGACGAGAAAACCATGAATGACCTCACCATGCCCCAGAATAGGGCAGTGCTTCAACCAGAAGACACTTGGGAGGCATCAAAACAGCAGACAGCAAACGAGCCAGTGGTTGGAAAGGATGACTCCCAAAGTCAACCACCAGTGGAAATGAAGCTGTTGCCCGAGGAGAAGAGGAATCGAGAATCTTCGGTTACGAAAGATATAATCGAAACCAAAGTATCGGTGGAACCAAGCATTAACACACAAACAGAGCAGACGACCGAAGGAGCCATAGTTGCCAACAATGCTACTGAACTGGAGGGATATCAGGATGACACACCGGCTGAGAAAGAAGGTTGGTCTTCCAGAGAAATTGCGAGCCCTGGCGAACCATTGCCCGAGAGACCAGAAAAGCAGGACATCACACCACGATCATCGTTCATGCAGAAAATCATCGAGTCTAGCAATGTAAGGCCACATCCTCCACGCAAGAGTTCACTCAGGCAAATGATGGCCCAAAGTAAGAATGATTCGAGTGTGCCGAAATTCAGCTTCCCACTACCACGATCTGAGGTAAATAAGACGCCAGCTGATGGAGAAAGGGGTCTTCTCTCGGAAAGTCCTCATGAGTTTTAGTACTTATTTGAACACCATTTGGTTGATTGTCAGTGGGATCTTTTGGGCCAGATTGAAGATGAAGAGTTGGTGGATGTTTCACACGGTGCGACAGATTTTGTCGTAGCTGTCCATCAGTACGCTGCATATGATGTGTTCCTGGCGTTAAATGAACTTCGAAAGATGCCGTTGGGAGGTCGCGCAATGTTTAGTACACAGTAATATCTGCCATGTCATACAATAATCAGCCCTTGTAAATGAAAATAGGCAGCGATAGCTCAGGTTGTTGCTGAGAGCCATGGACGCTGACGACTCCGAGGGGATGTGAAACATTTGGTACTGAAGCTGAGCACGCGACGCGTCAGAGCGAGGTAGATAAAACTGGGAATGGCAAATGGAAAGATGGAGGGGGGTACGTGACACGTGATACCACGTGCATCAGGTGGTGCTGGAGGAAGGAGCAATCCAGGCGGGACCAAAACTGCACGGCACCTGCCCTGCACTGTGTACAGACTGAGACTGACCGAGAAATGCCAGCGGGCAATTAAATCAATAATATGTTCTACTGATATGAAATCTGTCTCTCTGTCGCCGTCAAACACATAACCCCAAACATAGACTATCTTCGAATTTGTCGTTGTATCTCTGAGTCTTTGAGTCTCTGCACCCTCTTGGTCTTCTTCACGCGTTTCCATCTTCATTCCCATCTATCGACAATCCTCCGAAAAAGATTCCCACTAGTCCTGCAAGCCCACATTCCACCTCCTCCCTCAACCACCACCACAAACACCCCAACAACATCTCTGCGCACCCCTTCTTCACTTCCACAGTTGCATGTCATAGCGACACCGCCCTCACAATGTCTGTTCTCCCTGCCGAGGTGCAGGGAGCCTTGACTCAACTCCTCCAAGCCCTGACAACGTCCGACAATACTATCCGCTCACAAGCCGAAGAACAATTAAACAATGACTGGACTCCCAATCGCCCAGATATCCTGCTCATGGGTCTGGTCGAACAAATACAGGCCGCCCCAGAACCTTCGGTATAGTCAACTTCCCCCTCCCTGAAAATCCTCCGTCTCTGGACACTAATTTGAGTTTACAGACACGATCTTTTGCCGCTGTTCTCTTTCGCAAACAATCCTCAAAGACACGAAAGGTTCCGGCCACTGGCGAGTCCAAAGAACTCTTCCTCACCCTGAGTAGCGAAGCCCGAGGCGCTATCCGCTCCAAGTTGTTGGAAGGTCTGGTCAGGGAGCAGGTCAACTCGGTCAGGAACAAAGTCGGAGATGCAATTGCCGAAATCGCCAGACAATATCTTGATAATGGTATACAATTTTGATCTTCCGCATGCGCAAAGTCAATGGCTAAATGAATGATTCACAGGCGATGTCTGGATGGAACTACTCAGTTCCCTCTTCCAAGCAAGCCAGTCTAATGATGCTGGGATGCGCGAGTGTGCCTTCAGAATCTTTGCGACCATGCCTGGCATCATTGAAAAGCAACACGAAAGCGCGGTCCAAGAAGTCTTTGGCAAGGGATTTAAAGACAGTAGCGTCGATGTAAGAACGAGCCTCGGCCCTGTGAGACAAGTTTTGACTGGTGATTAGGTCCGTCTGGCTGCAATCGAAGCTTTTGGTTCCTTCTTCCATTCAATCACCAAGAAGACGCAACCAAAGTACTACACCCTGATTCCCGACATCTTGAACATTCTTCCCCCTTTGAAAGAAGCGGGCGATACCGATAATTTATCAAAGGCATTCAATTCCTTGATCGAACTTGCCGAGGCCGCTCCAAAAATGTTTAAGAACCTTTTCAGCAATCTCGTCAAGTTTACCATTTCGGTCATTCAAGAAAAGGACATCGACAACCAATGCCGTCAAAACGCCTTGGAGCTCATGGCCACCTTTGCAGAGTGGGCTCCAGTCATGTGTAAAAAGGACCCAACCTACACCACAGATATGGTCACTCAATGCTTGAGCCTGATGACCGATGTTGGTGCGGATGATGACGATGCGTCCGAGTGGAACGCCACCGAGGATCTGGATGCAGAGGAAAGTGATCTCAATCATATTGCAGGTGAACAATGTATGGATCGTCTCGCCAATAAGCTTGGTGGCGACATCATACTTCCTGCAACATTCACCTGGCTTCCACGCATGATGCATTCGGCCTCGTGGCGCGATCGACATGCAGCCTTGATGGCCATCTCTGCGATCTCTGAAGGCTGTCGAGATCTCATGATCGGTGAATTGGATAAAGTCCTTGAATTGGTGGTTCCCTCACTCAGAGACCCGCATCCCCGTGTTCGCTTCGCTGGCTGCAACGCCCTGGGCCAGATGAGTACAGATTTTGCCGGACCCGTCCAGGAAAAGTACCACCAGGTTGTGCTTAGCAACATAATTCCTGTTCTGGATGCTCCTGAGCCTCGAGTTCAGGCTCACGCTGCTGCTGCTCTCGTCAACTTCTGTGAAGAAGCAGAGAAGTCAATCCTCGAACCATACCTGGATCAACTTCTGAGTCATCTATTGCAACTTTTACAGTCTCCCAAACGTTATGTGCAAGAGCAAGCTTTGTCGACGATCGCTACAATTGCTGATTCTGCCGAAAGTGCCTTTGTCCGCTATTACGATACTCTTATGCCACTTCTGTTTAGTGTTTTGCAATCGGAACAATCCAAGGAGTACAGATTGTTGCGCGCAAAGGCCATGGAATGCGCAACCCTGATTGCGCTAGCGGTCGGAAAGGAGAAGATGGGCCAAGACGGCATCAATCTCGTGCAGACTTTAGGTAACATTCAAGGAAGCATTACTGACGATGACGACCCACAAGCTCAGTACCTCCTCCACTGCTGGGGAAGAATGTGCCGTGTCCTGGGTAACGATTTCGTACCTTACCTTCCGGGAGTCATGCCTCCTCTTCTCGAGCTCGCTTCCGCCAAAGCCGATATTCAACTCATTGATAATGAGGAGGATGCTCTTGAGCAGGAAGATGGCTGGGAGCTGGTACCATTGAAAGGCAAAGTCATTGGGATCAAGACATCCACTCTCGAAGACAAGAACACTGCCATCGAATTAATCACCATTTATGCCCAGATCTTGGAAGAAAATTTTGCCGTCTACGTTGCTGATATTACGGAAAGAATCGCACTGCCCGGCTTAGCATTCTTCTTCCATGACCCAGTCCGTGTTTCCTCAGCCAAATTGATTCCTCAGTTGTTGGGCTCCTACAAAAAGCGATATGGCGATCAGTCGCCGGAACTTCGAGACCTGTGGGCCAAATGTTGCGACAAAGAGATCGAGATTCTTAGCGCCGAACCCTCAATCGACACGCTTGCGGAGATGTTCCAATGCTTTTATGAAAGTGTTGAGGTGGTTGGCAAGAATTCCTTGACACAGGAACACCTCGAGCAATTTATCCAATCTGTCAAATCTACATTGGAAGAGTATCAGAAACGAGTACAAGATCGTGCCGATGAGAAGGCGGAATATGCTCAACAAGTCGCCGAAGATGATGAGGACTCACTTTCAGTCCAATATGCCATCGAGGATGACCAGACCCTGCTTTCAGACATGAATAAGGCTTTCCATACCATCTTCAAAAACATGGCCGTCAACTTCCTGCCTGCTTGGCAAAGGTTGATGCCGTTTTATGATGCCTTCATTACATCATCTGATCCTACACAGCGCCAATGGGCAATCTGTATCATGGATGATGTGTTGGAATTCTGTGGTGAGCAGTCATGGCAATATAGCGACCACATTATCCAGCCACTTATCAACGGGATGAGGGATGAGAACGCTGCAAATCGACAGGCAGCGGCATATGGTGTTGGTATCGCTGCACAGAAAGGCGGCGATCAATGGTCCGACTTTGTTGCTGCGAGCGTGGAGACTTTGTTGCAAATCACTCGAGTCCCCAATGCACGAAGCGAAGCGGAGGTGTTTGCGACTGAAAATGCATGCGCGGCTATTGCGAAGATCTTGCACAGTAACTCATCGAAAGTCCAGAACCCACAACAAGTGGTTGAACAATGGCTTGACACCTTACCAATTGTCAATGACGAGGAAGCCGCACCTTACGCCTACACTTTCCTCGCACAATTGATAGACCAGTGAGTTTTGGCGACCGACTTCCCCCAATCCTTTGCTAACAATTTCAATAGACAACATCCAGCGGTATTCGCCAAAGCACAACAAGCTTTCCACCATATTGCTCTAGCACTTGAAGCGGAAATGATTCAGGGACAAACAGCCAAGAAAGTTGCGGAGAGTGCGAAGCAAATGGTCACGCAGACGGGCATTAATGCCGACCAAATCTTGCAGACCTTGTCACCTGACGGCCAAACCACAGTTCGAAGCTTCTTTTCGTGATGGCGATGAGTTGAGATAAATAAGTCGGAATTGATATGCGTTGGAAATTGCAAGGTTGCATCTAAATTGCATCTAAGAATGGCGCCGCAAGTGAGGGCTTCACTCTGGAGATAGTAAACTCCTGCAACATGACCAGCATCGATTAAAGGGGGAAACAATTCCAAACTTTATCATACCATAGACAGACCAGACTTAGTCTGGTTGACAAGTCGAGTGAGATTTAATACGCAACTTAAGTCATGGAAACAGAATCTTACAAGAGGTGATCCGAGGGTACCTATGTACAGCATGAACTTTCGATGGATCTTCTTTTGCAGGAGGTAAATGAGGTATCGAGAGCTAGTTAGTGACCTCGGAGTTCAGAATGCTATTCACTAGGTAACTACAAGGGGCTGATACCTGTTGACCTACCGTACGGTATTCACTATAGTCCAACCTGGGAAGAACGGAGAATAGATAGATAGAAGGCAGACGACCAGTACAGATCATTTGGATCAGGGTAAGTATACCCCATATACATGAGTTCTTGACGCTGACGGCACTGATTATATTCGCCACGGACGCTGATCCAGTATTTCTTCGGACGAGCAGGAACAAGTCTTCCACCACGCCTTCCATCAAATCATTCAGTAGTAATTGCTCATTGGACTTTACGTGACTAGTAAATGCCTACTTCAAGTATTTAGGTAAGCATGCCCGTAATGGATCAATAGACCGTGAGCCACAAAAGTTATCAACAAACCGATCGATCGATATATGCAATTCTGAACCCTCAATCCTACATAGGTACGTAACGTAAGTGCAACTAACTCTGACTCTGCCTCGGATTCTCTACCTCTCACCATTCCCATCATACTCCATACAACAGCTTCTAGTAGCAATCACTCATGATGTTGTGCTGACGAGAAGTCTTCATTTCGACACTCCCAATTTCCGCTCCACTCCTCTTCGTTTCCAATCCAAAGCCGCATTATCGTTTAAAAAAGGGTAAACAGGTAATATGTGACATACAAAAAGAAGGAGAAAAAGGGGGTATTCCGCCTTCGAAGTTGGCCGCCGAAACTCCCAGCTGTCGCTGCTACTTTTCCGATCGCCTGGGCCATCATCAGGGCTTTCGTTCGCTCGAACATCACAAACTTTCAGGACTCATCATACTTGCGTCGCCGTCTTCCATTATGCCGTTGACTTTGGTAGCGCCGTTGATTGTGGTGGATCCATCCACGCCATTCGTCATCAATGAGTTCGCGTCTTTGTCGGCGATCTTCTCAATCAGTGTCACTTTAGCTTTGCCAGGCGCTTTCTTTTTCTCCGGACTACCATCACCACCTGGACCCGGAGTGTCAGCATCCGCAACGCCGTTGACCATAGGAGACTCTTCGGTGACACCATTTGCGACAATAGACTTTCTCTTTCCTTTCTCGCCCGGTGTGGTTCCCACACTGGCTTTTGCAGCTGGAGGATTCTTGGCTGCGCCTGACTTCTTGACAGGACTGGCATTGTTCTTGAGAGTGCCATCACCAATTTTGCCGCTAGCAGGAATTCTTGCTCTTCCATAGCCTGGCCTTTGTTTAGGTGGCAGATCCAAGTCTTCCGTCAGAGGTCGATCTCCGTTGTCATGGATTCGTTTTAAGAACCAGTTCTTGACCAGACCAACTTGATCTTCAATGTTTTCGACATTAACCTTTGGCCATCGAGCTGGTTCCTTAAACATCTTCTCGGCGAGATCTACGGTGTTAGTTTGCTGATTATTCATACCCAGACGATTCTGAAGGATATGGAAAGGTACAGTGAGACTGGCCATGCCAAATTCTCGATCAAGACCAAGCTCACGGAAACCGAAGAAATCTTCATCCAGATCTCCAGCAAAGTCTCCACCGACAAATTGTTCACCACCGTCCGCGAATGAACCTTGACCGTGGGCTGTGTCATCTGTCAAGGCAGGTCGAAGGAGATCGGCAAGATGTGCTTTCATCCTGTCATGCATGGTGGTAAGTCGTCCGCCAACACGATCGACATCTTCTTTGACATAGATATCCAAGTCATTGATAGTTACACCACTAGAATGTAAAGTGTGCACAAGGGCTTCTTCGGTGGTATTCGGATTTTGATACTTGGTCTCAATCCCTGCCGGTTGGCCCTGACTGGCGGGAACAGCAACTTGAACAGGGATTTTGTAATCCTCTCTATAATTAACCAGTGTTGTGCATAGGCGTTTAAAAAAGTCTCCTGCTAAATCTGTGATAGCCTCTAAAGCAGAGGGTTGGAACTCTTCAAAGCCGGCATGGAAGAAAACTTGCCCTATCGAACGCTGGAAAGCTGCTTTGCAGACCCACGGCGCCATCAATGGGCCATTGTCTGAGATGACGTGATTTGGAATGTCTTGCTCAAGAAATGGCTCAGGTTGAAACTTTTGGAATTGGTTCTGATAGGTCTGTGATTGCAATTGCATTTGCTTGACGACACCAATTTTGGAGACGATTTTCCGAGTCTCTTGCATTTGTCTCATGTTTGATTCGATCTTTGAGCTGAACTTGCTCTTTGGCGCAATGAACTGATTCGGCGGGTACAGGCGTAAGTATTCCTCGGCGTGATCTATGACATGGCCTTCAGTATCTTGTTCCCATCTGAGTTTGCATTCAAGATCAGGGACTGCGGCGATGGTATCATAATAGTCTGGAAGTAGGCTTTCTTCTTCCACTTCCATTCCCTCGGCAAGAGTCTGACCTTGAAGCTTATCTCGGTTAGAGGATTCTCCATTGGAGTCGGAAATTTCTTTGCCGGCAATCTCATCCTGGATTCTTTGCCAACGGCGCATGCCTGCTTTAGTGCGTAGCAATGCATCTTCATCCGGATTCAGCTTGTCTCCACGGAATAGCTTGTGCCTGGCGGCAGCGAGCATAGCTCGGTCTCGCTTTGTCTTTTGTTTCCAGAGTTTGTATTCCTCATCCTCGTATTCGGGGATGACCGGTTGGGATGGTAGTCCAGGCAGGTCCATATCAAGGGCTTCGCTGCCTGCGCCAATGACGCTGCCTGGACCATGGGCACCAACAGGCGTCAATATGCCTCCTGGCGGCGGAGTACCATGACCTTGGCTACCTTCAACTTCCGAATCAGCGCGAATGCCATTTTGAACAGAACTGATGGATTGGAGAACGGGTTTGGTTTCCGGAACAGGTGTCGTCTCCGGTGGAGCCTTTCGCGATGTCTGGCCGCCTTTCTTTGCGCTTTTCTTGGGCGCCTTACGACCTCGAGAACTCATTATCGGCTCATCATCACTCTCTTCGGCATTATCATCGATTTCACCATTTGCAATCTGTTGTCGTCGCTCTTCCGCCTCAACCTCCGCGCGATCTTTGATGGTGATGTCCGGAATAAGAGGGACGAGCTTGTCAGTCTCCTTTTGCATGAAGAGAGCATGTTTTCGGAAGGGGTGATCGGAGCTGCTGTTGAACTTGAGACAATTTTTCCAGATCTGAGTGAGATCATCTACAAATTCCTTTTTGGACTTGTAGGCAAACTGTTTTAACTTCTTAGTCATGGTGCCGAGATCCATGGGTTGTTTGATGATGATGTAATAGTCTGGGGCATCCTTCTTTTTCACGGGATTTAGGAAAGGGGTCGAGTGTTCGGTATGCGCCTTCAGCTCCGTCAGGACTTTCTCGGCGGACTCGTACAATTCTTCCTGGCCGACTTTGTCTTCGCTTGCCCACTTGCTTCGGTTCTTGCGCACTTCACTCATCAATGCGCGGAGCTCTGATTCGGTAGCATGGACCATGGAGCGATGTTCGTCGAGAAGCGCAATGAGATTTTTCAAGGTCAAACTCGACGCGCCGAGATTGGCTTTGCTAAGGCTGCCTTGTTGCATGGAGGCATTCTGTCGATTGGCATGGCCCTCAGCCTCGGCCTCGGCGCGTCGCTCTGCTTCGTCGAGTCTTTGCTGGTCTAACATGGCATCCCGATCATTTTCCAAGGTGAAGAACATGGTCCGAGATAACGACTGAACAGTTGCAGTTTCTTTGCGCTTCGCCTCTTCCAATTTCTTGCGCACATCTTCCGCAGACTCTTTTTGAGTGGAATGAGGTTTAGTTGGAATCTTGGAAGGCTCAAAGCCCACGGGTCGGGGGACCGGCGAGGAGGTGGCATCGGCGATGATTTGAACTTTATTTGGTTTGTCTTTCAAAGGTGACGCTCTGGAGGTATCCTCGTCTTCATCATCGTCGTCGTCGTAGTCGTCATAGTCATCGTCAAGTTTCCGTTTCTTGGAAACGGGAGGAACGACAGAACTCGAGTCGACAGCGACCTCGGGTTGTGAGGAGGAGGGATGCGCACGTACAGTGCGGGATCGCACCGGAATGACGACTTGACCGGTGGAGTCGAAGAGATTCGCGAACTTGGACTCGGTTTCCTGATATAAAGCGCGGAAGCGAATTATCTGGGGATCTTCGTCGAGGTTTGGCTCAGGATCCGGGGCTTGGCCCGTCTGCGAACCACTCCCGAGACTGCGCAGTCTGTTGAAGGAACTGGGAGTGTGAGGACGTGATGGGGCTCTTAAAAGCCCGTTGAGAGTATCGCGATGGATGGCATGGAGGAGGGAATCGTCATCTGGAGGTTTCTGGCTGTTTTGGGGCGGCCATGCGAGGGACATGGCCGATGCCAACCCCCGATGTAGCGGGCGAGGGGTGCAGATTGCTCCAGTTTGCCCGTGTCGTGCGACGACGACGAGAGTGGCTGGGCAGGTTTGAAACCAGGTAGAGATGGGGAATCAAGTGCACAGAATCGAATGCTGATGAAATTAGATCGATTGAAGATGGATGGAGGAAGTTGTTTGATGGAGAAGTTGTGGTGATTCTGAGGTTGGAGCGCGCAGAAACGAACGCTTGAGGTTGAAAGAACGTACAGGCGCGGCCGCATACAGTAACGGTAGAGTCAAGGTAGCCTTGGGCAGTTGCAGCTTACGAGTAGGTTAGGGAGTTGCCCAAGGTTAGTACGAGGACTCGGTACGGGGCACGGGCGTCGGGTGCTGATGACTACGAAAGGCCTCTACGAGGTCATCCTCACGCCTAACCACGCTTATTCGCCTCTCGCTCACGCCTACCACCCAAGCATCTCCAAGCCTATTGCGCACCCACGCCACGCCTATAACTTATCTCTGCACTGACACTAACTGCCCTAATACTCCGCACAAGCACTCCTTACCCCCTATGAGTCTTTTGGGATCCAGGGATCCGCTGACTAAGTCCTTAGGTAATGTAACTGGATTCCGAGGCTATCCACAGAGTCAAAGGACACTTTAGGAGGTACTTGGTTGACCCATCTGGATACTCGTACATGGTCTTGTAATTCCAACCACTGCATACCCAGGTACCCATCCTAATTGTTCCCGACCACATGTAATCCCATGGCTTCAACGATATAACACCAGGCGGTCACTGCTGCCATCTATCGACCTGACGTGCTGCACTCGTTCGTCTCTCCATTCCCAAAAGTCCACCAAAGGACATCATCTCCGCAGCAGGCTGCTGTTCTCTTCTCCAGAACGACATCAGCTCAATACGACGGCAATGCGCATACGTTTCCCTTTCGCGAGTAAGTCTCTCCATAACAACCAACAGAAGCGACATACTAATACTCTCCGACAGTTGCGTTTGTCGTACTCCTCATCTTCTCCTCGTCACTAGGCCTCCTGCCACACTCATCGCTACCCTCTACCCCCGTCGCCGCACAGCCTTACATCCCACGCCAATCGGACAAAGCGCTGCACTTCATCTGCTTCTTCGCCCTGACCGTCACCTTCTACTTCATCCTCGACACAACGCGCCGACGCGTGATCCATCTGACGCTGATTGTGTGCACACTGGTACTCGCCGTTGGGAGTGAAGTCGCACAGGGTCTGCTCCCCAACGACCGTGAATTCGATCCCTGGGATGTCCTCGCCAACGTCCTAGGCAGTCTGGCCGCACTGGGCCTGTCGAGTGCGTACCATCGACGTGCGGCCGAAAGACGACGCCGCTCGAAATACACGTCGTTGGCGGACGGCGAGCTCGAAGGTGAAGACGTGGAACTGAATGAGGCTGGTGGAGAGCTCGGCCGCGCGCGGGATCCCGATCTGGAGGCCGGCGTCGTTCCTCTGGCGACGACGACGCGCAGTGTTGAAGAAGAGCTGGATAATTGGGATGAGAATGTGCCTGATGACGGATGGGACGATGACGATGATATTGGCACAAGTGGTCGACATACCAAGGCGACGCCCTCGACCAGCTCCGTAGGAAGCGAAGATGTGCCCAGGAAGATGGCGGTGGATTGAACGTCACCTATTGAGGCTGCTACCTAACAGAAGCTATGTTGTTGGGACGGAAACCTACTGCCATACATGCATGAATTCCGGGATATTATCCAAGATTGTACGACTATACCCTGGAGTTAAAGCGAGAATGGGATTTCAGAAGTTTACATATTGGCTTCGATGCTGTGTTTGATTATGCTTGAGTTATGACAGTAAGTTCGTAACTTATCAGACATCACCAGAACCAGGACACGAGAGGGATAGAAGATATGCTTGATGTTCCATGGTTGATTGTTGTTTGCATTGATACTACAGCACTTCCCTTAGGATAAGATACGATACGATGGAATTTGAAGAATAACGCCCTGCTGCCTTGATCGCCAATGCTCCATTCCTTGCATATTCGTTGAACGCTTCAGCCCCATCGACGAAGAAACGCAAAAAGTCCCGCTCACGAGTCGACCATCAAATTGATCTGATTCCAGATCGGCCGGGCCAGATATTGTGAATCGACCATGTCGGTGTCGGACTCAGAAGTGTTGTGCCACAAGTCCTTGGTTTGAAATGCGAAGATAGTGCTCATCTAAAGCAGTTGAAGCGACCAAAGGAAATGCGGAACGGGTTTCGACGAACACCGTGTCTGTCGACAGTGACGCCACCGCCGCCGCGTCGTCCACCCCAGTTCTTGACGTACATAAAAGGCATTTTGGTGTTTGTGTTGGTGGTTGAGTTGACTTGTTTGGTTCTGAACAGGTGTAGAGAGCAGAGTGAGGAATGTTTGTAAGAGACGAAGAGGAGGGTCGTTTGATGAAGAGTTATGGTTATAATGACCTGAAGAAAAGAAGAATCCAATGCCTGTAATATAAGACTTCACAGTGAATGCTTCTTGTTCCCTCCTTCTCCTCCCCACTGCATGGAAACTCGAATGCGCACGGACTTGCCATCTACGTCATGTGTCCAAACAACGGTTGGATCTGCTGCATCGCCAAGCCGCTGCATCCAAGGCACGTTGGCTGCTTCACGACCAACCCTGCCAGTGACGAGCTGGTTATCATGCTGGGCATTTGGGCGGTGCTCATTTCACGGGATAGACACCTAACTATCATTCTTTTTTACATTGGGTTGCTGCAGGAGGGTGTCACCGCGTTATGACGAACTGTGGCTGAGAATCAATCCATGGCCTTGTTGGTCGGCCATTTCTGCCCATCACCTAGGTCCTCTCATCAACATCTCTGAAAGCCTAGCCTCGGTGAGATAGGAGATGTGGTATCTTCGGCCTCGAATGTTCAAATACCTTCTGATCGAAGCCCCAGAAAGCATGATAGGGGGATCAATGTCCCATCCGTATAACTGCGTCAACCAAGGTAGCCAGCATACCATGCCAAGTCCTCTTGAGGCCAGACACAGTAGTACATTGGTACCCCTTCCAGCTGTGCCCTGGAATCACAGGACAGCCTAGATCCTGAGGAATGAACCGTGCCCGACCCGCCGAGCTGTTGCTGAAAGAACATACTCGTATTGTAACCTCTCCGAATTGTGCACGGACACCGAGAGTCGTGACTCGAAATATACCTACCTCGATAGGTCTGGCATCTGCCGCGATGCATCAGGTACGATGCGTCTAGCAGCAGGTCACGGCGAAGTATCAGCGTGGCGGTTTTGATCTCTCTGTCAGTGCCATGACACATCACACTCCATTGGAATTAAGTATCTGTTATTGAATGTTGCGAAAGTCTGTGATCAGCGTCGGGCTGTGGCTGTGAAATGAATTGTGGCACAGCGTGTGTGTTGTGGCGCCTGGTCGAACATCACTAGTACTATCACGGTATGCAAGCATTCTCCTTGAGTTGGGTTATCATCGTTTCTTCATTCTTGGAGAACGGGGGTATCATTTCGAGCACTTCAGATGACCAGAGGTGAGGTCGGTTGCCAGACACAAATTACACAGTACACTGTGTCGATAGTGACAACAGCCAGTTGCTTCCACCTCATCCAAGAACCCCAATTGGGGTAGTCCCCACTCATAAAAACATTCAGTCATATACAACAATGCTGGCTAGGGTTGGGGATCCATTGAGCATCATCTGTCTGCTCTGCTCAGACTCCGCAGCACTGCACTGAGATCTTTTGGTGGTGTCTTTCCGTCGCTTGCAAGTGCTCTTTTCCTCTCTTCTTTGTCTCTCTTGGCCAGTCCTTCGGCACATATTGACAGGACTCGCCCAGCCATAGTGTCCGCTGCATCACGGTACTGCCCTATTCGGTGCATACCATCTGCAAAGGCATCAATCGTTGGCTCAATCGAGTCGTAGAGCTCACCAAGGTCTTTCGAGATCTCAACCGAAGTCGTGACGTGCTGTTGCAACATAGCCAGAGCTGCATTGTCGGACTGTGAAACGAGTTCCCCTACTGGCAATGTGCCTGCCGAGAGGTCGAGATTCTTTCGGTCCGGAACACTGGGTGGTCGTAGAAGAGACTCCAATTCCGATTTTTCTGCCTGAAGCCTATCTTTCATCAGTCTTGTCTTCACAAACCTGGACTAATTCTCACCTCTTGATTTGCACTTCCAGTTCGGAGATCTTCTCAGCGTTCTGAAGGTTCCTGGGATTGGCCCTGTGTGGAAGTGGTTTCGTCTGTATAGGTGCATCCTCTCGACTGAACCAGTCAGAGAGCTCAGATCGATTGGCCAGGTCATTTAGTAATTCTTCTTCGATAACGCGAGCTATAACACTTTAGTGGGGATTCAACTCCAACATAGAATCATGCACAACAAACCTGCTGAACGAGCACTTGCATCTTCGAAGTCCGTACCCATCGGTTTCTCGTCTAATAGGCGAGTAGCGCACCATGTCAATAGTTGTCTCATGCGCCGTGGCTCTAGAAGACCTTCGCTCTCAATATGCTTGTAGAAGTCGGGGATTTCCACTTCGCTATGTGGCAGAGCTGTCACATCGTTAGCATTGGCTGCTCCCAACACCTGATCTCAAGTCTCACCATTAGAATTTCCCGTCTCAATCAAGGAGCTTGCCCTTCGTCCTCGAAATCCGAGACTACTTCTCCTTTCTCCTTTGCCACCTTTGCCCTCTCGCATCGCTTTGTTTCGCTTGATCACCGGCGTGTCGGCGAAAGGCAAGGCGATCTTTGTGGCAGCATGGTCCTCGTCCTGTGTTGGAATTGTCGTTGGTCCTGGTTGGATCTGATCCTGAGATTGTGGAGGTGGCACTTGCTCAGAGATCGTTGATGGTGGAGGTTGAGATTCAGGCTGAGTTTGAGCCTGTGTAGGACGCGGTATTTCCACCACGGGCTGTTTTGGTGGCTTTCTCTTAGGTTTTGCAGGTGAAGACTTCTTCTCCTCGATGGAAACGTTATTCGCTTGCTTTGAGATGGCCTTTCTTTCGGGTTTGGTCACCGGAGTTGTGGCTCGGTCTTCATACTCACGCGACAAACGCTTCGAACGGCGCACCGAGGGTTGTTCGTTGGGAGTGGGCGTCGAAAATGAGAGCCTCTTCCTCCCTTTTTTATCATTTGGCTTGGCATCATCCCCTTTCGACTGTCTTGTGTGCTCTAAGCTTTCAGACTGGGGCAGCGGCTGTTGCGTAGTTGTGAGTAATTGTAGTTGTTCGATCTCTTTGGGTGGCGGTTTTTGTTTCTTGACGCGAGTAAACAGGAACCCGTCGTCGTCCTCATCGTAATCTAGTAGGAGAAGCAAGTCAGTACAAGACCGACTCGCGCATCGCAATAATGCAGCTTACCCAATTTGCGCTTTTTCTCATTAAGAGATTTGGCAGCTTGTGCGCGCAATGACTCTGAGGTCTGCTTGGAGGTCTTGACATTGCCATAGCCCTGAACGCGCTTCGAGTTTGGCGGGTCAACATCTTTCTGATGCAATCGAGCGCTTAATCGCCGTTCGGACATTTGTATTGATGATGCTGAAAGGGGCTGTAGAGGTTGTCGCGCGACAAGCATAGTTGTGAGATGAAGAAGCGAATGCTAACTGCACGTGGGAGTTTCGCGTCAAGCAGTGCGGTGGTCGCATTCGAACGATGGAACTAACGAGAACGGTGCTTCATTCTATTGATGTTTTTAGTAGCGAGTGTATCGTGGGGTCGCGTGCTGAAGTGAATAGGTTAGTCGTGCGACATCATAGACTTTGAGTAGGTGGTGGAGGGTTGAGGTGGTTGCAGCAATAATGCTGAACCGCGGCCAGCGGCGGGCTGTCCTTCATTTGTTTACATTGATTGCATTGCACCTGGTGGTTGAATGCTGGACCGTACAGCTAAGCCACTTCACTGTGGCACAAATCTATTACGAGCCACAATTGATTAGTTTGGTGCGCCATATGGAATTTTGACAGCCCTTGGTAGCAAATGTCACAACGGTTATATCTTAGCATCTCAAGCTCACTATATACGTCCTGATCACATGTCAATCCAATCATGTTGCTAGTACCCATCACAAAATGCTCGTTCAGCAAGATATCGGACCACTTGAATCTGCCATAAACGGATAGAGCCGGAGAGTCACGAGCTTGGCGAGATACCAGGAAAGCCTACAAGACTGAATGGCATGGGGGCCAAAGGGGCAGGATGCACCTGGAAGGCCTTACAAAGTACCTATGGAAGGTGATTGAAGTTGACGTGGTCAAGGAGCACTGAAGCCCGGCAAATCCTTTGACCAAACTACCCGCAAGCAATGTGATTGCGTGGCATTTGGAGCACTATGGATCATGATGATGTAGACAGTTGCATTGGAGAAGGACATGTCAATGCAAAGTTGGGTCCCCGCCTGCCGCCCGAGGGGTCCTCGTTTGTGCCTGCCGTGCCCGCCACGGTCAAGTTGCAAAGTCATGGTAGCTTTAACGGCTATTTGTACTAGCAAGCTGGCTCGCACTAGCCTGTGGGAGTGTCCCGCCCTCGGCGAGTCAGGTGTCTTAAAGCAGGCATTAAAGCTGCACTAAAAACCTTCGGCCGCCAGTATCTAACCAGATAGGTCACCAATTTCACTAAATCTCCAACGAGGGGCCTTGAATGTTGGATCACCGTCCAAAGTCCAAACACGTTCTCATACCATCATATTCGTACTCCCGTACCTGGCTCGCTGGACCCTTCCCTCCTCCATCAGCTCCCACTTCCTTGTACAACAGCAGCTACTGGATCTCAACACTGTCATTCACCCCTCAATCCTCAAGCCCGCCCAGATGGCACTCTAACACTTGATGACCACACTCATTACGATTCAATATCACCACTTAAACTTGCACTCATCCTTCAGCCGCTCCCACTATTCAGCCCGCACCGAAATCCTAGCACAGTAACAGAGCAGAGAGGACACTTCAATACTCTCAAGCCCGCTCCTGCCTTCGTCGTTCCTTCAGGTCACCCTTAATTATATCCTCTCCCTGTTTCCTCAATATGGTCCATATATCTCTTCCCCGGGGACTACCTCACCTGGGGTCTAAGAATAAGGACAAAGACAATGGCAACGGCTCTGGTGGAAATGGTAATAGAAGGCCAAGTTCACCAAGACTTGGAAGCACTGCTAGCAATACCACTCTGTCTGATCAGAAGCCACTCATACTCAAGGTTTATGTCATTAAGGTGAGCTCGTCTTAGAACCACCCCAGGACCATCCTTCGCTCACCCAATCATAGGCACAAAACCTGGCTGCAAAAGACAGATCTGGCACCTCTGACCCGGTATGTACATCTTTCCCTCTCGCTCAACCCTTCTCATTCGCTCCTAGTACCTCGTTGTCACTCTTGGGAACGCAAAACAGGCCACCCCCACCATTAGCAAAAATCTAAACCCTGAGTGGAAGATATGCTTCGATATGCCGTTGACTGGCGTCCCACTGCTTGAATGTACCTGTTGGGACAAGGATCGCTTCGGGAAAGATTACATGGGCGAGTTCGACATTGCAATTGAAGACATCTTTACCAACGGGCAAATTCAACAAGAGCCCAAGTGGTACAAACTCAAATCTACAAGAAGGGAAGGAAAGAAGTCTGGTACTGTTTCCGGCGAGGTTCTCATCCAGTTTTCTATTGTCGACTCTGCCAACCCTTCAGCCAGCCCGGAAGAGATCCGGAGGAAATTTCAGGCCTATCTGGGTGCCCAGGAGGATGACGACGATCTTTCTCGAGTCTCTACAAATGCCGAAGATCAGTTGGCTGAAGATGACATTGATGATGCCGACATCTTGGAAGAGGAAGCGGGGACCGACCCTGCACAGAAGGACGTGGCCAAGGAGAAGAAGAAACGACTCGCTCGCCTTCGACGCAAATCCATTGCTGCCAGAGCCTATAACTTTCTCGCAGCCGATAACGAAGTGTCGGGCATCATTTTTATGGAGATTGTAAAGGTTACCGACCTGCCCCCGGAACGCAATATGACTCGAACTTCTTTCGACATGGATCCTTTTATTGTCGCCGCACTGGGCAGGAAAATCTTGAGGACAAAAGTCATCCGTCACAATCTGAACCCTGTATTCAATGAAAAGATGGTTTTCCAGGTCCTACGCCACGAGACACGCTATTCTCTCACATTCACAGTCATTGATCGTGACAAACTCTCAGGAAACGACTTTGTAGCCTCCACATCTTTCCCCATTCAGAAGATTATCGAAGCTGCACCAGAGGAAGACCCCGTCACAGGTCTTTTTGATCTCCCTGAGCCTCCAGAGTTTTCTCCTGCTATGGAGAAGAAGGAAGGCAAATCTCGCTTCCGACTTCCTCTCTCTCGGTCATCATCAGCAAGCAGTCTTTCAAAACTTGCTCGGCCGGTATTCAGACGAGACGACTCACAAGCTTCCATGTCTAGTGTCAATGGAAGTGAAGGCACCCGCACTCCAATACCTACGAGCGCGCCAGCCGATGGCACTTTTCTCAAGGTTTCCCAGAGCGCGGATAACGGCGCAGCTCAACCATCAGACGATCCTAGCATGAACCCCTATACTATCCCATTAGAGCTGAAGAACAAGGACCGTTGGGAGGACAAGCATAAACCCGAGCTGTCCATCAAAGCGCGCTTCTTACCTTACACCGCTCTGAGGCAACAGTTCTGGCGAGCGATGCTCAAGCAGTACGACGTCGACGAAAGCAAGCGAATCAGCAAAATTGAGCTGACGGCTATGCTCGATACTTTAGGCTCGACTCTGAGGGAGTCGACCATAGATTCCTTTTTTGCGCGATTCGCGTCCGAAAATGATGATCTTGGAGAAGCCGATTTGACATTCGATCAGGTCGTCATTTGCTTGGAAGAGCAATTGGAGAAGAGCAATGAGAAAAAGACGGTATCCGAAAAACTCAAGGGCTTCATGGGATCATCTGCCCAATCATCTCCCGACCCAGAATACGAGGATGACAGTCGATTGCCCATAGTGCCCGAATCAAGCACAGACCCATCCACCAATGAAGATCCAACCCGCCAATCGATACCCATAATACGACACCCCTCAATTGGTGCAGATGGAGAGGAAGGTAAACTACTCGGAAATGATCTTTCAGAAGACGGTGACGATGAAGAGCACGTCATAGAAATACGCGAATGTCCAATATGCCACCAGCCAAAACTGAACAAGCGTACGGAAGCAGACATTATAACACACATCGCAACATGTGCCAGCTCAGACTGGAGGCAAGTCAACAACTTGGTCATGGGCGGCTTTGTGACTCAAAGTCAAGCACAACGGAAATGGTACTCCAAGGTCATCACCAAAATTAGCTATGGAGGATACAAGCTGGGTGCTAATAGCGCAAACATTCTTGTTCAGGATCGCTTGACAGGCCAGATCAATGAGGAGAGAATGTCGGTCTATGTCCGAATAGGCATTCGATTGCTCTACAAAGCACTGGGAGCACGAGAAATGGAGAAGAAGAGAATCAAGAAAATGCTCAAGTCTCTCTCAATCAAGCAAGGAAAGAAGTTCGATGACCCCGCCTCAGTGGCTCAAATCGAAGGTTTTATCGCCTTTCACCGACTGGACATGTCCGAAGTCCTCCACCCAACTGCTTCGTTCAAAAACTTCAACGAATTCTTCTACAGAGCTCTGAAACCTGGCGCTCGGCCATGCAGTGCACCTGATCGACCAGAGGTCATTGTTTCACCCGCGGATTCTCGATCTGTAGTATTCAATACCATTGATGACGCAACAAGAATATGGGTCAAGGGTCGGGACTACAGCATGGAAAAACTCCTTGGTGACGCATATCCTCTGGAAGCTAAGCGGTACAAAGGTGGCAGTATGGGAATCTTCCGTCTTGCACCACAAGATTACCACCGCTTTCACATTCCCGTAGATGGGACGCTTGGAACACCCAAAACCATTGAGGGCGAATATTATACTGTCAATCCTATGGCCATCAGATCAGCACTTGATGTATATGGAGACAATGTTCGAGTGCTTGTCCCTATAGATTCGGTTGCCCATGGAAGAGTCATGTTTATTTGCATTGGAGCGATGATGGTGGGATCTACAGTCATCACTCGCAGACCTGGGGAGCGTGTCAAAAGAGCTGAAGAACTCGGCTACTTCAAATTTGGAGGAAGCACCATTCTGCTCTTTTTCGAACCAGGTCGGATGGTTTACGACGATGACTTGATCGATAATAGCAATGGAGCTCTGGAAACCCTGGTAAGTGCAAAGTCGTACCTCGTTCAAACTCCAGCAGACCCAATTAATATTTCTCCAACAGATTCGTGTGGGCATGTCCATCGGGCACTCACCTCACGTGGAACCTCATAAACCCGACATGAAGAAAGACGAAGGCGACATTACACTACAAGATAGACAAGAAGCCAAACGAAGGATCGAAGGAAGCTTGGCTCCAGATGCGGAGCCCGAAGGATCTGGTGGCTTGAGCTCTTTGAGTGGGGCAAACATACAATAACGAGGTGATACGACTATGTACGATCCATGGCATGTGGAAATTTGGTGATTACGACACGACACGGCTTTGATTTTAGAACAGGCCATGCACACAACTAGCCAGCCCGGGAAAGTGGCAATGGCTCTGGATACACGCGAGAAAGAAACAGTGGGGGATCCTTTGGATTTCGATCAATGCAGTAAAAGTGTAATTCGCCTTGACTTTGAGGGCCTACGCCCATGAACCCAAGAACTTTTATTATTTCCCACTCTCAGGACATGCCGGTCTGTGCGCAGCTGCTGTTTATAACGACTGCTGGTGGGCTACCTTCGGCTACTCCAGCTGGGAGAACCTATCACCCAGAATCCACCTACGCCCTCGCGGCTAACGTCAGCAGCGGGCGTAGCCCATCATCGGCGCTCCACCGAGCGACGTCGAAATTTCTAGCTTTTGTGAAGTTGAGAAACATTCTTGTGGCTATGGACGTGGCCAGTATGCTCGTCGTCCTCGTCTACCAATTCAGGCCAATCCTCGAACCCATCTAGTCACGTCATATCAGCAGGGTCATCTATTTTGTAAAGATGCATTGTCACTCACCCTCGAACAAGACCGCAAGCTTATCATGAATGGACTCTTTATTCTTGAGCCTCATTGTGCGTTCCCACTTCTTCATCTCCGGATCAGTGAGCAGACACGCGTCAAAAGCAGTCTGGAGCCCGGCGTGGTCGAGCTTCTCTCCTATGAAGACGATTTCTTGCCGTCGGTCGCCCCATGGCTCCTTGAAATCGGCCATGATGTTGTTGCGCGTGGACTCGTCGTCGGGCCAGTTTGCTGTGGTCGCCTCGTCAGCCAACCGTATAAGTAGGGCTGAGGCGTGTGGTGTGTACTTACAATCTTCTAGTACGCAGAACCAGGGACCACCTCCTTGGAGAGTCAACATTGTCCCTGCCTGCGACCACTCTCCATGAAGGTTTGGTCGAGTCGCAAGCCATATGAAGCCTTTGGAGCGTAGTAGACCTCTGAAGATTGGGTCGTTGGTTTTGTTCTTTAAAGCAGTCTATGTCCATTTTCAATACGGCGACTCCCGACCTGATGGGTTCGTTGAGTACCCAGAGACTTACCTGGGAATCGATGGATTTGGAGAAATCGTCCTTCCCTTCTGCATCAGCCATGGAAACATCTGACCATGATGCGTCGTCTTCAACATCCTCTTCTTCATTAGGACTGTCGCTGGAGCCGCTGTCGACGTCATCATCATCTTCGGTGTCCTCACCGTCCTCTCCCGTGTCGTTGTCCTCGTTCTCATCTTCAATGACGCCTTCCATCAAGACAAACTTGTCGTGAATCTGTTGATACAGCCTTTTTGGGTGGAAGGGTCGTCGAGCTTGATATACGAAACTCGAGATTCCATACCTATCATGTCAGTGAGGTCTGCTGTCTAGATTGGTTCATCCACATACTCTTCGGTCTCTGGGGTCGGACCAATCTTCTTCTGCCCATTGATATCTCGTACGGCAAGGTCGTGAAGGCTCTGAAGCCATCCCATTCCCGTGGCGGCTCTCTCAAAGTCATAAGAACCTGTAGCGACGACCTCGCGAACATTAACTTTGCAGAAGTTGCCCTCGATGACTTTGGCGGTCGGATTGAGCTTCTTCGTAATGGCAAGAATCCTGCTCCGGGCTTCCGGTGTGACCGCATCGATCTTGTTGATGATAATCACGCTCGAGAATTCGCTGAATAAGAGTCAGCTACTTCTACGAGATTGTAGAGTTGGAATAGGAAAGTACATCTGGTCGACCATGAGATCAGTCACAGTCCTCTCGTCCTCGGGATCTATTTTATCCTTCCCCCATCGTTCAGAGATGAAATCTGTGGTCGAGAAGTTGAGGAAGAAGTTGAACGCATCGATGACGGTGACTAGTGTGTCCAGCTTTGCGATCTTTTGCAAGCCACCGAGTTGGGCTCTGGTACTCAAGGTCAATTCCACCTCCCGGAAATGTACTTGAAGGTGACGGAAGCCTTACATTTCACGGAGGATTTTCTGATCGTCAACGTTATCCATACCTCCCTCGTCAGCCACCTGGATCATGGCCTGTGTGAACTCTTGCGTGAAAGTCTCTGCGACTTGCATGGGCTCGCTGATCCCCGTGCTCTCAATGACCACATAGTCACATTCACCACCTCTAGCCAAGCGAGCCAATTCCTCTAGAAGGTCGCCGCGGAGCGAACAGCAGATACATCCGTTCTCTAGCTGTATTAGTCTCTCGTTCGTCTTTGAAACAACATGCCGCCTGACTAGGTTCGCATCGATATTCAGAGCTGCCATGTCGTTTACTATCACTGCAATGCGTAGGTCATGGTCGGGGGACGTCAGAATATGTTTGAGCAGCGTTGTCTTTCCACTACCCTGTGAAACGACGCCCAGCAATCAGTCTAGGCTCAGCTGGATAGCCTCAGGACTTACCAAGAAACCTGATAGCAGCGTCACTGGAATTGGGCCATCGGTCCTAGCCGAGGTTGTTGTATGTTCAGACATCGTCAACGCTCCTACCGGGAAATGTAAAGGTGAAAGTGATGAGGAAAGAAGTATTTTCCCCCTTCAGGTTCAGCCATAGATCTGAATATGAAAGCGCCATTGCGACCGCTGCGGGCTGGATTGGCCAATGAAAGTCAATGTATTGTCGTTGGAAAAGATGAGGACCTTGAAAACATCCACCCCAATTTGTTGCACTCGAATCCAGTCTGTCCTCAGGTCTTCGCTATGACTGTCAGATAGCACGTGAAGATAACGGTCAATTTGATCATTTGTATCAAGATAGGACAGCAGATATGGCACCAAGGAAACGAATGCTCGGGTAGGATCTTGGATAAATACCTTAGGGAAGGAGACTCGCGAGATGCTCAGCTAATACCTGACTAAGCAGATGACTTTCGAACCTACGAGTAAGTGTGCCCCTGGGTGGCAGGCCTGACAAACACTTCTTTCTGGGTGTCCTACTGGGTACGCAATGGTGCTCAACACTTCCACGAGTGAACCTCGCTATCCCCGAGAACCCGACGCCAGTATCAGATTTCGCATTCGAGGGGGCCTCTCACGTTCGTTGACGTGATTCTAACACACCGGGTGCAGTTGATCTTCATGGGTAGAACATTCTTCCAACCGATGCTATCCGTCGGATACTAAGTATTGGTCACGGTGCAAGCCATAGTCGAATGTGCGCGGTGATGCGTGAACGGCATGGCTAGCACTGACGGGGAGAATGATTATGGTATGTATGTTGTGATGGAGATGTCGAAGTATTTACTCTTCGAAACCTGAGTTCGAGACATAACGCAATAGAGCTTAGCGATGTGGACTACCTCCCCAAGTAGGGAATGATTAAGTGTCTTGTGGTCTGCTCATGGAGATGGCCTGATGCCGGGTCTTGGCATGCTGGGCCGTGTGAACACCGTGTTTGACCGTCGAAACCCGACCTCGACCTCATATTTCTTGCCTAGCCCAAACGATATCCAAACTCAATCTCTCTCGTCGAGGTAGCTACCATCCATATCGCGCAGATTTAGTAAGCCTTGCTTCAACTCTGCTTCTATGATGTTGACTAGTAACTTCCACGGCTTGGAATGGCCCCAACCTCGCTTTACCACGGTCATGGGAGGTTGAGGCTGAAAATTGCGCGGCGACTTCTCCTTTAGGATACTACTTGTTGCTTTGTAAAGCACAAGGCCATTCATTCATGATGGAATGCACTGTCCATGATGGTGACGCCTGAACCCGATTCGTCGCCTGGTGACATCTAGCCTTGTCCGTGATTGATGCGTCTTGGCGAACCTCTCGATGAGAAGTTGTCCAAGAGCTGAGAAGGCATAAAGAGCTGCCAGAGACGCTGTGATGAATAACCTACCAGTTCCAACATATGTAAAACACATCCAGGCGTTCTCACAATACTAAACCACTAGGCCGAGCATTCGCTCCGAGTTCGATTGACGACATACCTTGCATGCTTAACCACTATTCTCCCTGCTGCATTCATCAGTCTCAGCCATGGAGGACCTACCCACAGATTTCTTTGTGACGACTTCAGCATACACACCCACAGTCCACCGGGATCAATATCCAACTATCAATCCCAGGAATCCCGAAGTTTCTCAAGCAGGTAAAGTCGTCATCATCACGGGTGCTTCATCAGGAATTGGTGCCAGAGGGTTCGCCCCAGCGTTTGCGAAGGCTGGACCAAAAGCAATTGTGCTCGTGGGCCGGAACATAAGGAGGTTAAAGCAGACCGAGGAAGTGATCAGAGCGATCAATCCTAATGTTGAGTATATTTCAGTGCCAACCGATCTAACTGATCCTGCCTCGGTCGATCGTCTTTTCAGATTAGTCCGTTCGCGGTATGGGCATGCCGATGTACTTGTCAACAATGCAGGCACTTTCTCTCCAAGCGATGTTCTGGGTAACGTGGATCCAAACGCATGGTGGTCCGATTTTGAGATTAACGTCAAGGGCACGTTCCTCGCGACCAGAGGGTTTCTGTCATTGCTTGGTTTTCAGCGGCAGGGTAAGATCATCACTTTGAGCACCAGTGGTGCAACAGCGGTCTTTCCAGGCTTGTCCGCATATTCAATCTCTAAATTAGGGGCTTTGAAAATCGCCGAGTACGTTGCAGCAGAGTATTCGAACGTTACCTCTATCGCAATGCAGCCTGGGACGGTAATGACTGAGATGGTCATTGGTGGGTCCACTGCACGTCCTATCGATCACGTCTTGCCTAACGCGCATAATCCAGACAGTTTCAAGCGTTTTGCTCTCGACACCCCGGAATTGGTTGGGGGAACTGGCGTCTGGCTTGCTAGTGACGCCGCTAACTTCTTGACTGGAAGATTTGTCTCTGCAAATTGGTCTGTCGATGATCTGGTGAAGAAAAAAGATGCGATTCTTGCCTCCAATGATCTTAAACTCATCTATCAGGGTCGCTTTGGTCTGGATCAGTTCAAGTGAGGGCACGAATGCTAAGCAGCATTGGAGTTGGCAGGAGGGAAAGTTAGTTGGTACTTTCTATTCTCTGCAATACTGGAAGGGTACAAGCACTTAATAAGCTGCTCAATTGACATGTCTCTGGCCTCGATCATGGTTCAAACTATGGATATTTCATTTCGTCGAGACCTCGGACACCCTAGACCTCTTTCCCCCATCTAATGCTCAAATTTAAACCCAATGCAATTTTGCCGAGTGGAAAGCTGCCTCAAAGACAATCTTGAGAGGTTCCATCACAGCCTCACACTTTTGGAATGGCTTGGCGCCACAAATAGCGGGGTCAAGGTCAAGCTGAAGCAAGTCAAATACGAGGTCGGTGAGAAGACAATCTTCAGCTGGAAGAAGGAAAGTCAAGACTTGATTTAATTTTTCACACACGGCAGAAGACTCTAAGCATTGTAAGCGTGTCTGTGTGACCATCTTTATGGTTAGCAGTCAATGCGTTTTCCTTGTGGCTCGCTTACGACCAGATTGCGAGGTAGGTACTTTTGTGTGCCATGGCAATGGTTGACACCAAGAATGCAACCCCTCGACCGTCCACTTTCCTAATATGGACGCCGGCGGGTAAAGGGGATAAGAAAGATCAGGTCTTTCGCCGGCACCGGCATGCAGCCATTGTGCATCATCAAAGGCGCAAGAAGCGAGACGGTGCATCAGAACCTCGTATCTCTTCGACGATCCTCCTCAGCAAGCCAGTACTGAACCCTCCTGAGCCCAATAATACGCCCCCAGACAGCGAAAACAGTGAATCAACAGGTTCGGAAAATGACTTTCCAATAGTAGAGCCGGCTTCTGGTCGTCTCGATCCGTTTGATGTTCTTTGCATTCGGGGTTTCCCCAGCGAAGCCTTGGCTCTGTTCCAATCAGGTACGCAATCATAGTATTACTTTATTTCCCATGTGCGATCTGTCTAAAGAATCACAGCAATCAAGAATCAATGGCCTGCATTTGCATCGTCGAGTCACCCACGAATCATCGAGAGATGGAAGTCAACCACTACGCACCTCGCAATGGAAACGCCCTACTTGCTCGAAGCCATCACATATGCAGCTTGTTGCTACCAACTGTTCTTTGGCTCAGGGAATAGCTCTACCGAATTTCTCCGTCTGAATTCTCATCAGCAAGCGGTTGTATACCTCCGAGAAGGTCTTGCAAGCAATGGGGGAAGTGTTACGGATGCAATGCTTTTGTCAATGGCCATTCTCGGAGTGCATACTTCGGCTTACCCACCACAGCAACGCCCGCAGATGGGCGATGTTGGTCACCGGGATAATGATTTCTATTCGAGTCAGACCTGGGAGCAAACTCACATTAATGCAGTCTTGCGCCTTACAACACAAAAAGGTGGATTGCAGAGCATTTCGATCCCGGAATTGCGAGAGATGATTCTCGTGTAAGTTGGAACTTAGTTCTAGCAAAGTACTTGCCAGCTAACGATGGGCCAGGATTGATACTCAAGACTCCTTGAACACACTGAGGAAGCCAAATTTCCCTCTGGAGAAGACAACCATTAGTATGATCCAGACTCTCCGCGCCAACTGGAGCTCGGAAAAAAAGAAACAATTTGCATCTCGCAAGAACGGCTTCAAGTGCTTACTTGAAGTCAAAGATGCGGAAGAATTGTTCAAACTGACTACCAGGATCTGCAGCCTACTCGAAAGCTTTGATATGATGATGAAAATGGGCCCACAAAGTGGAATGGATTTCCTCTTCGTCATCGCTACCAGACGTTTTCTACAGCATGATGCGTTGTCACTGCCGGTAAATAGTGATTCTCTCCACAAGCTATGTCGCCTTGCCGTTATCACATATATGGCTGAGTGTATCGAGCCATCATCTTCTCAGTGGCCGATGCACGAAGCCACCTCAAAGGCACTTATGCTAGCTCTGGACGAATGTGACAAGATAGGCATTGGGGAAACCCAACCAGATCTGCTCCTTTGGGCAACGGTCGTCGGAGGGTTCGCATCACGGGAGACATACTTGCGTAACTGGTACCTCGAACAGCTCTGCAGTTACTCCTTGACAAAATCCGGAGGGACATGGTCCGCTGTACAGGAGTTATCTGAGAGATATCTGCCTCTGAGATACCGCCAAGGGCAAGGCTGTGCTTTGATCTGGGAAGCCGCTCATGCATGGTTATCGAAAGATCGCTATGCCCAACCAATACGGATACCCAATGCGCCCCTGATGCTGTGATCGGAACCAAGTGAGAGAGAGCATCAAGATATTTTCGGTAACATTTTCATCCTTTTCAGGCATTTCAACTCAGGAAAGAAAACAAAATCGTCATTTCTATTTTTTCGCCCAGTAGGACAAAACTTACAGCATTTTGGTCTCACTTAACTTCCGGGAACATTCTTGGGACATCAAAGTTATCTGTCTCCCAAAATCGTCCCTCCCAAGACTCTTCACGAGGTCGATCACCGCGCAGCTGGATTTCTTCTGCCACTTTTTCCATGTCGCTCCATGCACGAAGCAGGTTGTTTCCTACGAGTTGTTTCGCCTGCTCATCGGTCACATTACCTCGAGCAAGAAGATGTTCGATCAAATTTGGCCATTGGGATACATCCTGCCAAGCGATTAGCAAAAAGTACTGGTTTCCTCATCCAAAGAAAGGGCATGTGGCCGGAGCAAACATACCTCAATACCCTTAACAACGAATGTCGACCCGTCAAAATCGGAACCCAGTCCCACGTGGTCCCAACCAGCAACTTCAGCGACCCACAGAATATGATCGATGACATCTTCGACCGTGACTTCTTCAGGGTGAACTGAGTTCAAGAACAGTGATATGACAGGGATCATTACAACGCCACCATTCTGTTTTACGGCTCTTAAGACATCGTCGGGAACATTTCGAAGATGGCCATGCACACTGTAGGCACCGGAGTGTGAGAAGATGACCGGTGCTTTCGCAACCTCCAGAACATCGCGCATAGTTTGGTGGGAAACGTGTGAGATATCAACGAACAAGCCCAACCGATTCGCCTCCGCCACGAATGATCTCCCAAACTCTGTCAGCCCGGCGTCTTTGCCAGTCTTGAGATCCATGCTGACCCATGAGGTGCCAAATGCGTTGTCACAGTTATGAGTCAGTGTCATATACCGGGCACCCGTATCGAAGAGCAAGCGCAAGGCACCAAGGGAATTGCCAGTCTGATGGCCGCCCTCGATACCAATCATGCTGGCGACTTTTCCGCTCCTGTGAACCCTTCGAACACATTCTGGTGAATAACACAGCTCGAGAGATTCCGGGTACGCTTCAACTAGACGTTTGGTGATGTCAATCTGTTCGAGTGTGTCTCGTACTGCCCACTATCAATCAAGTCAGCAAAACCGGATCATCAATATCAAACACATTTGACAATTGAACATCTCTGGGGACGAACATTAGGCTCATTCAGGTCCGGAACTCGCTTATTTGGATCATCAGTCTTAACACCGGGCACGAGATCTTCTGGACAGGGGACAAAGACACTCCAGAATTGGCCACCCATCAAACCTTGCTTCATTTTCTGGAAGTCAGTCTGACTGCCAAGCCTCTCGTTTTCAAAGTCACGGTCGTAGATCTGGTTATGCAGTTGATGTCTCAACAAGTACGGGAAATCGTTGTGGCCATCGATCAAGGGTGTGCTGCGTAGGATCTGCCGGGCCCGTCCTGCATAGTCTTGTGGGTCGAGACGCTCTTCAACGAACTCCGCTGTTGTTTGCTGGGTGTCGGAGCTGAAGACGCTCGGTCTCCAGGAGAAGTGATTGCTGTTTGTGGCTAGTGAGAATACGGTGATGCCCAGGAAGGCGAAGCCAGAGATGAGCGCAGGTAGTGTCAAACTCTTCGACTTTTGTTGTTTGACTGGGGTGGGTTTATCGCTCAGGGTCTTCTTGGAAGACATCTTTCTAGGTACCTAGAGATGTTAGTCCTCTCGACTTTTTGTGTTGTTGGGTGAAAGGTTTTGTCGTAGGGGGGGAGAAAAAGTTATTATACCTTGGCGTGGGATTTTACCGGGTACATATAATGCTCCTAGTTTCGGGTGCCTTAAATATCAGATAACTGTCGTATAAATGTTACCCTCCTGGGAAACACTGAATATCTTTGGACGAATTACGGTAGAGTGTTACTAAATAGTGTGGAAACATGTCGCCACTGACCCTTCCGTGGCTAAGCGGAGATAGCAACTGGATGGTACATTATGTTAAGTGTTAGCTGTCACAAGGTGATACTAGAATCGACACTAGGCTAGTGCAAAGGTCAAAGCGTTTATATATCAGTTTTACTTTGCGGGGATTTATCTTGTTCGCATTTAGAGAGGCTACCAGAAACATGAGCAAACGAGACCCAATGCTTTTAGCTACGCTGATGGGTCCAAGATAGACCTATCAACTCTTTCCACGCCACATTATTCTGCTTTCCACAGTGCTCTGGGTCTTTCCCCAGCAGCTAATCTACCAACTGGAGTCTATCGACCAGGATTCTATGAGCTAGTCTTATTCCTGACAGAGCGCACAACCCTGGTGAAGAGCGACGGCTTCTCCTCGTCTTCGCTATCACTGCTCAAAAACTGTCTTTGACCGTAGAGAAGATCCACCTCCCTCAGATTCACCAGCTTGGACTTTTTGTAGAACTTCCAGAACAAGAAGATAACCAAGAAGAGCACAATGACCAGGTACGAGAAGACAAAGTCCACAGGATGCCACGGCGTCAGCAGAGATCCGTAACCTTGAATGAACAGCAGGAAAATGTTGAGCACGGTGATAAAGTATGCACCGTAGGGGTACAGGAACGCTTTGAACGGAAGTTCATCCACTGTATGACCCTGGAGCCTCCAGGCACGACGGAAACGCAGATGCGTGATGCCAATGCCTCCCCAGGCAATGAAGGTTGCTGCGCCGGAGAGCGAGATCAGATAGTTGAAGGTCTTTGCTGCACCACTGGCGGCATTCACTAAAGCCAGCAGTCCCACTAAATTGGTGGCAATTGCTGCGTAGACTGGCACACCCCCGAAAAGTGTCTTCAGGAATATCTTCGGGGCACGGCCGAGATCAGCAAGTGCATAGAGTGTGCGCGACCCGATGTAGATGGAGGAATTTGTAGCGGAGAATGTCGCGGTGAAGATGAATGCATTGATCAAATGGGGACCGCCACTCCAGCCTGCGTGCTTGAGAGCAATTGCAAATGGTGACATGATTGCCCTGTTTGAGGGGGTGAGAAGCAACTCATCGTTAGAGGCCACGGAGATACTGGCGAAGAACATGATACCCATGTAAATGAATATCACACGAAACATAGTCGCTCGGACCGCCTAACGAATTAACCCTGGTTAGTTGATCGTCGTCCTCTTCTTGTTCAAGACCAAAAAACATACCTTGGGGAGATCTCTGGCAGGATTGCGACTTTCTCCTCCAGTGATGGCAACCAATTCAGTACCACAATGATACACGGCCGCAAGGACAAAAGACTGTCCAAATCCATTGATTCCATTCGCGAATGGACCTGGGTCTTTCCAGTATCTGAAGCCGATGTAGTCACCTCCGATTCCTCCAGTATTGACCAGTATGGCGAGGAGGTATGTAACCATCACGCAAGAAATCTTCCATAAGGCCAACCAGAACTCAAGTTCTCCATACACGATGACACCGAAGAGGGAGATCGCCTGGTAAAAGGCCCAGCACAGCAAAACCCAGCCATAGACTGGTACTTTGTCTGTCCAGAAACTGAGGCAGATGGCGACAAGATTGTATTCGGCAGCAATATTACTGGCCCACTATTGATCGATTAGCATCTCTTGTAGCTGCAAAGCGATTGTCTTCATGAAATTTACCAAGTACCAATAATTCCAGCCCAGAGCAACAGAGAAGGCAGGGTCAATGAAACGGCCTGCCAACTCGGTGAAGGCACCCGGAGTAGGGTATAGTGTCGCCATCTCTCCAAGACTTTGCATGACGAAGAAGACATCAAGTCCAATGACGGCAAAGGATATAAGTGAGCCAATCTAATGCATTCTATAGTTAGTTGACTGTCTTTCACCATATTCTGAAGTTGTGGGAGATGGACTTACAGGCCCTGAGGCAGCAATTGATGCTCCGACGCCATACCAAATACTCGCCCTGTGAGAGTTCGGTCAACAAACGTGTTATCACGCGTTCAGTGGTGTTACTCACCCAATCACCCCACCGAGTGCAATCATTTGCAGATGACGCTGCTTCAATGCTCGATGAAGACCATGGTCGACGACCACACCATTGTTGCCGATTTCAATGCCATCTGTCTTGTCAATGCTACCCCGGGTGACCGGATCTCCAACATTGACCTCAGCAATATCGCCTTTCGCATCCATTCTCAAGTGGTATATTTCTCAGAATATGCTCTGGCTGTGTCTGAGTGAGAAACAAGATGGAGATGGAGATGGAGCAATGGAGACTGGAGAATTAAAATACTTCAGGCCCTTGGTGATCCTTATCTGGTCTGACGTCGAAAACCGCACATAACCGCAGACCATATCGAGATGATAAAGATCAATCCTACTGTGGCTTACCGCAAAAGGGGAACAGCCAATGTCAATCGAGCGTATACGATTTGGACGCAATCGAATTCAATGCAATCTGGAGTGGCAAAGGTTCGCAAGACGGAACTAGTAATCGAGCACGTTCCGTGTGCATTGCACCGTCGCCTAAAGTCCGTGAGATGAACGTGGTCTAGTATGCGACTCATCCTATAGAGCGCCTGGTCCACCGCTAAACCGTGTATAACCGTGTGTCAACCAATCAAGACACCATATTGTACGAAAGTCACCAGGAAGGAAGAGGTTAAGATCGAGAGCGTATCAACCTGGGGGAGTTGCTTAGCCCATCTTGGCACTGATAGCAAGCATGATCTGCATCCGAGGTTCATTGAAAGAAGTGGGACTGGGTGAACTGCCTCTCGCGGACTCGCGTTACGTGGTGTTTATCAGTTCAGGCGCCCCATTCAGGCATACGATCCAATGACCATTTCGAGGTTTGTTCAGCCTTATCATGTGATCACACTTTTCAGGGTCGCATTTCCCCTCTTCTGATTCGGTTCCCAGACACCAACGACACTTAGTTTCGTTCGTTTCTTAGCTTACAATATAGTACACATTCCAATGCTTCAGAGCATCATCCAGCACTCTACACAAAACAATCTTATCCGGCCTCGATGATCGATTACTGCGTCACGGAATCTCGAGAGTTGCAGTTTCGGCGCCTAGCTTCGTGGGCAATGATGGAATATGAAAGCATGAAATCTCCCACCGGAAAAGTCATGTCCAGCTCAGATTTCTCCCTCGTCCAGGACGAACTGGTTAGTCTCAAGTGGCCTGACATATGGGGTTATCATTAGTCTACCAAAAAATTCATACAATGGCTCTACTCAGGACGCTTCTCTACGCGAGCTTAGCTCTGCCTGCTTTGGCCGAGATAGTCGTGCCTCCACGAGCTGACATGGCACTTCTGGGTCCCATCTATCAACCTGCTGCCAACAGCTCCTTCAAGGCTTTCGAAGATGCTGCTACCAAGGCCAAGGCAGCCATCGAAGAGATCATTGCCAATGGAAACAGTAGCTTTGGACCATTCGACACTGAGACGACCTCATTCTCATTGTCCGTTTTTACCGCTTCTGATGCCAAGCCCTTGTTTGAATATCATTTCGAAGCGCCGGGCTTGAATGGCTCTTACACCAAGGGCAAGTTGACAGAGGATACCATCTACAGAAGTGGCAGCCTGGGGAAGCTTTTGGTGGTGTATACGTTTCTTGTCGATATTGGAGACGATATCTTCACAGATCCGATCACCAAGTATATCGTGAGTGGCCCAATCCCATCTTGACAAAATAAAAATACTGACTTTACACCCCTAGCCTGAGCTTGCTGAAGCGAATAAGAACTTCATCAATCCTATTGTCTCAACCAATTGGTCAGAAGTCACCGTCGGATCTATTGCTTCCCAACTGTCAGGCATTGGTCGTGACTGTGAGAGAACCCGACCTTGTGCCAACTTAAGCTAATAATGTACTAGTTGTGCTGGGAGACCTGTCTATTGAAACATTCGAGAATCCACCACTGGATGTTGTGGTTGCCAATGGTTACCCTGAGTTAGATAACAAGACTTTTCCTCCGTGCAATTTCTATGGGCCTCAGCCAACCTGTACCCGTGAACGTACGTTTATGGTCCTATGAGGAATTGAGTTGCATTGCTGACTCCAGGCTTCAGAAACACTTCAGGGAATAATCAACCACCCGCCCGCTTTCAAGTCCTACACAACACCGGCATATTCGAACCTGGGATATCTGCTGCTAGGGCTAGTTTATGAGAGCATCACGGGACGCACCATTGATGAAGGGCAACTTGACGTGTTCCACAACAAACTAGGAGCAACTTCAACCTATCCCCGACCTCCACCTGCGGATGTCGATGCAGTCATACCCTACAACGACACATACGCGCTCTTCAGTTACGACTTGGGCCTGCTAGCTCCGTAAGCTCATCCAGACCATCTGGCTTCAACCATTTGCTAACGTGTTTGGCCACAGGGCCGGAGGACAATATGTGTCAACGAAAGACTTGAGGACATGGGGACAGGCTATTTTGAAAAGCACTCTACTACCACGGGCTCTGACTGGGCGCTGGTTAAAACCGAGATCCTTTACTTCTCAGTGGGCTTCCGCCGTTGGGGTAAGTGTTACCATCTTGACCTTATGCGGAGGCACACCTTGCTGACATAGATTCCCCCTTCAGGCGCCATTCGAGATCTATCGTTTAGAAATCCCATCCAATGAGATTATCAATGCAGGTCGGATTGTGGATACTTACTGCAAGCAAGGCGATGTGGGACAGTATTCCACCTACTTCGGTATTGTGCCTGATCTCGACATTGGAATCTCTGTGCTGGCCGCAGGTGTGAGTCCGAACAGACAGGTACCTCCGGTTCGAGACACCGTCGTTGAGCTATTCGTAAGTCCAGTATTGCCTCTGATCTGAAATCTCTGCTGATTCGTGGTCTTCAGTACGCCGCAGCAGATGCCGCTGCCAAAGAACAAGCCAGCAACGCATTCCGAGGAACATTTAGATCCAAGGAGGCCAACTCATCGATCACGCTGACAGTGGACGGCGGTCCAGGCGTGCTTGTAACGGACTTCATCAGCAACGGAGTCGATTTCCTGCACAGTGACATTCTTGCTAAGTTTAATACCTTCCGCCTCTTCCCCACAAATCTCAGCTACGACGAGGACGGGGTTACATATTTCGCCTATCGGCTCGAATTCGGACGCAACAATGGTGAACCCGTGCTTGGTGACTGGTGGTCTGAGTATAATGATCAATGGCTGCAGGTCGACTCGCTCATCTACAATAATCTGGCAACGGATGCATTTGTCATCGGATTTGATGCTGATGGAATCGTGCAGAGCGTTGCTTCGCAGGCTTTCCGGACCACTATGGTCAGAGCTTAGACACTCTAGAATCCGTCTCGGCAGTGGACCTGATGTTTATTCCCTAAGGCGGCCCATTGAGAAGAGAGGAGCCGAGAGGAGAGGGTGTAACTGAGCTTACGTAGCATCATAGTGATCGCAAAGCTAGCTCCAAGTAATGCTAATTCATGGCCGGCAAGGTTAATGCGAACATTCCTTTCCGTCTTCTGAATATATTTTACAGGCTGGTGGCTTTCAACAGCCTCGTGTCAAGTGATGTACGATCGCATCAGCCTGGATAACTACGCAAGCGACTGTTTCAGGCGGAAAGTCACAACACACTGTGTGGGCGGATACGAATTCGCACTCGTCGTTCTCAGTTCATATTCAACCAACCACCAGTGCTAATCTATACTGATCCCTTTCATTGCCACCTTTCCCGTGATGGGAATCCAAGATACATGTAAGAATACAAGACGCATATGCATTCCGTTCCACCACACTGAATGCACGTGTGCAGATAACCCAAACCCAGCTACTCCACGATCTGGTGGCGAGTCTCGGTACAACTCACACCCCAAATCATTTTCTTTCCTGGAACATTTATGATGCGATCGCCCAAACAAATATATATATTTGACATTTTTCTCGGTTCAAGCAAAGCAGAAGAAAAAAACAAGGGTAAAGAAATGAACGCAAACCAACGGGCCGTTCAAGGCCAGCCAGTGCAGTCATCAATCCATTGTTCGGCGTCACAGGGTCGGAAGGGGATTTGTCTCTTGTTGAGGTGTTCGCTGGACGAGGTGTCTCGCTTGACTGGAGTGCTGTATTGCATGGCCTCGGATCTCTTGACAGGGGCGGCCTCAGAGACGGACTCTTCTCTCTTTCTGGGCCAGCCGGTGCAATCGTCGATCCATCGTTCCGCATCACATGGTCTAAACTCAATCTGGCGTCTTTCAGGTCGGGAAGTGGGATCTCTCTTCTTGAGTTCGGGTGTCACGGCGGGGGTGTGACCACTGGCGATGATGTCGTTCCAGTTGTCGGCTGTGGTCTGGTCACGAGTGCCCAATGCTTTGATCTGGGCTTTGGCATCGAGGCAGAGCGCTTGGGCAGCCTCGTTGGCCTCACAAGCGCCTGCGAGTGCCTCGCAGATTTGAGCGGCGATGATGTCTGGAGAAAAGTCAATACGTGGGGGTTTGGGTTTTCATTTACATTGGCTTACTTGGATCCATGGCCGAATTCTGCTCTTGGGCAACAACAGGATCGATGGGACGGAAGGCAAACTCATCAGCCTGTCGACCTCCCAAGCCTCCCTCGAACTTCATGGTCGGAACGCAAAAGCCAAAATCGGGTTGCACGCTCTGTGCGTGCGGCTTTGCCTTTGCCGAGACAGAGGCAACAGCCATGAACATGGCGATGGTAGATGTCTTAACGAGCATGGTGATGGTTGAACGAGTCTGATTTTAACGAGGCAAAAAAAAGGTCCAAAGGATTTCGAAAGAGAGTCTGGCTCTTGAAAAAGAACGTAAACTGGCCGGCCAGCGGTAACAAAGGAGTGAATTGAACGAAGAACGGGTATGGATAGGTCAGAGGGAGGAATAACTCGATGTACCAAAGACTGGATCAAGTCTTGGAAGTTTCTTTAATACATAGCTGTGCAGATTATGCGGATGGTTGGCACGCCAAATGCTTGTTTCGAAACTGAGGCAAAGGGTGTCTGAATCGGGTTTCACGTGCAAGGCTAGGGGTCAGATCTAAAGCTTAGCTGTTCTCGCCTCCAGGGTACCGAAACATGGACATGAATATGACTGTTTGAATGTGGGAAGCCTCGTCATCATGCAGAGCTGCATGTCTTTGATGCATTATTGAAGTTGTCAAGGTAATGATATTCTGCGGCTCTGTTGGTATGAGAACTTTGAGAGTTATTGGTGGTATCGAACGTTCTGATTGTCAATCCCAGTAAGCTCTCGCTTCGCAGTCGGAAAACAAAGCGTCAATACACTTGATGCAATCATAATGGCCTCCATGTCTCAAAGATTTGGTTATGATCGAACTGTGTGCATCACGGCTGGCTGCCTCGCGACCAGATCAAATTCTCTCAGGACCATGTGGAAATGTAAGAAGGCGGCAGCTCTGACAGTGCTTAACAAATTGGCGGTAGGAGATTGAGACTAAGTACCCCGCTATTCCAGGATCCTTGGCGCAAAGGGACGACTGGATTGCTTGAAGGGGTTGATGATGAAGTCGGAAGTGTAGCAGAGTGGAAGAATAGGAGGTCTAAGGGTCCTGAAAGTGGTCTAGGGTTTGGTCAAATCCCCCTGGGTCACGTGAAGATGGATCACTACGTCATTTTCACATCCGGCCCACCCTTTACCTTCAACGGTTATCTTAAACTCCGATCTTTTGAGATTCTTCAGTTGAGCTGTTTCTTAGCTTAGGCACGGGATAGCCTCTTCAAACCGACAACCTAGGGATATGGAATATTTGAATTAAGTAATCCTGGCTTTCAGTCTCACGAGGAACCCTTTTCCCTTCCGTTGGACTACTAAACCATTTCATCACTTCCAGTTAGATGGATTATTACTGGAGTACGACTATATAATAGAATGATATGCTCGTGGTATTCCTACCCTCAACTTGGGTCCGCTTGTTGTTATATGCTAGTGACGAGCAGCATCGGATAGGTTCGTGTCGAGATGATATGCTCAACTTTGTGCCCTGGGGTTCTGTCAACAGCAAATCAACTCCATCAATGTCGGTGTGCTAATAACTGGCATCCTCGTAAGCACCAGATCAGCTTATACACCTAGGAACTCTTGATTCTACTACGTAACGACGCTTGTACACTTCCATTCTTTCTGTTTTTGCAGGCTGTTACGACTGACATGCACAGTGGCGGAATAGCTCACAACAGGAAGCGGGCCGAATATCGCTAAGCGGGAATGCTTCCCAAGTCGGTTTTCAACGGCGGTTGATATTCTCCTTTTGTATGTGTCGTACCTCCGAATATCTACCATCACTAGGAAATTGTCTTGGTCTGGTGGTGGCTCCATCACAGTTACCCACCTATTCGTAGGTAGGTAGATACTGATCTATACCAATGAAGCACGCAAGGCACAGGTGCGGAGTATTTATGGAGTACGGAGTATCTGGCAAAGTGGCGATCCGTCCCCATGAATTCTCTCCACACTCCTTGTCCAAGGGTGATCAGCATCCGAATATCAACCGATGTACCACATATCATGATCCTCATCTCCTAGAAGGTCTTCCACTGTAGGGCCTTTCGATGAAGCCGTGGGTCTTGTCTCCAGTTCTTAAAAGTCTGGCACAATGACAGAGATACGAAGCCAACAAGACACACTGACCGGCGGAACGGGTACAGAATTTATTTCTCAATCCGTGACTGAGAATGAACTGGCAGCCACTGAACCACAGTCGAAGATCACTCGACCTTATGTGAAACTCGCCTGTGCTGGATTCTCCTTCTTCTACGCAGGCACAAATGATGGCACTATCGGACCCTTGCTCCCGTACATACTTCGGAGATACAATGTCAGCACTGGTCTCGTCACAGTCATGTATGCTACCAATACTCCCTGAAGGTTAGATTGCTCGCCCACCTGACAAACAAACACTCACAGATACGGAGCCACATTTACTGGTTGGGTGATCTCCGCCCTCACGAACACCCATTTAACAACGACACTACGTCTCAGCCTCGGGACAACACTGACGCTAGGTGCAATACTCCAACTGGCCTCACAACTCCTGAGGTTCTGGAATCCACCATTCCCGCTCTTCGCCGTGACGTTCCTGTTGACGGCCCTGGGACAGGCATATCAAGACAGCTTCTCCAACACCTTTGTCGCGAGCCTCCCCGTCGCGCATCGCTGGCTCGGCTTCATCCATGCCATGTACATGCTCGGCTGCCTCACCGGCCCGTTCATCGCCACGCCTGTGGCTTCCAACACCAAGTGGTACCTCACATATGCCGTCGAAGCGGGTCTTGGGGCGGTCAATCTGGCTTTTGTACTGTTCGCGTTTGGTGCAGATATGCTGAAAGCTCGCAAAACCCACCACACCGCACACAGGGAGGAGATTGGCACAGAACTGGGACAGACGATCGCTCCACAGTCTACTCCATCGAACGCAACAACGGGAAATAATCCCAGCAACGACACCACGCGAGCTCGAAACAGACAGGCCTTCCAGGAGATCAAACAAGTCCTCCGCCTCCGCTCCGTCTGGCTCCTGAGCATGTTCTACTTCTTCTACCTGGGCGCCGTCATCACGGTGTCAGGCTGGGTGGTGGAGTATCTCGTACAAGAGCGGTCCGGCTCGCTGTCCTCGATCGGCTATGTCCCGGCTGCACTGAGCGGCGGCGGGTTTCTCGGGCGGCTGTTGCTCGCGGAGCCGACGCACCGCTTTGGCGAGCGCCGCATGATCCTCCTGTACACCGTCGTCTGTCTGGCGCTGCAGATCATGTTCTGGCTCATCCCGAACCTGGTCGCCGGCGTCGTCGTCTACACTGCGCTGGGCTTCTTCTCGGGCCCCTTTTTCGCGACGGTCGGTTTTCTGGATCTTTGTTATCCCCCGTCTCCGTCAAGTCTTCGAACTGACATCCCCTTAGGGAATCTCCGTCGCCTCCAAGCTTTGTCCCAAATCCATCCAGTCTACCGCACTTGGTAAGCCATACAAACGCCCCGCATATAGAACCTTGGTCTTCCGAATGCCAATCCTGATTTTCTGATCTCCTGAGCAGGCTTCATCTTCGTCCTTGCACAAGCAGGCGGCTCGTTATTTCCAACCGTGACGGGGGTGATCGCCGCCAATGCGGGTGTCAAAGTCCTTCAACCGATTCTGGTCGGCTTGTTCGTGGCGACGGGCGTTAGTTGGTGGTTGGTGCCACGGACAGAGAAGGTCAGGGAGGTCTAGGCAAGTCTCGGATATGTAGGTCCAACGGCTTCTTTGTGGGGGTTCCCTGATAAGATGAGATCATACTTGGAAATTGGGAATTGTAGCCGTCAGGACTTTAAATCTCACAACAGACGAATATGCTAGTTAGCATCTTTTATGCTCTAATGCACGCTGGAAGAAAGCGAAACCTCTTTCAACATGCCCCTTTCAGTTTCCAAGCAATCAATACAGTGACTCCAATTCCATCATGTGCACGCCATCACTGTGTTTCGTGGTGATGCTTCCCTTCAGCTGACTGGACATGCTCACATCATGATATGAACGTCAGCCCTGATATCCGTACATCTCAGGTGATCAACAGCTCTAGGTTCCTGCCCCAAATCTGACCCAGGAACAGCTGCTGATGCCCGCCACTTTTGTCTCCCCTAATCTATGCTCGACTTGTGTACATCCATTCATTTCGCTTCATGATCATCGGCAGCATCCTGACTCGTCAGGTCCATTCCGTGTCGAATCGTGTCGGGTGCAACAGCCGAGTATGGGTCATCCATATCGCCAAAGATAGGAGTCTCTACCTCTGAATCAGCAGCAGTGGCGGCCATTTTCTCGCGCTCCATGATCTCCGTCTCTGCTTCCGAAACTGTGTCATCCTCATGACGATGTTTTCCGTCACGTCCGAACATGCCACCAAACGGACTTCGCTTCCTGGCAATCTTAGGACTCGGCTCTTGAACCTCAATAATAATGGGCCCGGTCTCCTTTTCGGCGTACTTCTCAATGAAAGCATCCCTCAACACCTCGTAGAGAAAGGCATACTGGATTGTGTTCATGACCATCATCATCCGCTGATCGCGCAAGGAGTTGACCGTTTCGAAAACGACATCCTCATCTTCCTGTGGATCGGGTGTGCTGGGTTTCGAGGGACCACTCCGACCCCATGTTTTATGTGTAGTGGCAGATTTCGATTTGGTCGAGGATTCGACGTTGTTTGAACGTGGTGCACTTTCAAGCAACCGTCCTGCTTCCAGTTCTTGGAGAAGGTAGTCCAGTGCAATCCAGGTGCCTGTTCGTCCGACGCCCGCTGAGCAATGGACTACTCTCGGCGCCCCATCAGCAATGGTCCGCGAGACCTTGATGAGCTCGAGCAGAGCCAAACGATCATCTGCTTCTGGTTTGCCGAAGTCGGGCCAACCATTGTAAAGATAATGGTAGATCTCCTTCGTTTCATCGCCAATAGTTAATCTCAATTTTCGAACTTCAGATTTGAGTTTTGGATCATAGGTAGATGATATCAGGGTAACAGTTCCAGCCCCAGTTTCCTCTTCGTCAGAATTTCCGGCTTCTGGTGAATCCTTGTCGGCTTCCGAGTCTGTTTGAGGACTATCAGCAACGGCGCTCAACGGAGGGGAGTCCAGGAAAGGGTCACCATCATCAGGGTCCTCATCACTTTCTTCATCAGCATTGTCCTTGTCTGTTGGTAATATTATGGTCGGATGATCTGAATCAATAGGGTAGTAGGCGGCACATTTCTCTCGGTTGCCCTCATACAACTGTGTGAGCATAATGATCACACCTACATCTCCGGGAGTCTCTTGCATTACCATGTGCCAGAATGGAGAATATTGACCTTCCTTCGGACCCTGGGTGGCAATGTATTTTGCCAGACCGCTCTGTGAGGCTTTTTGTGATAGCGAAGAGCTTGATGCATTTTTGGAGCTAGGCTCTGAACCACGGGTCGGGAGTGTTATAGGGGAGGCATTCACATAATCCGATCCTCCAATGGGTTTCTTCAGACGAACTCTAGATAATTCCCAGGCTGATACATTGGCGTAACGATTACGGGCTATTACCTTGGCCGATCGATCAACCCGATAAGGGGACGATTGGGGATGTTGAATTGCATGTGTGAGACGATATCTTTGTGTCCATTCAAGGTCACTAAATGCGGCCGCGATGTCTGCCCACGACATCTCATTCAGCCACGTCGACAGGAGAGGGTTAAGAGGATACAAAGTCACTTACCTGACGGAGTTTTGTTCAAGTAAGAAGGGATCTTCACAGTGATGGTTTTTGCCACGTCATCGTGGTTTGCAGAGTCGACAGAAGCCCCATTTGAAGAGGCTTTGCCAGACAAAGACGAACCGGTTTCACTCTCCCGAGACCGCTGTCTTTTGATGGAGGAGTGGGTTGGGGGAGTTCCGACATGTAATGATCGCGGCATGATCTGAGTTATTTCGGCAACGGTGGCCGCATTGGAATGAGAGGTGGCCGGGCGGCTCTCAGTTGATGAGAAATGCGGCAGTGATGAGGAGGTGGTTGGACGAATAGTCAAGTTGGGGACAGTCTTGGTTCGTCGTCCTGATGAATGGATGTGTAATCGGTGGAACAGTGATGGTCGTTTGCCAGGGGCGGTTGAATTGGAAGAATCCTCCGACGATGGTTCGGGAGGAGCGGCGCCGTATTTGTCGGTAAAGAACTTTGAGACGGTCGTTGTGGCTATGGAGTGATGTTTCCAAGGTACAACAGAGAACAAATTGAATCGAGGATGAACGTGGTGGTGATATGGCGGTATGGCGGTATCGGTCTGAGGGATGAGATGAGAGTTTCGGAATTCGGAGTGGCTTATTTCTCCAAGTAGAGTGAGTCTGTGAAGGACACAGTTTGGATGCTCTCGGTGAGTCAAGTGAGGCGTGTCACGCAGAGGGTTTTGTCGATGATGGAAAACCCAGACGGAGCGATGACTTGTTTGTATGAAAGGATGGCTTTGTGTATCACCGTCGGGCGCTCCTTCCTGGATCCTACAAGATTTAATCGGACCCCGCGGAAGGATACCTGGGTTGGTGCCTAGGTAGTAGGAGCTTTTCTGGTCTATGTGAATTGTATTGCTGGTATACGATGATTCGCATATATGAGAGCAATGGATGAAGGTGATAGGTAGCCTCGTGAAGACGATATTGATCAATAGTAAGCGGTGATATCTGTTCCAATCGCTGTGTGAAGAACCTGGGATTCGTACGAGTAAGATCTGAAACAGGTGAGGCTGAGTGGAGGGACGATGAGAGTCCGCTGACCTCATTTTGCAGGAGGCGTACTCTTAGATTGCGGTACCGATTTACGGATACTTGTAACGAACGCGGAAATCAACCTTCACCTAGCCCCAAAGTTCCGATAGTCTAGCGTGTTTCAACCGTATCAAGCTTGTAAATACCAAGTATCTACCTCGGTATTCTCTTTTTTTAGGCGATGGGTTTATCCGACGCCGTGGCGAGATAGTAATCGCAATCGTAATCGACTCGATGCTTGATGTACAACCTATTCTTGTCCTTGTCGAGGAAGACATCTATATACCAATATCTAAATAGTCGATAACTCGTTCTACACCTGGACCAGTGTCCTTCCATTCAGATGCAACTACGGCCACAGTGACATTGGCCACGATGTCCTGGTTCTGGATTTTAGAGGTCTGCCGCTCCCACCCCACATGGCTTCCATTACAAATTAAATCCCAGTATACTGACACAGAGGCAGAAACGTATGGTTGAAGCGGTACCATTGCCCGCCCTGTTCTATCCTGTTCGCCTCACCCGCTGACCGAGTCGCAAAGCTGTTGAGAAGTCCTGCCTTCCACCGCGGTGTACAGCGCGTACACAAGACCGTCCATGAGATACAACATGGCAAGCCGCCCGAGTACTATGGCGGAACACATGTAGATCGTACGTCCTCTTCCTCCTCCTTCTCCCTTCCAACGAACGATCTTGTATGGAGACATAGGTGAGGTGGAGGAGAAAGCAAGAAGCTAATACTCGCCTCTTTACTTTGCACAGCACCCTCCAAAGAAGCTCGTCAAGGAGTCAAGAATTTTCTTTCACTGTTCTGGGAAGAGTTGAAGACTGGCCACAAACCACCGCCCCCTCCTCCGAAAGGATAGATGGGGCGTGATTGATGAATTGATTGCCACGAGGCAACAGTGGTACGACTCCGTGATATTTTTGTATGGCGTTGGGGCGACATGGAAAAATTGAAATAATCAGGATAGGGCGGTGCAAAAGACGTCGCAGGGAATCCCGACGCAATGTGTAAGTTCATCGAAACCAGCAGAGAGTTCGGGGAAAAAAACAAGTCAACTCCAATCAAACCATGCAACAAATGCTTTGAAATTTAAAGGGCTTGATCTTGAATGCAGCCTGCTGTTTCCACAACCTGATTCCAGAGCCATGAGTTTTCGTCCACCTCTCTACATTATTGCACATGGATCTCTGAACGGATAAGATTAGGTTGGCTCGTTTGATATCTATAAGAGCACAGCCCTCATTCCATCCGAAGAACACACTTGGCGCCTCACATGCAAATTCCTACGCTGCTCTACCCTCTTGGTTTTGGAAATACGTGACATCTCCTCTTACGGAGCTGTTGGGCGGGACATTTATTCACTTCGAGATACTTGCATTGATTTTCCCTTTCGTCGCTACTCAAATTTGCGACGAGGTGGGCATCTCACCTCGCAAAGAGGCGTTTTTGGTTGTCGAGAAGCCCAGTCGGGTATGCGACACGGTCGTTCAGCATGATGGGGATACCAGCAGAAATTTCCAGCCGTCACAAAATGTAGTGTTCTGGGCGCTTGATCTCGCCTGTTGGATCTTTCCAGTTGACTTTCTAAGATTGCTAGTGGGTAGGTGGATTGGGAACTCGAAAAAAGGCATCTAATTCCCATATCAAGTTAAGGGGAGGGAATGATAGCCTCAACCTGACCCCCCCAACGAACATTGTGACAGCTTCATCACACGTAGCATTGCGCGAAGCACTATTTCCTTTCTCGTGCAACCGCGACAGGAGACTTGCCTCATTCATTCATCCCACATGAATCTGGGTGACCTCGTGCCAGATCTCCATGACCATTCGGGGCGGAGATCTCAGCAACGACCACATCTAGGCATTGTTTACCAGCCAGCCCTGCGGTAACACAAAGGGGGGAAATGTATGGTTGACAATCACCTTGGGGAAAAGACCTTGGACCTTGTGAGAGGGAAGGCTGTGGCCACCCCTGGCCATTGATTGGGCCGCAGTGCAAGAAGCCGCTGTCATATTGGCTTCCCGGGGACGTTGGAGATTCTGTGTCTGGATCAGTCGGTTCTGTTTTCAACGGTTGATGCACAACCCGGCTCCGTGAGCAGGGCCAAGGAAGAATTGCCAATTGAGATGTTTGGATATGGCCTGCGTCTTCGCGACAGCGTGAAACGAATGGCTCCGGTGATCTTCGAGGAACTCTTATCGGGATTGGCATGGAAAACTCCGTGGTGACGATGCTCTGGTAGTGGGAACCAAGTTAGGGGAACGTGCCTCAAGAGTCACTACTCTTGGACGTGAGCACTTGAAAAGGTTTGATTAAATGTTCTATTGGCATGCATCAGCAAGAGCCGTTCTCGGCCAGCTCAGGAACATTTTTCTGCCTCTTCGCTGCAGTGCTAGGAACGGTGATCTTCTGATGCGATCAATGCATCTTGACTAAATCTCATCTCTCATGACAGACAAGTCTTCCCCCCCTGGAATAGTCGTACACCCTAGTGTGAAAACAAAACATGCTGATCGGCGGTGTCACAACCAGCCAACTTCCCAACCGACGACAATAGTCGGCTGTCAGAAAGTTCTGTCCTGAGCAAAGTCTTTCGATTGTTTGTCAACCTCTGGTTGGAGAACCACTGCAAGTAAAGACGTTGCGTGACCCTGCAGGGTAGCTCTCCGTCTGCACCACTGCTTTTAAGAGGGATGGGGCGAATCAGTATGCACCATCCAGTTCGGCTCTTTGTTGTACGAATCATGGACTAGATTGAAGCGAGCATTCCTGGGGTAACAACGCCATCTTGGATTTTGACACATGCAGCTCGAATATCAACCATTCGTATCCGTGCCCCTTACGCCGTACTCGGACGGAGAATCTTGAGGGGGTGGTCCACGGTCGGAATGCATGGCGCAATTCAAGTTTGACAATAGGCAACGAGAACAAGTTGTTGCAGTCAAACATTCTGGCTTTTGGTGATGCCACAAATCCTGATTTCTCAGACGGGGTTTGATGGGAGGAGGAATGCCTGGAACCCAGAATCATGTATAGTGGGAGGCTTTGAAACGCTGTGAGCCCCGCCTGTGGCAAGGCTCAACAGAAATGACACACCAACCGCCTGACTCACTCTACAGCACATCACTCGATGTCTAGATTCAAGGCGAATAAAGCTAGTTAGAGAAGTGGTTTGCCTGAGATTGAAAAATATGCGAGTCACTTGAAATGTTCTTTGCCACGTCACAAAGGGAGTGGTGCCTTAGGGTATGGTTCCGAATCAAGCATGTGCGGGAATCGTGAGGTCCAGTCCTTCCAACAAGACATTGTCTCTGTCACAGATGGCACTGAAACGCTTGTCGTAAGGAGTAAGGCCGTCTCAGCTTCAACGCTGTGCGCTTCTTTAAGATTGTCATTCACATGTATGTAGAACCCACCTGCGCTCTTGAGGTCTGATCGAAGTCAACCAATTGGCATAGTTGGTGATCGTGGTAAATCATATTGCAAAGATCATCTTTTGATGGTTACAGTCTTCTCTACAATTGGCATCATACAACATGGGGATGGAGGCTAGACCATCCAAAGACTCCAAGGATACTAATGGTTGCCATGCATGACTGCTGCACGAGCGTTGGAAGTGGATGCAGAGCTGACGGAGTTGTGGATGCTCCTGTGAACAAATGGGCTTCAAGTTCCTCAGCTGATCCGACAAACAAGATGATGGAATTGACCGGGAAGTGTAGGCTGGTAAGCCGTGATAGTGGAAGACAAAGCGGTTGACACAAAGTGGTTCGGCTTCCTGAATGGTCATTGTTTGGGTGCACAATTTGTGCGACATCGGTTGCATGATAAGTTACGGCCATTGTAAGGGCCGTACGGCCTACGAGTGCGAGTGACGGTAAGAATCCATTTTAGCGATAGAAAGTGATCCTAGATTCGTCGGGCTAGTTGATACGACAGTGGCGATACTAGTCAACTAAGGAATGCAGGAGATCTTTTTGGATCGCCGATGCAGTGGATCTCAGAAGGTGAGACTCAGATGGGCAGATTCGAAAATCACAAGCCGCAGGGCACCCCTGGTCCCTGGAGGATGGGTTGATGGGTCACAGAAAGCAGTCCCGGAAGTTGGAACCACCACCGAAAGCAGGGAGGAAGCCTCAGCCCATCACCTCCTCCTCGGACTCGGGCTCGGAGTCCTCGGGCCCGTCACCAGGACTCACTCACCTGGGCAGCTACTCGTACGGATATATCACCAGATAGTGTGACTGATTAGCATTCCCTAGTGAGCTCGGGGCAGGCCCAAGGCTCAGATCTCCCATCCAGCCACGTGTTGGTGGCGTTCACGTTAGAACACATTTGGAAACCGTGATCGTGGCCAACTTTGGACCAAGATCCAACTTGCCGACTTCCGTATTCCTTATGCTTTGTCTCGAGGCTGATCTGTTGCACACGAGCGAGAGCACATGAATGTTGGACTTTTAGGATATGCATGTAGAATCATATCGACGTTGATGATTCATCGATACCCGAAGTGACGGTCAAGTGCTGGTATTGGAGCAGAACTTGACGAAGGAGCGCTGGCAATCCCCAACCGGCTAGCCGATATGAGCGTTCACTTCGGTTCTCCTTGCTTTTGACGCTGCTACTTTTCAGTTTCTGAATTTTGACCTCGCCCGTTCGCCATTGACGGGCAGACCAGTGGACTAACGATTTACCCACAGCTCTAGACCATGGGGATTGGAGCTTGGTCCCGAAAGCTTAGAAGCGAGATCATAAACTAACGGCAGATGTACCGAAAAGCGATCAATTTTTTTCTCCGTGGAACAAGCCGGAGGCTAACTGCTGTGATAGTGCTGCGTGTCTTCTAAACTGAAGGACCCGTTCATACGAGTATTCCGTGATCAATATACACTCCACGAATGTCGAGTGCGAGATTTTCTCAGAGGCATTGATATTAGCAAGGCCAAGACGGAGCAGTTATAATTCCAGGTGAGAATGTGGAGAGCTCTGACTCGATCGTGGCTGCCATGGCATGGATGAGATTGTGGCAATCTGTCAATATCAAGGGTAATAAACCACGATCATAGACAGCTCCTGACATATGTCATCTGCAACCGGCCCCCAAGAATTAAGAACGTGGTGCAGAACGTGCCCAAGGGCCAAGGCTACTGATGGTACTGGACATGTCAACACGGAATGAATGGGAGTTGGCTAACAAGGCATGGTCGTACTTGTCAACCGCGAGTGGCGTGATGACGGTCAACTTCTACTAGATTAGCTCTTTCGCACGGGTACGACCGTACGAGGTGCTTGGGAAACAGAGGGATCACCCTGGCCATCCTGTAGAAAGAACATCCACATGTTCAGAGAAGAGACCTCCTTTCAATAATACCGCATTGACCCAGATCTTTCCCAGGCAGCCGGGTCAGATTCACCAACACTGAGAAGGCCAAGTTGAACGGTGTCCACGTGTCTTTTCCGAGTACTGTGGACTCATGAGCAAGCATGAGATGTAGAATGAGTAAACTCTGCGTTGTCCATCCATTCCACCGAAGAGTTCCGTATTCGGTGGATTCAACTCTCGATAAAAGGTGTAGTTGAACAGGACCGAACAAGTCCAAGGCTGTCACGTGAGCTCGAAGTCATCGAAGGTTCTAGCTTGAGGAGTACGAGAATGTGGGAGTTCGCAAGAGGGGACAGATAATCTCGCTTCGTAGTCTACGTCGTATATACGAATATTAATGTTTTGTTGTCCCCTCGAGAATCAGAAAAACTTGGATAGTGCCTCGACTGTGGGAGATAACCGAGAACAACGGTGGATCTTTGGCTTTCATCCATCGCAGGGTACAGATGCTCGTGAAGGTCCAAGAATTGTCTTGGGTATCAACGATGGCACAAAAAGAAATGCGGTCGATAAAGGCATGGTTGCCGGTCAGATCGATGGAGCGTCGATTTCTGTTGCTTTCGACATATTTGATCCAGTCGATCTCGCTGCCAAAAGCTCCATCGGTCCCAGGGTGTCGAGATCTTACGACGCTGATACGTCAGCTGGAGATCTGACTTTTGATCGAGACGCGATTCGATATACAACACGGCAGATAGGATTAACCTCCACGTGTTCCCTACGCTAGTGTGTGCTCACTGCTAACTCAGGAATTGATCGGGAATCAGCTCATCCGTACGGTCATCGGGGATTTCTTTTACCTCGACGACGAGTCAGATTACGATCATGCCGCAGAGGAAGCATGAGACAAGATCAGTGGTTGGAATAAACCGAGCTGGGTGATTAGAGTCATGATGGGTTTCAGATAACGTTTCGAAGCGAACGAGTGTGGAATGATGGTGCATGCTGATGCAATAATGGACGGGTGGTGCACTGCCAGTGGTACTCGGGAGTCTGTTACAAGTTGGGTCTGGATGGAGATGGTAAGCCTACGACTAGGTGACTCGAAACGAATTGGCGAGGGCTTAACGGGGTTGGATAGGTCTGTGCTACCTTGAAGGGCAGATTTTTTGGTGCGCCCAAAAGGTTTTATAGGTGCGGATGAGGCGCCTCGCTTAACAAGGATCATGATCTCGTCCTCGTACGGAGTAGGCTGAGGATGGAAATACACTCCCAGCTTTTGTACCGAGTGCCTCGTGCCCACGGTGGATTTGTGACGCTGCACAAAACTTACGAGTATCTGATGGAACTTGGCGGACCCTGATTCCGGGCAAGTACGGGGTTCTTTTCAGATGGTGAGATTTGTCCCTGATTTCTGGTTTCTGGTTTCTGGGAGAGCATGATCGCTATTACTATTTCACCAAAGTGACATTTCCGGACAGACGTGTTATGGAACTCCCTAACTACCTAGTAGGTATCTAGGACAACTTGAACGATGACAGAACGACTCAGTCTACGCTTCTCCAATTTCTCTGGGTTTTCCGGTGGATGAGACAGCCCCGTCATCACCAAGACTGATGATTCAAGTGGGCGGAAGGCTCCAGAGGACAGGACAGAGCCGGGCATGATCTTCGGGCAGGGGATGGCCCCTGTCGATAGTGCCCCAGTCCCCTGTCGCAGAACCAAAGCTTGGACGGAATATCTGCATCAACGACGCCCAAACGTTATCTGCGACTAAGGGAACCCCACCTGCCACTGGGAGCAGTCTTGGGCAGTTCGGGTGACCATTACAGGCACTAAGCCCCCGGGCTCGCCCCCCCCCAACCCGGTGACTCGGCATCGCTATTCGTGGTCAGATGCGGAAGCGTCGTCCATGACTCCATGAAGTTGAAGTGGTTAACCATGACCACCGACCAGGGCCCTTGGTCTTCCTTCTGGTTAAAGCCCCAAGCCTAAGGAGCCGACAGATCCACTGCACGTCGAGTCAACTGCCCTCTTGCTCTTGCTCTTGCTCGACCCAACGCCCCTGCAAGCGGGTTTCTTACACTTGACTAGCGCATCGATCTTTCGATCTGTTCTCCGCCCGCACTGCATCTCGCTCTCTAAGACTTGCACTTGCTCGTCTTTCCAAGTTCCCTTCCATCATCCGTCACCACTTCCTGTCGTTCCGACTTCCACCACCGCCATCCACCACCACCGTTCATCACCACCTGTCTGCATCTGCAGCACCACCAATATACCATCGACTCGACAATTTCTCCCCTCGACAAACAGTCTGACATAATCACCAGAGAGTCGCCATCTTTTCCTCACCACTCTAATTACTACCGTCACCTCTCAGATCTCCCTCCATCTCGACGAAAATAAACTCTGATATCGACACCGTCAAGCCGAAGATCAGACTTTGACCCCTCCACTGTCAACACCATACTTCTGTCAGCATCATACACAATCTCCAGTCAAACCTACGCAACCGTCGTCCAGGAACCGGGGGATTGTGAGAAGAGGAAGCGCATTGATCTCTCGGGGTGACCTTTACACATCCGTCACATTTGTTGGTACAACCGAGTTGGCGTCAAGACTCTGCGTTACGCTACGGCAGACGATCTCGAAATCTGTTCGGAAACATACATACATCAAGAGGCCCCCACCTCTCGTCCGCCCACATGATCTCCTGCCTCTCCTCCGAAATATAACTGGACTGAAGGACGACACCGAGTGTCTCGATATTTCAGAATGGCCACCATGGACATTGGTACACGGCCCAGGTATGTTTTGGTCCATTCGAGCTGTTGCAATACCAGGAAGTTAATTGATAATCTAGGGATACTTTGCCGTCAATCAGTCATCTTGATCTGGACCACATCAAGTCTGATAAAAATGACCATTCAAGATATTACTTGATGAACGGTCTCAGTATCTCAACCGCTCCATTATCAAGTCCTACAACTGCTCATTCTGGACCTCCGCCCCCGTATTCGTGTGCCCCTTCGACCTCGGGCTCGGCCACTGGACTTTCTGGCTACATCTCCCCTCCAGAATCTACCACCCGAAGATCTACTCGTGATGAGAAAGACTCTCCTGGTCTCCGGAAATCTCTACCTTCTATCCATGAGGCTCTGGGAGACAAATCAATCTCCTTTAATCCGCCTCTTTCTGCTTCGTCTCAACCCCCTCAGTCATCTTCATCCACCACAGTTGGACAGCCTTTCCCAGACGGTCCGACGGGTCCAGTGAATCCATTCTCACAGCCGTCCGGGCCACCGCCTGTCTTGAAAGATGTCTTCGCGCCATCATACAAACCTTCTTCGAGTCAACCTGAAATGCAAGCAGCTCGACCCTCGTTTTCGCCAACATCAAATCCCGACCCACGACAACCAGTATCACAACATTTTGGTTATCCTGGATCTCCAAGATCTCATCCATCCACCGCCTTCCGATCCTCTTCCTTGGCAAACACATCATTCAACAGCATCAATGAGCCTCACCCCCCTCGATCCCCTCCGACATTTGAGCAGCCAAGGTCGGGTTATTCCTTTCCGCAGTACAACAGTGGTCCACAACAAAGTTTTGCTGCTGCACCCGAGTCGTATCAATTCACGGCAGGTCCAAAACCTGAGGAACATCGAGCACCGTACGCTAGACCCGGTCATGAGGCGCCATACGGCGACACTGTGAAACGCCACCTCGACGTTTTCGACACTGAGATGGGCCTGAACGAGGTACGTAGTCATGTCCTTGTGGACTTTTCATTTATACTGACCTTGCATAGATTAGCGAAGCCTCTGCTCGAACACTGGACTTTTCTCGCATATGGGGTCAGAGGTATCAGCAAAGCAACCGTAATGGATATTTCCAAGACTCGCTCCCTGGATTGCACGAAATTGATGATATGCTACGCCAGTCGCATCGAATCTATGAGAATTTGACACATCTGCGGGAGGTGGTAATTGCACAACAGAACGCCCTCTCAGAACAACGTGCTCGTCTTGCGCGAGGGAATCATATGGATGAAGATTATCACAATCTTTCCGATGAGTACAAAGGTTCAGCCTTCGGTGGCAATGATGCCAAGAAACGACGTGGAGTATGCTTTGAATGTCTTTCCAGTGATCTTTTTGTGCTAACAGTTCTTCTCAGAAGGCTGCCCCTCCAGGGAGATGCCACAGTTGCAATCGAGCAGAAACCCCCGAATGGCGGAGAGGACCTGATGGTGCCCGAACCTTGTGTAATGCATGTGGTTTACATTACGCCAAATTGACGCGAAAGATGGGTGTCAATAAAGCCGCGGCTCTGACTGGTTCCAATCTTCGGCCCAAAAGTTTGGATTCAACCCGACCTTAGGCCGGCACCCGAGCAAAATTAAGGCGTCGACATTGATGAACACACGAATCTATTAGTTGGAATGAACGCCGACCCAATGGGGTGGTGAATGATTACGATACATGGTGAGGCGACAAACGGCGTTTTCCTGGGCATTCTGGCCTACGACTTTGGAGTTAACCGGCGGTTGTTTGATGTCAATCATGCATTGTTGTGGAAAGTGCGCAGCGATATATTTGCTGATTGGGAATGTACAGAGGGAAATCTTGCAAACACGAGAGCGACCAAAAAGGCTTTTAGGCACACGGCCATTCTTGCACATTTTGCGATGTCTTTTTAGAGCCATCTACTACCTGGGAGCACGGGGGCAACAACACCAACGTCCACCCATGACTTCGTGGGACTATTCGATACCCCAACGGCAGCCTTATTAGAGGCATATTGGAGCATTATGGTTCCAGCAAAATATGTTGTATGCTTTGAGAAGATTATTATTTCTAGTATTGGGGAAACGCTTTATCTAGTGAAGGATTACTATGACGAGTCGATGGAGAAGGAGATGGGGCAGAGAGATGTGCACAAAATTATATATGATGGCGGTCGAGGTGTTTGTACATTGGAAGCTTTGGGCTGGTGATGTCGACGATGAGGATGATGAGGGTGGTCTTCATGTTCTGGCCTTAACCGACAGCACGACGTACTGTCTGCTGTTGTGTCCGCAAGAAAGTCTATCACTTGACTTAGGGTCAAGTCAACAGAGATCATTCTACTTTTTGCAACCATCAGGGTATCGCGATACCTCCTGACTCGATCCAACTGTGATGAAATTTGAAGTGAAGCAATGCGGAGCTATCGTCGCATAGCATGTGCCTCGTTACGGGTTGGCAATGCAGTGATTTCGCATCCAAGGTTTGTCCTGCAAGATTTGACAACTGGGCCTCTGCCATCATCTGCTCACATGCAAGCTAATGCCTTACACTTTGAGTGCATCTGTCCACTAGCGACAAAGACACTGCGCTCTACTTGAGCGATTGACCACTACTGAACTCTGCTTGCAGTGTGCAAACAGATGAGATAGTAAGCGAGGCGCTGCAAGCGTCGTTGGCACTGCCAGATGACAACTGCGAGAGATTGTGGATCGAGATTTGGGCTTGATGGTCATTTGGGTCGAATGGGAATCAAGATCCTGAGCTCCACTCCTCCCAGAGGCGTGCATTGGGGGATGATCCTGGGCGGGCATGGTGTGCATTGCATCGAAGCGCTCTTGGGTCCCTTTGGGCCTTTTGGGCCAGTGTGGTCTGATGTTGTGTTGACCAAAGCCGTGGTTGAAGCATTACGAGAATCGGTATTATCTGATACGGAGGATTTCTCTTCAACGGACTGGCTTGAGGTCGTGGGCCCGTGGGAGAGTCCACTGCCCGTCTTGGTGGGGTCGCCAAAAAATGAAACCGGGCCTTCTGCTGATTCACGAGTCGCGAAGTATTCGTAATGAACTGGATCTCTATGGAGATGGCGTAGGCAGAGATTGTCTCGATGCGATCGAGAAGCGGCGGTAATTTACGGTGCATGTTTTGGTTCTGTCAAAACCAGATCCTCTATCAGGCCACCACGAGAACTGACTTTGCATCGGGGCTGACTAAACGGCCACCGGCCAACGTTGACTACGGGGTACTGGTAGTCACACAAGGCAAGTGATCTTGTTTGATCTTCAGACATGCTGTTCAGTGATACTCAACCTAAAACTGAAAAGCAATTCGAACCGAGTCGAGTAGTGGACAATAATGAAATGTGTAGACAACCATACAGGATACAGGATAGTCTCCTGAGCTCCTGGCTTGTTGTTCTGAGACCGTAGCTCGTACGAGAAATACCATTGTTGTGGTGGTAGGTGGCAGTCTGGCACGCACATGAAAAGGAATGAGTTTTCCCCCCTGCATGCTATCTGGGGAGACTACAGCTAGGTGGCGAGGTGGCTATCGATGCCAAACTCGTCCCTAATTCCGCGTTATTGGGCGATCATCCATAATCAGCGCCTCCGGGAGCTGGGAGACGCCGTGATCGACACCACATCCTGGGAATAATCATGATGTGCACCCGGCTCCCAGTCATCAAATCTGGGATCAGCCACCTCTAAACCCATCTCGAACTGGGTTGGGCCACATGTATACGACGCGACCCAAGCTGCTCGTACTCGTAGAACCTGAAAAGAGAGCGGTAGGGCAGGGTAGGCAGTAGTAAAATAAACATAATGCACGGCACAGTGTCGATCGGTCTGAACGAGGGCAGCAGTTCGAGGTCGAAACAGATGGATTGTGCTGTACGAGTACTCGTAAGTCCTCCCTTGCCCCTGTCCAACATCCATTTCATCAATTGTCTGCACGCGGCATGCTTGCTGTACGGACAAGTCTCATCAAGAGTGTTCAAAAGGCTCGGTTGGAAAGTCCCGTAACCCCGAGCTCTCTGTGACAGGGGAGCGATGTATGTACAGACCTGACATGCAGCAATGTCTAGGAGACCTCAACGAATAGAGGTGGTCGGTTTCGTAGCGTTTGGGAAACTCCTGGTCTTTGCTTCTCGCTTCAAGGGGACAGACATCATGGGAGTCTATAGTTCATGTACATAATCATCACTAGAACCTGGTCAGAGTTCTCCTTTCATTTCAAGTTCAAGCTAGATAACTAGTAGACGTCTATTGTTCTTGTTCAGAACCTCTCATCTCCAGGAAAGTGTCTATTCATCTGACTTGAAACCTTAGAAGGTTCGCATATACATAGCCCGGGCTATCGGTGCCCCGTGCGAACTGGTGGTTTGGGCTCCAAGCCCATGATTGTTGAAGTCCGTCAGTGACTCATTACATATAGATTACCCCAAATCGCATGTGTATGTTGTCTAATAAGAATACGAGATATATTGTTCCCTAGTTATCGTCTTACACAGGACAACTTCTATCGTCCCTACCCCTGAGATGATGGTCTTCTCCCATCCTTCCCCTCTTCAAGTTTGAGTCCCTAGTCCCAGAACCGAGTACTAAGTATCTCGAGCCTTGAGTCATCTCCGTCCCGTCAACTTACGTATTCGTGCTCGTACAGTCCATCGTGCTCGTACGCTAGATTGAAAATATCCCTGTGATCCACTGGGGGACACATACCCAACCAATTGGTGTTCCGCCGATTCAAGGCTTTGACGTTGAGACGGGTAGTCGTCGTAAGAGGCTGAGGCCTCGGCCCTAATACTTGTCCCACCTCGACGCCCATGGACTCTTCGAGACGCCGCCAGATACGATGTGGGCGTTGGTGGGCGCTGTGCCCGCTGCCCAGGATCAAGCTGATTTCACTAACGGTTGATCAGTTAGCCCATCTGCTAGGCAGGTTAGTCAGGTCTTCTCTCCATCGGCTGTCAAGCATGTCTGTTCCGCCCGCCGTTTTACATCAAATCTGTAGTCAGTTCTTGGTGTCAAATAGGCTACGAGTATCCGTACAAAGTATGGATCCTGGACAGCTAATGATCTCTAACCCGGGAAGGGGGCCTTTCGCATCTGCTCAACACAAAACCTCGATCGTTATCTGACTCCGGTCCAACAAAGTCTCTCGATTCCCTAGGCGCGGCTGCCTTCTGGGTCATGCTCCAGGGTCATAATCTAGGTTGACGCCAGATGTTCGATTGTCGATGCACCCCCGGCCATTCAATTCTCAATTCCGTGGGCAGCGAGTGTGATGCACTTCGTATTGTCTCTCTATCCCTGCACGGAGGCACAAACCTCATGATTTTGGGGCGGGCTGACAGATCTCATCACTGATCATCCATGTTGGGACATTGTTGTGAGACGTTCAGTTGTCTGGTCTTGACGACCTACCATTGATTCTCTTCATTATGCATCCAATCTGCACAATCCAACTCCTGGCAGAAGCTGCCCCAGCTGACACCCCTCTTGACAATCCACCTGGCACCCACAGACATCAGGCGCAGTCAGGGTGGTCGGCACCAACAAACCACTGAGATGTTCGTTGTAACTCCGTACTTGGCTCTCCACATTTCGAGAGATTTCTCAGATACCTCACTCCTGTTGCCGCTAGGAGCCGTGCTAACTATTGTTTCGGTAACGCGTGATCGAAGATCCCCCCTCTTACACCTGCCTCTGTCGCGTCCACTTGTGCAAAACTTTTACATGTGGGCTTGTAACCGAGATGAAGTGCGTTCGAGGCGAGATATCGAGCAACCGACCTCAATCAACGCCATGCCCGTTTTGCGATATCTCCTAAATCGAGCCTTTTTGGCTTTTTAGCATTGAAATTTTCGTCGCCCAAACGAACGCTGACTACAATTGCACGAGTCCGATGCCGAATTTTTCCTATTCATAACTACTTTGGTCGCATCCGCTCCGCAGTCAGTAGTGTGCTCTGGCGAGTCAACGACACTGAGAACGGGTAATTCCTGAGAAATACTCGGTATGTTCAGCGATCAATTTTATCGGTACATCGTTGTTCTAAGACAGTCCTGTCTCAGAGATGTTCCGTGAAGTGGCTGAGATGTCTCAACTCCTTTGATGGCGCATCTGCAGGATACGCGCGGCTTCAACAGGCTGATGTGTCAAGTGTTTTCCTGGAGCCCATGCGGTTGCTTTTGAGGCATAACTTTGTTGATGCTGTTGAATAATCACACTAACAAAGCCTGTTAATCCGATGCCCAACAACACTAAGGTGTTGCCTGGTTGGTTCACTCGCACACAGGCCTCAAGTCAGCCACTTCAAACTTCAATAGCTGAAATACTATGAATTTCGCGCTCCTTCTGCGCTCCAAGACCGGGCTCGGAATTCCGGGTCTGCCTGCCGATGGAAAGGTTTTTCTCTTTGCTTGCTGGACTTTCCATTTGTCCCGTTTTGGAGTGGGATCATGATGTCCGCCGACATGGGGCATTCCACTACGTACCAAACGAGTACTAGTACCATCAGTCTATCAGTAAGACACGATCGCTAATCTTCTGTGCAGAGTTTGATGCATGTGACTAGGCCTACTTGTGACGG